ATAATATTTTTAAAATTTTAAATAATATATTATTTATTAATAATATTTAAAATAAAAAAAATTTATAAATATATATTATAAAATTATTTAAAAAAACCATAAAATAAAAAACTAATAAATAATTTATTATTATAACTTTTATTATTAAAATTAAACTTTTTACGTTATTTTAAATTATTAAAAAAATTATATTTATTATTAAATTAATTAAAAAACTTAAAATAAAATTAAATAATTCCATTATTACCATTTATTATAATAATAATTAAATTATTAATTTAATTTAAAAAAATATCGAAAAATTTTAAATAAAATTAAAATATATAAACATTTATAATTATTAATTTTAATAAAAATATAATATAAAAATAATTTAAATTATATATAAAAAATTTTTTAAAATAATTATTAATAAATTCATTAAAATATTAATAAATATATTATTTTAAAATTTCTTAAAATAATTAAACTTAATAAATATTAAAGATAAATTAACGAAATAAAAAAAATAAAAAATAAAATATAACATTTATAACATTTAAAAATAATAAAACTTTATAAATTTAACTTTTAATTAAATTTAAAAAAATATATTAAATATAATTTTATAATTTTAATATTATTAAGTAGTTTATATGTTTTAATGCTTTAATGCTTTTAAATTTTTAGTTTTTATATAATTTCCTTTAAGATATAATATGGAGACCATTAAAGATTTTGCAGTTAGTCTTAACTATAATCTCTTGGATTAAGAAGATAGAATTTTCTTTACACAATTAATTGAATTATTAAGTCTCACGTTATTTTGACAGAAGTCGAGGCAGACAGAGCTGACCGCAGGGTGCCTAATACGCCTAGTCGCCTGGTCTTGGAACCCCACGGATTGCGCAGATGCGCAGTACCGCAGTGTTGCATTCCCACCTTGCGAGCTACTAGGTAGGTGTAGATACCTAGGTAGGTATATATCAAGCTATATCGATATCTCTCCCTAATGGATGTGTGATTCTGCACAGGTAGATTTTCAGACTTCATAAATCTACACTCAAATTCCCTTCACTCATCCTCTCATCCCCCCATTCACCTTTATCTCTCCTTTTTCCTCATAACGCACTACGTAACTACTCATCGTTCTCGACATTAGGCATTTCGCAACCCAATACAACTAAATGGCCTATAAAGCGGTTCATGAGTCCATCGGGGCCCTCTACATTTGGTACTGTTGTCACTGTAATGGTTGCGGACACTGCCCCATCAGCAACCACCAAGATGGATAATCAAAGTGGCCAGATGAATACCGACTCTGAAGCCCAATCCACCGGCCAGAGTCGCAATCAGTGGCCCGAACATCCGCCGCAGTTGAATTCCACGGACTGTAGCAAATATCAAATTGCACAAGGCCAAACTGACCACTCCCACATCCCCCTTCCTGCTCGTTTACCAACCTACTCTCCTCTCACCACGACAATGTGCATAACAATGTATGGCAAAAGTGAATTCGACATTGAATCGAATTCACTTATGCCATGCATTCCCATTCTAAATGCCACACCTTCTGTACCGGTATCTGGCTTTGCGGGCCAGATGGCGGGACCGCCCTCACGCATTTTCCCCCCTACTACTTCGCCCCTATTCACCATTCTCACCAAGTCAATGTGCAGAGCACTCGACTCTAAGTCGAGATCATTTCTGCCACAAGAAAAACTCAATGCTCTCACCCCGCTTTCAGTGAAAGAAGAATTGAAGAGAGCTATGCCTACACTCCCTGAATCTGTTCTCGACAACTATACGGCAGACATCCTCGCCAAGCACGACTGCGATCAGGAACCGACACATCCTTCGCGGAGATTTCATCATAACACCCGACTTATGAAGACATTCGTGATCCTTGTCCTGCTGGGCAGAACAGAGAGTATTCCGTCGTTCATATCTGGAGGGTTTGCAGACTCTCTGCTCCCCATTGACTACTCTCTATTCTCAAGTGAGAACCTATCCCGGTCTGAACATCCTCCACTAGCATCGCTTCTTAGGCGCTGCTTCGACAAATGGACATTGCCTAGCATCAAAAGATTCACGGAAACGCAATGGGTAGTTCTATCCCCATTTCTAGGTAGCGTCAAAGGGGATATCTCCCTGTACAGCTTCAATGACCACATTGTCCTCCCCATATTCGATTTCGATAACATAACCCCAAAGTCGACTCAAACCGGTGGGTATAGCATTGTGCGAAGAGTCAAAATTCATCCTTGGCACCACAGTTTCCGAGAGGGTCAGGTACGTTTTTGAATCGAATCATTGACTCGAAGGAATGCTAATTAATTATTTTCTAGGATGAGCCGTACTTCGCTCTGAAAAGATTGCATTCCCCGCGTATCAAGGACTTTCGACGTGAAGTCGTCGCCCTAAGGCGATTCGTGATATCGCCAAATTCACACATTATCAAGCTTCTAGCAGCGTTTCAGCATGGGACATCCTTCTACTTGCTCTTCCCCTGGGCCGACGGCGGCAACTTACGCTCATTCTGGAAAGACAATCCTAACCCAGTCATCACCAGCTCCTCTTTGATATGGATTGTCGAACAATGTCTTGGCATTGCCACTGCATTGCATCAAATCCATCATGGTAACCATACAGAGGCTTCAAACGCCGGAAACAGCAATAGCCCGACGGATATCTCTTACTACGGACTCCACGGCGATATCAAGCCTGCCAACATCCTCCTATTCGAGGACGGCCCGCACAGTGAAAATCCCATCTGGGTGCTCAGCGACTTTGGACTCGGTGGACTACACCAAAAAACCGAGAACGAAGTCGGCGATCGCCCTACTGGATTCTCGCCTACCTACCGGGCCCCGGAACTTGACATAAAGGGGGCTATCGACAGCACCTATGACATCTGGTCCCTGGGGTGCGTTTTTCTTGAGATTACTGTATGGTTACTTCGTGGCTGGGATGGAGTCGGGTCTTTCGCTCTATCTCGAGTTACTACCGGCGAGCCAGCGAAAAAAGCCGGATGGATGGACGATAAGTTCTTCGAACTTGTACCTCCGCAGTCTCTAGGTGCGCCGAAGGCAAGACTCAAGCCGAGCGTCGACCAGGTAACGTTTGCGATTTAGCGTAGTCGGGTCTACCTAACATTGATATAGTGCTTCGAAAATCTTACCGGGAGCCAAGCAGCAAGCCCCTGCATCGATGACTTTCTGGGGTTGGTACACGATGACCTTCTCGATGTTAATTGGGAAACGAGGATCAGTAGTTCATTCCTTTCCGAGAAGCTCCAGTGTCTTCGGCAGAAATGCCTAGAAGATCCAGTATACACGGTGGCTCTTCCACGGCCACACAAACCGCCGTGGCCTTATCAAGAACTTGCAGATCTAACAGACAACACCTTAATTTCAAATTACCAAAGACAACCAATTCAGGTCAATATGGCCCAGATACCATTACCAAACGAACTGGACTATCCAGACATGATGCCAATTCCACCTCAGGATACGTACTGGCCTGATTTTAGCGGACAACATCATAATATGCATAACACGTCAGACATCTTGCATGCTCCTATTGACGGGATGATACCTTCAGACACCATACCGGACAACATGCAGCAGGATACACTGCCGACTGAATCATTATCTGTGTCACACCAGAGGTCGCCTGATGAAGCTTCATTCAGAGGTCCCAATGGTCGAAGACGCACATTAGACGACATGACAGGTCCCATCGATATGGGAAATGAGCGAAAGAAAAAGGCGCGCAAGAAAAAGGATCCCCCAAATATTCCAAACCGAGACCCATCGCAAGCAAGTACGAAGGAGTGTTCAGAACCAACGAACACGACGGGAGACAAGCGTCTTTTTGCATGTCCTTTTAACAAAAGGAATCCCGCGAGATACAGCACGAAAGCTTGGAAATCATGCATAGGGCCCGGCTGGACAATATCAAGGCTCAAGTTAGTCCTCGCATCTTGCTTCATCAAGAGCACTCCTCCATGGTACTTAGGTACTTAACTATGAAACGAAGTCTTGACTGATGGGGATATTTTAGAGAACATATATACCGCAATCATTTCTCGCCTTGTTACAGGTGTGATCGTTGCTTCGGTGAATTTCAAACCAGCTCTGAGCTCCATGGACATTCTCGTTCGGACCCGCCGTGCCAAAAACGAGATTCTGACATCGACTTCGATACAATCGACGAGACGCAGAAAGCTCGAATCAAGAATAAGGCGCGAGGTGTCTCGGATGCGCAGAAGTGGGACGATATCTACCGAATCATCTTCAAGTTGGACTCCATCGCGGAGATCCCATCGCCATGTGAGTGGCTCGGGCGCAACAATTATGTTCGGTATCTAGATACTAACTTATCTCTCAATAGACTACGAAACCATCACTGGTGGAGTTGACGCAGGGGTAACGGCAGAGAAAACCAAAGACCCCGACTCACTCGCAGATTTTGAGACTTACCTTCACCGCCTGGCAGGCGATACTGATGGACAGGACGCGTCGGCGATCAAGAAGTGCCTTGACCTCGTGCAGCGTTTCCAGCAAGGACGGGCTGGCGAGCAGCCAGCACCCACGCTCGATATGCCTCCTCTGACATTCGATTATTCGGACGACGCAACTAGGACCTCCGAATCGCAGGAATTCCCTACGTTGCCGACCGTAGATGATAGCATCACCGTTCCTAACGCGGAGGGATTGAACGACCTCTCGTACTGCGGTAGCTCGTTCGAGGCGTATTTCAACGAGGTATTCGATCCCGTTAAGCCGTTTGATTTCTCAGAGTCCTTGGGTCTCGGGGCCGATGGTGGGGCGTTACCGGGAGGGTCATAAAAAATGGGAAGGGAACGTATTTATTTTAGCATGTGTTTTATCTCCTTGGGTAGGTTTTTTGTTGGCGGTATGGATGATATTTGAATGATACCCGTTGCAAATGCTGTGTGTAAGTGTGTGAAAGAGTTAAGGGGCATGTATAGGAGCGCTTCTCCTCTCGGGGTATCATTATGAGTTATGACGGGACACTCGAATGGCCTCTTTCTGGTTATTCCCTATTCTCCCCCTTTTTTTTTCTATTTAGGTACTATATATCTTGGATAGCTGGTAGGCTTGATAAAAATTCCAATTATAAATGATATGAAGTGAGAACTTGGTGAATCTATGTAAGTTACGACACACGTAACAACATGTTCGGACGGAGTAACCCCACATTCGGGATGGAACAACCTCCAACTGTGTTCAGTTTTCCTTTCTTAGCTCATTTCTACGCACAATCTTAACATTCTAGGCTAGAGCAAAGTCTAAGCGAACTAGCCTTTCGAATACTAGCAGTTCACCACACGCCGTCGAAGCCATGGTCCTAAATCTCCGGAGAGTCTACCAGCCGCCAAGCAAGGAGTATAATATTATTATTCGAAATCATAGGGATAACGTCATGGCTTTCTGTCCCCCAAAAGATGAAGAACACATCAATTTTGACCGTTGGCTCGATTCTTCAACTAAATGTACGGAAATCAACATCACCAACACCTACGGGCGCCTCGCAATTCTTCAGCTTGAAGATGACAATTGGAAGCTCGTCGTGTCGGGTAATATTGTAGAAGGTCGAAAGGCCATAAATAATATTGGTGGAAGCAGAGATTTTGACGTTAGGTTCACTGGAGATGGGCACATGCTTTTGCAGTGTTGGAATGGAAAGAATTGGGGGAAAGGCGCTGGCAATGTGTTGGACTTCACAATCGTACCGTTTCAAGCAAGCCTCGAATCAACTCAACCAATGCACAAACTTTAGGCAGGTATTTAGCAGAAAAATGAAGAAGGCAGAAGGCAGAAGGCACCGACAGGCTTAATAGGCGTTGAACCCAAACTTCTATTATACACATGCAGTAAAGCCACGTATCCAATCTACTTCGAGTCCGTGGAGTAGTCAAGTTGTAAAGGTTTAAAAGATAACTTATAATTTTAAGTTGGACGAGTAAAACATTCGAAGCAGTCGATATCGCGAAGCCTAGCCGCGATAATCGCGAATGTCGAGGTATATAAACTTTAATTATTAGCGACGAAATCATCGGCCTCGTGGCGCAACGGTAGCGCGTTCGACTCCAGATCGAAAGGTTATCCGTTGTAAGTAGTCCATTCAAACCAATGGCTAAGCAAGCAAGCAAAAAACTAACAAGAAGATAGCAAATCGGGTCGGGGTCAATTCTCTATTTGGATAATTCGGAATCATCCGAACCAGCCTTAATTTTTGGCCCGTCTGCCGGGGTCCATATTTTTTATCACCAATGCGTGTAAGCTGGCTGACAAACACTAAATTCACGATAGCTTCAATTGCTTGACATCCTTGGAAGGAAATGGCGACTCGCATTGCCCAACTATTTGATTTCTAGGTGTAGAAGTACATTACATAATCCGGACTTTTAACCAACCCCGAACTCTGGAAATCTTGGATAGTAGATACGAGAAAAGAAGGTGCGAGGCGCACAGTATGGGGTATTTTTATCTAGTCCTCAAGCAGCTCCTTGGAACTTGAATCTTTACAACATCTCTTCCAAATCACCATGGTAGCCCTCACCCATTCATCTATGAAACCCGAATCCTGGACGTTCGCGATGAACATCATAACACTTGAAGAAGTCGGCATAACGACGCGTAGAGAAAGACGAAAAGACTAATCGGTCCAAATATGATCATCGGGACCATCGAGACGGTGAAATGACCAAAGAACATCTGCCTTCGCGCTACAGTCTCCCAGAATTCGGTGATCATGACTTCAATCGCGCCCTCCCATTCCCATGGCCCAAGGAGCCTAAATTTGGTGTTGAAATTGGCACCAAGCGCCCAAGTGAGCGGTAGTTTATACCAACAGCCACTGTTGCCATGGGTGTCGTCAGTTCCAGAGAAGCCGAGGCGCAGGATATCACCAAATGATGGCGCCGAGCCCATGTCTAGAGCGAGTTGATACGCATAGCTCTCGTGATCAACACCGTATCGGATTCGGGAGTGCGCCTTGGACATGAGTCGGTAGTGCCCTTCATCTTCGGGGAGCAAAGGGGCACCGGCTACACGTTCAGGTGATAACAGGTTAAGCACCCACAGCTGTGCCTGGAATTCGGTGAGAGGTGGGATGGCGCCTAGATTAGGCCGCACGAACCCAATGAACGCAATGGAAGGATCGTCTCGCGGCCAAATATCACGCACTAATTTGCCTTGGTAGTATTGAGGATTGCATCTATCTTCCCCCAGGAAGGGGAATTCGTGCGTATAGCCCGTGCAGAATATTACTACGTCTGGCTTGATGACTTCGTTTCTTATCCGCGCGTATTCGGGCCGTCCATTGTCCCTGAATTCGACAAGGCCATTTTCGTCGATGCGCTCTGGCCAGGACGCAAGGTCTATTTGCTTACCCTGGGTAGTTTCCAGCGTATTCGGCGTCTGGACTATCCATGAGCGGATGAGATGTAGGAGTCCCTGCGGCTTTTTCGGTTTCCAGACAGCATTGAGATATGGACTGACTTTATAACCAGACTTATTGAAAAATACTTGGCACAAGTCAGTAACAGTTTACTCGCGAAAAGAAACAGAAAACGTACTCTCAGAAGTAGACCATCCCTTCGGCTTTCCTCCAACCCATTGGTCCGTTCCGTGTGTGGTACCCCACGAAGTCCAGAGAATCCACCGAACATAATAGTCGTAGTACGTCCATAAAAGGTTGCTGTTTCTTAACCAGGGGTGTACATATATCGTGTCGAAAAGACTCGCTCGAGAGACATCGATGGGCACCTGGGGACGATCTAGGGGGTTTCGCCGTCGCGCAAATACTAGTCTTGGATTTGGGTTCCTCTGTAATACCAGTGAGTCTCAGCCGCGAATCCTTTCTTGTTACTTATAAGTGGCCTGCCTACCTTTGGAGCAAGATGAAAGCCGTTTCTATGGCATAGCACTACTCGCTTCGTAGGCGAAGTCACGGCCAGGAGAGAAACGTCAGCTCCGGTCTCACCACTCCCTAGTATAAGCACCGTCTTTCCTTCTCCGAACTGTTCCCTCTTCTTCAGCCGTGAAGAGTGAAGCACTACCGGTACTTTCTCAATGCCTTTGACTTCGGGAATGCTAGGGTTGACATGCAATCCAGAGCAAACAGCTACCGCGTCGCATTCCCAGGTGTGCTGCTGGCCCCTATATAAATACGTCACGGCATGGCCGCCCTCCTTTCGACTCTTGACGCTCTTCACTAGGCTGGAGACGGTAATGTGTGGCCACAGCTTGAAGTGCGTACAATATTCGTTGAGATATTCAACGTAGCGCTTCGCACTAATAAAATCCGGCTCGTCATCCCTACAACGAAAGTCAGAGAAGCAAGTGAGCTGCCTCGAAGAGACTAGCTAACAACCGCGTGTTAGTACGTCAGTGTAAGAGAGCTATTGCCAGCTAGCTCGAAGGTGGAACGAAAGGGGTCCCCTATACCTCAGCATCCTCATATGTTCTCGCCAGGAACGTCCCACCCACACCCGTCTCAGACTCGAAGATGCGGGCTTCGATAGTTTTCGTTCCTAGAGCCTTCTCTGCAGCTAAGAGATACTTCAGTGTCACGAGCCCGGAAGGACCTGCGCCTATTATCGCGACCCGCATCCCTGCTGCCGTTTCCGGGTGGGTAGTGCAAGATCCGATATGAATGATAGATCCTGTGGGCTAGACGATGTGGTCCTACAACGTGCAAAGCTGTCACCCATCTCTCGAGGTAAAAGGAGGAAGCATGAGCTCGCTTTAATATCGGTAGGTCGGCCCTCCTCCATATTATATCCTCCGCCTCTCTCGGGCAGTTCTTGTTCCTCAGCCTCCTTCGGTCCCACTCTAGGCGATCACGAGAACTCTTGTCTTCCCATCTTTCATTTGGGTCTATATTTCTCTCAATCTTGCTAGCTTCCGTCACCATCTCGTCCGCCTCCTCGAGGAGGGGCGTGGGTACTGTGCTCCAGTTACAGTGATTCCTCGTTCCGAGAGCGGGTAGGCGAGACACGGGGGAGGCGGCCGCGAATCACAGCGCACATGGCCGCGATGTCGCCAAGGAATGAGGCGTGCTCTCGTTGTACGCCGCGATCTCAACTAAAATCGGATTCGGACTGTACCTTTCGCGTTACATAAACGATGTCTTACCACCCAGCTTCTCCCTGGCAGGATGTCTCGCTCCGAAATGCAATCTCATATTGGTTTCCCCTCCTTATCAACCTTATGCTACCGTTAGCGTCGCTCCCATTTTCTCACTGGTCGACCCTCATGGCCCGACCCCAGAAGTTGAGTGTTGGTGCCCCAGGTACTCCAATAGGATGCCAGAAGGACGCCAATGAGGACCGCCTATAAACGAGGCTGATACAAGCCGAGCAGGCATCTTCCTGGAAAAATAATTCATCACGCTGACACCGTTTCGTTTTGGGCATGGCCGATCGACCGAACCCGTAGGACACGAACGTTGGCCGGACGCAAGGATATTCGCGTGGCTGCAGGCAGTGGCCAACAGACGCGGCCGTGACTTGAGGCTGCTGCATGTAGATCACCGCCATCACGAATTACTGCCAGGGTAGTATAGTAGGCGGGTAATAAATCCATCAAAAGGCACAAACACAAAATCGACACAGGATCTTGCTCAGAAACGTCATCCTAGCTTCGGTGATGGTCTAGATGCCCTTGTCAAGCTGGCATGTTTCCTGAATACAAACCAGTTGACAACCGTTCGAGGCGGTCGACAGAACACCACTAACACATCCTGTATCATGTCGTGCTTCCGGGAGCGGTCCCCGTGCGATTAGGTAGTGTTAGACCAAGCGGTTTGCTAGAACTCGCACGTAGGAGAACTAATATAGATATGTCGGCCAAGTGTAGCCGATGACATCTCATCAGGACCTTGGAGAAGAAAAAAGAAGAAAATTTTCAGCGTATCATGCACGTCATTCAAGTTGTGATGAAGTTTTCGCATGCTCTCCTTACAGTAATTGATTGGTCTAGCAAGCCTGAAGAGTAGTTCTGAGGTTTGATTGGATATCAGGTCGACCGAAATAGAATTTCTAGATTTGAATTTTCTCTGCAATATCGCAGAACCTAAGGATAGATCGTCTGTCCTACGGGCCGGGCTGCAGGTCTGGGGAAATCCTCTCCGACCCGAAGTGTTTCGGCTTCAGACATATCTACATACTACCCCCTAGTTCCCCTATCTAGGATGTAGGGTGTGCTTTTCGGCTCCCATGAGCAAAATGTCTCTTATGTAGAACGGTCCGAGATTAGGTATGTCGGGGTTCAGGAGTAGACACCAATCTCAAGGCTCTGTCCTCCAGGCACTGAAATGAATCATGGGAGACATATAACGGTCATCGATTAGGTCATACTAAATCTCATTCCGAGACTTTCCTCGCTGTCGATAGTGCGTTAACCATCAAGTCTACCAACTTATGACTCTCGTCCGAGATATCTTACTGGGTAACGATACGAAGTACCATGCGACAAACAAGATGTAGCTTTCCTCAGACGACTATAGAGACTTTGCTGTCGCCCTTTCATCAGACCTTGCCGCACTGGAAGATATCCACTTGATCGATATTATTAAGCATTTTCGAATCAAGAATAAAACGCCACTAATTTCGTAACACCATTCACACTATAAGCAATCCCTATCTACGTTGTATGGAAGTTACCTTTCCAATATCAATATGCCCTCTCCTTGAATAGGTAGCTAGCAATATAATCATACGAGAGGTTTGCTATTAGTAGTAATATTGTAGCAAGAACGCCTACTATCGTCTAAAATTCCACGATACGGTCTCACCACAACGCCTATTCTCTACTTACACCCCTGAATATATTCGTGACATGTCCTACGTAATCTGAGGCGATTTTTAATTCATCCTATTGGCAGTGAATCGGCAGATGATCAAAGGAGAAACGGGCTAACCTGGATAGGAGAGTATAGGCTCGTGTAAATCAAACAGAGATCTTTGGCAGGAGGCTACTGGGTCACAGGTGACGATATAGATTACCCACACTCTCTACTGTCATTACCTACCTAGATACTTATATGCTATGAGTCGAATCATTCATCTTCTCGAAAATTATGAGGCATTCAAATTGGTGACTTCACCCGTCACTAACAATAACAAAGTAGAGGTATTCAAGAAGAGTCTCGTAGAAGCTTGAAAAGGACTTGGTAATGATGAAAGAAGCGTATCTACCTACCTATCCGGAGGGGGTATATATCATACAACTCGACCTTTGTACTAGGTATCACGATCAAGTCCAAGTTGCACTAGCCTTAAGGATAAAGGAATGAAAAGGGGTTGATGACATAATAGTGGCTTAGCCACTCAAGTATGGATATTTCTCATTGCTGTGAAAAGACGCCTGGAAACGACGAAATCATGGATTCATCGATGAACACCTAGGCAGGGGGCTTGCTTCTGATCGTTCTGATCGGTAGTCTATCACCTACCTACCTACATAGTACCTAGGTAAATACTTGGTGCATGTTTGGGGCCAAAGGTAGTGGGTTTGGATTATATCCAATGCCTTTTCCTTATCCCTATAACTAGCTTGAATTTATTAAACCTCTACCTTATGACACACCTAGATAATATTAACGGGTAGTGATGTGTATAGAAGATACCAAATTTCAGGGAAGTTAAGAACTTACAGAAAAGTTTGCCTTTGATAGGAGTGTTAATAGATCCCCTTAGTCGGCCATCCTTATTCTATCAGGCCCTCAGCTAATTATCTCCTAACTAACCTTCCAAAATGGCGTAATAACCAACATCACGCAATTGAAAGTCCTCAGGCATAGCATCATATCAGTCCTCTAATTCGCAGCCCATAAGCTTTCCGCGTCCACCCGATCGCGAACGCTGATTGGGAAGACGGGGTCGTACGGTACGGTAGACAGGTCCCGAAGTTCGCATCACGCAATCCGCGCGGAGCATGGTGGAAGAGTCGGGGTAGCGCCCCATCAGGGTGGTAGATTCGAACATCAAAGCTCCGTAGTCCCGGATCCTATAAATTGCCGGATATCTAGGTAGGTATTCTCATGAATTTTATACGGAAAAACTGTGCTTTACTCGTGCTTTTCTTCTGGGCACTGTAGTCTATAAGAAGCATTCTTTTCAATTCATTTATAAGCTATTTACCAAAGGAAACAGTAAGAAAAGAAATTAACCAAAATGACGTCGTCCAACGACACAAGCACCGAGGCGCAGAAGCCCAAGAAGCAGCTTCTCCTAAATGCCTTCGTGATGACAACCCCGGGGCACCTGTCGCCGGGACTGTGGCATCACCCACGCAATAAGACTGACGATTACAACAAGCTCAAATTCTGGACGTCGCTAGCACAGCTTTTGGATGAAGGCGGATTCCACGCTATGTTCATCGCGGACACGTTAGGAGCTTACGATGTGTACAAGGGACCGGCAAACGTCGAACCCGTGCTCAACTCAGGCGCGCAGTTCCCCGTCAACGACCCGCTATACACGGTGCCGGCCATGGCAGCGGCGACTAAAAATCTGATCTTCGGAGTTACTGCCTCGACGACTTACGACGCGCCGTATGCTCTTGCGAGGCGATTCTCTACTGTGGACCATCTAGCTGAAGGGCGGGTGGCGTGGAATATTGTCACGTCGTACCTTGAAAGCGCGGCCAGAAACTTCGGCTTGGAAACCCAGATCGAGCATGATGAGCGTTACCGAATTGCGGACGAGTATATGGATGTAGTTTACAAGGTACGAGTTCCTTCTATTAGCTGTCCTGAGAAAGGGATCACTTACTAGACTGGGTTTGAAGCTATGGGAAAGCAGTTGGAGGGACGATGCCGTGGTCCGAGACCGCGAGAAGGGCCAATTCGCAGTAGCCGGGCGAGTGCGTCCAATCGGCCATCAGGGGAAGTACTTCAAAGTGCCGGGTCCCCACATTTCGGAGCCGTCTCCTCAGCGAACGCCATTCTTGTTTCAGGCAGGCACGTCCAAGGCCGGAACCGAATTCGGCGCGAAGCACGCTGAAGCTGTTTTCATGGGAGGCCAACTGCCGGAGCTAGTCCGGAAGTCAGTTGATGCGCTTCGGTCAACAGCCAAGCAATTTGGTAGGGATCCGAGCCACATCAAAGTCTTCACGGGGGTCACGATAATCGTAGATGAGACGGACGAGAAAGCGCAGGCTAAGTACAAGGAATTGCTCTCGTACGGAGATCGAGAAGGCGCGCTTGCGCTGTTTGGCGGTTGGACGGGGAATGACCTCTCGTCGTTCTCGGATGACGAGGATCTGATCCTGGTCGATAAACCCGCGATCCGATCTCTAATCCACCGTTGGTCGAGCACGGTCCCCGGCACAGAAGGATTGAAGTGGACGAAGGCTCGAATTGTCGAGTTCTTATCGATAGGTGGCATGATGTAAGATCTCCAACGCGATGTCTTAAAAAAGAGCAGATCGCAGGGGTGATGCTGACTACATGCATTTGCAGGCCTAAGATTATCGGCAGTCCCAAGACGGTTGTCGACGAACTCGAGAGATGGGCCGAGGAGGCAGACGTCGACGGCTTCAACCTCGCGCATGTAGTTAACCCTGGCTCCTTCGAGGATATTATCGAGTTTGTGATCCCCGAATTACGAAGGAGGGGATTGCTTGGAACCGAGGCTGAGCGAGAAGGAGCTACGGCACGGGAAGTCTTCCTCGGACAGCCGCATCTTCTAAGCGACCACCCGGGTCACTCATATAAATGGCCGATATCTTAAAGTATGTCCACCTAGATAGATTGATTCAAGTCCTGAGCGATATGGAATGATCCCGCACTCGGACTGCTCGGAAGCATCGTTCATATGTATTCCAGCTATCCGCCCTTCCGAAGATCCAGACAACTCATAGCATCGAATGGTGCAATGGGTGGTGGGCAGGTGATATTGATATTTCATAACTAAATTCGGTTCTGTCGAGTCCCGTGAGAATTTTCAAGTGGTAGAAGGAAAAAGAAAAGGAGAGAGCAAAAGTATTCTTGGTACTGATCCGCGACGTTATACAAACCCAATTTGATGATTAAGATTCAGAAAATTCACGGAGCCGAAGTTCCTTTTAGAGTTAAGGTTAGGGACGAAATAAACCACGTGGATGGTCGGCAGTGACGTCAAATCTCCAAAATCTCCAATGCTGGTGAACTACCCGTTATGGATGTATGGTAATTTAGCAGCCTGGGAAGTCGACGCCGTAAGTGGCTGTGTGGGGTCGGGGTGGCAGAACCCCCCTAAAACCACTAAAGCAAGGCACCTACCCAGGATTACTAGTGCCCTAGAAACCGCTATATTTATAGTGCACGGCATCCATGTAAGTATCGTCGTCAATTGCGCAGCCTCCAAATACTCTGATGACAACATTTTCTTTAACAACATTTCGAATCTGTTCCCTTTCCTTTTCCGATTGTGTGTCATTCTCCCATTCAAACCAAAAATAACTAAAAATACATAGGATCGCGATATTATCATTATTATTACTATTGTATTACTTCGTCGCCATTGTGACTTAATTCCTCTCCTATTCTTGTCCATCGTTTCAGCCGTCTTCGTTGACGAAGTACATTACGCATTACACATTACACCACATACCACATCTCCTTATACCCCTCAACTCAATAACATAACACGGTTAGGATTACCTTGCCATTGGAGAGTTTGCACCGGTTGCTCTCTTACTATTGATCCTCCGTCAACGAACCTCTCGAAACACTGAGCTTCCCCTATTGGTCGCCACCGAAGAAACAGAGAGGAGAGTGCTTACGCCAGGGGCAGACAGCAATGTCTTCCACCAACATTGACGTAGACGATGGCCAACACGATCATATCCTACGGCCGAGGCCACGAAAACCGCAACACGCCCAAGTCGCTGAGTTGACCAGAGAACACAGCAGTAATTCCGTTAATGGCAACGCGCATCTTGAGCCGCCTTCGGAGGAACCTGTCTCGGGCTTGACTAGGTAGGTAATTTTTACCATTCGAATACACACAATGCTTCCACGGGAAAAGAATGGCTTACAAGTCTTTAGCGGTCGTTCGACACCAGTTCCTGAAAATGCTCCCGCGTCGACCAAAGCTCTGTCTAGTGCACGGAAGCAGGTTCGCGCAGAGCAGCGACGACGTATCTTTCCGACCATCGAGTTTGCCTCCCGAGTCTCCCACTTCGATCCTCGATCAGACTATCGCGATTTCCATGGCTTCTTCAACCTATTCTGGATCGGCCTGGCCATCATGGGCATTACTACCATGTTGCGCAATTATAAGGACACCGGATACCCCTTGCGCGTTCAGATATGGACCCTCTTCACGATCAAGTTATGGCATCTAGCAGTAGCCGACTTGTTAATGGTCGCGAGCACTGCTATTAGCTTGCCGCTACATAGGGTTTTCAGGAGTAGCCAAGGAGCGTTGACGTGGCAGAAGGGTGGTAAGGCTATTCAGAGCATATACCAACTTGTGTGGCTGTCCTTTTGGATCGCCGTGCCGTTCATTTTCAACTGGACTTGGACGTCTCAAGTTTTTCTGCTGTTGCACACCATGGTCCTTCTCATGAAGATGCATTCTTATGCGTTTTATAACGGTCACCTATCGGAAACGGAAAAGCGACTACGTGCCCTCGACGAACCACACGGCGCCTCGAAAGCCCCCGCATACGTCTACCCTTCCGTTGAGCATCCGATGGGCAAACTAGCTCACGGAGATGTGGAAGTCGACAGCGACAGTGAAGATGAAGGTCTCAAGCAGTTGCGGGAGGACTTGGCGCGCGAGCTGACAAGTCCCATCGGCAACGTGACGTATCCGCGGAACCTAACCTGGTCGAATTACACCGACTACATCCTATGCCCGACGCTCTGCTACGAACTGGAATATCCACGTAACGAATCGATCCAGTGGACATCATTGATAGCGAAGATAATCGCCACTTTCGGCTGTATATTCTTGTTAACTATCATCTCGGAAGAGTACATCCTACCTGTTCTTCAGGAATCTACCGTTGACATCGAAAAGAGCTCGTCCGCGGTTGAGACATGCCTCATTCTCGCTGAAACTATCTCATGGCTGCTCTTCCCGTTCATGCTCACCTTCCTACTCGTGTTCCTCGTCATCTTCGAGTACGTGCTAGGCGCCTTCGGCGAGATTACACGTTTCGGAGACCGACACTTCTATAGTGACTGGTGGAACAGCACCGACTGGATGGAATTCAGCCGCGAGTGGAACATACCCGTATACTCATTTCTACGGCGACACGTGTATGCGACCTCGAGACCAAGTATCGGGCGCAACATGGCGACGCTCATCACCTTCTTGGTCTCTGCCATCGGCCACGAAATTGTCATGGCTTGTATCACCAAGAAGATACGCGGCTACGGCTTCGTATGCCAGATGTTGCAGCTACCGATCGTCATGCTGCAGCGCACCAAGTGGGTACGCACCCATAAGACGGCGAACAACGTGCTTTTCTGGTGCAGCATGGTTTTAGGACTGAGCATGGTAAGTTCCTCAGTTTTTTCGGGAAGTGGCGAGAAAAATATAAAAACTAACCTCTTACAGATATGTTCACTCTACGTCCTGGTTTAATTTGAGGTCGCGCCTGATGGTTACCCAAGGAGCATATAGCTGGTTTTGGCATAGACGGAAAAGGGAGCGGTGTCGAAGGTTAGAAAACGCGGATGGTATCCGAACAAGATCTGAAGAAGACTTGGGCATCACTGCCCTCAATTACCGACACCATACTCAACGTTGGAATGGAAGTGTATTATTATGTATTTGTATTACATGTCTCGGATATACCCCCATACCCTTTGTCGATAGGCCTAGCGTGAATAGTAGACTGGATGCATATTAGGAAAATTTCACTCACCAAGTTCCTTTTTGAAAGATATGACCCAAAGACATAGTTCTTATGAGGAACATCAACATAATGCGAAGAGCTCTAGCTCACGTAGACTCCGGCTGAGGCTGTAGAATGTATTTGGCGAGTATCAGCCAAGAACTGGATTCTGAGGCGTAGTAGAAATCAAATACTCAACTTTATAAAATACGAAAACAAGGCGTCCAGGTTGTCATAATAACTCGACTCAATGACAGGTTAAAGACTAGAAAAGGGAAAATAAAAATAAAAAGAATTTGCATCCGCCGGGATTCGCACCCGGGTCCTTCTCGTTCCTACCTGAAGGGTAGGAAGTGAATGAGCTATACTGCTGCTCCACAGACGCCTCCAGCTGAGCATGCTACCGTTCGGGAACGGTGGGAGCCCCAGATGATGGATGTCCAAATTGGTGATAAGAAACTTTATAAGGCCTCTACGCCTTTACCGGTTGCTCATTGGCAGAGGAGAGGGAAAGAAAGAACGAACAAGTACCTACTAAAAAGGGGTGTGAGGGACGCGTCTGGTCCGCGTGCCTGCCTTCCTTTGCGCGTTGATAGGTACTTAGGTACCTGCGTCATATAGGGACGTGCTGAACAAAGGGGTAATGCTGTTACTGTGAACCTTAGTAAGATGACGTCTTATCTTTGTAGTAAGGTTTCCGACTTCCTCACTGATAATTCTGCAGATGAAGCTATCACCAGTCCTATATCTAAATAAGTAAAGCTTGTCAAATACAGGCGAGGTTAATGGATGCCTTTTGGTGGAGAGAATACTCTCATATATTATTAGGAAACCAACCTTACATCGGAGTGAGGAAAAGGGGTCATCTTGAAACAACTAGATACACGTATAAAGCCAACCTCATGTTTGCGTACATCTAGCTAGAAAATCTTATTAAAAGAATATAGTGAAGGGATTTGCTACATGGTAAATGCGAGTCTCATAGCCTCTCCCTTGGCAGAATATGAAGTGGCAATTTAAACCACCAGAAGACCAGAATTTGATACATAAAAGGGGCCTACAAATATTTACTTAGGAGGTAGGTTCAATATTGACTGTCAGGATGAGTAAGAAGAGTCTGGTTATTATTGAGCTAACTATCCAATGTGGTTAAAACTTTCTCCTTCTTTCCCATTTTCCTCCTTTCTTCCAAGAAGCACAATTTTAATACTACAAAAACTGTCATATCAGGAGCCCCTGGAAGCCGCAACGACATCATAAAACCAAGCCCCGAATATATCTCTATAGACAATAATTGCTATGAGGTGATTGGCTGAGCATGCTCTTGGCATTCAAGTGATCCTATACTACTTCCCAGGGTATCATCTCCAGTTGCTTCCTATCCAATTCTACCCAAGGAAGTATGGGTCATTAAGAGAGGTGGAATGGAACCTCAATCACCAAGTTCAATAGAGAAGGAAGAAATCAGACTCCTTCGACTCATACGTACTCAGCAACAACTCGATGAGGTTACGGATCATAATAGAGCCATTGGTGCCCTATGATTTCACTACCTATACACAATCTCCAGGGCATCAATGCCTATGTTACATTGCCGTGAATGGGCATTATGGGTACATAGTTAGCAGGCTGGGAAGTTCAATATAGCTCTCAACTATAGAAGTACTCAACTTTGGCACGCGGTAATAACCACATAGACATATAAGATACTTCTCTAATGCGAATAGTATACAACTCAATACCTCGCCCGATTCTAGGGGTCCACCTATCCACAATATCCCAAGCAGACGTACTCCAAGGCGTCCATGTAAACACCCAGCATCCGTTAAGAAGAAAGGGGTAACCGTATAACTTATACCAAGCCGCCCCGTACAGCGACTAACCAACCTACCTACCTAACCACCAGACCGCAGCTACGTCATCGCACAACTTCTAGAACGGAGAGCATGAACACCCTACGTAGGGTCCCCTGAAAACCGGTATCCTATGAAATCTACAAGATCGCCACTTCTTACATCACCGAAGGGCACGTGCGGCGACATGTGCCCCCCGGCGAAGCCAGCCAACGGCGCGAGACGTCCACGTATATACTGACATAAGGCAAGCCACGCACCTGTGGCCTATACATAGTATACGCTGATCGCGCCGCCGATGCGACGAATGGGGATGTTTTGCGCAGGCCCGCGCTTCTACAGAATCAGGGTCCTAGTCCCGGGGGGGCTATATGCAAGGGATAATTGTGGCTAATGCTCTTCTCTCCGGACGCCAATTGCCTGTACGTACGTAAGCATCCGACTAATATACCGGGAGATGTTCGTTCGACCGTCCTTCTTCTAAACCTTCCGCGCCCGCTCTCCGTTTTGCATGACAAACTTGTTTGCTCGCCAGAGGGTCTCTTATGAAATCATTGTGTACCCCGAGGACGATATTCGCGAGGTAGAAACTCGGTAGGTAGGTACGTACGTCACGCGCTCCCGCAATCGCGATATCTACGACCTCGACGTCATCGCTAAGTACTCTTCGTGCTTTTAAAAAAATTCGCCCCCCTCCCAATCTACCTAATCGTTAACCCAATCGCGATCGCAACGTTTCTTCCTCATGTCCATGTGACGAAAGCACGGAGCATAACGAAAAAAAGACGCATCTCAATCGAATGAGAAAGGTAAGCAATCAAAAATTGACCCGGTAGTCACCGGACGACTAGAAGACCCGCCCGATCCCATCCCCGAGGATTCTTGAGCTCTCGGGGATTCCGGGGTTTGTGTTGGGTGCGCCCGCCCCTGCCGTCGCCGCCTAGGGGAGGAAAAGAAGAAAAGAGAAAAAGAGCTCAGAATGCGAGGAGGCGGCCTATTTATATTATGCGTGTTTGGTCAATTTACTCCCCGCTCTTTCCTCGAGGACAGTAACGTGAGCAAATTGATGACATCCATGAGGTGCTTTTGAGTTTGGGGATATGCTCATGTGTCTCGATCAAGGTTTACGTATGCTAGGAAGGGTCGTCATACGAGAGCATTTAGGAAAGAGCTATGAGAACATGAGAAGGTTTCTTTACGTAAATGTTTTTTTTTCTTCACTTTCAACGCAACTGCACCGGCAAACAATTCCGTTAAATCTCGGCTGGCGATGCCATCCATACCTACCTCTCACCTTCCTCGCCCACCTCAGCACTAAATCGAAAAAGGGGGGAAGGAGTAGATTTGCGGTGAGAACTAGGATTCCCTAAAGGGGAATAAATCTATCGACACGAAAATCCTTTATGATCACGGCCAACGCCATCAACCCCCCATGATTCTAAAATTTGATAGTAGCTGAAATAGCATCGCTTCATAAAGCCTCAATGACACGTTTCGTCGAATCTGCTGTACCTCTACACTATCCCCTTTTCGCAACAAAGCTAAGACAAACACTAAACATACATACAAGCCCCTATCCGTATTTTCCTACTTCGTAGTAAGCAAATCAACCTCGATGTGCAATTCCGAAGCCGAGTACCCGCAGTCAAGCGAATAGGTCGTCGTGAGATCCAGATGTGCACATTATCTCAGGTGTAGCATCATCGGACAAAAACATCTCATAAGTCTATGCTCAGAGGAAACCAATAGCAAGAGTCACATTACTCGGACCCCAAGAATGATAAAATTCGATAGCTGATAACAGCGAATATGCTTTATATTTCGTCCATGCGTTGCGTGCGTTACTTAATATGCGTAGTCTCGTTTGAGCGCAGCAAAATAGATTGTAATTCCTGCCCACCCACCAGCCGCGAAATGCTCCTGCCCTCCTTTGACTATGTAACGCCTCGTAAATGAACGAACGGACGAGAGGAACAAAAACTGTACTTTCAATGTCTCTCCCCCGTACAATTAGAAAAAAAAGGAATCCACTCCCAACCAGCCTGTTATCTGGTTTCTCGCTCCGTATGCAATGTTCTGTGTATATGTATATATATAGTTGAGATAGGGAAGAAGAAAAAAAGACCATCAAAAAGCTGACCGCAAATACAAGCGAAATCCAAATGACGATAAACATCTCTCGTAAAACTCGTGGAGCCTGGAAGGCGGCGCAGACGGCAAGTATTCTCGCTAATGGGGGCCGAAATAAGCAGACGTGACGAATTAGCTGCTGTCGTGATTGGTTGGCCGAGTTTCGGTGTGGACGATAAAACATTTGCGTCATGAACTCGTGTTCGAGTAACCTCGAGCCTCAAGGTGTTAGTTGTGCTGCCGTTGAGGGAACCCATTCATCGGATATATGTAGGTAGCTTGGCTTGTAAGCCCAGCTGAACCACAAAAGCCCGCGCTAACTCCCCAGATCATTTCTCAATCTTGGAAAATTAAGAATCCCGTCTGGCTCACCCACAGCTCTCTTCTTCTCTAAGCTCGTTGGAAAGACATCAAATCGTTACTGTATTTCATGAAGTTTCTTTATAGGCACGAAATCAAAACCCCCAAGCCCTCACAACGCCAAATTCAGACGAAGAAAAAAAAGCGAAAAAAGCAGGAGCCTTAAAGGACATGGTCAAGATCATGGCATATTGTGATACGCCAATCGCCTTCCATCAGACCAACGATAGGTGATTTGCTATTGGCAAATCTCAGCAGAGGCCAGCGTATTGCTTTTCGAGAAACCAGGAATAGCTATGTGAATACCTCCTCTCGGACTGAGTGCTGCAGTTTGCTGAACTGAATCTCGGCGGGGTTGAACTGCTGTGCATACTTCACGCCCGCAGGGAAGTACCCCGGCTCATCCTCCAAGTCGTCATGCTCATAGTAGGCCGCTCGAGGATCCGCTCGACGCGCAGAGCTATTGGGCATCGGATAAGACGTCTTCTTAGAAATCCTAGGCGAGTCCTCCGAGTAGAAGGCTTCTTGAACCGGAATAGCTTTCCTACTTGCGCTGACAGTGTACCGAGTAGTTTGAACAGGTACGTCCTCCGGAATATCCTCTGGAGATTGTGTTCGTCGAGTACGGCGGTGTCGACGTTCTCGATCCCGATCATCCTCCGATGATTCATCCGTATACATGCGAGTAGGGCGCGAGCGACTGCGTTCTCGACCAAGGTCGGAATCCGGCATCCAAGTGGACGCGCGTTCTATGCCAGGGGGTTGGGGACGAGAGTAGGCCTCCGTGCTAGAGCGGCTAAGAGGTGGCATTCGATGCGATTCAGACTGTCCTGATATGGGAATAGAGTGAGACTTGGTGAAAGAAGGCACGATTCGAGCACCGGATGCAGGCGAGTCCACGATGATGGCTTCCTTAGATGGACTCGATTTCTTGTGCGATTTCTCTTTCGAAGGCCGGGAAGTGTCATGAGACATGCGGCGAGGTCTCCCTGATGATCTCTTCACGTCTTCGTCTAACGGCGCATCTCGAGAATTAGCCGCAGGAGGGGGTGCGAAAGGTGCAGCAGCCGCGGGTGGCGGTGTTGGCACAGCAATCGGGGCTACGTGTCGGACGCCGGCGAACCCGTCGGCATGGTATGTCTGTGCTCGACTGAGCGCCGGAGGTTTAGCACCTGATCTACTCAGGTACCGAATCGCGTTATCCAGATTTGCCGAGTTCTTTCTCTCGCGGTCTGTTGTCGGTGTCGGTGCTGGCGGCGCCGCTGCTGGAGTTTCCTCATACTTTTTGCTGCTGCTCGACTTCTTCTTCTCTGGCTTGGACGACGCGGATGTGAAAACGGCCTCCTCATCTTCTCCTGGAAACGGTTCCGTGTAAGGAGGTTGTTTGTGACGGCGGTGCTTGTCGTCTGACTCTTTGCGACGGTCTTTGTCAGCCTTCTTCTTGTCTTCTTTTCGGTCCTCTTTGCGTCGGTCCTTTTCTTTCTTAGCTGCTTCCTTCTCCCTTTCTCTCTCCCTCTCCTTCATCGCTTCGCGCTCTCTTAGCCGCTCTTCCCTTTCCCTTTCTCTTGCTCTCTCCTGTTGCCGCGCCCATTCCTTATCGTCTTCACGCCTTCGACGGTCGTCATCTTTCCTAGTTCTCTCTGTTCTTTCTCTGTCATACTCATAGCTCGCGGTTTTTCTCGCAGAGCGAGGCTTCTCATCAAAACCTCTCCCATAGAGATTTTCATCCCAGGATCGCGAAGGAGGGGTATGGCCGTAGACATTGTGGGGAGACGTGCCAAAGGTGCTAGGCCGCGGCTCGGCGTGGTGGACATCATAATACTTGGTTTCGTGACGTTTCGAATTACGAGGTGATGAGGTAGTAGTCGAGGCCATGCCTCTAACCTCTTTTCTCAACTCTTCCAGCCTAACTTTTTCATCATACCTAGCTCTCTCGGCTTCGTTACTCAGCAACTCATAAGCTTGTTGAACTTGCTGAAACTCCCGCTGCTTGTCCTCCTTCAACTGAGGGTCCTGGATTTTGTCGGGGTGGCATTTCAAGACCAACTTCCGATGGGCGGATCGAATCTCTGCTAGTTGAGCGTCCTTGGATACACCAAGAGCCTTGTAGGGGTCGGGAGGTAGCGACGACATGATGTTTGACTGTTGATGCTGTTGAGGTAAGAGTTTGGAGAAGGAAGCTTTTGCAACCGTTCTAAGAAGATAAATCGTAGGTTTGTTGTTTGGAGGCAGTCGCTAGGACGACCAGAAAAGACGGTGACGAGTGAAAGTGGGGAACTATTGCATGGGGACGAGACTGCGGTGAAGCAGATCGGATGCCGATTTGGTTTACGCGCGATGGATAGAGACAGATTTGGTCAAGGTAGGTTATGTATGCGATAGTAACAAAAACAGTGATGGTAATAGTAATAATAATAATAAATAATACAGGTTTGGGCCGCTTGTATCGCAAGGGACCTAAATAGGAAGAGAATGGAAAAGATGGAAGTCAGATTCAATTAAGAACTGACTTGACCTCGAGAAACAAGCTCGGGCGTGTTGAAGACCAGACCATCGGTTAACAGTCGGAAAATGGTCGATCGAATGAAAGATGGCGTGTATATCTTGTCGAGTGGCTTGATGAGGTCACGGAATATGGGGGGTGAATTTGTAAGAAGAAGGAGGGTAAAATGGGGGAAGGATAATGATGATATTGATAGATGGGTTGGGGGTGGGTTAAGAGAAAACGAGGGAAGGGACAGAGTGTGTAAGAGAGAGAGGATGCAGAAGAGTCCGAGGCTAAAAGAGTGAGTGACGAGAGCGGTTTTGAGGCTTGACGGGCTTCGACTCTTTTTAGAATAGAGACGGGTAGATCACGGCCTACGAGGTAGACTAACACACTATCAGACTACCAGATTGGCTACTCAAAATACCAGAATACCACCCTCTAACCAGCTGGTTACTGGTAGATGGGACAGATGGTACAGAGATGGGACAATGGTAGAGTTGGGGTGAAGTGGGATTTGGAGGGTGGTGATTTGATTTGAGAGAAAAATCGGGCGATGGCGGATTTTGGGATTTGGTTTAATCTGGATTGGATCGTCTACTACTCTGTCGTTTTCTCCTTCTCCCTTGTCAAGATTTCTGACGAAGCGGGCGGAAGGTTCCTCTCTTTAGCGTCGAATTCCTTGGCCGGGGGGGCGCACTTGGGGGGTACCTGTCGCTAATCGTTGCTAGCGTCGCCAATGTTGCTAATGTTGCTAATGACTGCTAAGGTACCAGGTAGGTATAGCCCGTTACAAGCTGGGTGGGGCACTGCTTCTTTAGCGTGCGGTGCCGTACCGTTACGACGACCTCAAGTGCGTAGTGCAAAGTGCTGCTCCTTCTGAATCTGAAAATATCCAATGGCACAGGTGTACCTAAGTACTCTAGGTGTTCTGGCAGGTACTCTGACAGGTCTGATATTAAGGTACTAAAACGGGGACAGGCCAGCTATCCCTCTGTGTGCTCTCGATGCAACTGCCCTGCACTCTGCACCGCACCTGCGCACTTTGCAAACCGCTACTGCGCTGTAACCTGTGGGTACAGTACAAGGTGGCGGGGCCAGAGAATACTTTTCTCGACGTGGCGAAATAGTACCTTGCCGAGGTACTCGCGATGGAACGAATAAGTACCGAGGAGGTACTGTACTATTATAATCGAGACAAGAACTGAGAGAAAAGGAGACCGAACGGAAGGGCGGAATAGCGGCAGAAAGACTATAAACGGTTTCCGATTCAATCAGCAGGTCCAACGTCGTATCGTGCCTCTTGTCTCTCCTCCTGTGTTCGTCAATTGTCTCTGTCTTCCTCTCTCGTTCTCGCCGAGTGTCTCGTGGATTCCAAAACCAGGGGAGAGCACCAGGAACCGGATTACACTACGTCGGGGTTGTCCAGCAAGTGAAGACTCAACGTTGGTAAGCTGGCTCGGATTATGCGAGTCGGACGGGAATCTTAGGTAATACCGATCCTCTCGAGCGTAATGTGTAATCCTTATGTGATTGTGCTATACGGTAATCCGTACAGTAATAGAAAGCGAGGTAAAGTAATATCGGATACTCTTGCGCGGGATGTCCAGCGTCCGACCAAGACAAATAGAATTTAAGACCATAGGCCGAGTTAGCCAGTTACGTGGTTAAGCGAACGGTCTCGGCCAAGCTGGTGGGGGTTAAGATTCGCAATGAAGGGGTGTATAATAAGTCGATGTGGACTAATAGTTTGGAAAAGCCGGATGGAATGGAGAAAAAAAGAATTGAAGATGATGAATGGGAGCAATGTGATCGATGTGATCAATATGGATAACTTCGCAAGTATAAAAAGGGTAAAAAAATTTATTCGGTGCAACTGTGACCAGCCAATGCGACAGATGAAGAACGATCGATGATGTATAAGTTGAGATGCCTTCCCAAAAATCGAAAAATCGCGCTTCCGGAGAGGACAGAAGTGACGACAATGAATATGCTAGGCATTCGGCAGCTGGGTACCACAAAACCCCGGATCTCGAAGCTGAGGTGGCCTGTTTGCCAATTCTTCAAGAAAGGAACATATGTATGTGTGGTAGAAGAGAAAGCTGGTTCGTAGACAGAGTCGCAAACTGCAAACGCGATCGCTAGCTTGGCTTTTCGTGAACCAATAGCTCTGGGCTAGAACTTCGTGTAAGTCAGAGTCAAAAGAAGTTGGGGTTACTAAAGGAGGTGGCAATGAAGACAACGATGGCAGATCTAGCAAAAACGGATCAGAGACCCGATGCGTACCTATCAGGTAGGTAGGCAGGCAGGGAGTTGGTTCTCAAGGCACGGGGCTCATTTCAGAGTATAAGTTGATATATTGTGATATATTGGGTGCTGACTTTTGGCTCCTCTCCCAGTACCTATACCGAAATGTCGGTCGGAGGATTATTATTCAGAACAATGGAGAAGGCTGCGGGATGGAAAGTGAGGAGAAGTGTATAACTCTACATGGTATGTCTATCTACCTAGTATGGATGATGCATGTATCAAGACCTATGGATGGATGGATGCAAGCCCGTATGGAGTCTTGGTATCACCCAGTTTCAAGACCAAACCAGCGGTGAAGGTCGATATACCCGTCTCCTGCAAGAGCTCCGGTACTTACCAACTCCTCATGGGCTGATGCAAGATGCGATGATACTTCGACCAGAAATTCAAGACGTAGAGAAATTAATAATTGAAGAGCCAGCGGGCAGTGAAAAGGAGATGGTGTATCGTGCTCGGGCTTTCAGAGTGACAACCAAAGTAAACACCAATAGTTATCGCGAAGGCGTATTGCGATGGACGCCTGAAGCTGATCCATTCGCATATCAAGGGGCATAGCCGCCCCCGGTGACTCTTTCTTTATTCTCCGCGTGGAGACTGTTGTCTATAGGATCAATTAGAAACTCGCCATTCGACTGAGGCGATTTCGGATGAATTCGTTATTTACTTCGTTCATTGATATAGGTAAGTCGTTGTCATGACACCCTCCAGGGGGATCCCGCGACTCCGCGGTCCCACCGTGAACCAGACTGTGCTATATAGGTGTTAGTATCTATCTATCCACATGTGTTACCTTGCCTTCTCGCACCGTATTCCTGGCCTGGCCTTATACCCCTTCCGCTTCCTTCACCGGTCTCAGTCCGACTGGCGAATAAAACCATCCGGGTATAGGTAGTATAGGCATTTGACAAGACCGTTAGTTTGACTTGTTACGTATCATTCCTGTCTGCATAGGCGCGACCGCATCGTGGATTGCGCCACGACATCAAACTTCTCTCATCTGATCTATGTCTATATCATATTTCGGTCTGTCACATCGTCGCTGTCCAAGATACACGATCCGAGGCATCGTCAGCGATCCCAGAATTCCAAGGCATTGAAGCAGTAGCAACTTGGCCGTTCTCGTATGGCCGTGACGGATACGATACCTTTCCCCTTTCGTCCTCATCCTGCAGCCAGGTGATACCTAGACAAGCACGTTTGGCTTCTGCGCAGTATGGATTCCCGAACCTGGAAGCATTCATTGGCAACTCGCGCTTATTGGATTAATCCGAGCTATCTTTGCCCAAGTCGAAACTGGTGATAGGCACAGCAGACCCAATGGACCCCGCGGCCCTCGACCAGTCAGTTTAGTCCACAAGCTCCATTGTTAGTGTTCTCCCTGGTTGCATCGACCACTGCAAAGTTGCTTGTCACACTCGCATCTATGTGTAGAAGAAAGAGGTTAACTGCTTATGTGGTCCCTTCCGACGAAATCGGGAACCAATCGAGCTCTAAACATAAAAGCAGGTACGTCTGAGTTGCCGCATGGGCCTGATAGAGAGGATGGTGTGCGGCGACATGGTGAGGAGACGTGATCACGATCTATAGGTGCTTACGGCTTGCAGCACTCTCCTGGCCGAGCCTGCATGGATAAGGTTGCACGAGGCCTCACCATCTGGCCACGAATTGCCCAGAGATGGTGTGGTGAGATGAAGTGGTCCAGAGGCCAGGCGGGGGGAGGATTGGTCTAAAATGGTGGGTTAAGGTCAAGGGAGCTAATAGGGGACCTCATTGGAAGTCGAATTTAGACCAATGGCTCGTCAGTTAGTGGATGTAAATCGGTGCTATGGAACAAAGAACAAGCCCACGCAGCCCACGCTTCGGCCAGAGCCTTAGACAGGTGGACTAGGTGGGGCAAGTGGATCGAAGCTAACGAGAACATAAACTAGATCAAGCTATCGATAGAAGTCTTGTATCGTATTAGTCCAGATATTCGTGGGTCAGTGGACTCATTTTCGTTCTTATGCGCTCTCCTCGGGGTTTGGGAAGGACGTATCTGGCTAGCTCGCCTACCGAATTCTACTCGACTGGTTCATAGGGCACTCCACCCCGAACCTGTCGAGCCAGTCTCGGCGGTCAACGTGTGTGAGCTCAGGGATGGTCGATCATGCAGCTCTCAGCGAATCGATGTGCTCAAATGTGAGACCGGCTTAACCTTCCACGGATCTTCTGGATTCCTTACTTAATCCAAGAAGATCCCCTCCACGATATTCGAATTTAAAAGGCTCTGAGAGCCTCAACAGAGAAAGGAGGGTTGATACTCTGGTTCATCGGTGTGAAAAGCTTTGCTTATGAAATTTCGTTTATCTCTCTTTCTCAGCTACCAGGCTGCTAGTAAATCTCTCCGATTTGTCTCATATCGGGATGATGTGCGTTATTATCCTTGCGCGTCTCCACGATCTTCCTTCTCGTCTACGTATGAGGCGGGGGCGGGGTTACTAGTAATGATGAGTTCATGGTCAGATCGTCAAGCCATATCTGCACGAATGAGCGATAGATAAAGCCGTCATCCTTCTTCTCTAAGAGGAAAGTGACCGACTTGCAGCACGAGATCGCCTTCGAAAGCTTTAAAAGCTGATGAAGCATCGAGGAATTCCCCCTTTCCCCTTTTGCCCCTCGCAGCCCTCGACAAAGTTGTCGTCATCTACGGCACCGCCCGCTTCCTTCTCTGGTTGATCCCGGGAAATCTCTTGGAGCTAACATGAGACCGGCGGATTAACTAGACCAGCTTTTCGGGAGGTGTGCCTGACGATTTCCCGTCCACGCTGTAACATAATGCAGGTTGGTTATCACTTTAATCGGCACATGGTCGGTGAGGGGATAAGCATGCGCGCTCCTCACGATATTCACGGGCAGAACGGGAAGTTCTGTTGCTAGGTGAGGCTTCGTTAGTATTCTAGCCCCCGACCTTAGGTATGCAGCTGCGTCTCCTTGTTCGCTCCTCCATCCCATCTCCTGCATATATCAGCTCTACAATTGGTAGATGAGTAGGCATGTTTCCATCTATCCCGGCTAGGATTTGCGGTCGTGTCTCCTTGCAGCTAGGTATTTAGACGTCTCAACTTAGTCCAATCACTCGCATGGGAGGACCCGCAAGTCAAGGAGAAGGAAACGGTGCAGGTGATAGCTATTTTCTCATTCATCTATTCTATTCGTGCTATGCATGTACGTACATACGCTAGATAGCCAAATAGTATCCTCTACTGCGTGCCTATATTCAGAGGTATTGGACAGCTGCAGATGCCCGCCCCCTTACCCCCCCCCCCCCACTTCTTGCATCGTGATAGGTAGGAATTAATCATGCAGGAAAACACAGAATTATCATTGGCTGTTAACATCACACAACGAAGCGCTCTACCCTACCGAAAAGGTCCCTTTAGAGGACACTGCCAATCTAGTCACCTATACTTGCTGAATATGAAGCCTGAGGAAATATATCTCGATGAACGCTACATCTTGAATGTCTAGAATCATGTAGCTAGTCTACAGTTTTGGCCATGTGGCTTCACAGTTCTTTGTAGAGCGACCTATGGACACGGCCTTCCCCGCGTTTGAGCGCGTCGCTCTCGTATCAGGGCCTCGTCAACCCTTGCCGTATCAGGGTCTTCATATCCACGTAACTATACTGCATATAACTTACATCCGTGGCCTAGGAGCCCGCTACTGCATCACAAGCAATATGTATGTATGTAGTCTTGATGCTGTGGCTACTCCGTATTTACTTGACAAGTTAGGACTATACGTAAGGAATAAGGGAGTGGATTCGCATTCGCAGCCAGGTATCCAGTCAGTGATTGGCCATCCGTTCTCCTGCAGATCAAATGTGACCCTGATCTACCGAGTGCCATTGGAAGCAGAGCCTACCTGCATACCGGCTATCGGACGTGAGATAGAAACTGCGGAATTTCTACGATCTTCTCCCTGCCTTACCTGTCTAGCTACTTAGCTACTTACCCGAGTCACTGTACCGAATGTCATATGCTATAAGAGGTAGTTATTGCCAGCGAATACCGATTGGCGCGCTCTCTGTTGCTAGTTCGATGGATGTACTTCATTGGATGGAATGACCTTCCGCCGCCCCGTAGGACTTTACTCTTACCCTACATTTGTTTTGTATGTTTGCCGGGTGTCTAGTCTGTGATATTCCGAGCGACGGACGATCTTGAACGAAGAACCGTCTGATCTCAGCTTCAGCTCATCGTTCAGCTACAGTCAAAATGGTAACTCCTAACAATGCCTTCTTTTCTCTTGGGTAAATTAGGACAAATGAACACAGGCAATATTACAGACCCATAGACAAATATTGCATGGCAAATACCCATAGAACGATGTATGCTAGCTGGACCCAGCCTCGGCTTCTATCGGCGCGTAGTTTCGTAAGGCCTCAGGCTGACAGCCCACCCATGTCTGGGGGCCACGAGGTTGTAAACACCAACAAACGTAGATCCGAGACACATTGACTACCGACGTAGTGGCGTCTCTTTTTTCTCCGGCGCATGACATAGGAGAACTAAGACAAATTGCAACTTTGGAATGAGGCATGATAGCATAGACGAACATTTCAGTCACGAGGAGGCCTCTCGTCGTAATCGTAACTGGGGTCCTAGGCTTGCGGAGAGTAACTAATTGCCACGCTTCTAATATTTGCCTGGCGCTTTCGCGCGTAAGGTACGCCAGAACCATTCCAAATACTTACTGGGAGAGGCGAAAAAAAAGGAAACTTGTAATGCATCCACAGGGAGTGATGAGTGTGCAAATAAACAAGGGCTGCCGTGCTAAATACGTCGTTCGTAACTAGCGCACTAAAACTTGCACCGCCTGGAGAATCCAATGGTGATCCCTTAAATCGCATATTCGAACTGATGTGTTAGGGTTCCAGATTCTACGTGATTTACGGGGCACTCGGGAAGCACTGCCCCAATACACGCATAGGCAAGAAGCCACTATGGCCGGGAAGTTCGGAGTGGCCAAAAGCTTAGGAATTATATTCCCAGACAGGTAGGTCGATGTCAACGACAATTGGCTTGTGTAACCTCCGAGGCCTTGAATGCGGATAGCTTGTTGCCTGGATGGCGCAGTTGACGACACACGTCTCCCTGCGTCCGAGTCGGCCGATGAGCCCGGGCCCGTCACTCCGCGCAGATGTCGGACTCCCACTAAGGCCTCGGGTGCCGAGCCCCGGACTCGCCCCTGCTGACATGGCTCCTGTTATACCCTGCGATTTTGGTTGAGCCATCATCGCAGACCCGTCAGCCACAAGACTTACCGGGATTGACGACGTAGACGGAAGTGGCGACGAGGATGATGGCACTTTGCTGCCATCGTTGTCTAAGGGCATTCCACCCCTGGCTGTGAGATCGACTAAGCAGTTCTTCTCATTCCCTACACCTGGATCCTCCCATTGGAACGTACTATCCAACTCCTTGTATCGTACGAACTTGTTCGATAGGTCCCAACGCACACGTTCTACTCCACGTGCGTCGTGAACGTGTCCGCAGAGCGCGAGGCGAGGTCGTACTCGCCACATCGCTTGTCGCAAGCTCTCGCATCCGACTGATTCCCTATGTCGTGACTCGTCCCTGTGGGTTCGCGCAGGTCCGTGTGTGATAAGTATGTCGGTATCAAGCGGGATATCCTTCCATATACCTTCAGCAGCGACAGAATCCGAGAGAGGGTATTGGAATGCCCAGTTCCCACACGAAGGAATGTAAGGAGAACCGAATACACTGAACGTGGTTCTTGGGCCGGATGGAGACGTGAGCCGGATCACTTGACTGGAATGCTGGAGATAGATGAGAGGCTTGGACTGTGTCAGAAGATTCTGGCAATCGACAGGGTTCTGGGGCGTATTGTTATGAAAATAGTTCCCAAACTGCTCGAAGAAGTCGGTGTCTAAGGTTAGATCATGATTTCCGGCGATGACTAATTTGCATTCGAAGTCGGCTTTCTCCAGCCACGTCACCTGTTTCCTGAGTTCGCTGAAACTCCCCTGGTTTGTCAGGTCTCCGCAGTGGATAAGAACATCGCCCTTTGGCAGTTTCACCGTACAATTGTGCGTGTCTGATATACAGACAAAGCGTGTTCGTCGAGTCCGCCGCGGGATTGCCGAAAAAGACTCGGGCGAGCTATTCATGATGGCAGATATTCCAGTATGGTCCTTTTTGAGTCATTATGTTCAACGTTTGTTGGGATTCATAAGATCAGCCTAGAGAGGCGGTGTCTGCATTGATCAAGGAGGCGTTGGTGTTCGCCAGGCAACGATGTGTTTCCAAATTATGGATGAATGTAGGTACCAATGAAGAAATAAAACAAATACATAGCCAAGGTACATAACTAATGATCCTTTTGACTTGTTTCATCGGGTTTCCAACTGATGATGCATTTTATCTGAGTAGGTATGTTCAACGTTGAATATGAGGTTGTTGATGAAAAGTATCAAAGTAAATATTATGATATTAATTGGAGTGTCGTGTTGGATAAAATGTTTAAAGCTTAAACGCGAACGTCGAATAAAAAAGGCCAGGGTCGAGGTTGCATTGGGTGCATTGAATGCATTCTAGAATACAGTTGGAAAGAACAAAGGGTTAACTGTGTAACAGACAGAAGAATCAGCATAACTCAATGTTAAACACAGTGCGGAAACTTCAGAAAGTGGCCCATCTGACCCCGCGCCAGCGGTAACACAAGTAGCACAATACCAATGAGCCGGCTAAGATCCTACCGAACCTTGCTATATCCAGCGTATCCAAGCCTAGCGTAGTATGACAACGTTGTATTTTTACAGTGCATTGATTAAATTCAGGGGTGTCCGTGCTCAGCAAGTTGACCTTATTTTATTTCGTGCAGACGGATATCTCATTATCGAGATGGTAGCTCAATAGTTTAAGCACGTCCTACATGAGTTACCTAGATTCATTGTGAGGGTCTCCATAGGCGTAGCTAGAGATGATTAACAGGATTAATCTGCATACGCATAGTTGGTGTCAAAAGATTAAATGTATAAAAAAAGACAATAAATCCGTGATTGAAAGAGCCATGGCCATACAAGCAGACAAGCCATCATCACATACAATAAAGCGGTATGAGCAATCGCCTACATCTATCTACGGAAACCCCGGTAAGTACCTAAATGAGGACTTTATGCGTGGTTCCCGATTGCCTACCGAGCCCAGTGAGCCATGCTAGAGGCAGGTACCAACCACCGGCACTAGGCAATTCAAGGTTTAAGTTGATGAATCTAACAAAAAGAAGTACGTACAATTGGAAGAGTTGACCAATCCCCTTTTCCTATGTACCTTGGTATTCTCATCGCCTCAACCCCCGTCCGCAGAAAGCCAGAACCACATTATTTGCTTCTAACACGCCACGACGCTCCTTAAACCATCCCAGCCATTGGCCTTCCGTGCTCTCCACGTATTTTTTTTCTTTTCGCACTCATCCGTCCGTGACCTGTCTCCTTTTAGGAGTCCTGCATTTGCGTCTGCACCCTCATTGAGAGCAATTGCCCCATTGGATCGAGACCAGGTCGCGTGAAGTAGTCGTCAGGGAACGCAGGGAATGAAGGGGTTTACGTGTAGGAAGTCGAGATTGTTAAGATTGCCATTCTCCGATTCGCATCGCCAGCAACATCCAACAGCCGTCCGGTATCTCACCACACAATTCCCCAATACTTAGTAGGACAAGAAGAACAACTACAACAACAACTAGAACAGGGGACTAGGAAGAACGTTGAAAGATTAGGTGGAATCTAAAAGTTGCGTCTTATCTTTTTCGACCTGTGGTAGACGACTAAAACCGGGAGCTTGTCAAAAAAGTCGCCAAGATAGGACGAAGATTGAATCAGTGGGAGCTAACTTAGATCAAACCCCGTTTTTCGTCGTCAACCTCCTTGTCCGTCACTCTTTTTCCTTCGGTTACTTGTGTGGTATATCGTTTTCATCACCCTTTGCCGGATCTAATTTGGTAGCTGCTGGCCACAGCTCTCTCTTGTCGCGTCTTCCATCGTCACCGACCTCACTACGATTACCGTCACATCGGAACTCTTTTTTCCTTTTCTCTCCCCCCTTCTACCTCCGTAGTCGCGTAACCACGAAACAACAAAAAGGATATCATCAAGCGTCAACCGACCAACATCATACTTTTTAAGTTCCCTAATCCGGTTACACGCCGTCACACTGGCCGGACCTAGGTAGTCGATCGACAGCGTCTCGAGTTCCACGAGGGCGCCGTTACCCGTGGCTGTCGCTGGCCAAACCTCGAAATGGCAGCAGTCTCGGGTACTACCACACTTACTCCGCCGGGCAGCTCCCATGCAGACCATTCTGGATGGAATCACGTATCCGGCCATCATGACGTTAGTTTCTTCTTTCTATTAACCCTCAAACCATTCCTGCCGAACTTTTGCGACGACTTATGGTCTCTATCGCATCGCGTTGCTGCTTTATCAAGCTCTAACTAACTCGTGTTGTTTCGTCTTGTACAGAGCTCTATGACGCATAAGTCATCTACGGACTGGTATGAAACCAATGGATCCATAAAAGGAGCCCACCATTATGGGAATGGCGACTCTTCCTACGACCCATACTCGGCAGATAATTACCGGCCAGGCAAAGGTTAGACTCCTTTTCTACCAACCGACTTCATCCCGCCACAAGTCTATTTCTGTGCGAAATCAGGGCTAGTAAGGTGAGAACATCCACTAACTGAGAAATTAGATCCTCGTACAAGCCAATCGAACTCGATATCCGATCACAAACGCCCAAACGCCGACGTTTCTCCCTCTGGGCCTGAGGATGACGAACATTCGAAATGGATTCACAGGGACAAATTAGCCAGGATAGAGAGCCAGGAACTTCAAGCTGCCGGTATTATCTTGCCCAAGTCACGGGCTCAGAGCAGATCAAGACGGGATCGGAGTCAAGAGAAGACGAATGGCCACCGTCGAGCTACGGACGCTTCAGACCATCCTGTCGCGAGATCTCGAAAGAATTCGGAGCTGAGTTTGGACAGAACTCCCGACATTGAGATTCCTAGCTGGGATTTGCGCCTCCCCGAGGAGATAGCGGAGGATCCTGGTGAGTATTGGGTGACGAAAGAGAGCGGGAAGTCGCGTATTCCTGTGGCGAAAGTGAGTCCGGCGCCGATACCTGTCGACTACCTCGAGCGAGATGCGCCTGTTACGCGAAAGTCTAGCTTCGCCATGCTTGACGAAGAAGCATCGATTGCGATACCGAAGCCGCGATCACGAAGTGGTAGTGCCAACATTCGTGATGAGGCTCCAAAGCTTCAGTCTACAAAACGTACTGTCACTGAGGGATCGCCTAAGAAGTCAACGGGAACTAGGAAAGCCACAGTGGGCTCGAAAACAACCACACAGGGTCGACCTAAGACTCGGTCAGGCCCTGGCGCTCGTAGTGGTTCCGCAACACGGCCAACCACCAGGTCCGGCGAAATGTCACCTATCTCTAAGGCCGCGCCGGAGGGTGATCCGCCATGGATGGTTTCCGCATATAAGCCCGATCCTCGCCTACCGCCTGATCAGCAGTTGCTTCCCACCGTTGCGAAACGACTACAGCAAGAGAAATGGGAACAGGAAGGCAAGTTCGGGAACATATATGACAAAGAATTCCGTCCCCTTAATGAAGAGGGCTTCTTAAGACCTCCGGAGTTGGAAAAACCAAAGGAAGTTGAGGAGAAGCAGGAAGAATGGCCGCTGCGACCTGGTGCTAAGAGTCCGAACACGAGCCGTCCTGGTACTAGCTCTTATTCGACAATGCCCAAAATACAGGGTGCGCCTGCTATGAGCCCTCTTGCTAGTCCTCTTTCGATGCAATCACCGCAAGCTCAACCTGAACCAAGCGTTAGAGTACCGACGCAGGTAGAGGAGCCCCAGGAAGATTCGAAGAAATCAGGTTGCGGTTGCTGTATCGTAATGTGACCAGTCCGGTACGGCACGCATTAATTTGGTCTTTGGTCCTCTTCTACGGTTTCCAAAGCACACTACCAACGTGGATAAACGCCGAGATTAGACCTGCACGATGTTACGACTCTCCAAGACTTTTATCACATTCAGCGCTGTTTCATTTCACCCACACCTATATCCGATACTCGATCCTCTCCTATGTTTGCGGATTACCCTGTCATCTCAAGACCCAGTCTCCCCTCGGTCCACCAGATGCGAATGTGCAGGGCAGACTAGAAGTCCCGGTATTTGCAATGTGCTTTTTTTTTTTTAATTTTAGCTTTCTATTTCGGTGTTTGCAAAAAGGCTACAGGCGTTCGCAGGTTTGGACAGTGTGCTGGAGTAGCAGGGCGCGCAAGCCGTTCACCTTACCGATGGAGTCCCAGTTGCCTTACCGTCGGCACCTATGTTTGAGTTACCACTGTATAATTTGCCCTCTACTTCATTCTGCTACAAGCTATTAGTGGTCGCCTATGGGCGATAAGGGGTCTCACTACCGTTTTGTTTTGAGTAGGAAGGACGTTTTGAGGAGTTCAGATTAAGGACAGATTTGAAGCCGAACCTCCCGAGTGCGCAAAGGCTGCTATAAGAGTGAGAAGATGCGAGTGTTGCGTTGTGTTGCGAGTCGTTAGCTAGGTGATTTCAGATACCCCCCTAGCTGGCAATGGTTACCTCTTAGAGACTCGAGTGAATACAAATTCATATATCCAGTTTGCTGATGTTCTTCGGATATGCCTGATATTTTATTCTGCTTCCTCCGCTAGTATTTCTTTAGTCGCGAGGTTTAAACTTCATGGATTCACCCTACTAAATCCGTTATAGATCCTCGAGTTTGTCTAGGTGGGTAGATAACATCCAGGCACATGCCCCTTTCTGTTACATAGTTCAAGCTAACATTTCCTGAAGGTAATGAATTGCCATCATGTGGATGGATTAATCAGACCTTCTGGAAGATCCTTTAGGAGAAGTCTTGAGAAGCCCCCAACAGCCATGAGTTACTTGCACAAGGGGCTCATAACTTGACCTACAGTTTACTCAGCATACTTAGGTACTTACCTAAACAAGCAGATAGTGAAAACGATGTCTTTCATTACCTTCGGCATCGGGCCCTGACAACAGGCCCAGATAAAACCTTGTGCTTCTAACAAATCTTTGACCCTTGTGAATCACTTACTTCTCTAGGTTCTAGAACCTACGTGACTACTTCATAGCTTAATTGCCCATGGCAAATATCATATTTAGGAAGATCTCTGCTATTCTCCCTAGCATTATCTTAAACCATCAAGTAAGGATAATATACGACCTATTTCCCAAGGCTCGACTTTCGGCAGTGATCCTCTTAGAGTACACACATGATCTGATACTATCGCCAAGCTCTAAACACTTCATAATTACCCTTATTCTGATCACTGCTAGGTATCAATACCATGGCCCTCGGAAACTCTCTCAAACAAGGTCGTCCGAAACAGACATGCTCAGAGAAGAAAGGGTCCGTCCTACCATACAGATTGTTGTCTCGCGAGGTTTTTGGGACGTGTGCCTCCCTCACGCCAGAGAGTCGCGTACGGTCGTCTTACTTTGTCTATCCGCCCACCCTCGGCTTTTCCGGAAGACAACGACGTCCAGAGGAGCCATTAAGCGACGCAGAACTATTTAGCAGTTGTGGGGAACCCTTAAGCGATGAAGGAGAAGATAGCCAGGAGGTTGAGAAGGACGTGGAGAACCAGAGAAGGAAACTTCAAGAGTCAGTAAAGGAGCTGTGGCCTGTCTCGCGTAATATTGAGTTATGGGTTTACATGCTCCTGATTTTGCTCATCATTGGGTTTGTCATTGGCGTTCTGATTGCTATTGCCTGTTCCGCACTTCGATTGGATACCGTATGTCACGCATTGCGTCGACTATATGCGAGTACCTTGGAAGATACGGGCAAATATTACCGGCGTCATCGAGTAATAGCCATTTAGTCCAAAGATTAAGACAGTAGTCTAGCAAATAGGTTATTAGACCATAATGGCATCCCTTCGATTGAAAGTTCTCTGAATGCAATGTTGGGTTCTACAATCCGGGAATAGATAGCTACCAGTCTAATAAACGTTGTTTTGATTAACCGATCCATGTATACCTATGACATTGAAGGTGCTTTCATGCCTCTTATGTTTGTTTATCTAAGCCATTTGAGTGTAGGTCATTCATAATATGGATCGGATCTAACCTGGGAACAAATATTAAGGGTTAGACTGACAGACTGGGTATATATTACAGCTTCTGGGAATTTTACGCCTACGACTAACACTATCTTACACATGCCTTAACATAGGAAACATACCTAAAACTGTTCTAATAAAGATAATTATTGCTACTAGTTGTTTGGGATTCCTTGCAAGGCAGACTTCACCGCTTATTGAGCTGTCATGAAAAAACACTCAATGATTAGTGAATATCAGTCCTCCAGGTGACTTCTTAAGGGCTCGACCTAATATTAATATTATCATGATTCTAAGATATTCCACTGTTTGATACATCCTAGGCACAAGTTGCAGCTGCCTGGCTGAGGTAAAGACATCACCAAGAGAACCTAAGGAAAATATGTCTTGACCATTCCTCTCCCATGGCCCCCTTTCACCTAGCGTCAAAGGGGATTTGAAGCTTCGAAATTCAAGGCATGCACTATCATTAGGCACCTTGATTACTCTGGTCATGTTTGTAGCCTCTGATCAACATATAAAATCCTGATCGTACGCAAGCCTCGAGCATTCTTCCTGCTCCACACAAACCATCCCATGAAACTTGATAGCACTGTGAGATTTTGACCCACTAAGACTCATATTATATCACCATGGATCATCTATTTGATTCTGTACTCAAAACCAGTGGTACATCTCCCACTCTGAAGCCTCCCGTTGCAACTATGGCTGAAGACCTCTTAACTCCTATGACACCTGCGCCAGGCTCAGCCAGCTCGCCAGCTAAGAGCGACTTTCCTGCTTGGTCTACCGCCAGCTCTCAGACTGGCACCCCTACCATCAAACCAGGTGAATATCGGGTTTCGCCTTGGTCTGGCAATATGCCTAGTAATTCTAGCAATGCGACGCCTGCCATCGAGATCGGAGGGGCCGCACAATTTGGCAAGCACGGCGACACCCCGACAGGAGGCTTTCCAGCCACGAAGACGCACGCAGAGAAAGATATTGACGACTGGGAGATCCTCACCAAGGAAGGCGATGCTGTCGACGACTACCAGAATTTAGCTCTGGCAAAGACACCCTATGGCCCTCCATATAGGCCTGACTCCCATTTCGGAGGGAGACCCCCAGCTGCTCCCCAAGGCATATCTTATCACCCCATGTTCTCTGCCGCCGGAATGGGGCGCGGCGGGCAACCTGGTAATCCCCTCTTCGGCGCCTCTAAACCTAAAGTTGAGATGCGAAAGGCCGGTCTTCCCGGCGCTCCGCCCATCCCAGGCTTCCCAATTTACCCTGATATCTTTGACATGTCTAGAAATATCAATCTGCTCATGAACGAGCGCCAGGAACTCCGTGCGGAAATCGCGAAGCTTGGCGGTTTGGTACATAAATCGGACGATCAGCAACAATTTTGTTTCCAAAACTATCAGATCGAGATGGATAATAAATTAGAATCACACAAGAACGAAATCAACTGGCTCAAGGACCTCGTCACAACTCCCTCCTCGAAGGGAGGGTTGCGCGAACTCACTATCGGACTGGGCGAGATTCAGCGAGAGCAGAACAGGATCAAGTCGATGGTCGACACGTATACGAATAGAATAACAGATACCAAGCCATTGATTGACGACCTATTCGCCAAGCTGAAAACCTTTGAGCAACAGTTGCAGGCCAAGACCGACAACGCCGACAACGCCGACAAGGCTAGCGATACCACGGACAACACCAAGAAGACCAGCAAGCCCAAGAAGAAAGCTAAGCCGAATGTGGACCAAGAGCGGCTCAGAGCGACGGAGAACGACGTCGCTAACCTCAATGATGACATGGAAGACTTGGTAGGGTGTATGGAAGAACTGGAGGCTGATTTTCACGGCATGAAGAAGGAAGTTTTCGACCGGTTGTCACACTGTTTTAACCATTGCCAACACGAAGCGGAGTGTGGCCTGGATGGTCTATAACATGAATAGACATCGGTGGACGGAGTAGCGATCTAGATTGGGGTTACGTCTCTTACTTCGCATAGGCTGAAGCGAGACGGCGAGAGAGTAGCGTAGTGGGATTTCAGACTCGCTATCGACTTATTTAGTAGAGGTAGCATAATAAAGTTGCGTGCACACTAAGAACACCCGAGGTTTCGTGGAATTTGTATTAACTCTGTTTTTGGTCGTCTATATCGGTTGTAGGTACATTGTCGGGTACTGGAGTGGTGTCTTCTTTAGACGCTTCTTCAGACGATATTCCAGGTGCTTGAGCTACTTGCTCAGTCGCCGGTCTCTCTAATAGCGTCTCTCCCATCTGTCGGTACGCCCTATCCGCGTACGCAAGCGCAACACTGCCACCGCCTCTGGAATCTCCCGGTATTACATCCATGACTTCGCCTATGACAATAGCATGGTGATCAAAGTCGCCGTCCACTGGGGGTGATAAATGGTGGTACTTGCACTTTAACACGTGTGAGATGCCTCGGCCCTTCAAGACTGGCAACGTACCTGCGGGTGGTACTGCGACGTCTTTTATATAGCCCCCTGACTTCACCGTATCAAGGACTTTCTTTCCGTAGTCTCTTGCTAGCTTCCACTCTTTCTGCCATTTCTCTCGCCCTAGTACCCGGACACCAAGACTCTGCAGTCCCTCGAGGACCCCTAGACCACTCTCATGTGTATCTGCGGGTGTCTTCTCTGTCTCTCTAGCTATCTCCTGGGTAGCTGGAGGTCTGTTACCTCTAGTAAAAAGATCGGCGATCCTTGCGCCGTGGTTGTCGCCACTGAGGATATGGGCGTTGAACTTCCCGCACTTTGCAAGGGCCTTATAGGTGGTGCTTGGTAGAGTGATGTTAAAGGTCACTCGAGGGACGGGATTGATGGAGAGCGAGGTGAAAGAGGAGACGGTCATAGCTCGAGGAATTGGGTTTGGTAACTTCTCGTCTAACAATTCATCGACCTTTGCAAGGTTGCGTGTATTCTCGAGGGTCGTTATCACGACTACGGGGTGAGGTAGTTGTCGCATGACGGAGCGCACGGGCTGAGCAAGCCCATGCTCCGGAGGGTTTGTCCCATAAGGACGAGATCGCGAGGACGGGTCTACGAGAGGTAGACGTCACGTTAGATAGAGTACCTGTATGAGCTGGACGCAAACATATATCTGTATATCTCACCTCCGGAGGGTTTGGCCTGATCTTCACTCGCTCCCCAAAGTCTCCTCCACGTCATAAAGCTCGCCCGAGCTCCCGGCGTCTTATTTGTCTCGTGGAAGGAGACATGTCGTGGTCTTGCAGACTCCAAAGCCAACCGTAGACCACGGAGACTCTTCATTTCAGTCCATTGAAGGCCAATGCTAAATTTTGGAAGGGGGAATAGGATCTTCCTATGTCGTCAGCGTTGTGAAATAATTAAGAAGCCCTAGCACCGATAAGAAAGATAACCATGCTGATAAGATAAGAATGACGACGTCAATTCGCCAAGTTCGCCAGCCGGAACCGGTCCGGCAAATCAACGAGATCCAACCCAATTGAAATTTCCAACTTGACCCCACTAAAAAGTGAAGCTTTAGACATACCTAGAATTACCAGCAAGGAAGTCGCAACGAAAGAGCCATTCGGCGAGGCCACACGAACCTATCAACCTCTCTCCGAACCATCATACGGGCATAACACCTCCTCGCAAGCCGCAATGGCAACCCGACTCCCTAGCGCCCTCCCACGGCGTCCAACCGCCCCCTTAACGTCCTCCTCTCCATCCATCCTCTCACCAACTACCACATCCTCGCTCAAACCCTCCCACACGCCACTCTCCCACACGCCCTCCCGCCCCGCGACCTTAATCCGGCGCCCCAAACGCCCCTACACCTTCACGCAGCTAGTCCAGCAAAGCGACGGCTCGACCTACACGATGCGCACGACGTCGCCGTACGCTCTGTACAAGAGCACGAAGGACACGCGCAACCACCTGCTGTGGCAGCCGTCCGACCGCTCCCTCAAGAGCGTCGAGGTCGACGAGGCCGGCAAGCTGGCCGCTTTCCGGTCACGCTTCGGGCGAGGCTGGGATATCGAGAAGAGCCCCGAGGTGACGGAGCTGGAGAAGCTCGAGGCTGCTGCTGAGGGCGGCGAGGGCGGTAAGAGTGGTGCTGGAGTAGGGAAGCCGAAGGCTCCGGCGCTGGCGCCGGAGCCGGAGTCGGAGACCGGTGATGCGCTGAGTGATTTGGTGGCGAGGTATGCGATAAAGGAGGAGCCTGCACCAAAACCGAGAAGGGGTAAAGGCCCAGCGAAGAAATAAGGTTGGGTTGATGATGCGATTACAATCGAGACGGACATGGGGGGGTGAAGATCTACGCCCCCATAAGCAGGCTTGCTATCTACGGTGGATATGGGAATTCGGAAGGCTACGAGGTGGGAGCTCACAAACATCATGTGATGGTGTACCTATCTGGCGTAAGGGGATACTTTAAACGAGCAGAGCAACCCCTATCTACTCCCATAACACATGTATAAATATGTATACATTTTGACCAAAAGCCTCAACAACGCAGTCGCCATTCGTATTGTATAAAGGATATCAAGTTAAACACCTTAACTAAGTGGTAGTCCTACAAAACTATTAGGTTTAGTCCGAGTCTTCGTCAATGGTAGCCCTGGCTCGATCCACTGCGGTGTCTCCACGACCCGTAGACTTATCGTTGCTCTGATACACAGGCGGACGGTAGAAAACGGTTTCGTCGTCCTCGGCGTCCAACTGCATCAGGAACGTTTCCCATTTCTCTATCAACTGTTGGTAGAGTTAGCATTAAGTCAATGGATACTTAGTACTTAGAATATGTGACGATTTGCTTACCTCTTTCTGCGCCTCAACGGCACTCTCCAAGAAAGTCTCGACTGAAGACTTAAAGTCCTCGACTTTCTCCCGCTCGAATCGGTCGAGTTCCGAGCGCATCAATCTTCCCATATCGTCGAATAGCAACCTAGCCTGGTGCACCTTGCGCTCAGCATCAGCCACCTCAGCACCAACCTGGTTGAGGCGGTCCTGCTGAGATCTGCCCTGTCGGAGCAGCTTGTCCTGAGCAGCCTTGCGCTTCTGCAACTCGGACTCGGCGCTGTGCCACGAGTGGAACGCCTTTTGTCGTTGCGAAAATGCCTGTTTAACACTGCCGATCAATCGAATGTACTCATCGATAGTAATGCCAAATGTGAGTACGTCTTGTTGAGCTTGTCGATCGTAGACATCCCTTATGGTGAGTTGGAGATCCGATAAGGCATCCAGCGGTCCAGAAAGCGTGGGACTCAATTCTACAGTCGACAGAGCGTGAAGCGAGGCCGAGAATTCCCCAGCTGCTTCTGCCATCGCCTTCCGTTGATTTACCATGATATCCATAGACTTCATCAGGGCCTTTAGTTGGTTTTCCAGGGCATCAAGATAAACACGTCGGTCATGGAACCACTATAATTATTAGAAGCTGCATCTTTTAGAAGGATCAAGAAACTCACATCATCCTGTTCGACAAATTTGCTGCCACCTCCGACATTAATGCCGAATGAACCTAGGACACCTTTACTCTCTCCCGGTATGGGTTCTCTCCTTTCTTTATGCTTGACATCGACGTTGAAGGATTCGCTTTCCAAAAACAATTTCAGGTCAGGATCATGCTGCAGTGTCGGGTGGGCAGCAATCTTGTTCAACATCTTCTCCAATGCCGCCCGACGAGACTCGACGAAATTACTCTCGAAACGGTTGAGAGCTTGTTTCTCGGGAGGCGGAGGCACTACCACGCCGGGGTTGTTTCCATGCATCGTGTTATAAAGCCATAAGAAATCACGGTATCTTCGCTTGACCTCAAACTCAGGTTGCTTATACCCTTTCGACGTCGTCTACAAATAGTTAGAACCACGATTAATATGTAGGATGGACTTGCAACGTATGAAACCTACCTTTGTACGAACGGAATAGACAATATGCGAGCTTGTCAAATCCCCAACTTTGTGCGGATCACCGACGGTAATATGAAAGGTGGGCTTGGCTGCCTTTTCGATGCTGACGCTCGGCTGGCCGGCGGCTCTCATCGGGCTGGGTTGGGCAGCCTGGACGGGCGGAGGGGCTCTCGGGCCAGAAGGTCGGTCGAATTCGTCGTCGTCGATGCGATGAGGATCCGACGGACCCGTTCGCTTTTGCGCTGGTTGCGGCATGGTCGTTCGAATCACCATCTGTTCCTTCTGTGGCGGGACGGGCGGTTCGTCGGCTGGCGCATCTGCACCGGGGGCTGCGTTGGCTCCTAGAGGGCCTAGAGGACCGAGCGGGTCGTCGACGGCCTCGAGCTTCGTCGGCTGAGCTACTAGACGGCGTATCGGTCCTCTCGAGCCACGCCCGGTGGGCGACTTGAGGGAGGATTGCGATTGCTGGGAGGATTCGGCATCTTGGGCTTTGATCGAGCTCTCTATACGGGGAAATCCGCGTTAGCGACTGTGTTCGGTATCATCCAAGGCAAGACGGGGTGAACCTACCCTCTTGACTGAAGGTAGGGGTCGATTGAGATGGGACATCTAGTGATCGTTCAGCAAATTGCGGCCAATAAATCATATGACAAAGTGACCATACCGCCCCAGGGTGAATCGCCCGCTTCTCCTAGATCCATGCTGGATGTTTCAAAGGTATGCGACGAGCTGGAAAGTGTAGAATTGAAAGAATTGAAGCTGTCGTTATCTACCAAGGTACCTATCTAGGCAGATGGAGAAAATGGTAACCGAAGAAAGGTTTCTAGGTTACGTTAGCAATTGGTTGTTGTTGCTACCGGGGCGGCGGTGGACCAGTGGCAGCCTATTTCGACCTCCAGTGGGGCGTTGTACCTGCTGGGTGGTATAAAGTGTACTTGGGTACTTAGTATACCGTAGTTCTTGCCCTCCCCTATGAACAGAATAGCTACATGTGTAGGTACATCAATAGCACTCGTGCTTCTAGTACTACACTAAAAATTATAATTTTAAAGTAAATACTAGGTATCAGATTGACATTCAGGCCAAATATTATTGCTGATTGATAACTTGAAAGCTTCATCTGTATTATGTACATATACGTAGGGTAAAAGGCCACGAAGGTGGAATATTCCTTACCATGTTATGCTACCCAATTTATCCTAGATGCCAAAAGATGAGTACCTAATAGTTTAATAATCCGAATAAACTTGAATTCGTATTATACCAATGTAGGTATGAAAGTGAGCTCTACAAGTTTCCCGAGCCAGGCTGGGAGAAAGCGTAGTATGGTATTTAACTCCTCAAACACCGTCTGATGCTGACCCCGAATCTCACACATAACGCCTTACCTGGACAATTAACCTTAATAAACTACTTCTGACTTTCTTCTCCATTTGTGGCCGGGTTAACACCACCTTTCTGAAGGACGCGTCGCAGGAATTCATCAGCCTCCTTCCAGAGGTCGGCTTCCATATCTCTCTCAACCTTGTCGCTTCGGCTATTGAGCCAGCCAACGTCGAGCCCACCGATCTTCCCATCACCATCAGGCTTGAGAGGAGCATTGCGATAGCCGGCTGCTTGGACTTCACCGCCTTCACTGCCGACGCTCTGGGACTCCTTATCTAACGTGATGATGCCCTCCTCCTCGAGTCCCCATATCTGTCGTTTCATGCCAACGTTGACAGTACGTAAAGTTCGAAGGAAATCGTTCATCGAGTCTTGAAAGACCTTCAACTGCTGTTCCTTGTCGTCAACCATACTCACGTCTTCTCCTTGTCCACCTTGCTTGCCGAGAGTCTGGATAGCCTGTGCCGTTGAATGCAAGAGGCTGACAATATTCTGATTGCTGGTTAGCTTTGAAAATAAGATGAGGATACGGGCAACAGACTCGATCGATTTCGCCTAGCTGTTGGATGCGCTCAGACTTAGTAAAGGGCACAAACGGGGGTTGCTCTCCGTTCTCCTCCATCGTGAGATTTAAACACTGTGATAATTGTAGCCAGGATTGTTGTTGGGGAATTTTGATTTATGTAAGTGGATGAAGATATGTTCCGCAAATGGTAGAGAGCTGTTGTATTGTTGGCGCTTGTTAAAAATTGCGAGGGACTGTGTATCTGTCGATGCTGATGTAGTGAAACTGAAGTAGAACCTTCATATGTGTCTATTTCTATGATTCCCTTAGACAGTATTTAGGAACATCGACTCTAATAGGAACTGATGTATGAAGATTGGTTGAATTTTGAATCTTGGAGAAAGTGGAGTTTGTAGTTATCTGCGCCGCGTAACATGCGCAGTATAAAGATGGCTATAGGTAGGTACCTATTAGTGAAGAAAGCTCAGGGTTTACTCCAGTAGACCTTCAGTAGAAGCCAATAATACCTAGTACCCCTCACAGTGCGTGTGTAGCGCATTCCGTTGATGTAGCCACTATCCCTAGTGGTGTGCTACGTACCCGGTAGCATGGGGAATATGCGGGTCCAGAACCAGCCTTATTCTGCACGTACCGATGTACCTTAACCTTTTACTTTTGAGCCTCAACACCAATTTGTTCATTCTACCTCCTACCAACCGCTATCCATCCGCGCACTTTTACTTCATCTTCACTGAGCATTCTAAGATTACAGGCGACTAAAGTACTAGGCACCCAAGTTATCACCATAATCTTAGCAGATTCGAGTCACTTTAGCGCATTTTAGCGCTATTCAGGCGCTTGGATCACTCATCACTTTCAGTAAGGACCAAGAACACGTGCATCGAGGACAGAAGAGCGACTGTCACTGTCACTGTCACCATGTCTAACGCCGCACCCTCCGGCGCTGGCGGTGCAGCTCCGGGTGGTAACTTCACCGCACAACCGCCATCCGCATCGGCTTCAGGTGCTGCCCCAAACACTACCGCAGGGGCATCGTCGGCGGCAACCGGCAACAATCAGAATCTTAATCAGATAGTTAGTGGTAACCCTTTTCCATCGAGTCATCCCCATGATCCCCCATCATCACCCACCGCCCTAACCGTTAATCATTGTCGTCCCCATTCTCGTCACCTACCACACTCTCTGTTTATCCTACTATGTCACCTCGTTCAGAATTTCTTTTTTTAATCTGAACCTACAACCGTCCATCCCCCATTCCCTTTCAAAACAGTGTTCGCGATCTTCTTCTTTTGTTTCTAGCCATCGTTCAATCGCACATATCGTAGAACTCAACCCCCTTCACATCACTCATTTCTTCGTTCACGTCACGCATTTCTTCGACTAGTTTCATAACTAGTTCTTCTGTCATATCACAATGTCAGATAAACAACCACCCATCTTGCCGGCCTACCGCGGGTATCTGAGCCCAGCTCAGAACTCGGCGTTGGGGTTTGCACCCCAGACTCCGAATCCTAACCCCCCTAGCGATAATGTCCCGGCACTTGTACGCATTTCCACTTCAAATCTACTGATCAAGTTAACACGATTAATCGAAAATACCTAAGACTAATCGATATCACAGGTGACGGATTATCTTCTTAAGAAAGGTTATCGACGTACGGAAGAGATTTTTCGTCAAGAGGTCAAAGATATTGACGAGAATGGAAAGCCTCGAGAGAATGGTGATGGTGTTGCTCCCGGCAAGTCGTTTCCCGCAGGTAAATATCTGGCGGCATTCAAGCATTTCGACGTATGGGTCCAGGGAGGCCTTGAAGTTTACAAGGTAAGACTAGCCTCTAGCTAATTTCCTGGAGCAACCATCTCACATGACTATAGTTCGAGTTGGCGAAGTTCCTGTGGCCCTTGTTCATTTATTCCTATCTTCGATTGATCAAGCAAGGTTCTTCTGCACATGCTGAGGAGTTCATGAAAGAGTTGCGCGGTCGCTTCGAGAAGTCTCATCCGGATGAAGTGAAGACCCTAGCAACCATCACTCTACCCCAGCACGTCCGCGAAGACACGCTCGCCAAAGCCTATCTTGAGAATCAATACTCGGTTCCTCTCAGCAAGTCGTTGGCCGCAACTTTGTTCAGCTTTCTAGAACGTGACTTCGATCAAGGTGGAGGCCTTATCATTGACCTCATTAATCAGCACATCCACGTTGAATCTGTTGATCGCGGCCCCATCGAGCCCTTTAGCTTTGAGGCTATCTACCGCCGTTCACGACAACAGGAACTCGACGAAGTTGACATTCAAGAGGGTATTCCCGGTTTGTCCGCTCACAGTGGTCTCATGAATCGCACCCTTCTCGATGAGAAGGCCTCTCTCAAGTTAGGCCCACTTCCGATGGAGCCGGAGCTTCGAGATGATGTCGTCGCTGAACTTGAGGAGGAGGATAAGCTCAATCCACCCCGAGACGGCTTTCCCACATTAGTCGATGAGTTCAACACGATGAATCCGGTGAAGAAGGAATCGGTTGATACCCCCCAACGATCGGAGATTCCATACCCTCCCTCCAGAGCTAGAGATGTCGTAATGGAGATGCAGAAGACTCGAGAGAATCGTGATCGATTCAAGGTTGAACCCCGTAATGGTGCTCAAGGCGCTGGCATCACGGTACACATGTGGACATTCCACAACCATCTCGGAGCGTAAGTATTCCCTTAATTGGCTGCGTTGGAACATGACTGGATGCTAACATGTTTCTTTTTAGTATCTCCTGCATGGACTTCTCAAAGGACCAGAACTACGTGGCTGTCGGTACAACGGACTCGTATATTCGCGTTTGGAGTGTGGACGGTAGAGCATTGAAGTCGCTCCTTCCTACCGACACGACGAACACGAACAACCGCAAGCTGATCGGCCATTCTGGCCCTGTCTACTCTATAGCTTTCTCAGACGCGATCACCAACCTAGACCGCGATATCTATGAGGGTATGCCTAATCCCGATAGTAAGCCTGACACCCGTCCTAGCTTACTTCTGTCCTGTTCGTTCGACGGTCAAGTACGACTGTGGTCACTCGATGTCTGGTCTTGCTTGTGCATCTACAAAGGCCACGACGGCCCGGTCTATTCCCTCTCTTGGAGTCCGCATGGACACTACTTCGTTACCGGTGGTTGGGATAAGACTGTCAGAGTGTGGGGTCAGGATCACTCTTCGGCGCTCCGTCTTCTCGTTGGCCACGACACTGCGATCTCCAAGGTCGCCTGGCACCCCAATGGATCATATGTGTTCTCAGCTTCCGATGAGATCGACAAGTCTATTCGCATGTGGGCTGTTGCCAATGGTGAATGTGTCCGTATTTTCAACGGCCACGTGGAATTCATCTCCGCGTTGGAATGCGCTCCGAATGGCAAGATCCTTGCATCGGCTGACATTGCCGGTAACATTATGATATGGGACCTCGAGAAGGGAACCCGCATCAAGCGCTGCCGCGGCCATGGTCGTGGTGGTATCTGGTCGCTCAGTTTTTGCGTCGAGAGCACCGTACTTGCATCTGCCGGCCAAGACTGCACCGTACGTCTCTGGGACGTAGAGATGCCGCCCGAGGGTCGTGCCGTGAACCAGCAAGACGGCGACAACATCAACGCGGCAGGACAAGGTGATGGCAAGCAAGCTGGACAGACGCAGTCTGCAAGTGCTGCTGGCACGGGAAAGAAGAAGGGCAAGGAGGTGATGATTACGCCCGATCAAATCAGCGCGTTCCCTACCAAGAAGACTAGTGTGAAGAAAGTGCAATTCACGAGAATGAACCTCGTGCTTGCCGGTGGATGTTATCAGCCAGAGACCCAGGACGCCGGTCGCTAGGTTTTCACCCGTACCATACTCCTATCAGGAGACTCTATTTAACGACATGAAAACCCCTTAACGACCCACTAATTACCGAATGTTACGATATCCTTTCGACAAAGACCGAAGATCTCGGTTTATGGCAAGCCTTTTGTAGGCCCCACGCCCCCTCTACGACCCCTTTACGAATACTTACCATCAGTTTGAGTAAGATGGTCTCTAGGTGTTGTTACGCAGATCCTTTTCATCACGCTTGAGCCTAGTGGTCTTGGTGATGGTTTCTCGAGACTCGATTGCAATTGGTGTTACGGAAATAGGAAGGACTTGGGAGTGGCCGGTTCGCATCGTGATGTGTCACCTAGCTTAGCTACTCTGACATCATACACAGATCCTGTCTCTTAGAGATAGTAATAACTGCCAATTCCCCATTATCATCGTTCTAATCCCCGCTGTTTAATACCGGGGCGTGTTTCTGCTATTCTAAGTAATTCTTCGTGAACTATGCTGAAACAGTCTATGTCCTCGCTTTGCTTCTGTAGCTCACGTATGCGTTTTGTGAATTGTTCGTCCTGTAGTACACGTTCGACGCCTTCTCGCACTTGCTCCGAGGTCGCTCTTGAGCAACCCAGGTCGACGCCGATCCCAGACCAGGCTACGCGCCGCGCATTCTCCGTCTTGTCCATCCCTTCTCCCGCAACAACCATAGGCACTCCGTTTGCGATCCCGTGGTTCACGGCGCCGAAGCCGGCATTGTGGACCCAGACATCGGCATGCGCGAGCACGGCGTCGTAGGATAAGTAGTCGGCAATGCGGGCGTTGGCCGGAGTTTTTATGCTAGAATCGTAAGTTAATAGGCTAGCGTCTTTCCAGCCGAGGATAGCGACTACGAGGACGTCCTCACGACAAGCAAAAGCCTCTAAGGTAGGGATGATTAGGTCGTGAGGGTTGATTTCTACGGTCCCTTGGGCTACGACGATGACTTTCTTCTTCTGAGCCCTCCGTGGGTCGGAAGGCGGAAGTGAATCTAGGGCTGAGTTGGCGACTATTTCCTCCCACCAATCGAAGGGCGGATCTTTTGGTTTTGCTGCTGCTGCGGAAGAGGACTTGGGCGGGCCTTGCACTAGCCCCGCGAACTTGAACCCGGGAGGCCAGTCGCTGCGCGGGTACTCGAACCCCGGGACGCCGAGCTGCAGGATGGTCTCGTGGGCCGTGTAATTCGCGCCCGAGAGGAAGATCTCGTCCACCCCGCGCCTGGCCCCGGCCTCTCGCAGCATCGTATCTAGAAACGTGGTCAGCGGCTCCGCTTTCCGCGCCCAGCTCCGCTCCCAGAGCTTCGCGTTGCGCGCGCGCCCCGCCACCGAGCCGTCGAACGCGAACGGGTACCCGATCGGCGGCAGCTCCGCGCTCCGGATCGCGGGCACCGTCACCGAGACGCACACCGATCCTAGTACCGTCGTCTCCAACACATCGTCGTCCGCGTCCAGCGCGCCGAGGTACATCGGCAGAGCCCCGTAGAAAAAAGCTTCGTTCACTAGCACGACGCCGCGCTCCGGGTCTCGGGAGCGAAGAAGACGCAGCGCGGCTACGAAGCTAAGCCATTGCGCGGGTAAGGGCGCGATGCATTGTTCCCGCAGGTCGATCAGCGCCCGCGAGGCCCAGTGCAGCGATGCGTAGTCGGGTTGTGGCGGGGCCTCGTAGTATGCCTTGTCGTCGAGGTCGGCGGTGGGGCTGAGTGGGATGAAAGACGCGCCTGAGGCCTCGATGCGGGAGCGGTGCGCGGTCGGGCCGAGGAAATAGACTTCCCAGCCGCGCGCGTGTAGGGCGCTGGATATCCGGATCAGAGGCGCGAGGTGCCCCGTTAGCGCGTGGCTTACTATTAGGACGAAGGGGAGCTGCTTGGGGATAGCCATTCTTCTGTTCAACTAGGATGTGGATGGTGGTCTATAAGTGACGATGGGATATGCATCCGGAGGGAAGCCGGTGTTGCGGTCCTTTGAAGACGGTGTGATCCGGATGAATTGAGGGTTTTCCACGTGGCTTGCTGACTAAGCAACCCGGCCTGGATAGGGGAAGGAACACGGAGAAAGCCATTTGTCACGTTGAAATTATGTAGACAATTAGGAAGAACATATCATGGAGAAAATGGACATAACCTCAGATATATGTAGGGTTAAATCAATGTTATATCTCAGGTGAAGTTATATTCACATAGGTACCTAATGCGAGATCTTCAGGGGGGAAAGGGGTCAGTTTTTAGTGAATGATTAAATGCAGAACATTGATTTTATCAATCATGTCCTTTTAGAATCTATTTCCTAAGAACTTACGGAGTAGAAAAATCACGAAGGGACTGTCGTCGCACCACTATTGCTTAAAGGAGTTGGCTAATTAAGACTCTAGGTTTAGCTAACAGTAATTTAGAATACTGTCGACTTCAAAGGGGGCAATGCAGACCGAATTGATGGGAAGAATCAATGATCTTGTCTATAGAATTCAAAGTGTGATACTCAATTAAAGTCCTATCTAATCTATTCTAAGCTTATGGTGTCTAGGACTTCTCACTGAGTCTCACAATACAATCCTTTAATGCTACTAAAAGTTCCTCAAAGTGCCTTGGATACGATTAAGGAAATCTTACGCCGTTCCAGATCGCCGGCATCGGCTTGCCATCTTTAGAAGGCTTTCTTGACCACATGAGGTCATCGGAAATGATGTAATTCTTCAAACCTAAGGGGCTCTTGTCGATGTTTAAGTGACGAACTTGGACCAACCTTAGGAAATAAGCGGCAAGTCCCGCTGTGATTGCGGCAGCTGTGATAGAACAATGATTATTAACAATTAGTACAGGCGAGGTCGATGATATCTTAACTTACCACACGAAGTTCCTTTGGCTGCCCTGTACACGCCATCCCATTTATCCTCTATTTGATGCCACACAGCACGATTCCCTTCAGCGCATTTGATATTACTGCCTGGTGCAAAGACATGAGGGAGTCCTCGGTCGAAGTCAGTTTGACTATCCAATTCAAACGAGGGAACATGTACGCCTCTAACGACTAGAACCTCTGGAATTGGATCGTAATCACTTCGTCCGTAGTTCGCGGGAAATCCATCGACTGTGGTCTGGCTTCCGTTAGCATATCGAACCACACCCTCTACGATAGGTACAATACACATAGGTATACTTAAAGGAGGCAGAGGAATAAAAATACGGACCTTTTCAAGGTAGTTTCCACTTCCTGTTATAGGAAGGACCCCCTTGCAGATCAGGTCTTTCAAGAGGTACCGCATTCGGGCATCAAAACCAGCCGAGTGATCCTCGCCATCTCTCATGAATGACTCGCGTGGAATGTGAAACGCGAGTAAAGCGATGGCTTTCGCTTCGTTACTTCTTGTAATTAGATGATCGTTTACCTTGCTGATAGCCTCGAGCCAATCCTCGTTTGTGGGGTGTCCAGATCTGTCTCCAGCGGTACCGGTAGGGATATGTCTGCGAGGCATTCGTACCAAGTAAGGCTTGACACGCTTTGATACGCCCACGTCCCGACCGGTAACAAGACTAAGCATACTCGTTCCATGCGCCTTTGCCGTGGTAAATTGCTGCGTAGGATCGGTGCCTGAGTCATCCCGGGCACTTCCACCGCCAACGTCTTCACCTACATGGAGCCATTCGATATCACCGCGAATATCATCGAACTCCTGCCAATAGATCAGCTAAGAAATCTCTAGGATTCTGGAGTGTGGTAAAAGTTACTCTATGATCCAGGGTTGCACCCGTGTCTACAATGTAGACCGGAATACCGTTTCCAGGGATAGGGTCAGCATCATCATACCAATAACCATGTAAGTCATCCAGCGACGTTCCTGGCTGTTGACAAACAAACTTAAGATGATCAGCAGCCCCATGACTGGAGCCGTCGAGAATTTGGCGAAATGTTGTAGTCCAATCAAAGGCATCGTGACAAAGGTTGGAAGTATCCTCTGGGGCGTGTGGATATATCGAAGCTACCTAAGACATAATCGCGTAAGAGAGTTAAACATCTTCGAAATTTGTGCTGAGACCTACCTCGTGAGCCAACTCGACAGCAATGATATCGGCCTTTTTGTGAGGCAAAGTCGCAAGCCAGAAGTTAATTCCCACCGTCCTAGTCTGAGATACGTAGATGGTTGAAGGATCAGCGAAGTCCTTCAGCTTCTTTTCTATAAGATCCGTTTGAGTCTTGTTAGTCCCATCCTTGGGATAAATCACATAAGTGACTTCCACATCAAGAAAAGATTTCCTTGGCGTCATCTTGCCAAATCACCAGATGTGTCACCGGTCAAAATGGTATCAGTTGGTATAATCACAAGGCTCCTTCAACTCATATGGATGAAGATAGATGCAAGACAAATTTTGAATTAAGGAGTGACCTAACCATTATATACTATGAGCTATACAGTACTAATAGTGGCTCATTCTCTGCTTGGTAGAAGAAAACACTTTGGATATGTGGAAACTAAAGATCAGAATGACTACCTGTAATTACGCATTTATCATGATTCGTAGTATCACCAAAGGGAAGCTGAAGCAATCCAACTTCTATCGTAGTGACTGAGGACTACAGATATAGGTCAACCAGAAATATGTGTTTCCAAACACTCTTGATGACGTGCTAAAACAGTGTCTCCAGGCTAGAATCTGCAGTTTGCTACAGTATGTTAAAGAGTTAATACCTATTTCATCGCGTAAAGATATCCCTACCTATCTAGGTACGGGCCTTTCGTAAATCTAAGGAGATGTGACTTAGCCACCATTAGCATATGAGTTTGCTTGATTTGAGATAGGTAGGTATCAAATCATTAACCACCTGCTTATTCTTGTTCATAATGTTTTTGATTTATTCTATCAATTTAGATCACCAATGACCCCAATAGTCCATTCTAGGTAGTTGGTGTCTCCACTTTACACTTTGAACTCGTTATCAAAGAGAATATTGTCCACGCCAAAGTCAGCGTTAATAGTTCTGAATGGACTATTATGCTCTCCGCCGTTATGATAAGACGATTGAGGGTTGCAGGTAAATGATAGAAGGGGGTTTCAAAAGTTTCTTACCACCTCGTTCTGCTGTATTCGTGAGTACATTGTCTACAATATCGTCGTAATAGTCTGAAGATTTTCCATTGCCCTTTGCCAATAGCAATGCCAGGGGCTCTAAAAAAGGTAGATGTATCCTCAGAGTAATGGGGGCTGCCAAACTTTTGAAGCTCAAATGAGAGAACTTCTGTGTGGATCTTGGCCACCTGTTCTAGGAGCTTTCATAGTTTACCTATAAGGTGCGTGTGACCTGAAGGAGTGCTACCTAGTCAACCCCTTGAAGGTCCAGGGGAATAAGAAGTGATACTTTGTTCCATATTAAATACTACCTACCGAAAGACAATGGATCGTTCTGTGAAGGGTTTGTACTCGTCACAAAGTCTATGTCAAGCCCTTTGTTCGTGGTATGATAATAATAGAATTATTTATCATTAATAGTGCTTCGTTTACCGAACAAGGCTCCTATTTGAGTTATGACGCGCATTCAATGCTGTCCTGGGTATGACTCTAAATAAGTATATAGAGCATGGCTACCAATCTGCCTACCTAAATATCGTCGGTTAGACTGGAACTAAGGAACAACCGCTAAGTTGAGGATAATGGAATTGTTGAACTCATCTAGTGAACTAAAAATAACATCACAGATGGCTCAGTGTGAAATGGTCGACACTGATGATGATGAGCTGGTTTCATCATATTTTGAACTAGACCGGGCCTCGGCGCCGTCTTCCAATAGCCCGGGAGGCTATTGTGATGCTGGTAGGTTAGATGAAAACATTTCAGGGTTTGAGCCTATAAGGAACCGGATTAATGGCGCGAATAAACTTGAGTGCGGACAGAACCTCAAGGAGAATTACTCGGGTGGTGTTGGTTGCTATGTATGGCCGTCGAGTTCGCAAATATCTATTTCGGAAAGCCCGCCGATGGAAGAGGTTTTCAAAGGTCTGGGGATCGATCATGAGCAGGAAGCCCGCAGAGCGGAGATGGCGGTGACGGCGTTTTTAACAATCGAACTGAACGAAAACCAAAAGGATTACTTTCCTAGTAAACACTCCGGGATAGACTGGAAGAAAGAACTTCGCCAAGTCTATCGGCCTACATGAGGTAGTATGATATCTAGAATAAGACATAAATGCATAAAATAGTTGTCACTGTTTGGAATGATCATTAAATCATCCATGGATGAGATTGTTTAGGGTGACATGATACATCCCTAGGTACGTAGGTGGATAGACTCCGATGGTTGTCTTCAACATGGAAGGTAAAGTGACCATCTGACGTTTTCATATTGAATTTATAGAAATCATGCTACCATAACGTTATAATATCGTCGAATTCCGTGCCTAGATGATAAGTATATTGACACGTAGAAGAAAATGGAGATTATGCGGGCAATACTTAATAGTTTAAGCCACAGAACAAATTGTAGAAGATGACTGCCCGGAAATAGTCTTGAAATACCTGCTGACACAGCCTTCCATCGTATATTTATGCCTACATGTCGTAGCACAAGAATAGCCACCGGTCAGCCATGATCGGGCTACACCCAGGCAGTTGAAAGTGTGGGCGGCAAGGCCGCGGTCATTCATCAGACCAACACAACCCCATCGCGATGACATGGTAGGTCATTACCAAGCCCAGAAAACAAACAGGCGCATTTTAGCTCTAATCAGCGAGATAGTGGTTTAAAAATGAATTGTGGCTGCTCTCTACATGCAACACTGGCCAATAAAAGGGGAAGATATTACACCGCCCGCCTTCACGCTTCTGGTCTTGCATCAGCAGAAGCAATTTGTGGTCATACTCTTAACGTAAGTATCCGACCTTGTACTACACAAGCTTCCAGCTGAACGAAGCACATGAGTAGCTTCGATGCGCACCGTGTAGGCTTCTACCGTGTAACATGCAGCATGTAGGGCTATAAGAATCGAGGCGAACACGTCCGTATTTTATTCTCTCGAGTGGAAGACTTCATAGTTCAAGCCTACATTAGCAACCATGACAACTATTGCAGGTGTCAGCGGCAACCAGTACGTCCCCGGGACGAAAGTCTACGACGAGCTTAAATACCAATATGCTACGTCAACCTACGGCGAAGAGCGTGATCTTAACCCAGGACTGATTGTCCAGCCTAAGAACAAAGATGACATAGCGCTAACCCTGCGATATGCAAAGGAGAAGAAGGTCGCAGTAGCTATCAAGACAGGCGGCCATCAATACAGCGGAGCTAGCTCTACAAGCGCTCCGAATATCCAACTAGACCTGGAAAACTCATTCAAGGGGGCCGACGATCGAACCATTTTCGAAAAAGACGGGAAAGCGTACGCTCGCACCAGCGTCAGCTGGAGCCTTGGAGAGTTCAATGCTTGGCTCACCGAGAACAAGAAATTCGTGCCCCACGGCCAATGTACTGAGGTTCATGTTGGGGGCCATGTCCAAACCGGAGGTATGAACCCCCTTTTCCATGCAAAGTATAAGCGTGATTTAGCTACAATAAGTAATACCTACGTACCCTACCTACGTTAGAAGGGGTATGAATTAAACGAGGCTATACACAAATGCTAATAGGAATGATCAGGATACGGACAATTGGCTCGTAGCTTTGGCCTTTTCGGAGACCACGTCTTATCACTTGAGATCGTGGATACCGATGGAAATTTCAAAGAGGTCACCAAAGCTACAGACCCTGATCTGTTCTGGGCATTCCTTGGAGGAAGTCCTGGAAACCTCGGCGTCATAACTCACTTTACTATCCAAGTTCACCGGGACCAGGATTACAACGGATCTAGGGGTATGAAGGCGATGTACTTCTACGATACTAAGACATTGAAGCGTCTTATTGATATCCTGGTCGAGATGTCTGACAACGACGACTTTCCTCGCAACTATGACCTTTGTATCAGCGTCCTTAGCTCTGCCTTTCCGCTCCTTGATCTGTGTCCCGGGATAGATGAATGGATGGCGCGGGCACACCCGGAGTTTTACGGAAAGAATGGCCTTATCGCTTGGCCACGCACTATAGTGATATTTGCGCAGTGGGTGCCTTTCGAGAGCGGAGACGAGTGTGATATGTCGTGGTTTGATCGAATTAAGGAGGGGTCTGACTGGATCCTGGGGAACGACAATGTCCAGGAAAAACCCATGTCGCAACTAACGGGAGACTGGATTTTCCGCAACGTAAGGGAATTTGAACATCCCTATGAAAAGAGAGCCTATGTGACGAGCTCGCGCACGTTGGCTAAGGATGGCTTTACCGACTGGATGGTCGGCCGCATCGATGATATCGTCCGCCCCGAACACAACAAGTGCTGGTTGTCGGCGCAAATGCAATGCTTCGGCGGTAAGAACTCGATGTTCACGCGGAATGCGGGTAACGGCACGGCATTCAGTTGGAGAGACACGAGCATCACATGTGTACTCGATGCTTTCTATGTCGAGGAATCCAAGGCGCGGGCCGAGGACTGGCAGAAGGTTAACGATATGGAAGCGATCGGACCTAACGGCGTCATTTCGAAGGAAGACCGCCGGGTGCTGTGGGGTTCTTATGGCAATTGGAATCTAGATGCCGTTTGGAACACTTACTTTGAGGACAGAGCGAAGTACGAGAAGTTACAACAGATCAGGAAAAGGGCTGACCCGTACGGCATCTTCACGCCGAACCCTTTTTGCGTCAAGCGGGCAGACTGATCACCTTGGGAGTAACAGGGATAATTGTTAGGGGAAGATGATAAGGCGTCTCATAATATGTTACTAGATACTTACCTCCCTATGTACTCTCTTATTCGTATGTCTACAGGTATCAAGCCTCCTTGCATAGGCCCGACACTCCGCGTATGGTACCCCTTTTCATGTTATATGCCGGATGTATTTCTTGCAGATGCGGATGTTTCATGTAAGAAGACCTAACAATATCATATAATATTCTATTGAAATTGACCGAGGTATTGAGCACGCCTTGATCCCAAACCAACGCCATTCTCATGGGAGATCTAAGCTCTAGTAACTCTAGCTCTATCGTCTATGATGTTAGTCTATTCCTCTAAGCCCATCCAATTCTAAATAGTTTATATCCGCTCTCATCGCCGCGCCCAATTCCCTGACGCCTGTCTATATCCTCGGAGCCTAGAATCGCAAGGTGTCGTCCTTCTGGGGTTTGAGGGCTTGTCCCCTGGAAGGCCGGCTCGACAGAGTGGATAACTGCCCCGTGGCGGCCATTAGGGCGCACTGTCATAAGCAACCAGAATACCCCTCCAGGTGCTAGAAGGCGGGTGGCGCAAGCCCGCAGCCAGAGGGCGTGTCTCGGATCATAGATTACATCAGTGGCTATTAGTATATCCGCTGGTGAATCAAGGGGCGTCTCCAACACGGGAGCAGACCAATCAAGAGCGCACGTTTTCACGCCTTCTCTTGAAGCATTAGTCTCCAGATTAGCGAGCACAGTGGGATGATAATCTGTCGCGATCACCGTCGAATTGGTAAAATCAAGGAGTGGAAGGGCTTTAGCTAGCACCAGGCTAACTAGTCCCGTGCCGGCGCCGAGTTCGACAATACGCGGCGACGAGCCAAGTGTTGGCGTAGTAAATCCAAACCGTGCCGGAGATGCACATATCAGATCGCAGAATACAACAGAAGCTCCCCAGGTTTGAAGCCCAACGTCGGAGTGCGTAGTCATCGAGATGTCGTTTAGTTGCACGTCGATTGCGATTTTATCGTCGAAACTGGACTTTTTGGCTTCAGGAGACTTCGACGCAGAAGATAAATCCAACGTAAATGAGAAATTACGTATTATTCCGGTGTCTTCTTCGTCTTCTTCATCCATCGGCTTGGAAAATGAGGCAAGCACATAAGAAGCTTTGTCGATGGCTCGTTCGCGCTCATCTTCATCTCCTAGGGGCAACTCATCTGCGCGCGCGATAAGGGTTGTCAGCCAGCCGATGGCAAAATTGCGCTCAAAGACATCAGAACGTAGGGTATCAAGAAAATCCTCCCCATCTATGTCCTCGTCTCCATCGATATCCCCATCCTCAGACGCGTAACCGGAATCCACCGGTTCAATTGGTATGTCGCCATGCACTTTCCCTAGTTCAAGCTGCGATTCTACGGCTCGCGACAGCGACACAGGAAAATATAGCTCATGTAGATTGTTTAGTGCTGAGAATATCTGTTCGCTGCTGAGCGTGCTTGAACGTAAGAGCGGCAGGCTGCTCGTGGGAGCCAGCGGATGACCCACTGGGCTCATTGGAGTCCTCGGCGAGACTCACGGTCCGCGTGGAAAGTCGTTCCAAATGAATGACTGGAAAAGAGATGAACCGAAAAAAAGGAAGGAAAAAACCCGAATTAAAAGTGAGGGCTTTAAGAAGAATGAGTAAGGTGGATGATTGCTTCGGGTCTAGACCAGGCGAATCCCGGGTATGACCCACCGGCCACACACACAATTTTGTCGCTATCGTGAAATTTCTCGGCGATAGCGGTGAGAGGAAGCGGTCCTGACTCGTGTTCCCATGTGCTTACTCCGTTGGATATTGTTGTCATAGTCCACCTATCTCCTATGGCAACTTTATATACGCGATATAGAAACGATTCGATTTAAGCATAATATTAAGTTAGTGGGCAACTGTGGCTTAAACCATAACCCCCTATTTCTACGGCACTCATTGAGTCATCTGTCAACGAATTAACTACTAATTATTATGCGGAATGACTCTGACATAATCCAGATTTTATTGTTCGACGTGCGATGTTTTATTTACCTACCCATACCTAAGTAAACCCTACACGCATGTCCTCTGCCAAAAGTTAGGCTAACCAAGATACGGAGAACTATCAATTTAGAATATTCGATTTTAACCTCCCATCACAGTCAGAGTGTGGACAAATCGAAGCTGGCCCTTCTCCACTCGGAATTCGTGGCTATCGGGGACAGTCGCAAAGTCAATAAAGACGTCGACAGCACCGAGCGTCTCGTCAATGACATAGCGACGGTTAGTTAACGAGACACCTACAATTTTAGAGTCAGTGGCCTATCGAATATTTTTAGAGAGTAGGCAGTTGCAGCTTACCACTAGGAACGCCGACGTTGCAACTGTCGTTTTCTGAGCCTGTTCCAGTGTAGGCGCCACCTTCGAGACGAGCACACGGATGGCCCCAGGGAACTTCCACGGATTTATCGTTAAAGAGATCGGCGTAGGCGTCGGCAGCGGCTTGAATCACTTCTCGGGTGTCGCGCTGGTCCTCCGGGATCGGGTCCCAGTTTTCTCGGGAGGCCCAGTAGTAAGTGCCGGTAGCGTTGAAGAGCCAGTCGCCTTGGTCGGTCACGAGAGTGCTGATGTTCGCGATCTTGCCGTCTGCGAAGCGCATCTGCGTTCCCAATACGTACGGGTGAGTTGGGTCCGTGACGATGATCTCGGTGTACGTCGCGCATTGGGTGGTATCGTGAAGACTGCGGTTGAAGTCAATTTTTAGAGGCTGTGACAGGATGCCGGTCGTGATATCGGCTGTCTCGAACGCTTCCAGGTATGCGACGGTGTCAGCAAGTGGAGCTACGGCGTCGGGTGTTCCTGCGGTCTGTGCTGCTAGGAGGCTGTCGGTAGCAGCGATGAGGTCTTCCCGAGTACATTGCGCTCCAGCTTTAACGGCCAGAAGCCCTAGGGCAGCAAGGGTAAGTCGAAGCATCTTCAAGCTCGTCGAAATGAATCGATACTAAATAGAAAGATGATAACTTGAGACAACTACATTTCTTACCTACGGTGAGTTGGGGCGAGCCCTTATAGATATAAATTAGCGAATGATGTTGGGGCCGGCAAAGGTGGTGATGATGTCGTACTCGAAGAGAATAGCCATATGAATTTTGTGTGGGGTTGTCTTCGGCAATTCCTTTACCCAACACCCAGGAAGAGGGATGGATTCCGAAAGGCCTGGAAGATCATCATCCGTATATCAAGTCTAGGCATAACGTTCTAGAAGCTAAGAATAGACATTTCCAATTCTCTCGCTTTAATTGCGAACAACCCCAATTTTAACGATCTCCTGCGCGTTCTTGAATGAGGATATTACTAAAGGTGGTGAGGACACTATATAACCCGGAACATAATCCTCGACAGTCTTCCAGGTTATCCGAATAATGAAGTAGAATTAGAATATTTCTTACCTAGGCATATACTCTCATATTTTCCTGTTGACTTTCACGATTTATCATAGGTAGGTAGATAATTAGTCCGTACCAAGTGTGAGCTTTAGTTGGCTCCTCATTTCATTACACGCCAGGCAAGACACGTCAAAAGTTATGTCAAACTCCATTCATAACTGGGAACCGGAATTGCAACTGATGGAATTTTACTGTATATCATTCAGTCCTTCCGCTTTCCTAAGCATCATGAAGGACGAGCCCTTGGAGATATCATTTCCCTGGAGAAGGTGTGAGCGCTATAATCGATTTTATCCCCTTAAGATTGAATATGCACGAAATAACTGTTGACAGGCAAATGTGGTTACCATAAATCTACTAGTATTGAAGATAATTCTTTATTGAACCGGAATGCTACCCATGGAATTATGTGTTTCATTATTCCCTTCACTAGAGCTGCTTCCCAGCTTCATTTCCTAGGGAAGATCATACACCGATAAATAGGGGATTATGACGCCAGTTTCAGCGCACGGGGACCAACAAGCCTTCCAAGGTTACTTAAGTCGGAACACGCACCCGCGCCTTTCCAGCCCAAACACGAAGAATACAACCACCAAACAGGCATCTCAGAAGCAGGCGTGATTGAACATGAAGGTCAAACCATCAAATGCTGCATGCGCCCCAGTGAGAAATCCCGATGTAATTTTCCGAATGGTTGAAATTTCATGATATTGACGATATGATGGCAGAAGCGCAAAGCTCTCGGAGATGCTAGTAGTCGTGCGAACCAGTCGCCTGCAAAGGTGACTACGAAACGTTCATCAGCTAGCAAGGAGAACGAGCAGAGGAAGCAAAGCTATGAAGAATTCGCGGCCTTTACTAGACGTATGTTTGAGGAGGCACAGAGTTTCGGACCGCCGCCGACCGTTGCACCCAGGAATATCAAACGGCCGAAGGCAAGGGGTACCGGGACGAGTAGTACATCTAGCAAGAAAGGCAAGGCGGAAATCTCTCTGGAAGCCGAAATTGCGTTATACACGCAGAACCTCAACGTCGTTCTTGACCCGGATTCCTTTAAAGATCAGCCGATGCCTAGTTGCCAAGCCGTACGCAATCATATCAACAAGCTGCTCGACGCCGGGATTATGACGAAGGCTGAGTTCGCTAAGGCTATTGGATGCCGTAGAGTCTATACCTTGAACGCGTTTCTTGGGGAAACAGGGCCGGACGGAGGGAGCGGCAATGCCGTATACTTCAGCGCTTGGGTGTGGTTTCGACAGCGCGAAATAGTGAAGTTGAAGATGCCGGACATGAAGAAGAGGCAGACGCAGGAAGCAGGTTCTAGCAAAGGCGGTTCAACTTCAAATGCGGCGAAGACTACTACATCGCTTCCCGATATTTCTAATATCGAATTAGATGGCGAGGAGACGGACGATGTCAGCGTTTACGATTCATGCGATGAGGTCCGCAAGAAGATCAACGCGCATCTAAGGACGACGGGAGTAACGAAGGCTCAGCTCTGCCGCGATATATACGCGCAGCTCCACCAGCCCAAGATCAAAGGCATCCAGTCAAAGCAACTTGACGACTTTCTCCGCGGCAAGGGACCTAAGACGGGCGCTAAGAGCACGGTCTTTTATGCGGCGTGGGTATACTTCGAGAAGCTACGCATCGCGGCCGGTAAACCAAAATCCAAACACCGCAAAGAGATGGAGGAGATATGGGCGTGGAGAGGTGGATTCGACCGCACGACTGATCATAGGACAGTGTAAGTCACTGCTAGGATTAAACTCGAATTTTGCTAACTGGCTCCTAGATACATAGGTAGTGCTTACTAATGCCGTCTGGGGCTTATTGAGTATACGATGGGTTGGTTTATGTCAGTAAAGATATCTAATCCGAAAGTTTTATTCATGTATGAGAGGATTTGGGGGATTTCCAGGTAAATTGCAAGATATTGTTGCTAAAACCCGTAAACTTTTAGGTCGGAGTTCTCTGAAAAAGGAGGTCTTGTCATGAATCTAAGCAGTTGACTCCGACATGCATTCTATGTATCTTCGTAAATATGCATGCTGAATGAACAGATCGCCACCCTTGCCGTTATGCTTTTGTTTGAACTCGCGATCCTTCGTTAGTAGATTCTTCTGTAATATTGAAACCCTACTGCGGCCAGGGCAGCCACTGCAGCGGCTCCAGTGTAGATCGACCGACGATAAGACTCATTGCCCGTCGAAAACGAGTTCCTAGATTCGTCCATAAGTGGATAATACTTATACGGAACCTGGAATGTCTTAGTCAATGACTTTTCCTCCAACCATTCTAAGACGGGGACTCGAGAAACGACAGGCCCCCAGATGTAAACCAAGCCGATATATGTGAAATGAGTCCACGGCGCGATATATTTGCACATGATCCTGTTGAACGGCGTGAGCCACGCCGTCTGCCGAGCACGCCGTATAGATATGGTGTGAACTGTCGACTCGTCTCTCAGCCGCACCTTCTGGTAATCGGCAAATGCCGCCTCGAGTTCCTTCGTGGTAGGCGAAGCTTGGGTCCTGAGCAAGTTTCGAAGCTTGTTCACAAGGACGACCATGTCAGCGAGGCCGCTGTTATACCCTAGACCGGCGTGTGGCTCCAGTTTTCGCACGGCGTCACTAACGAGTACGATACGATTCCAACTCCACTTATCTATTCGGCCTTCCTCGAGGTTGATCAGTCCCACGTTTCCGGTACGCGTAGGGTAGACATCGCAGACCCTGCAGCCGGGGGCGACGTAGAGATGCCCGTATCTTTCGACGACGTCCTCCTTGTCTTTGTCGGTGTACCGAATGCGCTCGGATGTAGGCTTCTCGAGAGCCTCATACACTCCAAGCCATGCTTGGTTCTTGCCGGTGACCAACTGTGTCGATACACGCTCCGCTGAGCATTCATAATTGATACCTTGTTCCAACGTAGGTGGAATAGGGATATTCGCAAATAGCATCCTGTACGTAGCGATGTAAGGGCTCTTGGCCGCCTGCGCCTTGTCAGGAGGTGGTTTGCCCTCAGCCAGCGCCTGCATGCATTGACGAGTCCTACTGTGAACACCATCTGCGCCGATGATGATCGAACCCTTTACGGTCGTGCCATCGGCGCAATCGACGCTCACCTCGTCGTCAGACACATTTATGTTAACAACGCGTTTATTCAATTTGATACGACTTTGCACGTCTTTAGGTAGGGTATTGTGTAGAGCCTCGACGAAACGTGGCCGATGCGTTACCCGTACCCCATAGCCGTGGCTATGTACGGTGGCTGTTAACACCTCTACTTGTACAGACTGGGGCGGGTGACCTACTTCTTCTCCACAATGGTATTGGGTGACATTTCTGAATAGATAGTGCCGTCATCGGCGGACATAGTAACGCCCAGATTGATGTCGTCAATGACTAGCTTCACGGCGTCTAGCAAGCCCAGTTGGTCGAGGATACGGAAGGTCGGCGGCCACAGGGTAAGGAGTGAGCCAATCTCGGGGAACAAGCTTTCGTGTTGCTCTAGTATGACGAATTCGATATCGGCTTTTGAGAACATATGGGCGGCGGTGAGTGCCACGAGACCGCCACCCACGATGATAACCCGAAAGGGTTTTTGCGATGACGCCATGGCCAAATCGATACCGTGCTAATCCTTTTGGTATATTACATATAATATGCAAGGTACAAGGCAGTGGGAAGCTGGAGGTTTAAGACACGCAGATAGTGTGTTGATCGACGCGTTTTTGAGGTGTATATATTCCCGGCTCCTCCGGCCGGGAAGGCCATTCTTAGATAGGTAGTTAGATCAATCCCTACCTATTTATATCTAGTCGGTAAATCCCGGCATTAGTGAGTCTAGCTGTCTGGGCGACAATATGGCCAAACAAGCGCGACGGGTGGATATTCTGGAGCAAACATCTCTTTTCGAGACTAATGGGTGCTCCATCCTCCATGAATCTTAGCAGGTTAGGTATCAAGAGAATCAATTCGCGTCCCGAGGTTTTGGGTACTCGGAACTTTCTGCCTAAGCTTTTACCGGATTAGGTATAGCTCGTTTGCCTTAGCCACCTATCGGGAAAATCTCGATAAAGGCATCTTCTGCCCCTTGCTTGCCGTATCCGGTAAAAATACAGCTGGAGGTAGGTACTGGGAGTTATTTTCCTCCAGTTTTCCTCCAGTTGGTGAACGGAAGAGGTAATTTGGCTGGTCGTTGTGTAATATTCAACAATCCAAAATATCCTTTTATCCTATATACCACCAATACGGGTTGCGCTAAGCTAATAATACCTTGGAACTCTTACTCTTACTAAGACAGCTACATGGGTGCCTAAGGATTTACCTCCTTCCGCTGTCCTTCAACTGTCCTTCAACCTATTGTCAACCTGCATGTCAACTACAACACCATGCAACGCAATACAACCACCATTTTACCCCTCAAACTAACCGTCATGAAGGAGTGACGAGCTGAACTTCACATGACACCGCTATTCCTTGCTTGTTTCCTTGGCTATTGCTGACGATACACTCGCCTCTAGCTTGTCTTATGTCCAATTCACCCAATGCAAGAAACCCACCACGCAAACTGTCGGCCTCATAACCCTTGGCTCGCAGCACGCTGGTTGCTACGCGAGAGCTATCGCCATCGTAACACAGCAACAAGATTCGCTTGCCTTGCACTAAAGGATGCGCATAATCGCTCGGAGTTTTGAAAAAGTCCTCTAGCTTCAGCCACAGTGCTTCCAGGACAGTCGGGTCTGAGAACGGACTGGGTTTCGACGGATCCGCAAACGGTAAGTTCACAGACCCGGGCAGACTGAATCTGTCAAAGTCGGCAGGTTGCCTGAGGTCAATGATTATTGCACCATCCTTGACGGCGATAGAACCGCCGAGACTCTTTTCATCTACTATTTCCAACTTTGGGTCTGATAGTGGCCCATTTTGGGATGGATGTCTCTTCACATCTAGGAATAAAGGCAGAGCAGCTTCCGCTTTCTTCTCCCATGCCTCGTCATATCGGTAAAGGTCAACCTTAGTCAAGGCCTAATTTCTGAGTCAGCACATCTATTCGAGCTTGATTTTCTAGTTTGAGCGTATCAATACGTACCTCGTTCGTGATCGAGGGGAAGTGTTCAGGGCTTAATTTGTCGAAGTATTCGTTAATGTATTGGTACGGAAGGTCGCAGCAGAGGAATACGCAATGGATCTCGCCGTCTGCACCCGCAAAATCCCGAAGTTTCCCTGCAGCTTTTTGCTTCTCGATGAACTGAAATAAGCCCTTAAGATTAAACCCGGAGGATGGGCCGCATACAATTCCTTCGCGGCATAGGTCTAATGACAACGAGAAGGAGTCATGTGACCCGACCTCCTCAATATGATCCACCGCCGATTTCCAGGGGAACTCGACGGGGGCAAGGAGGGCGAACGATCGAGGGCCTGGTACCCTATCACCTGCTGCGGTACAGACTCTGTCCATTGTCAACAAGTCTTCTTCAAGTGAGATTAAATTATGGGCGCACAAACCCTAATCGGAAGACTGAAGGCCTCGCTTCCTTGAAGAACATGCCTAGACCCGTCATGGTCCCTGAAAGCTGTCAATAGAGTACAACTTTCTCAATATCACTGAATCCTACCTGATGTACCCATGCCAGCACAGATCAAGTTGATCTCTGGTAATTGCATGAGGATTTGAGGGCCTGTCCATCTGACATGCGATTTCCAGTTCTATTAACGAATCAGCTCTACTGACCATGAAGAGCGGTAGCTTCTATCCTACGGCGTCATTTTCGTATTGGTTTGGATTAATGATGGACTCGTTACTTTCAGCCATCCTTTCGGCAGCTCTTATTCCGCCGCGCTCGTCCGTTGGTTCGGGTTGGGACGGGCCGCCAAAGAGTGTGCTAATGTGATGTTAGCCGACAACCTCATTGAGCAATGGACGGATGAGCTCACATGTCAAGGCCGAAAAACTGCATCAGCCGCAATTTGGCCATGCTTGTCTTGTTGCTCAAAAATGCACGGACATCCGAAATGTCGTGGAAGACTCGTGAGATGAGAGACATGGATATTACGGTTGACCCCGAACTATATTCGATGACGGTGTCGGTTTTGCCCGGCACCACGCTCTTCTCCAAAAGATTCAGTGCTAGTATATTCTGTCAATATCCTCGCATGTATGGGAATCTGACATGTAAACATACCCGGCATGGACTTTACGTTGTTGGCCGGATGCATCGTCATCATCTTCGCGTATATCCTTACCCCATCGCGCCGATATGGGTTAAGCTTGTCTGGAATCTCCACCAGTGGTAAAGGGGGGGTCGAGTCCGGGTCGAAATAGTCCCGAACTGAGTTTGGGCCTTTGTAGACATTGAGGAAATTTTGACTAGGCATGGTCGAAGGTTATTTAGCCTGGTCTGACGAGTCTCTTCCGTTATGAGAACATTGAAAGACAGACATAAATACCTACCATACCCGAAGAACCTTGGAGGTGGTCAGCGATTTAAATACATCCACTGGATCATATTCTCTCCGGTCGACCTACCGGTTATCGACATAGTTACCACGATATTACTTAGTCACATCCGCATCTCCAGCCGCGTCATTCTACATATTAGGCCAATAACCTAAGAAGACCCTGTTTCACAGATGTCCCTCCTGGATTAGCGACCCGGAAATGTGACGAGTAGTCTGGACTATCCCCTTTCCTCGGTAAACGACAAGGTTTCCTTGGTTAGATTTCTTGGCCCTTCGGCTGATCGACATGTCGCGATGATGGATGATGGAATCTTGGAAGATTTCGATGCAAGAGGATCGTTCAGGGGTTCCAAGTTATGGAGGTTACGGACGATTCTCGTCCAATATTCGCTAGCATGAGCAAGTAACGCATCGAAAGAACCTTACTTTCGATATCCGCATTCCTGGGCTGCCGTTACTAATGGGTTACAGTCTAACGCGGACCCCTGCACGAGGCACTTTGAGGTTGTTTTCGACCAATGAGGCTGAGAAGACATCCCCTGCCATCTCCGTAGTGCGTGTGCATTGGTGTTAAACCTTACCATCTAGGTAGTTTTAGGTGGGATTGAAGAAGACCCCATGCGGCTATACCCACATAGGTTAAATGTGAACTTCCTCATGAAGCCCTAGAGATTCACCTTACGCAGTAGAATCTCACATGCAGAATGGGAACATGAAGCCTTGATCACTAACCCCTAGTACTCCCTAACATCCCGCGTTGGCGTGCTTGGCTAAATCAATCTAAAACTTCTCAGTATATTTGCTCACGGTAATTCCTTTAGAATTCGTTCGCAAGAGGTCGAAGCCCTTTACTTCCACTGCTTGCTTCTCTAGCTCCGGGTGGCAGCGTGGCAGCCCGGGACCGGAACTCCACCAATATTCTATCTCACCGATACGCCAATGACATTAAATTCGGCGCTCGTGTCTCGCAGCATCTTTTTAAAAGTTATTGTCTCTATTTCTTTCCGTTCAATAGTCGGAACCAACATCAATTAATTACTCAATAAGTGGCTCTTGGCCCGGTCTGTATTAGCGGGTCTCCTCGACTATTAGACCTCTGCCGCCATCAAGGTCCTGCTCAACAAGTATCCCTTTGTGCTTACCTCGCGGCCTGCATCTTAGACTAACAAGGGTACGGTCTTCTCGCAAGTTATATGGAAGCAGTTTCTCGTCATTCGCTCATGTCGATTCAATTTTATGACAAACTAGACAGTCGATTGCATCGTCCTACGAACTAAGTATCTCATACAGCTGCATCAAACCATGGAAAAAGATGTAGTGGGATATCAAACCCGGTCCGACGGCGTTATAAGTGCCACCGTTGCGAGAGGAGAGCCAAGGGCCGCGGACACCAAAGGGGGTTCGGAGAGTGAGACTGAAGTCAAGCACGTCTTCAATGAGCAAACTAATTATGTCCCCAAAAGGACGATCATTACCGTGAGCCCACCAACGCCGTTCCATCTCGCTGTGGCTAACATTTTCAAGATATTCCTCGCCTGTTCTACTGTAGACTTGCTAGCTCTCATGGACCAAACGACTCTAGCCGCGAGTTTGAATATCATCGCAGATTCACTGAAGTCAAGCGATCAAGCATCCTGGATCGCCAGCGGATATTTCATGTCAGCCTCTACCCATCAATAACTGGTTCTTTACTGGAGCGACAAGCTTACCGTTTTTTCTCAGCACTTCGACCGTCGGCCAACTCTTGTACGGCAGACTCTCGGATATCTGGTCTCGTAAAGTGATCCTCCTAATTGGTCTAGCTATCTTCTTCCTCGGCTCCTTGGCAGCATCGCTCGCTCAGACGGTCACCCAATTAATTATCTTCCGGTGCTTCACCGGTGTCGGCGGTGGTGGCCTGATGACCATAGCCCAAACGATTGTCAGCGACGTGGTGCCGCTTCGGGAGAGGGGCAAGTACCAAGGCATCCTAGTACGTCTATCCTACGACTCCTTATACCCGACTCCAGCTCCATTCTAACCAGCTACCCAATTAGGGGGCGGTCGTTGCCATTGCTAACGGAATCGGGCCCGTGATTGGTGGCGCCCTTTCTTCCATCTCGGAGGACTCTTGGCGGTGGATCTTCCGTCTGAACTTGCCCCTTACCTTGTTGACCACTTGCTGTGTCGTATTCATCATGCCCCTCAAGAAGGTCGACGGTGACTGGAAGGTGTAAGAGATCTCCTTGCTCAAAATTGCGACGTTACGTGCTAACTGGAGCCTCGGTAGAAAATTGAAAGCCGTCGATTTCATCGGAATCGTTCTTACCCTAGCTGGTGTATCTGTTCTAATGTTAGGCCTTACGTGGGGTGGCTCTGAGTACCCGTGGGACTCTGCTGCTGTTATTACAACTTTGGTTCTTGGCTTTGTCCTTTGTGTCACCTTCGTCTTATGGCAGTGGCGAGGACCTCGATACCCCTTAGTACCTTGTCAGTTCCCTAACCGTCAATCTGCTTTCGTTCCTGTATATGGCTAACCACAGACGCAGTACACATCTTCAAGTCCAAGATTGTTAATGGCGCATGCCTTACTATGGCCGTCAATGGGTGGAATTTCGTTGTCCAGGTGTATTACATACCCACGTTCTATCAGCTTGCCTACGGCTACACGGCGACTAAGGCTGGCGCTATGCTACTACCAATCACACTTATACAGACGCTTAGCAGTACATTATCCGGCTTGGTAGTCCATTGGGTCGGCAGATACCGCGAATGCATTTTATTTGGCTGGGTTTGTTGGGCTATCGGCCTTGGTTTAATGTCAACCTTGGACGAAAACTCGGGGGTTGGAAAGCAAATTGGATACTCAATCATCATCGGTGTAGGGGTAGGCAATACCCTTCAGCCGTAAGTCCCCTATAACCTTCCGTTCACATCCGAGAGAGACATCCGGGTTGACTAGTAGCATTTAGCGCTTTAATAGCTTGCCAAGCTGGGGTGGCACGACGGGACATGGCTGTCGTGACGTCTTTTCGAAAGTAGGCGCTCCGGTTTTTTCATTTGTGTACCAATCTAACGATGTTACTAGTTTCGTACGGAACTTGGGTGGGACGTTTGGACTGGCTATCTGCGGCACCTTACTGTGAGTGATCACCGGCAAACAAAAAGAATTATTGAAGAGGCCACTCATATTGACCTATCATCTAGGAACAATATCCTAAAAAATTCCCTTTCGTCGCTAAACACTAACGAAGCTGACTTCAAAGATCTCCTTAGCAGCCCTCAATCCTATTTGTCGACTCTACCTGCGGATGAGGCCCAGAGAGTCCGCTCAATGCTAATCCCTGCGTACCGTCGAGGTTTCAGGGTGATATTCCTTGTGGGAGCATCGCTGGCTGCTCTCGCGTTCGTCATCGCATGGTTTATGATGCCTCAAGTCGAATTGCGTCGTCCTGACGATGAAAAGCTCAAAGAAGAGGGCCGAAGAGAACATGCCGCAAAGCAGAACGCTCCGGCTCCTTGAACCTAGTTAGCGGTCTCGTTATTTTCTAGTCGGCCTAAGCACCTACAGCATAAGCGTCAGTTTTCACTGTCATCTAGCAGAGACGAGCAACTATTTCAAGTAAAAATTTCGCCCGGAGTTGGGGTAGCCACCCGATCAAACAAGAGTGATCTCCTGAACTTTCCATAATCCGTTCTTTTCTCCCTTGACCACATCGAGATTTATAAGCCCAGGCAACCAACAGCATCCTACGAACCGATAGAGGCCTTCGGTTTGATCGATGGGTCTCAGCAGGTATGGCACACCTGACCCTATTAATACAGCTACTTGATCCCCAAAGCGCAAGTCGCAGTTTGTACCTGTACTCCCCATCAGACCTGACACCGTGACAAAAGGCCTTCGATAGTCGCAATTGAGCCCTAAAGTTGAATCTAAACTGGCTACCACGCTCATGAGAAAAGCAGGATCTCTTGCTAATGGTAGTTCATTTTCGCGATCCGTCACCAGATCATAGTGTTGGCTTAGCTCTGTCTTTTCACCTGGCAACTCGTGAAGGAGTGAGAGTTTCCAGGCGGCGCGCCTCTTAGCTTGTGTTTCAAATAACTTGTGCGCGCAATGCTGGCGTTCCATCTCGTCTTCCCATTCAATGAGACGCGCACGAATAGTCTTAGCCCTTGCGTCAATTGACTCGACAAAAGATGTCTCAAACCGTTTTCCTATATGTCCAATGCCTCGGTCAATGATAGTACCTCTAATGGTGATTTGGCGAAGGTCGTCCGAGAATAGAGGCGGATTTGGTGATGGGATGATGCCCTTAAACTCATGGACTTGCATATACATCATAAGACCCATAGACAGCCTTGAAGCGGCTTCGCCTTGCAACTCGGCAACCCAACTCGACGCCCAGGACGGCAGGCCATCCATCGGTTTCGCCACGGAGCAGAGAACCTGGGAGAGCATGCCGCTCCGAATCAAGAAGATGCTTAGATCCCTAAACACTTCAGCTATCGGTTTCATGTAGTCGACTTCAAGTAGCTTCTCGCGCCGCACGTCGTCGCCCTTCACCAGTCCCAGAATGCCGAACAGCCTGTCCCTAGGCTCCGTCCACTCGTGGAATCGAGTCTGCCAGAGCAACTCATTCAGCTCTACGTGAGCTCGCGACGGGTGTTCGCCTCGCGCGTCGGAGCCGCGAATTCGAACCCGGCACCTGAGTACGCTATCCAGCCTAGCCGCACCGCTCAGCCGCCAGAGGTGCGTGTATCGGCCAAGCTGGAGCCTGCGCAGCGCATCCGCGGCTTGCACAAGCCGATCCCAACCTATCCGCATATCGCCGTAGACAACCGTACCCGTCTTCGCGAGCGTGATCTCCTGCAGGACCCAGATGCGGTTGAACCACGGACGGTAGAAGAACGTGCGCAGCAGCCGCAGCGCGTAGATCGGATCGCCCGTCCGGTCTAGAACCGCGGCCGCGGCCTCGGCCTCGGTATCTTGGGGCCTTAGATCGGCCAGGGCGTCTAGTAACCCGCGCAGCTTGGCCTCGACGCGGTCGTCGTCGACCTGGTCGGCGTCGCTGAGCTCTTTCACGCGGCCCAGCCACACGATGACGGTTTCGGCGCGGCTGTAGATCGCGCTCATGCGCCGCACCTCCTGGCTGCGCTCCGCGGTGCTGGTTTGGTTGATGCATAGCGCGTCTATCCACACGAGCCGTTCCTTGTCTCGGAGACGCAGGGCGCGGAGCGCGGATTCCAGATTGGTCGTTACGCGGAACGGGCGGCTGTTGAGCGTGATGGGGGTCCTGGTCCTGGCGTCGCCCCATACGTAGGAGAGCGCTTCGTACTCGGGGCCGTGAGTTTCGTCGCTGGGAAATGGGAAGTTGGAGACTGTGCACTTGATTTTCTTGCGTTTTCCGCCCGGGTGGATGGTGACGAGGCGGATTTGAGAGCCGTCTGCGGGTAGAGGCTCGTAATCGACTGTGTTTGCGGATCTTGCCATTGTGATGTTAATCCGCTAGTAGACAGCCAATATCCTATATTAACAATAACACACGAGTGTAAGATGTTATTGAGGTGCTGTCATAATATAATACATCCTTCCTTTTGCACAGCCCCCTAGTCTCTCAGCCCCTCACGGCGGTGCCCTCACAGCCCGAAGCTACCCTAGTTATTCCACTTCTCCGTAGGCAGGAAATTCTTATAAAAAAGAAGGAAAAAAGAGAAAAAGGACCTCAAGTGTATACCAGGTACCTTATCCATGCTCTGAAATGTTGCAAAGACAGGACACAGCATTTCACGATATTCCAATACCTTGACATATGTAGGAAAATCTAGAAAGGGGCTAGCTTTCGCTCTTTTTACTCTTATTTACCTATGCCAAGAGGTACTCTGCAGAGCGTAAGCTGAAGCAGCAAACGGAAAGATAATATCCCTTGTGCCGAATTAAAAAAAACTTCATTCTTTTGCGATGCCGAAACAAATGAGAGAAATACACGGAAATATTCCATTAAGCGATGAAATTTACTTAAGTACCATTCGCTATTTAATATGAGAATTGAAGATTGCTACAAGTTATATTTGAACGGCTTCAATGTAAGTTTCGTTGACGACCTTAGTATGAGGTTAGATCACATTGTAAGTATACTACTGTCTACGAATGAGAGTGTCAGATATCATACCCGGTACTGCTCGAGTTACACCACAGCCTGTGGTATCATCCTGTTTCCTTGTGATTTGCTCTTGCTGCGATCTTCACGGGTCGTTGTAGAATTTGGCTTCGTAATACAACTTCAGCCCCTTTTTGGACGAATACCCCACCTCTGACGTCTCAATGGCGAATGTCATAGCTAAGAGATAAGATTGTCTTGGGCATAGGTATACTCCATGATCCGCTCTAGAACTGTCATCCTCGTCTTGTATACTAGGGAAACCCTGTAAAGGATATTGCCCGTTGCGATTATTCCCCTAGAATATTCTCAATTTATGATATATAACCACCTGGTAGGACGAAATGTCTGTTGTTCTCCAAGTAGCAACCACTGGGAAGAAAGTCAGTGAAGATGAGTTGCGCCCAATTATCACGAAGGCCGGGTTGGAACTTTCGGAGCCACTCCTCGAAAACTTCAGCACGTTGATATCTTCCTTGGATAAGGCCATCTCGGCTCTACCCGATGATAAAAGTGTCTTGCCACGCCCTAATCTCGCCAAGTATCCGCGTACGGATGTCCATATTCCGGAGGACAATGACCTAGGTGCATGGGCAACGAAAGTAAAATCTCGCACGACTCCTAGCAATCTACGAGAAGATTCTAATAAGACCATAAATAGGTGACCGTAAAATGCACAAGCCCTACCAGTGATCTGCTGAAGGGCCGAACTTTGGCACTAAAGGACAATATAGCTCTGGCCGGAGTTCGCTGCACAAACGGAACTTCTATGGTAGATTGGACCCCGGAGATTGATGCGACAATTGTTACTAGGGCTCTAGATGCCGGAGCTGTAATCGTTGGCAAAGCTGGTGAGATCTCCCCTCCCAATATATCTTTCGCATATCTAGGAAGCTTGTGACACTAAGGGTTTGTAGCTTGCGAGAACGCATGTATGGAAGGAATGTCCGGCACTTCCGTCACAGGACAGGTCCATAATCCATATGCCAAAGGGTACAGTGCCGGAGGCTCCAGCAGTGGTTCAGGACGCCTCGTGGCGACTGGGTCCGTCGACCTTGCTTTCGGCGGAGACCAAGGCGGCAGCATTCGTATTCCGGCGTCGTCTTGTGGTATAGTAGGCCTTAAGCCGACCTGGGGTCTGGTTCCCTACACGGGTATCCTGGGTCTTGATGCAACTATCGACCACGCAGGACCATTAGCGAAAAATGTGAGAGATTGCGCTCTACTCCTCGAGGCAGTCGCGGGATCGGACGGATGGGATGATCGCCAGCCATCGATCGGACTTGAAGGGGATAAGTTGAAATTTGTGGCTCCCGTCGACACCGTGCTTACTAAAGAAACATCGAAGATGCTTGAAGGTGTCAAAATCGGTGTGCTAAATGAGGGTTTCGAAGTTCCCGGACAGGATCCCAATGTCGTTGAGTCCGTCCGGTCCGCGATCGATAAATTCAAATCTTTAGGGGCTGAAGTCGTCCCGATGTCTGTGCCCGTGCACAAAGACGGCCCCTTGTTGTGGACCTGCGCCCTACCCCTATCGGGTGGCCGGCAGTCTCTCCTCGGCGATCTGGACGGGAGGAAGCAGCTTTACTTTACGGACAGAGCTGATCTCGTAGGGCCTAAGCTAACTCAACGTCAATTTGACGCCCTTGGACCTGGAGCGTCGAACTTGTATCTAGGATACCTGTGGATCCAGGAGAAGTACGGCGCCAAGGTCCAGGGGCAAGCGATGAACCTTCTGAAAGCTGTCAACGTGAGAATCCATGTACGACACATCATCGATATATATAAACTAACCAGCGTTATAGGATGCTTATGAAAAGGCTCTGAAGGAGTTCGATGTGCTCGTTATGCCCACCTTACCTTACCCGGCACCAAAACTGCCCGAACCTGGCTCGGATGAAGGCCCCTTGAACTTCTTAGCCAGGACGACAGGACTGATCGCTAATACGTGTCCTTTTAATAGTAAGTAGAGTAACCAACTGCTAAATTGAAAGTGGGAGCTGACAATTTGCGCGAAAAGATTCGGGCCACCCTGCCATATCGCTCCCTGTTGGTTTTGTACCCGCTCGAGAAGATCCGAGCTTGAAGCTTCCAACAGCCATGCAGATAGTAGGTCGCAAGTTTGCAGACGTCGATTGTTTGAAAGTTGCAGCTGCGTGGGAAAGGGCATTTGACTGGAAAAAGTTCTAAAGGCAGGAGCGAAGGCTCTAGTTCAAGTCTCTGCTGTAATGTCTGTGCATAGATGATGTGTGACGACAAGTCTTGGATCCCAACCAAACCACAGCTTTCATGAAAATTGAATCTTATATTTTGAACCCTTCATTATCTTAATTTATTAGGTGCAGGTATCTCCCTAGCAGACATACCCAATTAGTGATTACTATATTACAAATATTCACTGTTTATCAAAAGTCAAGATTATGCTCTCATAATCAGCCTGCGGCCAAGTCAAACTCAACCCGGTATTCATTAAAGTCGAGCCGGACCAGCTCTGCTCCCAAGTCCCGTTGCTAACCTTATATTTAGCACCCGAGTCCAGACCCTGTAACTTCAGTGGGGGTGGTAGAGGCTTAAGAGCGGAGCGGACTTGGAATGCGAATAGGACAGCAGAGTCGAGTTCTGGGGAGACGAACATAGCAGCGGGCCAATTGGACTGGTCTGGCAGCGCAAGGCGATAGAAATCACCATTAATGACGATGGGATTAATCTTTTGTTGCGTGGCGATTAGTGTTGGGATCGCATCGAGTTCTTCTTGGTCCAGCTTAGAAGGATCTAGTTCAAGACCGAAAGATCCGCACATAGATGCCACTGCTGCTCGGAAAGCCAAAGGGGTGGTGCGCCCAGTCTGACCGTTGGGAACGGCGCTGACATGGCAGCCCATTGCCGAAGGTGGATAGGGGTAAGACGTCCCAAATTGAATGTACAACCGTTCTAAACCGTCCGTGTCGTCGCTCGTCCAGGTTTGGGGCCAATAGTGAAGCAGGCCAGGATCAAATCTAGCTCCTCCGGAAGCGCATCCTTCCCATAAGATCTCTGGATGAGCAGTTGTGAGGTTGTCAATGACGTGGTATAGCCCTAGCATGTACGCATGATTTGCAGATGGAGACGGCATCTCATGCATACCACGGTTATTGTCCCATTTTATGTATCGAATGGGAGCAGAATCGAGTATCCCTTCTATTATTGTGATGATATAGTCCTGCACTTCCGGAAGACCTAGGTTCAAGACCAGTTGATTTCTCTGTAGCGTACGGTTGTGAGTTCCCGCGTGCATGGCCCAATCCGGATGCGCTTTATATAGGTCAGAATCGGGGCTGACCATTTCCGGCTCGACCCAAAGTCCGAATTGCATGTGTTCGGAAGAATTGCTGACAGTGATATTGTCCACTTGTTCGACATAAGGCCCCAGGCCATCCGGGAACTTGGCTGGGTTCGGAGTCCAGTCACCTAGACCTAAGCTGTCGTTATTTCGGGGATAATCTGTGCCAAACCAACCGTCGTCGTTGACAAATAAGGTGCAGCCTAGGCCTGCAGCTTCCTCGGCCAACTTCACCATTGATGACTGGTTAAAGTCGAAACCAAGGCCTTCCCACGAGTTCAATAGGGGTGGCCGTGTCTCGAACGTGTGGTTCGACCGAGACAAGTGGTTTTTATAGAGTGAATGGAAAGATCTTGACATTCCACCCAGACCCTGTTCCGAGTAGACGGAAACCACTTCAGGTGATGTAAACGTTTCACCCGGAGCCACGGGCCATGAGAGATGCAAAGGGTTCAGACCAAGGAGAACTCGAACCCAACCAGTAGACCACCGCTCGACGTCGGCGGAAAACGAACCGGTGTAGACTAGAGAGTACCCCGTCGCTGAACCAAGAGACTCGGTAGTTGTCGGGGGTGATAGAGCGACAAAAGGGTTGTGGAAGTGAGACGAGTAGCCCGCTGAGGAGCGGAAGCTATTTATGGACATCAGCCAAGATTCACGCATTGGGAATGCACTAGATGAAGCACAGAAGCATAGCTTACCCTTGTTCTCCGTAGACAACCGGCCGCCTATTAATTTTTGCCTCCGAAGCCCAGTCGCCGTGAAGATCAAGCATTTCAAGCTCCTCATTCGGCATATCTATGCTCCAACTGCTGGCCCTCAACACCGTGATGTCTTGACTTCCATTGTTCGCAATTTGGAAACTACGGGTAATTGCATTGTACCTAGGGAAGATAGAATAGTACAGGTCCGCAGAGACGTCGGAGTAGTTGTCATATAGGTGCACGGTGAGCGTTGATACATCCCCTTCGCTGCCGTAGGTGGCAGGTAAACCTGGGAGAGAGGGCTTGCCGGGACTAATGTCGTAGCCCGTATAGGAGAATGCGGACACGGTATCTCCGTCGGAGTGCTGGATGTGGATTGCGGGGACTCGGAAATCTCCACGGCCGAGGTCGGGGAATTCGCGGCGACGGTAGGTGTAGGGACCACTCCATCCAGACGTTACTCCGTTAAAATCCGGGACGGTCTCAGCCGAATAAGCCCCCCAATGATCGTGGACCAGGTCCAATGTCAACGGATCAACATGGAACTGGTACGAGATGTTGGCAGAAGACAGAGTAAAGGAAGGGCCATCATCGCCCACCGAGATCCCTGAAAGAGGTTAGTGATTTATCCGACTAAATGTATTTCTGCAGTCTACATAGTAGAAAGGTGAAGGTGGTCCTTACAATTCGCGGTACCCTGGCATGACCCCAATAAGGGGAGCAAACACCCGACCAAGTTGGTGGTGAGGGACCGTTGAGCCTTCATGATTGACCTTGTTCGAAGAACGAGAAAAGATCAAGCATTCCGGCCTTCGGTTAGCTACGTAGGCGCACATTTTATATTTCTTTTCTTTTTGATCCTTCGGGTAGGATTAAGGCGACTCCAGCCCGAGGTGCCGGAGATTCTCATCCTTGTCCGGCCGTTTTCAGCTTGGCTTGTACGTAAGCATCATGAGAAGCCTCACAAATCCCGAAAGAGGGCATCACCGGCGAATATCCTGAAGAGCTAAAGACTCCATCCCCACGACTTGCTAAGTGCTAGCATGGTATTTTCCCACTTTGAACCTTGGAGTTTGTTCTAGGAGATGGAGAAGAAGGCGGGCATCCCCCACGAACAGCTTAGTTTTGGGTACTACGTCGGTAGCTACTCCGCACAGTCATTTAGGCCGTCATGAGGAGCGCAAGAGCCGTGCGGGGAATGTGGTGCAGCTGTGGCCTGTAGCTGAGAAGCTGGAAAGAGCTGGGAGGACGCTGGCAGGATTTTGTTTAGGCGTCGCTTGGCTCTTTTTAGTGTATTTAGCTGCCGATCTTCATTCGCCGAATCTTCTAGCCCGCTCTCCCCTCTCCCCTCAGTCTTCATCGATGGGCAACAGCGAGTTATACTATTCATCAAACCTTCCCACTTCTCTGGTAAACTCACGACAATGGCATGATCCTTGCTTTTAACCGTAGAAAGGCCGTGATACGGCTCCGAATGGCCCGTAAGAACAGCACGATCAGCTGGTGTTGTGCAGTACAGAATAATTGCCCATGAAAGCCACCCCGCATCTCACATAAGCCTACAGCGCTGCCAACTGCCCTAGAAATATGACTGCGTATCGTAATGGATTCTCGACATTTGTTGAAGACGACAGTATTCTGACAATCCACGGTAGATATATTGGATATAATTCCGAGCTATTCGATGCCCTCTATCGCCCCCGAAATGAACTCATGTCAATGTCCAGCTGTCTTGCTAAAAAACAAAAATAAAAATAAAAAAAAACACGGCGAACTTGGCTCGAGCATCGAAGATAACCGGGTAAATGACGAGAGGCAGCCGAGAAATATACTGACAACAGCTGTCATTACATCATTGCCACTGGCGATGCTTGACCTGGCAGAACATGACGCCGTATGTAGTGCCTGGGCAAACATATCGTACCTTGAAATCGAAAGGGACCATCATCATAGGCTAAGACAGTGCAACTCGAAAGCGAATTCGCACCGTGGGGCACTTTCTCCAGTGGCTGAATTCCCCAAGCTTTACCTCTGTCATCCACTAAATCTCAGCAGATAGATCACTATTAGGTCTTAGCTTAAGGCTCGCACAGTATTAATTACCTGGTGACGGTATTAGTGACTCATCGGATCACGCACTGAACAGACTGAAGAAACTATGATAAACTGGATGTGCAAACATTCGGTCGAGATTTTCGTACTGCATCCATCTTTATAAGTTCTCGCGTGAAACTGATCTAGCCAGGACATCGCAGAATGAAGTCTTAGACGGAATTACCTAGATCTCTATTGGGAGGCCCTTCTCAATTCGAGCCACGAATTACCGGTAAGTCAAGAACACTCATGAATTCAAGAAATTGTATATTAATCAGACTTCGGCTCCTAGCTCTTCTAGATCTGAACAATGTCGGCCATCTTATTAGGACGGGCAGGGCGAGGTACGGTTACTCGTAGCTTGGCTCGCGTTCGCCCATCTATGGCATCAACTCTTCTTACTCAAAGAGGACCAACCATGGCGATGCATAACACGAATTCGACGAACACAGCTTCTTCAACTCCCTCAAACAACACTGGCCAGTCGGCAAGCATCAACCAACCACCATTTGAGCGCCGTGCCTTTGAATTTGATAAAGGGTTCTTCAAAGAGCATGCAAACGATCCCGAGATACTAGATCCGCAGAACTCTAACGAGGACTTGGGTTACCGGATTCCGACTCATCGTTTCCAATTTCGAGGTTTAGCCATCTTAACTGAGAGTCGCACCGCCGTATCCGCGGCTGCGATCAAGCCTGACAAGCCGTACAACGACTGCCCGTCTCGTAAGGTGCATAACGAGCAACAAAGAACCCTCTGGCAACAGATACGGGAAGAAGCCGAGAAAGACGACAACATCCCTACAGCCTTATTCTCACCTCCGCGGACATACGTCGAAGTGCGCGTGTCTAAATACCCTATGACGCGCTACTGCTGCCCCTGCAGTATCGAGGAGACTGATTGCGAGGCCATCAAGATCCGTGCACCAAAGGACTCGCCAGATGGGATCACGAAGAGCATGTTCATTCAGCAAGTGAGTGACGCATTGTACGGACGAGGCCCAGAAGCGGACGGGGACGGGGATAGCGAGAGCGATGGCTACAAGATAGGAGGTGAAGAGGACAGGCCTGTCGTCGAAAAGTTTGATTATATGCTAGGTCCCGGCGATGATGCTAGACTCATGGGACATATCTTCGCCTTGACTAGAGGCATTGTGACAAAGCAACAGGCGTAATAACGTCCGGTGCCAAAGATGGAAATAATCACCCCTCAATAAACTAAACGCCACTCATGAACAAATTAGTTACTGCAAATGATAGCCTCGTCTGGTGAGCTCTAGCAGCGGGAGTGAGATATCTCGGCCCACGTTATTGGCTAATTAGGAGATAAAGTTATTATGTAATGTTAAGTTCGATGATGGGGTACTTAGGAGCTTCTCATCGCTTCGGCGGCGTCGAAAACTCGGAACTCTGAAATCTCACGAGTAAGACGCCCAGCCAATTAAGGATGTCGTGAACCTCAGAATAGCACCTAGTCTGGAATTCTTCGATCCTTTGATGTAGTAAGGACGTTCGAAGTGGCACCACAACTGAAACGTTTCATTAAGAAGTTAAGAACAAAATAGATCGGCGCAGCGCTAAGCTTTTGGGTGTCAATTGCAGTACCGACGGCATGAAGTCGAAATTGCTATACGATAATGCGCTTAGGGAGAGTATATGTCCTGGGTGATGATGGACGATGATTGTTTCCTTCTTGGGTTCTGCGTTGAATTAAACGCTAGCGGAATACGATAATAATGTCTGGTGTTCTAGGGGGCAGAGGCACATACCGCCATGCGGTAGTGATTATACTAGCGACCATGACACCTTTTTCGGCAATCATATTGCATCCCACCACGCTGGTCCAGAGCAGCTAGAGGGTTACTTCGTTCGACTAATCAGACGTCGAGTATGTTAGCCTACTACGCCCGCCAAGCAACTAGGCTGACATGGATACAATCCTCCCCTGCAGCAGGGCTTAGCTCTTGGTAGGACCGTAGGAAGATATTGTGGTGTTGCTATTAATATGATATCGAGTCCTCTTATTTAAGGGAGATCCAAAGTCGATATCAGTTTCTGTTAGACCTTCATCGTGACTTCAGAAAATACGGCGTCGCATGTCGTGATACCGAGCTTCGGGGACCCCTTTCTCGTCTCCAAACATCTAAATACCCCACCAAGCAATTTGAGGTCGATTCAACGATGCCGATTACATTATCGCCGAAACCGTCCACGACACGGCTAACGAGGACTTCGTTAGTGGCTTCGGCAATCTCGATTCTCCTCGCTACCACCATCTTGGTAGTTTGGCTGGTGCTGCCTCGGGGACAAGTTACCATATGGATGCAAGATATACATTCATGGTTGCTGTCTGAGTTCGAGGGACCTTATACGCCCACCGAAGATCTGTTGATACTGAGCTCGGCGTTCAGCGTGGTGGTATCAACACTTTTGGAAGTGCTTCTTCTATTCGTGCTACGGAACAAGTTAAAGCGGGTAAGAGGGGTTTAAGTTCTTCATGACTAAATATAGGGTACTAATGGAACAATTTTACAGACGAAGACATGGCTTAGGTATACGCTATACACCATACTCTTCGCAAACGCGGCTCTTGCTTTCACAGCTTTTCTCTATGCCTCGGTCAGCACGACCATTGGCGAAGCATGTACCAACGTCACCGGCGATGCCGTGATAAACGAATATGGTCACCAGAGAGGAGTAAATGCGCGGGCGTTGGATCGCGTTGAACTTGAACAGAGCAGCTCGTACGGCGAAGGCCTTCTGTGTGGAAGGAGAATGGTCTCCCGTTGGCTCAGTCTACTAATCTCGTTCTTCTCCATCATCCTCCTAATCTCAGCTTGGTTGGATTTCCGGGAACAGGACCGGCGGGAATCGAAGATTTCACAACTTAGTGCGGGGCCGCTGAGTAAAAAGGGGGCTCTTCCAAGAGGTTTCGTCGAAAATGTAGTATAAGGTTCATACCCAGAGGAATATCAGCATTTATTAATGAAGCATGATCAATCTCAACTTTGATATCCAATACCAGATCTATGCCGCGTCGAAGCTGATGAGAATAGGCGTGGCGTAGTACTAAATTGTTTGAGACGTTTTCTTCGATTATGTCCAGTTCGGGTAACAACATATCGAACAAAAAATGGATACCAACTGGTTTAGGACAAGCAATTACATGACGCAATTTCTCAATTGTATAGGATAATGTGTTTCTAACCTTTCAGCTTGGTCACATACGCTGTACTTCTTATTTCTTACGTGACGTAATTGTCTCACATTCCGAACAGCTCTTTATAGAAGCAATTTTCTTGACAAGTCATCACGAACTCATCTCTCACTGGATGGATATTTGTAAAGTGACTGCAATGTTTGGTAATCTGGGAGGATGTAAAGAAGGCGCCTATTAATGAACTAGAAGGGGAACTGCTCATAATTCATGCTATTCATAATACATAGTGCCTAGGTATTCATGTATGAAAATCATTTTGACCAAAGAAATGTGAGCAAATTCCTAGGTACACTTAGAAATGAGCAATATTTCAAGCTTATTCTCGGTTACCCGGCATTATGCAGGCTGCAGGCTCAGCCTCGACCAGTAAGGTGCTCACGCGGGTAGCCGTCGATCGGGATACCGGGTTTGGGACCAACACGATGACCAAGCCACTTCGATCTTCCCAAAAATGCGGGGAGAAGAACGACGAAGCATCAGTCTCATCTGAGGTCCCAAAACTAGTGCATATCGGCAATTACCGATCAGCCTGTCAGCTAATCTGATATTCTCTTCAATGTCCTCGAACTCGCCATCGTAAAAACTCTTACGTACTTGTACCAAGTACCACATCTAACTCGTCCACTCCTCTGAGTCGAAACCCTCCGCCGAGTCCTACTAGACATGATGAGAGCTCCGAAATCCTACGGCACACGTGTGCGATAGATTTACTCAAAATAGTATGTATGCGGATTGTACGAACATGGTAATCATGTTAACCTTTGTCTCAGTAGATGTCGAGCTAGAGCTCCCTTCCGATGATGTGGCTGAGATATCCGGATAAGACGGGTTGAACAAGGACGTTTAGTGGCTCTAATTGGCTTTTGACTCGTCATCATCACCGTTACAGGCTTGACAGGTACAGCAGCTGGCACATGAGCCAGATATGATTGGCTTCGAGTACAGGATTAGGCGTACATAGGCTTTAGCTGGATCATCGACATCATGACTTCATCAGGCCTTTGTTTAGAACGATGGCCCCGCGATGGTCACCGTCTGCGGCCAAGGGGAGCTTCCTTAAATGGAGGGTTTTCGTCCAGACTCCCAGCCGTTCCCGCTTGCTTAGAGTCGACTCCAAACAACACCTGTGAAACGCATACTGAATCGTACACCTAGGTATCTAATTCACCTTTAGCTACTTACCGAGGTAGTTGGCCATAATGCAGTATAAGAAGGTTCTCCCTCTGGCGGTAGCCTCCATAGTCTCTGCCCAAGACCCAAGCTTAACCGATGCCCTTGGATCTCAGAACTCAAGCTTATCATCTCTAAATGGTATACCAATAGGCTTCTCATCATGTCGGTTTCGTGACTAACCCATGGTAGATCTTCTCTCGTCGAACCCTGAACTTGCTAACTCCTTCAACAACTTGAAGAATGTCACCATCCTGGCCCCTAGCAACGACGCCCTGGATAGCCTCACGAAGGACAACGACACATTAACGGAGTACACCAAATCTGGATATCTACAAGCACTATTGAACTACCACGTGTTGAACGGAACATATCACAACACAAGCTTTACGAATGAATCCGTCTTCATCCACACGGCATTAAGCAATAGCACCTACAGCAATGTAACTGGTGGCCAAGTCATCGAGGCCCGACTCGACGGCGATAATGTCACATTTTTCACCGCTTTGAAGCAGAACGCCTCTATTGTCACACCTGTAAGCATCCCGTCAAATCATAATCCGAATACTGGTCGCTGACTCTTCATCAGAACGTGAACTTTACCGGTGGCACGATTCACATTATCGATAGTCTTCTTCATGTTCCCCAGAATGTGTCAGACACGCTGTCGAATTCCAACCTCACAGCAGCTGAGGGCGCTATCAACACCGCCAACTTGACGGATACCATTATCGACACACATAACGTCACCATCTTCGCGCCTAACAACGACGCTTTCGAAGCGATCGGTAGCATCATCGGCAACCTCTCTTCGGATGACTTGACCAGTATAGTCGGTTACCACGTCATCAACGGCTCCGTGAACTATAGCACCGACCTGAAGAACTCGACGGCCAATGCTGTCAACGGAGAGAAACTTACTATAACAGTGAACAATGGTACCATCTGGGTGAACTCCGCCAAGGTCACTGTGCCCGATATCCTCCTAGCGAATGGTGTCGTCCACGTTATCGACGGGTAAGTTTCTACTCTTTAATTGACTCACCCACTTACAGGTTGCTTACGTATGAATTAGGGTTTTGAATCCCAACAACACCTCCGCAGCCCCTGATACGACAGCTACGTCGGCCACAGCAGCATTTAGCGGTGCTAGCTCCGGAACCGAAGGTGTTCCTTTCACTAGTGGAGTTACAACGCCTACCAGCACCTTCCCCGCTGCTACATCAGCTGGCGGTTCGGCCGAGTCCAGCTCTTCAAAGGGCGCGGCTATGCCTATGAAGACTGGTGCCGTCGGCGCGGCTGCGCTGTTCGGCGGTGCAGCCGTCTTCGTGAATATGTAATGAACTACATTGGCAATTGAATAAGTGGAGAAAAATGGGACGATGTAAGACGATTTTATGAGTTTTACCAAAGGGTTAAGGGGCAATGATAATAAGGGGTATTCATTTCACGTGTACTTTAATTCACGACGCATCGCACGCATACTTAAACCACGTAGCGTTTGATATTGTAGAGTTAGATCTCAATGACAACTCTGACAGTCGTTTACTTCCATGATTACCTATATGTTTTACGCGATCCAGAACCAAATCCTCTCCAAGAAGTTCCTAGGCTTCACCTCTGGCCATGTGCCTTCTAAGCGGTCGATCTCCGCTTTACCGCTCCACAGGTCCATTTCACTCAGCTTAACGAATTTGGTTCGTTTGATAAACTTATACCCCAAGAAAAGACATGCGAAAATCGGGATATCGATATATGGCGGAATGAATGTTTTCGCACTGAATTTTCCAGGGAAGAAAGCATCGTATCCATTGAACAGAGCAACAATAAGACAGAAGCAGACGGCGAAATACGCGAGGAACGGCTGTAGAGGCGACTTGTATGGCAGACTGTCGCGCGATATCCTGTTATAGCGGAGGCCGTAGTAAAAGCGCAGATAAGTAACACAAATGGATGACCAGACTATCAACGTAGAGACAGCCGATATATTGGAGAACCAGAAGAACACGTCCGCCCCTTGATTATTCACGTTCATGTAACATAACAGGCTGATCGCCGTAGTTGCACCGACGCAGGCGTACGGCACGCCCCATTTCTCGTACGTCAGGAACTTGGGCGCTTTTCGATCTAAGGCCGACGCATACAAGACCCGCGTCGAAGAATAGAAGAACGAATTACCGGCAGACCACGCGGAAGTGAGGATGACGGCGTTGATGATGGAGGGAAGAATCTTGACCCCGCCGTTCTCGATAGCGATAACGAAAGGCGATGCCGCGGCACCGGGTGCCGAACTCTGAATAGCGTCTAGGAGGCGCGGGTCTTGCGACGACACGCATAAAGTGACGAGGAAGATGGCTAGCACGTAAAAAAGGGCGATCCGCCAAAACACCCTCCGAATCGCCTTAGGAATATTGCGCCTCGGGTTCTCGGTCTCGCCGCTAGCGATGACGACCATCTCCGACCCGCCGTACGAGAAGGTCGCCTGGATGAAAACCTTCCAGAACGCGAGGAACCGTCCGAGGGCCCCGGTCTCCAAGTACTCGTTCATCGGCCCCGGATCGGTCCAATACCGAAAACCGATCCTCTCGCCGCTAGGCGTTCCGCCGAGCGTAGTGACGAACATAAGAAGGATCAACCCAACAATCGTCGTAATCTTGACCGCGCCAAACGCAAACTCAGCCTCGCCATAGATCCGCACGGGGAAGCAATTAACCAACACCATCGCCAGAAAAAACACCGTCGTCAGCACCGCCTTCGGCACACCATTAGGCCAGTAATCGACCACCACAACCGACGCCGTGACCTCGATCGGACACCCGATAGCGAGCTGGTACCAGTAATTCCAACCCAAGACAAACCCCAGCGCCTCGTCGACGTAGCGCGCGGCGTACACGGGCGCGGCGCCCGGCAGCGGCAGGTGCGCCGCCATCTCGCCGAGGCTGTGCACGACGCAGTACACGTTGAAGGCGGTGGCCGCGTACGCCAGGACCGCGGACAGCGGGCCCGCGAGCGAGAGCACCTGGCCGCTGCCGACGAAGAGCCCCGTGCCGATCGCGCCCGACAGCGCCATGAACTGCACGTGGCGCGACTTGAGCCGGCGGTCGAGGGTCCCGACGTTGCGGGTGTCTTGCTCCGCTTTCAGGTCCGCGATGGCGTCGTCGTGGTTGTTGTTGTTGTTGGCGGCGGCTGCTTTCGCTTTGGCGTCGGCTTTTTGCGCGGCCTCGATGTCCTCCATGCTTGCGACTTTTGCGACGCGCGCTTTACATCGAATAGGTATCCTGGAAGCTGAATCCACGGTGATTGTTATCCAAATAGAGGGTTTATATACCTACTTATCTAGGTATGTATGGATGTCAACTTACTCCGCACGTCGCACATCTTTGTTATCGCGGGGAAGCTCGATTCCCTTTCAGGGAGGTGGTCGGGACCGACCCCAGGCTTCTTGGGTTCTGTTGCGGTCAAGGCGAGCTGACACATCCAGTGACCTATAGTTGCACAGATAACAGTTATTTAGACATCGCATTGTCTTACCTCTAGTATTCCTGGTTTGGATGCAATTGGATCCATTAAAAACTAAGTGTTCCATCTTGTGAAAATACAGGTAAAAATCTGGCTACTGGTTGTCAGCACGAGAAAACCCTGTTATTTAACAATTAATTGAGTGAATGAAAAGAAGTCGTGATTTCTACGAGCTGTTTGAATGCGCCAAGAGAAGTGGTTTTCGAGGTATGGCTTTTTTCATTCAGGAATCTTGACTGGAAGTCTGAAGATATGAACTTTGGCGATACCAGGGTCAAAATGACCATACCAGGTACCTACCGGTATTTCACTTCCACCATCACAATTTAACCACGCTCTCAGCATCATGGTTCCATCCGGGCATATCAGCAAGATCCTTAGCCGACGCATCGCGTCTCGACTTCAAAGGATCGCCTCCCGGCCGCCACTTCCAAGTATCTGCTAGGAGTTCGTCTAGGTTGCCTTCTATCAAGTCCACTACATATTTTCCGATGATGGGTAACAGTTTGAACGTGTGTCTAGAAGATGTTAGAAATAAATCACCGCGTAAGTTGCAACCGAGTCACGTACCCGCTGTCACCCGTGGCGAGGATGAAGTTTTTCCACTTCGGATGCTCGCATATGAGCAGTGCGCCGTCCGCGGTATCTGTGCACCAGCACATCGCTCGGTTGAAGAGCTCCTTCTCGGTGAAGCGCGGGAGGAATGTCGCGATCGCCTTACGTATGGTCTTCTCTGAAGCGTCGGGGTATGTGTCCGTGGGATGCTTGGCGTGAGATCGAGGTACGGATATACGCTTGGGCTTGTCAGCTCCGTATGGCTGGTGTTGTTTGAAGCGAGTGAAGCCTGGGAATTCGTCGCAGACTTTGATTATCCCATCCCTAGGAACTATTAGCACACATAATCATGCTATAGTTTTAGCGCGGCCATCACGCACTCGTTAGGCTCGAAGAAGAAGCCTATGTCTCCGTTATATACGACAGGCGAATCCTTGTACTCGGCAGCCTCTTCAGGCGATAGCTGTATCATGGCATATACCCACGCCTATGAGGTTATTTAGCATAGTATCATCCTGAGGTTAACTTCTAAAACCCACCTTAGAACAGCATTGATCTTCTAGATCCACTAGCACCGGACTCCAGGCTCCGGCAGCAAGGACCACCTTATCGGCGTAGTACTTCGTTCCATCTACCGTCTCAACGCCAATAGTCGTGACACCGTCATCAGCGAAAAGGGGTTGCTTGAAGGATCCAGCACTACTTAAGCGTTAGTGAGAAGTCCCATAGATTCGAACTTCAAGAGAGAGCTTGCCTTCCAAATCCAAACTTGACTCCCTGTTTGCTCAATTCTTCTCCGACCGCATTGATCGCCTTGCCCGCCGCTAGCCATCCGCCATCATGACAGAATAAGGCCTTCCATCCCTATGTAGCGCCCACGGTCAGTCTCGTACAGTTTTCCATTTTCCATCCAAGAAAACTTGCCTTTACTTGATCCCGCGACAGCAATGGCGCCTTTGCCAAAATTGCCTCTTCGCTATCCAACCATTCGTTGGTCTTCTCTAGCCCAATACCAATATCCTTGAGAGCTTGGTATTTGTTTCTGAGATAGGCAATTCCTTTCTCAGACCCCTCACAATCAAGCTACTCAACATCAGCTTTTTGGTGACAGAACGAGATGAAAAAGAAATAAATTTACTCTGCCCGTGTTATGAAAGAAAGGCTTGAACAACTCATCATTCTTCCACATATCGCTCGCCTCCGTGCTAAGCTTCAAGTCTGCCTTGTTTCGTATTTGGATCCCCATGATCTTGTTGAGGTCATTCCCGGCAGACTGCGCCGAGGGGATAGGATATGTATCGAGGACGGTGATGTTAGACGGGGTATAGCCGGACCGCACAAGATGCAGAGCGGTAGAAGAACCCATCGTGCCGCCTCCGCCGACGACGACGATTTTCATGTCTGCGCGGGACGTAGCCATCTTGTCTTTAGATGCGCTTCGGATTATGTCTTTCACCTCTTCAATTACTCTCAACTGTAAATAACAACAGATTGATGATCTATTAAATAAATGATCGCATAAAATTCAACACACTTGTCCTGGGTGCGAAATCGCAACTCTCAATCGTGAAGTGGCACGATGTCGAGAAGGATATCGACTCACTCTCCGTCGAGTTGAAAGGGTGCCAGGATCTAGATCTATGAGATCGGTCCCAGTCGGCTGGTGACGAGGACGATTTACTAATAGTTTGCCACGAGAATTCGCCTATTAATTGGGACTGCGGAGAGAGTGGAACGCCGCTGGGGGTGGAATAATCGACAACTTGAGTAGAATCTGGTTTATTATTCGCTTTTTGCCTGCTTTATTTGCATCGCGGACTGCTATCATTACCAAAGTAGGAAGACTTTTGTCGTCTTTAGTGTCGTCTAACAATCGCTAGTAATACGAAACGTCAATAGGTAAGTTCATTATTAGAATCATGAGGTCCAAATATGAGTCTTGCGGCGGTTGGAAGATTCCCCTCTTGCCCCTATCTACCCGCGATGCAGACATACTAGCGTTAGATAGGTTGCTCCTCGGTTCTGGAGGCTCGGGACGAATTCTCAGCTAAACTGGTCGTTGCGTGGGACCAACGAGTCTTGGAACTGTTACGGTTACTAGATTAGGCCAAGCGAGAAATAACGACGGTGACCCTGCAAGTTGACGGATTGGTCAGAATAGCGTAGCATGGTCCGGGTATTGGATCCATCTAGACTGGAGCTATCGACCAGGTCTTCGGGACTGCTATCATTTCCCAAGAAGAGGTCAAAGACGCGTGCTGTCAGCTAAGGGTCTTGATTCTCGAAGAAAGCTAAGTCCGAGCGAGTCAGATAAGGTGGCATCCGATTCGTCATTGCGGGCGATCTCGCGCGAGAACTGCGTGTGAGCATGAATGTCCCAAAATATGTTTACCCCGGCCTGTAGATGGGATTGCGCTATCTCCATCGCACTAGGCGACAATGCTACCAACTGAGAGACGGGAACCCACAGATTAGGTAAAGCTGAACTTGATAAGGAGAGGAGCCCAGATACCTGCCTACTATTGGTAGGAACTTGGCATTGACATCTTCGCGATAGTTGGGGTGAATATATGTATATCCGACGGACGACCTTGTTTATGTTCGCCTGCTCCTCCAACTCTCTGTTCATTCCTCCTAGCTCATTGGACTTGCGCGCACATCAGTAAAGGACAAGACAACACCGGCGCCATGTCTAAGTTCGACGCTGCACCACCTAATACCCACGCCGGCGGGGACGACGATGCCCTTCGAGGGCAAGGCTCGCTCCCGATGAACCCGGTCAGCGACTTTGAAGAGAATGTCGACATGGTGGCGTATAGAAAAGCCGTGCCGCTGTGGAAGCGTGTTTATCAGCACAGTTTGACGCAAATGATGCTTCTAAGCGTCCAAGCATTTTGCGGTCCAGCTATGGCAGACGCAATCGCCGGTCTAGGTGGTGGTGGTCTTGCAACTCCCCAGACGTCTAACATTGCGTATGTTCTAACAACTCCTCACTGAGGTAGAAATAATGAGGAAAATCTGACAGAAATTTATAGTACTGCGATCAACTATGCCATGCTTGCCACAGTTTGCATGTTTGGTGGTCCTCTTGTCAACAAGCTCGGCACGAAGTGGGCGTTGGTCATCGGCGCCATGTCATTCCCTATCCGTGGCTCATCTTACTACTGCAATAGTAAATTTGGCAACCAATGGGTAGGTAGTACCTCATGAGTGCCTAGCTTCATCATCACCGCTAACATAGGATGCTCTCCAGTACCTCATTTTCGGCGGTTTCGTCACTGGTATCGGTAGCGGCTGTTGGTATGTCGCCGAATCAGGATCTATTATGTCACTTGCTCCATCAGGGGCTCGTGGAAAGTACCTGGCTCTGTGGATCGTCTCCCGAAATCTTGGGCAGCTGGTTGGAGGCGCTATTAAGTGAGTTATCTGAGACGGATGTACCTAACGTCACGGAGAACGTGATGCTGACACCTATTCTTCCAAGCCTGTCCAAAAACCACATCAAAGGAGCGAATGGCGGTGTCACGCCCGACACTTATATCGCCTTCTTGATCATCGAAAGCTTGGCGCTACCATTCGCCTTCTTAATCTCTCCTCTCGAAAATGTCGTCCGATCTGATGGCACGCGCATTCTCGTCTCGGAGAAGCTCTCGTTCAAGCAGGAAACCAAGCTCATCAGGTTCACCATGTCTTCCAAGCTTATCCTCCTCTCAGCTCTTTGGGCACTCTGGTCCTTCTTCTATAGCGGTACCTGGTCCACCTATCTCGCGACATATTTCTCCACCCGTTCTCGTGCCCTGTCTTCGCTCATCTCGCCATTCTTCTGCATGTAAGTAACCATACCTCTCTATACTTTTTGTCCAACATTGTCGCTGAACAGATATATAGCGTTGGCTGTTTCGGCCTTGGATTTATTCTCGACATCAAATCCCTTAGCCAACGTCGGAGAGCGCAGCTTGGCTTGTTCACCGTCGTCATCCTCAACCTTGGCGTCTACATTTGGTCCATTGTGATGCAGGTGAAATTCAACGTTCACAGCCCGGGTAAAATCGATTGGGACGACTCTCTCTTTGCTACGTCCTTCTTGCCATATTTCTTCGTGCAGACCACGGGCCCCTTGTCACAGTCATATATGTACTGGCTTCTTTCCTCCTTTGCAACGGACGCGCAGGCCAACGTTCGTAACGGCGCCGCCTTCAGATGTCTCGAAGCTGTCGGTCAAGCCATATCTTATGGCATGAATACCCAAATCAAAGCTGATCCTCTAGTCGGATTGTAAGTAATTCCCTTCCCTTCGGAAAATCGACTGCCGTCCTAACAAATGTCTTTAGTTGCGTCACGTTTGCTCTGATGGCCGCTGCCGTTGTACCCATGCTCCTCCTCGTGAACTCTACACCGGATCGCATTCCGGCTGATGTGATTCTCGAGGAACAGGAGGCGCAAGAGGAGAAGAAGTTGGAAGGGCTTAAGTCTGAATCATAATGTATTCGCGAAGGGAGTACGGCTGGAAGAACCGGATACTGTTAAATTCAGGGGTAATTGTGAGAAGTCATATAGGAAGAGATAAAGAATTTACGCAGACTCGATACTTAGTGAACGTAGCATCATTATTTAGTTCATTACCTATTTAAGGCCCGGGTTGATCACCTCGTCCTCGTCATGTGCAATTCGACTATCTCGGCAAAGTGACGACACATCGTCAACGGTGTCTCTCTCATTATGCCCTACTTGACCATCATGCCAGGATATGTCGATTTAATATGCGCGAGGCAAAGTCGGTAAGCTGGCGTGGTCAGAGTATTGTTTGTCAGCGATTGATTATGCTTGAGGCCTGTGTTCATAGAGGCGGACCAAATACGTCGTCTCCGTTAGCAGCGACCTTTCGCCTCTTAGACTCACGCTCGTCGTTGATACCATTTCCGAATACATTCTCGTCAGGGTTGGCGCTTCCCTTGGCCTTCGTCTTCTGCGATGCGTGTTCCCTACGGACTTTTTGCAAAGCAACGAGATCGACTCTATCAGGATCTCGACACTTAGCAAGCTTTCTTCGCAAAGCTTTAACGCCCTTGACAATCTCCTTCTGTAACCCAGAATGTTAGCCCTAAAATCCCAGGACACCCTCCGAATTGTACTCACGTCTTCCCAGTAGGAGGTCATCTTCTCGGGAGGTTCTTCCTCAAGCATCGCCTTACATCCCTGTATCACGCCTAGAATCTTGTCCCTAGCCTCGTCGCTCTGACCAGCGAAGGCTTCCTTAAGTATTCGTTCGACCAATTCTTCGTCCACCATTGCCAATGCCGCATACATGATCTGGCTTGGCGTGTAGTGGTAATAGACATCGGTGACTAGAGGACTGAATTTCAAGATGGCTCTAGTTTTCTCGTGCGCCTTGTTAATTCTATCGTCGTCGAAGTCGCTGAACCTTCTAAGTTCCATGATAGCGCCTTCTAAGGCACGGAATGGGTGTCTGACATCGAAAGCGAAACGGATACCTTGGCACAGGACGTATTCGGCGGCCAGAATCATCTCGCTGGTTGTGTTGGGGAAAGTGTCGGCTATCTTCTGCACCCGAATGAAATAACCTTCGGCCTTACACCCAAAGAATAGGCAAGTCTTCATAAGTTCTTGTGGCGGATAGGTCATAACACTGTTGGTGAGGTAGAAGCGGCGGAGGAAGATGGCGGCGGTGGCCTGGATATCGGTAGGGAGGTTGCAAAAGGAGGCGGCGCGCAGAAGTTCGACTGTGAAGTGGTTGAGTATCTTGCACTCTTCGGCGGGAGTCAAGAATTCGGGTAGGGATTCGGCGGGAGCGGATGGGTTTGACGCTCGCAAGCGGTTAGAAATATGAGTTCGGGCGAGGGCATTGGTCTTTTCACGAAGGGTGGCCAGGTGGGACTGGCTGAATGACCACAGCCGATATTGACTCGACTGTCTATAACGAGCATCTTCGGTCGCCATAGTGAGGATTGGGGAGTTGTCGTCGCCAGACGAGCTGGGACGACCAGATCACTTGGTAGGTAAATGTGACGAAATGCGATGCCTAGGTAGCTGTGCTAGAAGAACAGATTAAATGGGGAGATCTTTGTTCTCGGGGAACAAAACTTAATCCATTTTTACTCATAGACACAATAGAACATCATTACATCCATACGAAGCGTGTAGTATGAAACAATGCTGTACTCGTTGAATTGTTGACATGGAGGGATCGAGAAATGATGGGTGTTTGGAATTTAAATGTCGATAAGGAAAGTCGCACACCGTTATCTGTACCCTGTACAATGTCACATTTAGTGGGGTTCGGGTAGTCACTACCCAGCTCTACTACCCTATAACACCTCCAGCTAAAAATCCATAATTCATCCATCATTCCTTTGGATATTCTCATTTTCATGACAGAATCGAAACTACTAAAGTCATTCTCCTCAAACAAGCGGTCAGAAGAATTCTGATTGTATAAAAGGCGATCCCGTCAATATGTACGACCTGGGCCCCTCTGATGGCCTGCTGGTGTTTAGGAGTGATGTCCTTAGGGGAGATTACGGTTAAAGGGAATGAGGATCCTCTTGGTTGATTATGATGATAAGAAACGATGCAGAGAGTCTAGTGAGATGAAGGGATTAGAATTTGAGATCACTCGATTCTGTATTTGCCGGTCAATGTTGTCGTATTGTATTTTGAACCGAGCACACACGCAGTACATGGTAGAAAGATAGATCAACGAAGAAACCACAATGTTGGAAAATGAAAAAGAAGCTGTAAGAGGGCATGGCGTAGTTCACTGGAATCTAGGAAGATTCTTTTATCTAAAGCTACCTACCTAGGTAGCTAGGTAGCTAATCTCCCAGCTATGAAAACTGCTGCTAATGATAGAATCTTGAATATTCTATGCCGAAACTACAACAGCTAACAGAGCTGTAAAGACTAACAAGACGATCGACGATGTCACGCCGCCTACTCGCTCAGCACTGCTCGGGGCTCTCGTTGACACGGTTGAATTGCTCCCATTTCCCGTGTTTGTGCTATTAGCACTACCTTCAACAACAGCAATTCTACCCTCGAGCTCGAAATCGATCGGGCTATGTTTCCCGATATAGCTTTCCAGTACTTCTTCCATGGTATCCAGGACAACTAGATCCTCAACTGGCAACACGATGTTATCACCTCCACCAGCCACGAAATCAGCCGTGACGATCTTATACTGAGCCCCTGTGTCGACAGGCTTATCGCCAATCGTAAGGCGGACCAGACGTTGACCGACGGCATTGGTGGGGTTATACTCGACCTTGATGCCTCGACTGACCTGGAAGAAGCTGGTAACTGCCTTTTGGTTGAATTGGTTGACCTCGCTTACGAGGCCCTCGAAGATCTTCCACAAGTCTGCGCCGCTGTAACTGACTTCGACTACGGCATTGCCGAACGGGAACGACGTTAGCACTTGCCCTCGCGTGATGTCTCCCTGTTCGATGGTCGCGCGGATGCCACCCGCGTTCACAAGTGCGAAAGTGGCATCGCTGCCGGCGTCGAGACGATATTGAAGAATGGCGCTGGAAGAGCGTTAGCAGTTTACGAATGTAACAGCGAAGATAACTCATGATGAACAAGAACTTACTCGGTAACTAAATCGCCTAGGGTGCATTCTTGCTGCTGGCAAGTGGATTGGTCGAGCACGATGTTCGTGCTACCAACCTTTTCGCCAGCGTATGCTTCAAATGGCTTTCTCCACTCATCAATCTGCGCCTGAAGACCTTCATCTTGCTTGGTGGTATTTGTAAGATGGATTGGGGCGCCGTGGTAGGCAAGAATCTTGCCATCTGCGTCGTAAGTAACGTCGATATAGCCCAAGTACTCCCCCCATCTATAAGCTGTGACGATGAAAACCTCATCACCGTCCTTGTTTGTCTCGATGGTAGGGTAAGGGCCTTGGGCACCCTCCATGTCTCCAAGAAGCGTATGACTGTGACCGCCCATGATCAGGTGTAAGCCAGTCGTCTGCTGGGCTAAAAGTTTGTCCTGGTCGTACCCGATATGGGTGATAGCTGCAATACGGGTGATGTTTGTTGTACTACGAATCTCGTCGATCGAAGCTTGGACAGCAGCGATGGCGTCCGTGAATTTGGTACCTGCGCCGGGGTCGCTAATGCTAGCCGTAGTCTCGGTTGTGACGCCAATGACGGCGAGTTGGTATTCCTCAAAAATGTGATACGGCTTAATAGTTGAGTTCAACTTCTCGTTGTCCGAAACGATATTCGCGGATATGACTGGAAATGTCAAGTTCTTGATGAAATCCCCTAGCTGATCATCACCACCGTCAAACTCATGGTTCCCTAGAGTCATGGCATCGAACCCTAACTGGTTGAGAGTATCCGCGATCTTCTCTCCGCCATAGAAAGAGTAGAATAGCGTCCCCTGGAACTCATCGCCCACATTTAGCCATAAGCTGTCGTTATGTTCGGGCCTCGTGTCTTCGATGATCGTCTTGACACGTGCATATCCTCCGTAACAGCCCTTTGAAGGATTTGTGCAGTCGGTCCCCGACGAGGAGAATTGGTCCAGATGTGCGTGGACATCATTGATGTGGTAAAACGAGATATTGTAGTTGCCATTTGCATCAATGAAACGCTTCGATAAACGTTTGCTATACAACGAATCCTCCGCCGAAGCCAGCCAAGCTAAACTATTGGCGACGAAGACGGAAAGGGTGGCGGCGCGAACCATTCTGATGGGCCTGAGTTACTAGAAGAGTTAAGATGATTGCTTTACCATAAACGAAGTTAACTAACAACGTAACGAGGATCTCCTAACACTTGGCCGCACACCGCTAATAGAATAACTTCATTCGTAAGAGGGGATTCGGCGTAATTGTTGACTTTATGTAGCGAGCCAGGTCGACGATACGGGTATCACTCAAAGCTTGGCACAGCTCCAATGTTTCCCGAGCTTCCTTCCTAATGCGATCGTAATGACCAGAGCGGCGGGACACCATGGCGACACAGCAAGTAACACTTCCGCAGTATTGTGCGATACATATACATACCGTCCACTCACCTATCAGTTGCATCAAAGATCGAGTTGACCCGGATCGTATTGGCACCTGGGCAGCTTAACTCGATAAGCCAGGTACGAGCGACGCGAAGTCTTGGCGGCGAGCTCCGATTGCTCTCGAATTCGCGAAGATTATGAGCACGTGGGAGCTCAAGCTTCGAAGACGTGCATGCGAATGGCATCAGATAGCCTTGGCACATGCAAGGATCCATTCGCAGCGCGCCCGGCGGTCCTCATTGGCAACATCTTGCGCATCTGAGACCTCTTACTTTCTAGACGAACATAGGTTGACGATAACTTCCCACGTGCGTCGATAGATGGTAGTCCATAGACACGACGAGCTGCAAGAAATTTTGGTATATAGAGCCTTTACCATGCCAATATGTGCGCATATTGATCAAGTCCTGAAATGACATTATTAACAAGATAGCGAAATTTCACCCAGTCAGCAAGTCGCGTGGAAACGGCCAACTCATGAATAAAAGGGATATAAATCTCGAAGTCCCCGAACCAGCCGTATAGAGTGATCCGACGTAGATATAGCGGCCCAATGTAAGAGGTTATGATCTATTTTGAGTCTAACAAGGCCGCAGGTACAGAATAACCCATTCTATAACCTGATTACACAAGTCAGTACGCCTAATTCCGTGGCACCACGATCAATAGGTAGATACGTAAAGGCCAATATTGATCTCGGAATAGCGATTGTAATCGTTGCGTGCCCGATTGGTTCAAGTAGCGAGAGATCACAGAGATCTCGCTCGAGCCAGACTACCTAGATCTGAGCCGGATAAACGTGAGACAATCAATTAGCCTAGGAAGAGTTGTGAAGCCTACGTTACATTCCAGCTTCTAGAACCGCTTTAGAACTTGCGATATGATAAAAAAAAAGGACCTAGGTCCTTCGAACAGTTCTCTTAATAAGAGCCTTTGGAAGAAAGCAGAATATCGCTACCGCACATAGGCAGCCGCTGGGGACTTGATCTGGAATGTCCGGGAAAAACAATGTCAGCAAACGCCCAGTTTATGAATCGCAGGAATATGAATAAGCATGATATATTGCGTCACAAGCTGGGCGATCAGATAAACAGTGCGGTATGATCGGCGAGCGGAAGAGGTTTTGAGGCTGAAACGGTTTAGGACTAGAAAAGAAGAATGATTCAATAGCCGCCGGTTATCACGGCTGGCGTTACGCAGGTGGCTTAGCCCTTTTAACGCCTTCATGTACAGTTTTACCGCGCGTTAGCAATGCTGGAGGCTCTCTGTATTGGATTGTATTGGATGTGTCTGTTCCCAGAAAGCTTTAATTAATTTGAAGCATTGTTCGCGTCTCTGCGGCGTCGGGAGTTGCATGTCTTGGCGGAACGGGGTGAAGCCTGAAGCCCTTGTGAAGATCATCATACCTCAGACGGCATGGGGAATTCTATCATATGAAAGGTTAGTAATGTTCATGCAGTAAATCCTAGATGGTTGAAATAACCATATTTCTATGTCGCTCAATTGAAGATGGCTAACCTCGCTAACCCACACCAAGTCAAATCAGATGAACGCTAGGGACCTATATGTAGAAGACGTATGATATGAATTCACGATACCAAGGCTCTTATCTGCTTCATAATTCCTGTTCCGAGTCATCGGCCCTATAATGATATCTCAATATGGAAAAGATCGCAGGCGTAAATATTCCGCAAATCAAGAAGCCATGTGGTTGTGATTGAAATGCTGCAATACTACGCAGTGGGATCATAATGAGGACACTATCCAGAATACGCAAACCTAAACAATCGATTTACCTTTGCCGAAAGAAAGTTGAGGAAAAATAATTCGATGTTGAAGAAGCGAAGACAACATGAAAAGGGGGATACAAAGGCAAAAAGCCAAATTGACATTTGCTTAATGGAATACACCCGCTTAGCTTCCTGGGTAAGTGCATATCTATTTATTTAAGCAACTTGAAAAGTTACGCATTTAACCATATCGACCAAGTTTTAGCATAAAACGTAGTTGAATGCACGCACCCGCAGGAAAACTGGAGGTAAGCTAACACGAGTTGAGACCCCTGTAGAACCAATGATGGACTAGCCGAGTCAAAATTCTGGAACGCCATTGATTCTGCAAGAGCCGACTGGAGAAGATTGGTGAACAAATGCGCCTGTTGAAACGATCAGAAGGAGGCGCAGCTCTTTCGTAATACATTATTATTCTGGGTGTTTTACCTGGATAAGGGACGGTGTAATTTACTGGAGCCAAACGACCGTTGAATCGGCGGTGGCTCTTCACACGATCATATCTGGATCATATCACGTCAAGGGAAATTAGGTGGTTCGTTGTCATCATCATTCTGATCTTTTCGACATTTGTCGGTATCTGAGATGGAATGTTCAAGTTCAAACCATGCTCGAACCATGCTGCAGCTTACAGCTACGTACCTAAATAGGTAGGCGCTAAGTAGACTATTCCAGGTTCCTGCATTGGCTTGCAGCGTCGATCAATTGAACCCTCATCCACCCATTCATACCCCGCGAATGGCGCGTACGTAGATTCGTAGATGTATCTACGTATGTATGCACAATCCTTTGAAAATGGTAGGTCGTTCAGGGTCGTTGTAGGATATTGATAGAGGGATGGATACGTATATGTATCTCGGTAACCAATAGTGACCCTTGACCGAGGTTCGTAATGTCGTCGACTTGCCGCTGCTTCTTTTAATTCTCATCTACAATGCAAATGTCGGATACAATAGATATCAATACAATGGATGCTAGGTATTTTTAGAGTTTCCCAGCCCTGTTTCCACCCTTTCTTTCCTTACTTGTTCAGTGGGATAAAGGGAGCAAGGGGGACTCGTGTTTCTCAACTGTTTATTGGATATAATTAGGTATGCCCTGAGAAGAAGCTGCGGTATGTACGTAGTATGTATGTGTGTACAAACTGTAATAAGATAATCGAGAAGATAATGGCAATTTGTCCAGCACCCCCCTGGTAACCGAGTACGCGACCCTCCACTCAACCATCAACTAGACCCTCCTTTTTTTTCTCAAATCTGGTGCTTCTAAGTTCTATCAGTACATAATTCTGTACATCCATACACCACCTACATGCATTGTTACGAAGTGGTTGGAGATTGCCCACTTCTAACCTCTTATTAGTTGCTTAGATTGCTTGGTTGCCACCTTGGCCTGGCTTGGATCTTGCATTGATAAAAAACATCCCGGTCACCCCAAAGGTCTAAAACCTGTTTAACTTTTCTTTGCCTCTCGTTCTGCCAGTTCTACTCTTCTGTTCTTCATCCTTTCATCTCTCGCTTTCCAGACAAATAGTCAATTCGATAAGAGTCACTGGGTAGGCTCTCAACGAAAGCAACCTTTCTTCCCTTCGCTCATCAATCTCGTGTCGTGCTGTGTCGTGATGCTTAGCTATTAGCTACGACCTACTTAACATAAAGAATTGTCGGGAGAGTCTCGTCCGAACCACCAGAATTAGAAGGCCATATACGGACTATTCCGCATATCCCTTTCCCCTGGATCTACAACGTACGCGTCTGGACAGATCTGATTCTCCACCACGATCCACCGGCTTTACAGCTAGCTCCCCGTCCCAAGACGCCAATAACTCCAGGCTAGAGACGGATAGTCACTTAAACCCTAAAGCTCCCTATAGAATTGGCAATCTAATATCTGCTACTTCCCAACAACTCCCTACCGGCCGAAAGATATCTTCATTCGTTTGAATTGTTTTCTTTTCTGGTTGCAGGACTTCCATATATACCACAATTGTTTCGCCCATCCCATTCAGACACCTATCCCACTGAGAAACCTCCGAGCGGAACAGCAACAACATGAATTTCACCAAAAAGTTTGACCGTGCCTTTCAATGGGCCGGTGAGAAGATGGGCCATGAGGCCAAGACGAGCCAGTCAGACGAATTCAGAAGTCTAGAGACGGAAATGGCTTTGCGACACGACGGTATGATATTACCAATAATTATCACTCCTATCGCCTTCAATTTCTAACATACGTATTGGTACAGGCTACGAGCGTCTACAGAAGTCTATGAACACCTACGTCAAGTCGCTTTCCCGTCGGGGCGAGACCTTCGAAGACAAGGAGAAAGGTTTACCTGTCAGCTATCTGGGTCGGACAATGATAGCCCATGGAGAGGACTTCGAGCAAGATTCTGAGTTTGGCAATTGCTTGATTGGTATGTCCACTGTGAATAGAGGGGAGGTTATAAACAACCACTGACACGGATTATAGCAATGGGCAGAGCCAACGAACGTGTCGCTGGCATCCAAGAGACATATATCGCGAACGCGACGTCCAACTGGCTAGAAGGATTAGAACGATCATTGGCCATGATGAAGGAATACCAGGTTTGTTACTCTTGACACAAATATCAAGATACTCCAGGCTAATTGGGTTCAACCAGTCTGCTCGCAAGAAGCTCGAGAGTCGACGTCTCACATATGATTCATGCATGATCAAGATGCAAAAGGCCAAAAAGGAGGACTTCAAATTGGAAGATGAGCTTCGAACCGCGAAAGCCAAATACGAAGAGTCGTCTGAAGATGTCCTGCGGCGCATGCAAGACATCAAGGAGGCAGAGGCTGACTCTGTTCGTGACCTTACTAGCTTTCTCGATTGTGAGCTAGACTACTATGAACGTTGTGCCGACGAACTGAGACGCGTGAGGCAAGAATGGGTGGCTGGCCAAGGCCAATCAAACGGCTCTCGTCCTTCCGACCTTGGCGTCCCACGTCGACAACCAACCAGGAGCAGGAGCAACACGGCCCATTCATTCTCGGGCCGCAACGATCGCACCGAACAATGGGCCAGCCGACAGGATATTTCAGAACAAGACGAACTTACCGCCGAACCTGTGCGCATGCCTATACGCTCGAGCCCCTATCGCAGCAACGGGTCAGCCACGCCCGATGTGCCAAGGCCAACTATCAGTCGTACCTCTACGCACAGCGGGGCCTTTGAAGGTCCAGCTTCGAGGCAATCGTCGTACCGTGAGCCTCCACCTCCGCTTGAAGCGTTGCGTAAAACCCAAGTCGCACCACCGCCCAACGTCGGATCTCTACGCAATAACCTACGCCCGGTGAACAGGATTCAGACGAACCAGAACTTGAGTCCCGATATCTATGCGGATGATTACGATACAGCCACCAGCAGCGGAAGTCCCGAGTATGATCGTAGCGAGAGTCCAGCCACGAGCTATGGAAGTTTAAGCCGTAGTACTAGTAATAACGGCTTACGCGCAGCGGCAACGGTACCAACCACAAAGAAGGCCCCTCCACCGCCGCCACCAAGCAGGGCTAAGAAGCCGCCACCACCCGTCCCTGCCAGACGGGAGATGGGATACTAAAATCGCGGCATAGCGTGTCCTGATATGTTGCCATTGCATTACGTTCAAAAGTGATGGGACTCTTAAACCTTTGTTGCGGGTATTCAAATAGATGTGGGAGGGTACAACGTGTGTAATTGCATAATCTGGGGTGGGTTTCGTTCTCAAGGGAAACAAGCTGACTTCTCGTGTCGGATCCATGGGTAATCTGGCTGCGTGGGCGTTGGGCGCATTTATATGTTATAGAATACATCGCGAGCGTCTGTTCGAAGACGATTGGACGAGAGAAGATATTCATGGACTGGCTCCTTTGTTTTGTTCCGAGTTTCCTGAAACTGGCTGTGACCTAATCTGGCATCAATATCGAATTTATCTGTTGGAAATATGTTGGCCGGCTATTCGCATGTGGCACCGCATAATGACATTACATATATCGTCGTACGACACATTGTATGACAGGCTGGTAGAGAAAGATTCGACGACTCGTCAGGCCTCAGACGTAGTAGCTAAAATCATATACGATGGTGCCAATTCTAGGACTTAAGATCAACACATGTTTATTCATAGGTATCTTCCTGGGAGATGGTGCAATCCGTTAATTACTTAGTCATCATCTCTTTGGAGAGAGGGTCCGCGGTCTAGGAAGTCATTTCACACCAAATCCAACTCCTTTACACGTGAACCCGCCCCAGAAGATGATTGCCACATGTAAGGTAGTTATTCATATACACAACCTATCTAGGTAATCTCACGCGAGTAGTGCGATATGTTTCAACTCGCTATTATCTCAAGTTAGCACATACCCAACTCCAAAAAACGGCAAACGAACAAAAACAGCACAACCAGCTAGGTAGGTAGGTAAAACGGGGAAACGGCTTAGGTTAACATACTTCTGCACCTGCTGCCCAACCTTCACAGGCGCATACTCGACCTCGTCGCCCTCGTCCCTGCCGAGGTCGAAGTTCTTCGCGCGCACGGCCTTCGCCTGGTCCGCCAGCGCCGCGACGGGCGCGAGGTCGTAGTCGCTGCTCAGGTGCCAGAAGAAGGTGCTGCTGATGCGCACGAGCGGCCTTCGCGGGAACATCTCGCGCCGCGACGCGACCGTCGCGACGGTCGCGTCGTTGACGACCACCTCGTGGTACCCGGCTTTGACGAGCCCGCCCGTCAGGTGCTCGAGCTGCTTGCCGGCCTGCACGAGCAGGTAGCTCCCGCGGGCGCCGCCGCCGCCGCCGCCGGGACGCGGGATGCTGACGGCGATGCGGCGCCCCGTGTTGCGCGCCCAGATGTGCAGGCCCGGGTACCGCGAGCGCCCGTGGATGGTGAGGAAGTTGAGGTCCGTGTGGAAGCCGGCGAGGATGGTGTCTTTGGCGCCGTACTTGCGCAGGTCGGAGGCCGTTGGGGCGAGGAGGTGGGGGCTGGGCTTTGGGTGAGCTTACATACCTAGGTAGGGAGGTAGATGGGATATTCAGGGGAGAGGTTTAGGGGGTTGCATTAAAAAGAGAAGTAAAACTAACCCGTATCGCCCGGCGTCGGTGAAGGTCGAGGCCGGAAGTCCCATGCCGACTGCTGCCATTTCTGCAAGTCCTGAGACACTATTTGCATGTTGATGCTGGGTTAGCTTAGGTACGTCACCTTTTACTGCCGCTCGTCCGCGGATTAAAAAGGCCCACGAGTACTATGTAAGCCACGATTACTCACGCGCTCTTCATGCTCTTCCCCCACGTCTCCATGATCGGCGTCCACCTTTCCCTAATGTCCGCAGATTCAGGAATTACATTCTCAGCATTCAAGCCCGGAAACTGCGTGGCATAAGGCGTCGGTTCGCCCATCCGCCAGAAGAAGCGACATTTGGGGTCCGGTTGGTGGCCGCGGATATCAAGGGGCCTCTCTGCGGGCGCCAAGCGCTCGATGACACGCAGACACGGTTCGTCAACCGCGCACTTTGGTTTCTCGGTGTTTTCCAGGGTGACGCCAACCTGGTACCCGAGCTCGGGTCGCTCGTCGCGCTTCAGCGCCTCATCCGGCTGCGCAAAGTAGTCCTCGAGCAAGTCTAGGAACGCCTCGTTGTCCGACTCCGACACCCGCGAGTCGTGAAGCACAAGCGCCCCGTATGTGATCAGCGCGCGAGCAGCACGTGCGCTTTCCTCTTGGACGGCGGAGCTGGAGAGAGGGTTGTTGAGGTAGACGTCCAGGTCGATGACGGGGAGATCCATTGACGGTTCTTCTGCCACTACGAGCTCGGCCATTGTGTTATCATACGCTATACGTTCTCTTCTACTTTCAATCGAAACTGTCCTGTCCGCGTGAGAAAAAAAGAGCGTTAATCTCAATATTCAAAAGGGGGAAGTCAGAAGTTGAACATTTCAAGGATGGCATTGCCTTTAAGTTTATATCACATGGCAAAGAAGCATCAGCTGAGGTTCTTATCGTTCGTTCGCACCTACCTATGTAGCAACTAGATGGATCATGCCGACCAATGGGAGCGAACTGATTTGTTAAAATTCCCACACCTGCCCCTTTAGCTGGAAATCGCCGGGTATAGCCGGTCTCCGCTATTCCATTGAAAGTAGGTACATAACCCCTTTAAGAGAGGTAACAAACTGATAACCCCTTTTAATCCTCGCGAATTTCCAATATTTCTATATTGAAACGGATGATCCAAAATCGAACTCTTATACTCACCTATTCGTCAACTAAATCCATTAAATTTAGGTAGGACCTAATTATCATTTCACAGCTTTTGCTACTTTCTCCTTTAGTTTTAAGACTAACGCTGAATATATCAGATACCGAATGAGTGATAATGAAGGTACAAAAAACCATCAATCCAAAATAACGGATTGGAAATCTGTTGATTTGATCTCAGTACATCCCTTAAGGTCGTAGCTTGACATAAAAGGGAAAAAGATTTCTGGATAACAAGGAGTGACCATGGCTGCTTTAAACGGGTGTGTAATGAGTGAATATGTCCGAATATAGCCTATGATTCGACTTTGGTTCCAATGAACCATTCTGGACTTTCCAAAGCTTCAGAGTAACTTTATATCCCTTCCCTCTGCACTTAGGTAAACGACAACTACTCTCTGTCTCCCGATTGGTTCTTTGCACTGGTAGAGTCGGAAGAGTTGCAGGCTACAGAGGCAATGTTGTGATAGGGTCCATCAGTCGGATCCTCTTGAACCCAACGCTGTAGCATGACGTTCATATGGCAATCGTTGGAATCGTTGTTTTGCTGTCCATACGTCGTCTGTCCCTTGAGCTTGTCGATAGATTTCTTCTTTCCGTATGGAGGCCGGGGCACCGCAATATGGCGAGAATAACTGGTCGCCACATGCTTCAAGATGAAGCAGTTCTCTGTCAGGAGATATAAATGATATATTGTCCGAAGAAATCCGTACCTGTTTATTATCACTACGCTCTGTCTCTTGAGCGAAGGACCTCTGAGGGGCATTTGCCGATGACATCGTGTGATAGTTGCGGTTGCAATACACTCGCTAGCTAGGTACTAGTTGATCAAGATGATTCGGACGCGTCAATCTAATGGATGAGCTCTATTTAAGTCAACAGTATCTAAAGCGAGCATCTCCGAGTCCATGGTGTTTGCAAATATATATACTATTTTATTATCTAGACATACATATAGAACCTTCGCTTCTTCAGGTTCATATTCAGTACCTACCTAGGTACCTTGGGAAGGAAGTGTTTTAGACTTTTGCGAACTTTTGCGAGTCTATTATTCACTACCTATTCTATTCACTAGCTGATGCTATAGAAGGGTTAGATATTATGTAATCCGGCACCCAACATAGGTTCTCAAAAGATCCTTCTTTACCTAGAGAAGGAAGAATAAGCTGATAATTCGGTACAGCCATTCATTGGCCCATGAAAATTGGCACGTGTTCCTACAATTCTCCAAACTTTTGAAAACTTTCGGAGCGATCCCTGAATATTTATCGAGGCTACCAATCGTAAGCCGTCACGAACAGGTCGCCTTTGGCCAATTGTCTTCCGAGTAAAGCTTACACGGCATAGGATTCGGTGGGTGATGGAGGGTAGGGCAGTGGCTTGTTAATACCTAATCCAATGAAATAGTATTCTTCTCACCTAGTCCTCAACCCTCCATACCTTTGCTTTATCAAGCTCTAGTTATAAGTCCTATGTACCTACATGTATTTATGGTAAGATGTCTACCTACCTATGTAAAGACAAATGTCTTTAAGATAGCTGTCGTCGTTGATTCGAATATACTATACTACTCTCGTGGAATGCGAGACCTTGACAATCATTTGTAGAGCTTAGAAGTGAATAGGTATGTAGATTAAGTAAGTAGCCCCGGGTTTATACGGTCGAGTGAAAGATGTATGATAGACGTTCTGATGCGCACACGTCACCCGCAGGAAACATCTTATTGGTCTTATTGGCTGAGACGTACATATCCAGCCACACATACAATGTGACATGATATCCGAAATTACAAAGGTTCGCAAAAGATTCTGTGGGGCTATTTGCGTCTCCATGCAGGCAGGAATAGTTGATGCAAGTCCTCAGAGTGAGAGCCTTGCTACCATATATGTACTGGGACTTCCTCCCAGAGCCTACCTGTCGTTCCTCAGATTTCACGCAACTTCATAACATACATTTTTCTTACTCATGAATATGGAGCCAATTGACTGGGCTAGTTTTAATTTCGATACACCAGATAATATAACTCTAACTTGGGAGTCCCAGGACCCTATCAATGGCACCAACACGATCGCCTTTGACGCAAGAGAGCAGTCGGATACCGAAATGCAAACCGCGCCGGCAACGAATATTGTTAATCCCATATCGATTGACGAACCCGCATCTACCATTCTTCCTCGTCAGTCAGGGGTTGAGCCTGACAAACCTAAGCGAATCAGCCGAGCGGAATGGGAGATGCATCGAAACGTGATCGAAGCGCAACATCCTATTAAAACGCTAACCGAGCTCCGGGAATATATGGTCACAGAGCATGGCTTCGTTGCGAGGTAAGAAATGAGGATGTACCATGGTTCTATACTATTTATATACCTAGGTGTGGATGTTAACTTAGAATTCGTAGCACCCAGCAGTGGAAAAAGAAGCTATTGGAATGGCGCTTGAGCAAAAACTTGAGACCCCGTGTAACTAAATTCATCCGAAAACGAACATACGGTCGTCGAGTCCGTGAAAAGAAAGCGACTCAATACAGACTTAGAGGCCAGCCAATCCCGATGGATAAAGTCAAGCGCCACTTGCAAGAATTGCCAGACAACCCTTCGTCCCCGACTGGAAGTTAGTCTGCCTGAGCTAATGAAACCCTATCTATTCTTACCATTTACTGATTTCACTGCAGGTACCCCTACGGGAATTTCATACGATACTTACAGGTCACCAATTCACGTGCCGACGAGACCGGACCCCCCATTGAACCTATCTCCAGCTCAGCAGCAAGAGATCTATCAAAGGTCGACAACTCCTGTGTCTAGTCCAGGTACTTCAGAACTGGGCCCAATCATTCCGGCATTCTGGAAAGGACATGATATAGATCATTACTTGGCTGTCGCCCAGACGGCGATCTCTCACGAAAAAGGCGGTGGTTATGTGAAAGCCAAACCTGCGTTCATCGAGGCTTTGGAAGGTCTTGGGATCCTCCTTAGTCCTGTTCATGCTCGAACTATCTCTGCGCTGGAGAATTTCACGAATGCGGCAAGACGCAATGGCGACATGCCTGCTGCACTCGACAAGCTTCATAGTTCTCATCTCGCCCATGGGAATCTGCTTGGTCCTAGAGATAAAAGAACGTGGCGAAGCCTCGCTCGACTCGGCCTAGCATATCAAGATGCAGGCAACGTCAATCAAGCCTATCATATGCTCCTCAACGCGCGACAAGGATTATTGGACAATATGTCAGAGTCGAACCAAGAAGATCTATTTCTTTCCACGATGGACGTCTCTAGATCCATCGCCGAAGTCCTGCGGCAGCAACGGGATTACGATGAAGCACAAAAAGAATTTTCGAGTTTAATCTCTCAAGCAGAAAGCTTAGGTGAAGGTTATCAGGGGTACCTGAGATTATTCAAATACAAGCTTGCGCAGGCGTATCTGGACCATGTGCAGTACCAACTGAATACTAATGGCGCTATCATATTTTCTGATATTTCATTTCAACGGTCAGAGCATCTTCTTCAGGAACTTATACAACGGGACGATGCCTCTGAGAAAGCCAACTGGTATTCTATTGGTTTGGAGAAACTCGTTTGGCTCTATCAGAGTTCTGGACAGAAAACAAAATTTCAAGAGCTTCTACCTCTTGTACAAAAGGCATTAGCGGATACTCTACACTTGGACATCTTCTCTTTAAAGTGTACATTCATGCTTCAAAGACAAGTATCAATTACGCTCACAGTGTTTGGTAAATATGACGAAGCTGAAGCATGGTTCATGCGCTTACAGAGTGAGATTGAAAGCTCACCTCTTGGATCTCGGTCTACTTATGCACTGGTTGTTTATCTAGACCATTGCCGTTGTTATTTTAAGCAAGGGAAGCGGGAGATTGCTACGGAGATTCTTAAGGAGATGCAAGTCGTTGCAGGAGAGATACTGCCTCAGGATCACGAATTCCATAGCTTGTTGGAAGTCGCTATCAAAGATGGTATATTCGAGGAGCCCTGTCCAGTATGTCTTAGATCGTTAGAAAGCCACATGGATGGACTATCTTGTAGTATAATGTAGGAAGGCACCTAACACCTGAGGTAACTAGGATATCACCCCACTTGACACTAATGCGCGCGGTACCGAAGTGAGTTCTAGAACACCCCGAGCACCCTGAACACCCTGAACACCCCCACAGATGCCACAGGACCCACCATTGCCTATTTCTTATGTGGAACAGCGCTCTCCACTTACACTTACTCATTTCTCATCCATCCCCATTACAAACGCCAATTGATTGATAGCTCAGATAATTGATGAAAATGCCCTTCTCAAGGACTAGGACGGGCTGCTTTACCTGTAGGGAAGACGGATACAAGTGCGACGAGCAGAAACCATTCTGCGGAAGATGTACTCGACTGGGCAAGACGTGCAAAGGCTACGGAGTACGGCTCAAATGGCAAACTCCCCAAAGCACTCCAAAGTCAAAGGCTTCTAAAAGTAAGCGACAGCAGAGAACTCGTTCCAATGATAAGACCGTGACGGCACCTCTCACGCCCATTACACCTTCTACGCCTTCTACGCCTTCCAGTGAGTCTCGGAGTTCATTTATAAGCCTCGATCCATCTTGCATTGTCCCGAACGATGTGAGCCCGATCAATCGATATCTCCTTAATCATTGGTCGTCGACCTTATCTACGATGGTATCCATGGTCTCGGCCCCCAGGAATCCCTTTCTTATTCACCTCACCCCAATGATCTCACATTCCACAGCCCTCCGCTCTGTCTTATGCTCTATCGCTGCCAGCCACTTGGCTATATTAAGGCATGAGGATTCGCTCCAAACATTGGCCACTCGCTATCGGCTAGTTGGCGTTTCGTCGCTACGGCAGACGATTCAGACCGATAACCCGGAACTATCACTCGCTACTATCCTAATGCTACAGGTATCCGATCGACTCTTCACCATGGATTCGGGAGTCGACCACTTATCCGGAGCAAAGGCAATTATCAACCAAGGCGGCATCGTTATGCGTAATAGTTCTAGCGCTTCATTTCTCCTTAGCTTATGCTCCTATCATGATATTCTAGCCTCCGTCTCCCGGGGTACAAGTCCTGTTTTTGAATTCGACGGAAGGTTTCCCATGGAAGGAATGGAGTCCATGAACGAACTCACTTCCGTATTGCAACTTGTGGGCCAGATCAGTAGGATGCGCGATCAAGAGCACGATGACATCGACGCACGGGGTCGCGAGATCGAGGAAATCCTGAGTGCTCTTGATGAATCTGGTGACGCCTTAGGCGACGTTGGCCATACCGTACAGGCATATAAACATGCCGCATTCATATATCTGTACCGAGTTTGGCACAATCAAGGTGCACCTCATCCTCGTGCGTTGAGGCATGCCAAGAGCTGCCTCGACCATCTCAACCTCGTTCCAGTCACCTCGCCTCTCGTGTCGGCTCAGGTTTGGCCGCTCTGGACTGCCGGCTGCGAGTCCATCGACAAAAACCAGCGCCAATTCGTGCGCGACAGGGTCGAAGCGATGTATGAAGCCCGCCATCTCCCTTCGTTGCGACGGATCGAACAAGACATTGAAGAGGTCTGGAAGATTAAGGACGAGCAGCGAAACTTGATCGGAGTTGACAACGTGGATTGCATCAAAGTGATACTACGCAACCGACAAAGGGAAGCCGACCTTACTTAATGACCACGCTTCACGATTCTAACGGTGGGGAGCCTCGCATGCAGTTTTCTTGGGCCTTGTTTACTTGGTAGAGAATGATAAGATCTTCGAACCTACTACCAGTACTCATTCCGTAACTACTGTCGGATCGCCAATGTCTAGATGTAAGGAGAATCCTTAATTTGCTATACCGCCCAGGGATATCTACCAGATGATAACATTTTGGCCTTATCTCATTAACATCTGCTGGGGAAATGTCGCTGAGATTGACAGTATCCGTCAAGCACATTTGACCACAGACTATAGCAGTTTATACTGCGATAAATTACCTACTCTACGATCCAAAACATATCGAGGGCGGCGTAAATGTAAGTGCGCCTATAAATTCATACATACTACATACCATCCTAACCGTCGTAGGCTTACCTTTTCTTCGAGATACCTGTAATGAGATGTTCTACTTGATAAGATAGGCCTCATTTCAATCCTCGGCAACTTTTCGGGATTTTACCGCGTCCAAGAAGTTGACGAAGCCCGAGATATGTACCTGGCACTCAAGTGGCCTGGTGCATTTGTCCCCAGCCCGCCAGCTCCTGGGTCACGCCATAGGACCTGGTCGGTCCAGGGGATGGCATCGTGCTAAGGCGATCATTTTCACGTCGGCCTGCCGCAGATCTTAAATGCAATTCTAGTACCATCTGGTATAGTCATAGATCATGCTTTTACGGCATTGGCTTAGCTCCTGGCTACTCGGAAGCTACGGTAGTCGAAGTCTAGCGTTCAACCGAAAATAAAACACATAGAACGTTCCAAGTACTCCGAGTCTTCAATGCGCGTTTTGTCCAAGTAAGTTTGGCCAACTAAGACGGGATAACCCCAGCCAATTGATACGGAAAATGCACTCTGCATTGACCCGGCGCGGAACTGACAGTGGGATTCCATCTGCCTGGATACCTACCTGGGTACCTACTAAGTACCTAGGCGGGTAATATATCTGAAATTTACTATTTTCTTTGCATTTTAACCACCATAAGCACGGATGTAAAAGCACGGAGAAATCCTCGAAAACATTTCATCTTGCTTCTTGGAGCTGCCGGCTACACCGGATCATTGACTGCAGAACAGGTGATTACTGGTAGATCGAAGTCCGAACCAGAGGCCTTTGTCGGGAGACCCAAGGATCTAGAACCTGAGCGCCTACAATCAGGTGAAGAGCTGTTTACTATCCTATTTGACGATGCTTGTCGCATTAGGCTAGCCAACTGGGTGTCGATTGATGACCGTGGACAGCTCGACTCAGCCATTAAAACGGCAAGGTGTGCATCATTGTAGTCCTATGCTGGCGGGCTGGAGGAATGGTTGTGTAGACTTGTCGAAAATGGCACGGATTACATTGATGTGTAAAGCAGCCTGCATACGAATGCATCGAATCCCAGACCAGCCAAGCGTTTTCGTCAGGATAGGGGACATACCACTGCTGCATACATTTGTTAGCCAATATCACTACCTAGGCGGCTGTGAACTCTAGAGTAGTCGTGGGTATCCATCACCCCTATACTACTTACCGACGCTTTTATGCCGTCTGATCTACGCGAATAATAGCTTATCCATCTCTATAAGTCGTTCACTAGACCCCAGAACTTTCTCACACGGGCCACCATAAGGGAACTAGGGGGAAAAATGTCACGAAAGACGAATGAGGCGATCCTGTCTGTCATGAAGCTAAGGGGGAACATCGCACCTTTTATGCTTCTGTATTTTAGTGCATGCTCATTAGGTAATATCCACGAATTAGACTCTCCCTAAGCGGTGGTACTGCTGATTCGCGGACGGCGGAGAGCACCTATGACCCTCGAGCCATCGAGCAAGCGAAGCAGTCGTGGGTATTGCCAAGCATCTAGGGGGTATTTGCCTCTTCAAGATCCTTGTTAGGTTTGCATCAGGGTCCTGTGCTTGGTTGGCTATACGTATCATTATTTAGTGCTGCTGAGAATCGAGCCTTGGTGTGTAGGACGCGGGGTTTACTCAGGGGAACCAACTAGTAATACGGGACAGAGTTACAGTATCACGAGTACAATAAGGCACCATCTACAGCGGCCGGGCTGTTCAGCACGTGAGTCACCACATTTCTTAATTCTATCGCGGAGTTCAAGGTTTTGAGGCGAATTGCAAAGTTGTTCCCCGCTACCCCTGGCGACGGACCCGTCGTATAAAAGGAGTGGCACTCGCGAGTGAAGTTTGAAGTCGCGATTATCGCGGAGTCGGACGATGGCAACAAAGTGCGTATGCAGGTTCCTCATACCCCTCAGACTGATATTTCGCCACCGCTCTTTTCTTAGCTTAGGGGGTTGCATCATTGCTCTATTCAAGGAACCTAGAAGGTCAAGTCGTCGGCGGTTCGTCTTACCCCGGCTTTTCTAAGTGGTGGCCTTCTACATGAATCCAAGCTGCGGGTTGGTCTGAGGATGCATAGGTAGGTACAGATAGACTTCTACATACGTCCTTATCTAACAGCCTGCTAGCCCAATACCTAAATTTTATTCGCAGGTTGACAATATGAGAAACTAGGTACTCGTCTCTGAACGGCTACCAAATTGTTCTAGTCTACCACAGATTTCTGGCTCAGTTTCCCCTCGACCTCTGCGATGGCAGCCACCAGTTCGTCTGGCACACTGAGAAAAGGGCTGTGCCCAGACTTTACCGTTACCGTGGTAGATTCGGGCCCTAACTGCCTTGCCATTTCTTGTTGGACCTGCATAGGCAACGCCTTGTCCTCGCCGCAGAAGATATAGGCGCAAGGAATGCCTTCGGACCATGGCTCATAGCTTGAGACGCCCTCAAATAATACTGCGGATGTGGGCGAGACCTCTTTAACCCACTTTGACCGACTTTCCTCGTCGAGGTCGTGATATACGGCGTCCATTAATTTCTCCTCGCGGAGGAAGACCTGGTCGCCCTGTAGATAAATTAGTGGTCAGCCACGGAACATCATCAGCAGAGGCCTATCAAATCATTATCAGGTACATACTTGGATGTCCATCCACGGCTGAGGCGGTCCGGCGTCATATTGGGAGAGCGCCTTGCCCTTGGGGACCATGAATGCCGACAGGTAAATGACGCCACTGACGTTATCGAAGCCGGCTACGGCACTGCTACCAGAGACCCCGCCCGAAGAGTGACACAAGACGATGACCTTCCTACCAGCGTCCCTGAACTTAGCCAGCACGGACTGTATGGCGGCGACGTCGTCTGGAAACCCCGGAAGAGGCGTTGTAGTGCCCCCTATCGAGGGTAATTTGACATGCTCAGCAGAGTAGCCTGCCGCGTGCAGTTTCTCCAGAAATAGATCATACGCGCTGGCGTTCTGCCACGACCCTTGGGCGATGACGATGGCTGGCTTCTGAGACATGGCTGGAATCTTGTAGAGTTGGATAAACGTGTCTCGAGTATTGCTTAGTAGCTGGTTCAATTTCAGATTCGAATAGTGATTCTTATATTATGATATCAAGAATAAATATATATATATATATATATATACCTGCTATCCGGTAGGTAAGGGGCTAAGTTGTGATGCCTCGTAAGCAGTACGTATACAATCATTAGAATGATATTATTAATACCTATCAATCCTAGCAGACCTTGTGACTGGAAACAAGTATCACCAATACCTCTCGGGCTTATCCCCACCGAGCTTTAGTCGAGGGGGGGGATCTCATAGGTGCTCTTATACTCAAGTCAACTGTAGCCTTAGAACTCAGTCTGCATCCATACCTAGGTAGGTATATGATACCACATCATACCAGGTAGGTTACCTAGGTACCCAGGTAGAAACTTTCGGGGTAATCCTCTCACCGAGGACAGATTCCGCCGAGGCAAACTGCACCATGGTCAAGTTGAGTGAGTGAGTGAGTGAGTGAGTGAGTGAGTGAGGGGATCAAATCGAAGCGCAAAACGCCGTCAAAGCAGCGAGGGCGAGGGCGAGGGCCGCCGACCCGCGAACCGGCGATCCCGACGACGACGGGGATTCGCTCCCTTGCTCAACCGTCTTGGCGCGGACGCACGACAGCTGGACCGTCGGCTCGGAGCCGGAGGGGGCTTTCGCGCGCGTGTTCCAGCCCCACAGCGTCAGGACCGGCCACGCCTGTCGGGTGGCGTTGGTCCACGCCGTCTCGTCTGCCGCGGCGTGGCTCGCCGACGCCGTGACGTAGATCTCCGTCCCGTTCGCGGAGGTAAGCGGGAACTCTGCATGTACATACATAATAAGTATGTCTTCTTCTAATTCAGTTCAATAGGGGGTGGGAGAGGGAGTTAGGGTACACTCACGCTGGACTTCGAAGTTAGCCGTGTTGACGGAGCTGCCGCAGCTCGACGGCGTCGACGGCGGGGTCCCGTAGCAGTCCGTATTGCCGGGAAATTTGTCGGCGTAGGCCTGCTGCAGATCGGCAATGCATTGAGAGGAGAGGTAGCCGCAGGTGCCGTTGTCCGCCGTCGACGCCTCCTCCTGCGGGCCGTTGGGGATCACGGCCACGCATATCTTCCACGTGGTGTCGTCGACCGCGGATTGGTTCGTGAAGGCGGTCTGGATGCTCTCGGGCCCCTTGAGGAAGATGCTCGTGCCGGTGAAGGTCTGCCCCGTCGCGTTGCTGGAATCGATGGTTTCGGAGTCCGGCAAGTCGCTGCTAACGTTCACCGAGAGAGTCCATCCGTCGACTTTCTGGCTCGGCCACTTTTGCGAGATGTCGAATCCGGTGACCGCGTAGGAACCGGTCGCGTTGGGCGTAGCAAGGTTCCGCTCCCAGGTCGTCCTATCGAATTGCACGGCGCTGCCGGTTACCAACGTACCACCTCCGGGCCATCCAACGAGGGCCGTGACCCCGGCGAAAAGGTCAGATACGAAAAACGCGGTCGCGGCTCTAGATGACTTGCGCATGATCCCTGAAAATATTCCCCTCCGTTTGGGAATGTTTAAGAGAAAGTTCTTCCGGGGGGCTTTAGGTTTTGCGGAGACGGAGACGGAAATGGTGACCTATTTGTACTATAGACGGACGAAAGTTTGGAGAATCCCTTATTTCGAATTGCATAAGTGCAGGTGGATAATACGAGATCATAGTCACGACGTAGCACGATGACGCATCCCAGATCCCCAAAATATGCATCTTCGTCCAGCCTTCGGGTCGTGCCTGTGATTAATATCCTTGCTGTTATGATCAACCTCATGACCGGCGTCTCCAAGTCGTTGGTTGGTGGAGGATCTCGGGAACTTATGCGGGGGTTGCGATGTTGTTTCATGTTTTCTCTTGACTTATCCCTGGTTACTTACCTAAGCTGCCTGACCGTGTACTTCGATTGGCTGGTCGGACTATTTGTATTAGACATCCTGCGTGGTGTACAGCTGTTCTTCAAGCCACCAGGTTTGGACTGTCTCGGTACTCTCGTCATGAGTCCCCTCTTGTGTGGCACAGGGAGACACCCTCGCATATTTTCCCGATACGTAGATCCGTAGAACTGATTCAAGAAACTGGTTGTCATTCAAAGTCACCGATATATCAGGTTTGTGTTATTTCCAACATTTGCATCCTCCCCACTATGGAGAACAAATGGCTTAAGATATCTTCGGTATAAAGGGTTGACTTATAACAGAGAAGTACCTAGTTAGCCGTATGTTAGGTATCGAATATATTTAAAAGAAGTCTGTTACTGGTACCCATCTATCTGGGCTCCTATCCTCCCTCATTCTAAGGCTGTATCGTCATCATCTCGTTAATTGTTGAACCACCTTTGCTAGCCTCTGGATGGATTCGACTATTTCGTCCTCTTCGTTCCATGCCCAACATAGTCTAGTCCCTCTGTTCCAAGACGCGTTTGCCCTCTTCATGCTTTCGGGGTCTCCTTGCACGACGAAGATTTCACCTGGCGCAATGTTTAAGCCATATTCATCGCCACCGATTCGGACAATATCGGCAGCTGCTGGGAAGTTTTCCTTGTCCGGATAGTCCAAATACATGAAGAATCCTCCTGCAAGTGTAGCCGGAACGCGGTTCCCGTTGTCGTTTTTCGCATAAGTCTCGTAAGGTAGCCCGGTTGATATCTTCATTCCAAGCGGGTAGAGATGAGTCTTGATAGCATCTACTAGAATATTATATCGTTTTCGGTATATTGGGATCAAGGTATTTTGCACATGGTCTTCTAGAACGCCGGAAACGAGCATGTGATCGATTAAGTAACAAGTATATTGACTTTGACAGCCACCAGAATGAGTCGCTCCGCTGGAGTCCGAGATATGGATTAGAACCCCGTCCAGTCTATTAGGAGAACATCGTACTTACGCTTGAGATAAGCCATAGACAAAACTCGGAGTCGCCTCGCACCAACCCACCCGAAGGCCAGGCGCAGCCATTTTTGAGAAAGACCCATTACTTACTGTATTTCCCCATTCACTCGTGAAACCCATCTGTCGGTCGATGTCCACCAACCTTGGAGGGACTTCCATGTTCTTATGCGGGACACTATCGTCGGCCGGCCAAGCAAGAAAATCGTAGACATCGTCCGCGATTAAAAGGATATCGTACTTACGTGCTAGCTCTACCAGAGCTTTACGATGATGCAGCGACATTGTCTTGCCGCTGGGATTAGACAGAGTTGGGACCACATACAGGGCGTACTTGTAAAGCTTCTTATACCCGAGGCTTTCGGGTTTCGTGGTTGGCGCACCGGAAGTTTGAATGCCATTGGCGTATTTGCTCTCTTCTTCCTCCAGCCTGCGTCGCAGAAATTCAAGATCGATACCCTCATCGTCCTCAGGGACGCCTTGCATTTTCTGACCGAAACCTGCGTCCAAAAAAGAGTTGATGGCAAGGAAATAGGCAGGCTCTACAAGAAACATGCGGCGCGTGTATAACGGATCGGTAAACTTCTGTAGAATTGCCGTGAGCGCTCCCGAAGCGCCATTCGTGATGATGATGCGGTCTCGGGTAATGGGACCTGGTGCGGGCTGATATTTCTGGCTGAGCCAGGTGGCGACATGCTCGCGGATTTCATCTTCGCCATGATCAGGCCCGTACGTTAAAGCCCAGTCGGACTTTGCGGGCTGCAACAGTACTATCTGAGATGCTGCCGCTAGCTTGTCCGCCGCTTGTAAGCGTGGACTTGGCCGACCGATTAAGAGATTGATCGGTTTCAGCGTCGAAGGCCCTTTGAATCCCACAATCGAAATGTCTGAACTCATGGTTGAGTATGATTTGAGGTTGATGACAAGCTGATGTCTTCTGTTTTTCTGAGATAACGAAAGCGTGACTAGGGGAAGACGACGATGATGAAGATGGTATAGATAGTAACGGTTAAATTCACAGAGGAGTCGAGTCGGCGTTGGATGCATCGCACCTCCGAGTTACGGACCCCGAATTCGAACTATTTAGCTATTTTAGTTAGTTCGATAGAAAAAGGTGCACCGACAACGTACGACAAGGACGTCATAAGATTATAGGTTATGTAGTTCCTTGAATCTTTAACGCCATTATCTAAGGCGAGTAATCTTATCATGAGCTTGTAGAACTGGAAGTCTCTTATTAAAACCTCTCAGGGGTAGCCTACCAAGGTACCTAAGTCGACCCTATAGAGCGACCCCTATTCTCCTAGTTAGTGCACATGAACGGCGTCAAATCGGGCAGTAGATCTGGTAGCAACCATCAATCCTCCTAATGATGCGACTATTGATGTTCCTCAGACTACCCGTGGCTTGTGGCTTGCATCTCCATGTACTGGGATAGGTCTGGATAGGTACATAGTAGGCATCATACATATGCCATTCTAAACACGATTCTTGCATAGAACAAGCCTGGCCTGCACAACTGATCAGTCAATTCGAATTGAGCAGGTCGTGCTTGTTCTATTTTTTGAGTTAAATGAACCAGTGAGCGGATTATTAATGATCGCGCGGGCACTTGGAACTAACTAGTCGATTTGTAAATTGTAGTCTTTGTAAATGGGTTCTTGTTGTTATTTTTCCGGCAGGAAAAACATCGGATGCATCTCCTACCTTCTAGATGAATCCCCACCAAGTCTTCGTGGCTCAGTTGGCTAGAGCGTTGGTCTCATAGAAATATGACCTAATCTTCAAAAGATTGGGATATCCAAAGGTCGTGAGTTCGAGCCTCACCGAGGACAATCTAATATTTTTTCATAATTTCGTACAATCAGCTTTAATATCTTTAGGAAGTGGATTGTGATTATTTTGTAGTTTTGTTTCGGCGCAGTAGTGGCAATTCTTTTTGATCGTAAGATAAATATATTGGCTTCGCACTTAGGATGACTGTCATTTATTCGTTCCATTTCACCCATAACCACTTACATATCGCCTGGTATAAGTACCTAATCAACTCCACCAAATCATTCAATACCGCTATCTCAACTTAAGCATACCTTACCTTATCCTTGCCGTCGTTATCTTGTCGCATCTGTTGCTCGGGAGTGGGCGACGGTATCGGTGACGGTATTGGCGAAGGCGCCATGTCGCCGGGCGTAGGCTGGCTACTAAGCTGGTCCATAACTCTAGCATCAACGCCTTTTCCTTCAGCAGCCTTCAGCACTTCCATCAGCTGTCTCCCGCCTTCAGGCCATAAGACCGGACCCTTAGAACTGCTCTTTCTACTATTATCAGGAACCTCGTTTCTTAAAATGTTCTCTACTGCGATTTTGTTCACTCCGTAGAACTCCGCGTTGGCGTCCGGCCTTTGAACTACAACCGTGCCATCGACCTGCACACCGCCATATAGACCGCGGCTCTTCATGTAGCTCCAGACAGGTTTGACATTCTTCCCCACTGCTGCCTCGACGCTAGTTCCCGCGCCTATCGGACCGGCAACGACAGCTATTTCTCCTCCCAAACTCACGCGCGGCTTTGCGAAAGCGTCAACGGCCGCCTCGGTGTTGAGCACGCAAACGCAATCGTAAATGTCGAGCCCAGCCATAAGACCGGCACCCAGCGTGTGAACCAGGAACCCGGCCGGGGGTGACCAACGGCCGTCCGGTAGCCGCGCGACGACGAGCCCGGAGCCTCCTGCCCCAGAAATATGGAACCCCGTGCGGAAAGTGGTGAAGATGGCAAGACCCTTGGCATTAACGATCGCAGCTTGCGGAATCTTCACCAAGACCTTAGGCTTGCCGCTAGGTCCACCCAAGTTTGCATTGCTGTTCGATGATTTCTCTTTCTCTGATCCGCCTGCATAAAATCCATCTTCTGTAGATGACCAGGCACGTTAACATTGTCTCTGAATTTAAACCCCCTAAGGCCTACCTATGGGAGGTATATATGACATAGAAATGCCAGGGGGAAGGAGGGGGACGTACTGCAGAAACTCTTCAGGATACGCGCCGCCTTATCACATTCTTTATCCATACTCGTGGGCCAGAAAGCCTCAGATCCGAGCTTGTTTGTGAGCTTGTTGATCGGCACGCCGGCTTTGATGCCCCATTGGTAAAGCTTGCGTCCGAAACCTGACTTTGCTGGCTCGGACGTCTCCTCAGCAGCAGCGACGTGAGGAATAGAGGCACCTACAGCCGGAGGGGTTTGCGCGGCTGACTGCGCAGTTGGTGGAGGATTAGGACGGGGTGGTAGGACTGGTATCTTCTCGTCAGAGTACGAAAATCCAGCACTGCCTCCGCTTTCCTCATAACTAGGTGGAGGCGCATTTGGATACTGGTTATATAGATGTGCCTGGTTCGGAGGAGGACCAGGCGGCGGAGGCGGATAGTTCGGTTGGTTCACATTTGAGGGAGGCGGTCCTGGGGGAGGAGGCGGGAACTGAGCCTGTTGATGTTGATTAGGCGGGGTTGGAAAGGATTGAGGGGTATCGCCAGCAAGCTCGGCGTAGAAAGTATGAGTATCCTCCGATTGAGGCGGATGGCTCGGATGGGCGCTCATAGTCGAATAGTCCCAATAGCTATTAGTTACTGAACTGCGACAGATTGAGCTGATATAGTACGCAGGTGTCAGTAACAACTCCTGGTGTTTTCAAATACCGTATTGAAACGAAGATGTAGGGACAACGAACAGAACAGAACCTGATGTTGAAGAAATGAAGGAAGAAATAAAGAGAATGAGAAAGGTACCCGAGCAGGTGAGTAGGATATATGGATATACGAATATATGACTCTGAAGAACGACACCGACTAATAAAGCACAAATGGTAGTATAGAAGATTGGTAGCTTGATCAAAGCTCCACGTACGACGGTGGCTCAGATAATTAGATTGACTTTGTGAGATTCTAATTGGATGGCAAAACACTTTTAGGGGCAAGTGTCAGATATACGCATATTGAGAGTGGCTGGAAAGGTGTTTGTGTCGGGCAGCTATGAGAAAATAATCATGTTATCATGTTATCCAGTGATGGAGGGGGTCACGACTTCCCAGGTTTGATGTCATCGCCACACGCAAACGTACCTTCCTAAGGTAGGCGCAGCCGCATAATAGACTGGCTTTGCCGGTTTAGTCTATAAATGGAATGGATTCGATCCATTTCAATGCTAGATTCATTACCTGCATGTATTTAGTTAGTGCTTAGATACCTTATCGTAGCTCTTCCTAATCGTTAGGTAGCTGCTCTGGTCATTCTTCTCAGTACTTCACTTGTCCCTCTAAGCCTCTCGGCTTCTTCCATCGCTGAGCAAGACCTGGGATGATTACAACTTCGAAAACACGGCAAATAGGTAGGTACCCAGATAATCAGGGGAGATAAAGAGGTCAAGATATCGTCTGGCGGAAAGGTTAGGTGCATTTCTCGTGGCTGGGGAACTATAATGCGTAAATGAAGTCCCAATGACCCCCCTATTATCACCTATTTCGACCCCGAGAATGAATGTTCCGCGGCAGCCCGTTCCTATCCCTCGATGACTCTAGAATACACGTGATACACTACAAGTACAGACCCTCAGGCTCTCCTTCTTGCTTCGTACGAAGGACTCTTTCTCTTGCTGCCCTAAAATCGGCCATCTGAACTCGCATACGGCGTTCACGTAGGGCCATCAGACCGGCCTCAGAGCAAATCGCCTTGATGTCAGCTCCGGAGAGGTCGTCCTTCTGGCTAATAAATTCATCCAGATCGACATCCTCGTTCAAGCTCATCTTGCTAGTATGAAGGTTGAAGATCTTGCGCTTCGTGTTCTGATCGGGATTCTCGAAGAGGATCTTCCGGTCGATTCGTCCAGGTCGGATCAATGCAGGGTCGAGCGTCTCGATCTTGTTGGTTGCCATGATCACCTTGACATCGCCACGGTCGTCAAACCCGTCGAGTTGGTTGAGGAGCTCCAACATAGTTCGTTGTACCTCACGTTCTCCCCCGGACGTTGAATCGTAACGTTTTGTACCAATCGCATCGATCTCGTCGATGAAGACGATTGAGGGTGCGTTCTCCGCGGCCACCTATGGTATGATTAGCATGAGAAATCTTAATAGAGCATTTGCTAGAGTTGTTCATACCTGGAAAAGCTGTCTGACAAGTCTCGGGCCGTCGCCCAAGTACTTCTGAATCAGCTCGCTTCCAACAATGCGCAAGAAAGTGGCTGAAGTCTGATTGGCGACAGCCTTCGCGAGCAACGTCTTTCCAGTTCCCGGAGCACCGTAGAGGATGACGCCCTTGGGAGGCTTGATACCCATTTCCTCGTACAACTCGGGATGCAGGAGCGGTAACTCGACCGATTCTCTTACTTCCTGGATCTGCTGCTCTAACCCACCAATATCGGCGTAAGACTCAGTCGGCGCTTTATCAAGCTTCATGACGTTGACAGCCGGGTCTGTGTCGTCCGTGAGTACGCCGACAATGGACACACTCTTATGGTGTAGCAACACGGAAGCACCAGGCTCGAGTAGGTCCTTGTCGACAAAGCTCATGATGCTAACATAGTATTCAGGACCGGTAGTGCTAGATACGATAGCGTGATCATCGTCAATCATTTCCTCAAGGGTGCCAACGCCCATCGGGCTACCGCGCGTGTCATCGACTCGTCCACGTTCGTCAGCCATCCGGTCGGGAGCATCGAGATCGGGGGCAGGGCCAGTGTTATCCTTCGCGGCCTTGGCCTTTCTCAGACGCTCCTGGTTCTCGACAAATTCCTCCTCGAGAAGTAGGTGGTCGTGGATGCGCTGCATTCGAAGCAGGCGGAGCTTGCATCGACTGGTCGGGTAGACTGCGGGGAGCTTAGCTGCGGCAGAAGTACCAGCAGCCTTTCTCTTCTTGCGTCCGATGCGGGTAGTGGGACGAGGTGGCGGCTCGTACTTTGGCTTCTCCTTCTATTGACGAAAATCGAGTTAGAAATTTGGACTCATTTAGGCAAGTAGCCGAGGCTGAGGTAGGTGTGTATTCCAATGCCATCGAAATCCAGTCAACATACCTTCTTATCTTTATCATCTCTTCCATCCTGGCCATTGCCCATTCCAGATTGATTTTGACCCTAAGTCTAGTGTTAGCATAGCGCAAAGATGTACGTGATCGATATGACCGGTATGCTGAAGCAAGCTTACCATCTTGACAAGCTACTGCCCGGGTCGGGTTAGGAAATTGCCTTAGATAATGGGAGATAAACTCTATGGCTTGAATGGTGATTAAGAATGATAATTTGGATGGAAAATGGAAACCTCCACAAGCTGGCGGAAGGCGGACGACAGAGTCGGGTTGGGAATAAATGGATGGATGAATGATGAATACCTAAGTTGGATGTTGAGGCGAACGGTTGAAGCTCCGTTGATAGTTTCAATGTTCTAAGGTCTAGCGCAAGAAATCAGGCGCCCAAGGGAAACGCGTGCAGGTGCTTACATAATGTATCTGGAATATCATGTACCTAGGTACATCCCTCTTGGTGGGGACAGTCTACAAACACAGTAAACACAGTGCTTGCGGTGCACGATAAGTGGATTCTAGATCGGAATGTACCGGGGTACTTATTCCGACTAGCCCGGGAAAATACCTTGGTACTGCTTACATAAAACCGGCGCATGTGGCCAGTGCATGTGCAATTACTAGTGTGCCCACTGCCCAGTGGTTGCCGGTTTTGAAGTTTGCGGTATTACAACGGCGGAATTAACTTTTGATAGACGAAGCTTGACCTTTTTTCCTCTCGTCATAGCCGTGAATAGCAAAATCAACTCTTTCCCTCTTACCACCTGATACCAACACTCGCCGCTCTTCGTCTATCGGAAGCTCCCCTTCAGCTTCCCATAGATCAATTGCTGCAGGATGCAAGCTATCTCGAGACATTTGCGGCCAGGCGCTGCCGCTCTGCGCCAGCTTTCCCGACGAGCCTACAGTTCTACCACCTCTCCCTACTCCCAGACGATCGATAACTTGCGCATTAACGCCGACACCAAGGTTATCTACCAAGGATTTACTGGAAAGCAGGGAACGTAAGCGCTGGCCATATTTATCATGAGTTTCGCTAGTTTCGTCGTTGGGACACTCGAGTCGCTATTCTCTCTCGACGTCGCCTGCAACTTAGAAAAGACTCACATGCTAATAATCCTGGGTTATCTGCAGTTTCCACGCCCAACAGGCCATCGAATACGGTAAATATATCCTACATCCTATACTCTACATTATGCAACCTTTACGGACATCGCTTTGCATGGGGAGGAATGAATAACTAATTGCTAGCTCTAAACAGGCACCAAGGTCGTTGGAGGCACAAATCCCAAGAAGGCTGGCCAAGAACATCTCGGTCTCCCTGTTTTCGGCAATGTTAGCGAAGCTGTGAAGCAAACTGGCGCAAATGCTACCGCTATCTTTGTGCCGTAAGTGTCGAGTTGCCAATGTGAAACAAGGAGTGCGCCTTGAGCTGGAGATGCTGATCAAATCCCCCTTTTAGCCCTCCCCTAGCCGCTGCTGGTATTGAGGAAGCTATCAATGCTGAAATTCCCCTTGTTGTTTGTATTACCGAAGGCATTCCTCAGCATGGTTAGTTCTCAGTCTATCTTCCATCCGAGCTTTCGTCCTTTCTAACGTGGCCGTGAAGACATGGTTCGCATTACCGATATTCTCAAATCGCAGTCTAAGACCCGTCTCGTCGGGCCTAACTGCCCCGGAATTATCGCCCCCGGCCAGTGCAAGATCGGTATCATGCCTGGCTTCATCCACAAGCGCGGCCGCATTGGTATCGTCTCTCGTTCCGGCACCTTAACTTACGAGGCTGTCAACCAGACCACCCAGGCTGGTCTCGGACAATCCCTAGTTGTTGGCATTGGTGGCGACCCTTTCAGCGGAACTAACTTCATCGATTGCCTCAACGTTTTCTTGAAGGATGAGGAGACAGACGGCATCATCATGATTGGAGAGATTGGTGGGTCGGCCGAGGAGGATGCCGCGGACTTCCTTAAGGCAAACAACACTGTTAACGGTGGCAAGCCGGTTGTCAGCTTCATCGCCGGTATCAGTGCGCCTCCCGGGCGACGAATGGGTCACGCCGGTGCCATCGTGTCCGGTGGAAAGGGTGGTGCGGACTCTAAGATCAAGGCCTTGGAAGCTGCTGGCGTAGTGGTAGAGCGCTCACCTGCGGGTCTGGGACGCGCTATGAGGGAGGCTTTCGTTAAGCGGGATCTACTATAAATAACCTGTCTCCTATATGGATAGAAAGGGGCGGTTGACTAGATATATTACGGCCTCGGCGAGTCTAGTGGGCTGGGAGACCTGTAATGCTGTATCCATGTGGAAGCATACATCGAAGCATGAGTGCCGGGGTCAAGCTGGACTGCATTTCTTGCCAGGAAGGCGTCCCGTGTGTTTTTACTTACCTCTACGATAGACGGATGGCGGATGGCGGATAGTGCATTGTATCTTGTTGTATTTGTCTCCTGGCAAGCGTAACCAGTGAACACTTTTCGATGCCTATGCTTAATGTCCAGTCTTGCTGCGGTAAGGTCAATATTTGTCAAGACCATAAGACATGTGGGTAAGACGTTAGGAATATGCAAGATAAGACACAAAGTAGTATGAAAAGAAAACCAAGTTCTATTTGGTACTAATTGATAACGAGGAAATCATCGTAGAATCGTTGAATTATTGGAATATTGGAAGATGTATTCTGGAGCGGTTTAACGGGAGTTGGGTTTGATGCTTACCTAAGATAGCTCTGCTTGCAGGAACCCCTTTTCTCACATCATGAATATGAGGCGACTCATATGAGGCAGCAAGGGGAAGATGATAACAAATGATACAAATTTCGAAGCTCAAAAAACATTTGTAAGGAGTGACAAAAGTTGGTTTTATATTGATGAATGTCAGTTATACTTTCGTAACTATGAAGTAACTACCCCGTCCGTGAACCCATCCTGTTCCTCCGATCATTGTGTCGCATTTGTCTCCATAAATATTTTTCTAATAAGGTAGATTTTTATATCTCCAACGGCTTATCATGAACACCTCTCAAAAAAAACCCATAAGACGAAGTTTCACCAAGAGACAGGGTCCTCCATATAAGCACTCGTCTTCTCCTGCGTCCATTTCGCCGTCTTACCAATAGTCGTGACAATACCGGTAGTCGCGCCGCCGCCGAGAAGCACGGCGAAGATACCGCGCAGAGGGAAGTCGAAGTATGCCGGGTCGCTCAGATCGAACGGCTGGGCAGAAGCGAAGAGATCCTCTACGGTCGGGTGCGTGACTAGCGGGGCCGGCTTGATCTCCAGGATCTTCGGGTGGATGTTAAGGTAGTCCGAGCCGATGTTCGCATCGCCGAAGATGTACGTCCCGCCGCTTCCCCAGTGCTCCACCTCGAGGTCCACGACGGACTCGGTGCGCGCTGGGATGCGGCTTGCTGGGATCTGCCACGGCATCACGGGGACTTGGAGTTCCAGGCTGAGGGCGCCGCAGAAGTCGAAGAAGCGTCCCCACTCGTACGGACCGTAGCAGTAGCCGTTCGTGTAGGCTCGCTGGGTGAAGTCGTCCGCTTCGTAGCGGTCGATGGCTAGGAAGTCGGGCACGTATTTACCGCTGTATACTTCGAGCGACTTGATGTAGTCGGCCGTCTTCTTAGCCATCTGGGCCGGGCCGTCTGCGCTGGCGTCCTTCGTGTAGATCCATGTCGAACTGCCGACGCCCCAGATATTCGCTTGCCATCCGAAAGTCGCCCGAGGGCAAACAGTCCGTATCAACCAATTGACGGCAACGACATAGCCTTTGAGTGTATCGGTGACGTCGTCGGGAATGTCGGCGTCGACTTTTCGGTATTGGAGGGCGTCCGCTAACGGTTCTCGCACGGCCATACTGTAGTCAGGGCTGAGCGCCTGGCCTGACGGTCCCTTCTGGCACTCGCCGAGGAAGTCTGGGTTGACAACGTAGCCGATGGGAACGGTTTGTTTGCTGGTACTCTGGGCTAGGTTCATGGATAGTATCAAATTCCCGAAGCTGTGCGCGAGACCCTCCTTGTTATTTAGCTGGGCGAGGGTATCGCCTAGGGACAGATTGACCGTGTATGAAATCATTACCGGTAGCACCGAGTGACCAAGCTTGTCCGCCACGGTATCTGCGAGCTGTACCGTCTTCGTAGTGGCGGGATCGTCTGCCAAGTAAGTACCCGCATCTCCAGCACCATCGTTGCCGGCGTACTTGAAAAGCGAGAACGCATTGGCCGCCACGAAATCGGTTCCCTCGAGATCAACCAGATCGCTAAGCCCGCCGAAAGTGAGGAAATCAGTGAACCCATTGACGTTTAGGTCCGCTCCTTTCTGTGTCGCTAGCTGCAGAACGGTGCTACCATCGCTGTTGACAGTCAACGCGGCAGGGGCCTGGATAGCGTAGACAGTCGAGTCTTGAATGAAACCGGTGGCTTTCACAGTGTAGTCACCGGGGGCGACTTTTACGTCAAACTTGCTGGATGCAGAGCCGACGCTGAGTTGCTGGGTGTAGATAAGGTCCTTGTTCGCCGAAGTGAGGCGGACGGATATGGTCCCGCTAGACCCAGTGAGATCTGTCTGTACCTGGACCGGCAGGTCCACAAAGCCAGTGGTGTCGATGTTTTCAGTCTTTATGTCACTCTGGCCGACGGAAACTTGGATAAGGCTGCCAGAAAGCTGTACAGTTTTGACAGCGCTATATTTGACATTGTTGAGAGTAATCTGAGCGCTGACGTCGACACTGCCCGAGGCGGGAAGCCGTCGCAAGTTCGTTGTGCGATTATTGGAACTGAGGAACTCGTCGATCACTGTAGCGGTGCTGTTATCAACCACTTTGACATGAAGCGGTTCCTTGTCGATTGGCGAGGAGAGCGACCCGATGCTCACATCAAGGGCGGAGTACTTCTGAACCACACCATAGGTCACGCTCACAGCTGATTCCGCTCCAACCTGGACTTCTACCTGGCTCGGTGATACCAGAGCAGTGGCTACGACGGTTTCGTCTGAGTTGGCGAGCTCAGCTGCTTCGACATTGTATGTTCCGGCTGCCACTTGGTATGACTCGGTCTCGCCTGGAGTTGCGGTGAGTGGAGTGGCTTGAGTGCCTTTCTCAAGATACACGACCTGCTCGGTATCCGCCAGCGCTGAGTCAGGGGCAGCCGCAACTTCGATGTTGACCGTTCCACCTGGCAAAGCGTCGGCGTAGAGCTCAAACGAGTTGGTGTAGGTGTCAGGGTTAACCGTCAAGTCTGCATTAATACCCCAAGTGATAGTGTCACTAGCAACGAACGTATGCGCCTGTTGAACGAAGACCTTTGCGGTAACATCGATCGTGTTCTGGTCGAGTTCCTCAGTGGAGATCTCTGACGAAACTTCCTGCCAGGGGGTAAACTGTGCGTTGACGGTAATATCGGCTGTCGTCTTGGGTGCCAAGAACTTGACTCCCAAGAAACTCTGGATAGTTACAGAGGAGCCATCTTCGTAACGAATGTTTTTGATCACGAGCGTTCCGTACCACTGGCCGGCCCCAGAGCCGACGGAGGCATCACAGATAATCTTTTGAGACATTATGAAGTGGAAAGAGTCAGGTTAACTGTGATCACAGTATAGTTGACGTGAAGAGATGGTTGGATCGGTAGGACAAGTTATCAAAGCGTGCTGTTGTTTAAGCAATGATACAGACTGGACGGAAAATCATCGAGGGAGTTGGTCGTTTATATATCTGAATTCACCTGTATGATGCTATGTGGTTGTCGCAATCAAATGCTGCAGCCACTGCCTTCAACCCTCTAGAGTGGTCCATAAACCGATCTGACTTCTCAGGATGGTTTCCAAATCCTACATTGCCAGACCATGGCTCGCGACGCGTGCAGGTAGTCTCCCTCCACATTCGGTGTTTGAGACGTCATCCATACCTGAAGCCATCGTCACCTAAGAGCTGAACACACTCTCGGTGGAGGTAATAAGCCTGGAGGTATCGGTCATTTGAAATGTCGTCAGTGGAGAGGTGAACGACGAAGTACGCGAGACATAGACATTGCCAATCTCCAAATCTCACTCAGTCTCCACTCATCTCTGCCGTCGCGACAACCACCAGACAGGTAGGTTAATTACACAGCAGCTGCAACGAAGCTATTCAGGTAAAGAGCTGTTATAACATATACGAATACCTTAGCCATTCTGGCGTACTCTATGAGAGTCCATGGTCGGAGAGACTTGGCGCAACAAGATCTTGAGCTGAAATCGACTGTAACAGATGAGATCTGAAGATTTCCATTCAAATTACCTGCATGCAATTGACCCTTAAATGTGTTCTCATGATCATAATGATACTATAGTAAGTGGACCGCTTTTACACAGCTAAGTTAGATTATTCAAACGTACCTAATATACAAGATCACTATTAGGAGGGTCGCTTGGACGGTACGCTTTACCTCGGACGTCACACGACACGCGTTCCTAATATGAGAAACTCCATAAAATGTGCATTTCAGCTGGTGGCAATATGCCTCTGGTAACCACGACGTTTCCTGCTTCAAAAGATTGCTGCTTTAAGTCATAACAAACCAGAACATGAGATATTATACTTTTTATAAGCGTTGTTTAAAAAAAGATCTCTATTTTATAACTTTTATCCTTCCTTTCGTATGGAATTCTCTAATCTGAGTGTAAATTATGAGAAATAGCCGATGGTTAGGTATGAGTTGCAAGAGATGAAGTCTGGCCCGCATCTAACGTAAGAAGACGACTAAGCTATAGTTACCGCCCAACAACATCACCTATTGCAACCGTCTCCATCATCTAGTATTAGTCAGACCGACTAGATATACAGCCTAGGTTACGCCATATACGCGGTGGCATACACGCATTGCGCCAACCCCGACGCCAGGCTTGCGGAGCTTCCAACTTTACCCTCCTCGTCTATGGAGATTGGTGGTTTAAGATTCACACGAACTGTGGAAGAAACGCATGCGTGCGATATGTTACAGATGTTGCGCTGCAGGGTGAGATCTATGTCCGGGGCCGAGGACATTTCTCGCTGAAGGGAGTCAGCCGTCTTGATTTTGAAGCCAGCGTTAGACGAACCAGTGATGGGTCGGCCTTCCCGACATCATTGACGTCTCTTCAAGTATAGGATGAACACGGAGGTAGCTTCTGAACGACGCGGGACCAAGTATGCGCGGATCGCTGGGTTATAGAGTCGTGTTAGTTTTACGTAACAAAGTTTGATCTTCTAGCTCTCGACCTAGTCCATATGCTCATTCGCCCGCAAAAGTCTAGACATGAAGAGGCAAACTTATAACCAATACTAGGTAGTAGATGAATTGTGTAAGATTATCCTCACATTTAAACACTTCTAGTGGGCACTTCATATACAACAAGCTATATGAGTCCTTAGAAACATTAACAGGAGAGTTGAATTCCTTCCACATGACCGAGAACGATGGCTAAGCATGGAATAAAACCTGAAACCTGAAAGTAGTCTAAAAAAATGAGTTGTTAGCTCAGACTGATTGTCTCCGATAGGTAGGGAGTTAAGTGGTCAGATGGTATAAAGAAGATTAAAGTAATTTTGCGGAGGTAGGTAGGTAAATATAGTTACTTGGGTGGTAATCTGAGTTATACTACATTTCGTCAAAAAGACGCGTTCTGTCCAAGTACCGAATCAATAACTCTAATTAAGTTGACTAAAGCGATCCATGTTTGCACCGAGTCACCGGTCTCGCTCTTATCTTAGCAGAATTCCTGTCTCTTTTGATATCTTGTATACAGCGACGCGGTAGAGGTATTACCGCTATACATCTCAAGACCTAACGCTAGGAACATACGCGTATCAGCGAGTCAAATAAAAAGAGGGACATATAATTATATGCGTTTTCAACTAACTTAGTCATGTGTTATTAGTATCACTGGTGCTGAGGACCGCGGAGCAGAGATCAATTGCCGACGTGAGAATGGCTCTTATCCTAAGCGAGGGGCACGCCATGGCGTCTGGCGTATTTGGGGCGGCGGCGACGAGCCTTATGCAGTTAGTATTATTGAGTGCTATGATCCAACAGTGGTACCTAACAAGGGGGTGACATAGATGAAAGCAGATTATCTAGTAAGGTAAATGTTCATAGTAGAGACTCGTAAGTCACCAGAAGATTTGTAACTAGACGATAAAGTTTTCCTAATTTTATTATTATGGGGAGAACGCCTAGGTGACATAAGGTGAAAAGGGGTCGCATCGTATATGTCATCAGTCTCGTCTCTTTAGGAATCTACTGAATACGGATCGTTGGCTTTGCGCCGAGGATGACCGTTCGTAATGAATAACCCCGAATCTTCATTTCGTACCCCCGCAATGAATCTTTATACGTATAATATAATTGCCGTTTAGAAATCCGGGGTCTCCGCACTCCTTAGATACAAGCTGGGGTAGTCGATAGCGACTAGTGGTTTAGTGGGTAAACATATCCACACTTGTAGTTGAAGGCCAGGATTACTACAGATTCGGGATAGACCGACAAGGCTAATGTTACATTATAACACAAGCATGGCTAACTTGGGTCCTATCAGAGCACGTACGTATCCATATGGATGCTGACTTGGAGAGCCTTGGTCGGTTATCATGAAGTGCGGGCGGAGGAGAAATAAGACATCTCGTCGTCTGGCAATCTCAAAAATTGCTTCTTGTTCCCAGCAGCTATCCCCACCAACTTCATAATTTGAAGCCTATCTCCATACTTCATCATGTCTTCTGAGACCGAAAAGCCTTCGATGGGGTTAGTTGATGACCAAAAACCAGCTGTGAGCCATAAGGAAGCCCTCGAGGCCGTGCCGATCGAACAAGAGGCGACCCAAGATGTTTATCACATCCATCTCAGTTGGAGATCGTGGGTATGGAACCTAAAGATATTCTTGCTTTGGCCAGATATGGTACTGACATATTGACAATCATGTAGCTGGTAGTGTTCATAACCTGCTTCGCGTGAGTGTATTCGCACACTCATGGACCCATACTCAACTTTCCATACTGACGGTAATACATAGCATCATGGCTCAGGTGTTCGTAGTAGTGGCTGCGGGTTCGGTTATAGCATTCATCATTCGCGACCTCGGAGAGGCCTCGATAGCTGGTTGGGTCATCCAGGTGCTGACTCCTGCACGACACCTATGTGATATGCCCAGAACTGATGGAGATTCTCTAGGGCCCTTTACTCATGCAGTCTGTACTATCGCCGATAGTTGGTCGCCTATCCGATGTGTTAGATAGGAAATTCCTTGCCACGGTGCCACCCTTGATTGCCTTTGTAGGTGCCGTCGTATCTGCTAAGGCGACGTCAATGGGTATGCTCATAGGTGGCGGGATTCTTATCGGTGTTACGTTGTCTACAATCTCCATCGTCCAGGCAATTCCCGCCGAGATCCTGCCATTGAAATATCGCGCCCTTGCCAATGGCTTCGCGTTTATTGGAGGTTCCCTGGGTGGACTGTATGTTCTGTTATTGTCATCCTCCTAAGCTCCTTATCTGAACTTTCATTTAAGAAAACTGACGCAAATAGGATCGGGTCCCTCGGCGGCGGCGCGGTCACTAACGTTAATGTTGGCGGATGGCGATACATCTTCTGGATGCAAGCCGCTTTCCATGGGATCACCTCGGTAGGGCTCTTCTGCTTCTACTGGCCGCCCAAACATGTTGAATATCCAAAAATGACTTTGCGGGACTACATATGGGCTTGCGATCCTATCGGCTCTACACTATTCGTCGGCAGTGCAACGCTGATGCTCCTTGCGCTTGATTGGGCTGGAGGGGCATACAGCTGGTCGAGCCCTCACGTCGCCGTACCGCTCAGTTTAGGTTTGGTGATGTTGAGCGGTTTTGCTCTTTACGGTACGAAGACAACCCCGTATTCATGACGTCTCTCTTTGACGCAGTGATTGTGATGACTTGACTGATGATACTAGAATGGAGGGGACGACCTGACGGTCTAGTTGCACATGTCTTCTTCCGGCAGAACGCCAATTTTGCATACTCCATCTTCTCATTCGCAGTTGAGGGTTGGATCTTCTATAGCGCCGTCAACTCAGTCGTACCACAGATCGTGCTCAATCTGGGATTTGAGAGCGACGCATGGCTTATCTCGGTTCGCCAGTTGAGTTACCAGCTTCCCGTCTTATTCGCCTCCATTCCAATTACTTGGTACGCGACTCGATACAAAGATCTGCAAATACCCTTGCTCATCACCTTTACCATTTTTTTAGTCGTGTAAGTCCTTAATGAACCTCTCCCTTAACTGGCCTACGGGGGCATTGTCGATGATTAAAAGGCCTGACGTATTGATCCGCGTCGTATAGAACCATTTGCTACGCAACCATCCAACCATCGTGGAGCTCCCCGCAAATTGGCCTAAACGTGCTAGCAGGCATCGGCCAGGCAGGACCGCTCACGCTCCTCGTCGCATGCATCCAATTTACAGCGCCGCACGCTTTCCTGTCAACCGCAACAGGTCTCGCATTTTCCGCCCGCGCCATCGGTGGCGCCTTCGGCTCGGCTGTCTTGAACGCGATTATAAACGGTCGGCTAGCTAGCCATTACGCAGCAGGCGTCGGTAACGCGGCCACCGACGCGGGTTTGCCGGAGAGCAGTGTACCCGCGCTAATAGAAGCTCTGGATGCTGGACAGATAGGGTCGGGGGTTGACGCCGCTACTCCTGCGGTTTGGACAGCGGCTGTTGATGCTAGTAGATGGGAGTACGCTCACGCGTATAGGTTAGCTTGGGCAAGTGTCATCCCGTTCGTCGTGTTAGCCATCATCGCCGTCGCACTATTGAAGGGAGTCAAAGATTTAATGACAGAGAAGGTCGAGGCTACCGTGGAACATGTCAAACACGACGAAAGCGCGTGAATACACGATTTGAAGGCGTACATGGTCGAACATATATATTAAGGATGAACCGGAGCACACCAGGTTTGAGGTTATCTAATTTTACCGATTCATGCACGACCTTGGATCGTCGTTTGTCAGTGGCACTGCCTTGGTATCAGATATGTTCGTGATTGCGGTTCGTCTTATGCTAGAAATGTGTTATTTAACACCCTAGACATTCGGATGTTAGTGCCACGTCGTGGCTGGCCTTGGCAATTCTCTCAGGCCATCTTTTTCTAAACCAGATAGGATATCGTAAAGGGAATAGGTCAGATGCAAAGATAGCGCCCTTCAAAAAGCATGGAAGCTCGGTTTAAACTACCTGTTTTGATAGGTAGATAACTAAGCAAACGTTGATGAGGTCGCACTTAGCCCTGGTCAACAGAGATAGGACCACCTATCTTTACGTGTCTATATCGGCGGTTCAGGAGGTAGTTATAGCACCTGAACTGGATATGATTCCGGAATGATTCCGGTTTTCTCATGGCCTAAAGTAGATCCGAATATCCTCTTGTATCGTTCTAACACCGAGTCTTCCCTTTGTATATTTTCTCACACTCGAAAGAGGCCGAGACTTGTGTGTAAGCCAAGACTCGATCGGCCTATAGGAACCGGCACATCCTACTGTCTCGAAATCGATAATCCGGGGGGTTTCTTGTAGGTTGCGCGAAAGGCGTATCGAGCTATCGGCGTAAGCATTAAGAACGAGTCCGTTGCGTTCAAGACTTTTCTTGGGGACGACCATCAAGCCACTTGCTCATATAAGGACCGTCTAACCAATATCCGAGTTTCCTGTAATAGCTTCTCACTCCAACGCCACTGATGACGCTAATCTTGTCGCTCCCATGTTCGTCACGCGCGATACGTTCGGCCTCTTCCATGAGGAGAGTACCGAAGCCTTGGTGTTGGAACTTCTTGGGGTCCCTAGCGTGGACTGGTACGGCGGTTCCGTAAACGTGTAGTTCCCTGACAAGGCTGGTCTGTTGGCCGATTAACTCCTCACGGTAGGTATATTTCTCCGTGCATTTTCGCAAGCGAAGTAGAGCGACTAAGATATCCTGTTTGGGATCTTCGTAAGCCAGGAATGTCTCCCAACCACCATTGGCAGTATAATCACGACGAATTAGTTCAATCTGGTTGGGTCGGATCTTGTGCTTGACCTCATTGATGCCGACCTCGCGTGTTCGCACGTCACGGCAGGTCGTGCCAAAGTCCTTCATTCGCGCAAGGGCCAATTCTCTCAAATTTCCATTCTCAACACCGGATGTGACTAGCGGCATCGGTATATCTCTCTGCACTCGGTAGATCCTAGTCCAAGGGGGCACGAGCGCTAAGATCCTAGCAACAATATCGATTAAATCATTTGGAGTATAATTCTTGTAACGGCCCGTCCTCCACAACTCGTAAAGACCTGTGCCGCGGATGACTAGTGTAGGATATATCTTCAACCCGTCAGTTCGAAACGCTGGATTTTCGAAATATTCTCGAAATTGGTCTAGATCGCGTTCCATGCCGACGTTTGGTAAATCCGGCATCATGTGCGAAACGACTTTGTATCCAGCGTCCTTGGCAAGGCAGAACGTTTCAGCGACTGCAGCAACAGTATGCCCCCTATTTGTATCTCGTGCGACATCTTCGTACAATGACTGAACGCCAATTTCTAAACGTGTACATCCATATCGAAGCATATCTGTTAGATGTGGTTGGAGACAGTAGTCTGGTCGAGTTTCGATGGTAATACCAACGCACTTCACATTGCTCATCTCGCCGGCTTCGACCGCCTCATCGACGTTCGTCGTCTGGTAACCACTTAGGGCGTTGTGCAGCTGGGAGATAAACTCTTCTCGGTATGGAATAGGGAGCGACATAAATGTGCCGCCCATGATAATATATTCGACCTTGTCTACCGAGTGCCCGAGAGACTTTAACTGATCAACACGACCTCGAGCTTGTTCGAAAGGATCGTATCGGGCGCGAATGGCACGCATGGAGGTGGGTTCGTAACCTGTATAGGACTGTGTGCTATATTCGAAGTCGGAGTCGGGCCCACCTGGGCAGTAGACGCAGATGTTGCCAGTGAAGGCGATATGAGGGCATCTGTGAGGTTTACACATGACAGCCACAACTGCGATACCCGAAGAAGTGCCTGACTATAAGTCAGTACGATGAAAGTTACCCCTTATATTTTACGCTGACGTACGAATAGGCTTCGCGATCAGTTTCGGTAGGATATATTTCTTGTAGTGTTCGGGAACGGCGGCGATAATGGCCGTCAGCGGAGGCATGCTAGCGATCTTATGCTTCCTCGAGAATTTCGAGCGCAGGCTGTTGAGATTGATATCCCGCTTGGGATTCTTGGGGTTCTTGGAGGCTTCATGGTCTTCGATGAGGGCATTCGCAATATCGGCGCAACATCGCAAGAATCGCTCGTTCTCTGGCGGAAGGTTGGCATCTTTCTTTCGGACTGTCGCCGTTATCGTGGTCGTGGCCATTGCGTAAGTTGCATGTAGTTCAATGTGCTCTTTGTAGATGAGTGGTTAGCAAGAGCACCTCGGGCGAGTAATAATGGAGACGATAACTGCTGATGGTGGAACTTGAGGTTGAAGTGTGTAAGTTTATGAAATCGCAGGTTGACGTAAAAAAGTGTATGTAGTGGGGGTGGAAATCTTCAATGAAATCCAGCCAATGAAAGATAATAGAATGACCACTATGGAGTTATCCATGTATCCATAGGACCCCGCTATCCCGTCGTATCTTATGCCGTGAACATTACATAATATGGGTTAGACATCAAATACCGTCTATAAGCATGATGCCATCAGATCGCCATTTCCATTTACGCCTAGGTGCAATTCTTAGCCCCTTCTGCCCCTTCTACGGTTGCAGTTACGTATGGTACCAAGCACAGAACTGCTGGCAATCGCGGGGTTGCAACGATCGGAAAGTGTCAGCGTCTCAACTTCTCAGCTGCCAAACACTTGTTCGATCGTTTTCTTTTTAACATTCTACACCTTTTTATCACTCCAACTCTGACTGGCCGCAAGGGTTGTTCAAGACCAGTCACAACCAAGTTATTCATGCATTCTGAGCTGTCACATCAACGTCCGAGACGGTCAGGTTCTGCAAGGAGCTAATAGTTGTCCATTTTCTTTATTTGATTCAGCCTCACTATTTCTCTCTTGCCGTTGACATTGTCTAAGCCCGCCTAAGCCCACCCTACTTGGTATTAACCTTGGTAGATCGGATACCTAGTAGCTACCCAAGATATCTTAGGTGTTTAAGAACAGTAGACCTCTCGTATCCCCCTTTATTCGCCGTCTATCCCGCTTTCTAGGCCGATGCTACAACAGTCCAATCTGCCTAACTTAATACGACCGATATCGTGAACCATACCGCAAACCGACGCTCGCATTTTCCCCATACTATTCCTTCATTACCCGATACCACCAGCTGAACAACACTAGAGTTGATTTACCATGGCTTCTAGCAGGGCACGACGAGTCGCCAAGGAGTTGGCAGATATCGAAGCCGATGCTAACAATTCTGGAATCACCGCTCAGCCTGCCAGTAACAACGGCGACCTCACCCACCTGAAGGCTTGCATACCTGGCCCGCCCAGTACACCATACGAGGGTGGTCAGTTCATCGTGGACGTCAGAATCCCAAACGAGTATCCCTTTCGACCACCCGTCATGAAATTTGACACCAAAGTGTGGCATCCAAATATCAGCAGCCAAACTGTACGTACTGTCAATCATCTTAGAGCCATCCGCTCTCCACTCTCCACTCACATTCAATGAACAGGGCGCTATCTGTCTCGATACTCTAAGTTCCGCCTGGTCCCCCGTTCTCACGATCAAATCGACCCTCTTATCCCTTCAAGGTCTCTTCGAGAGTCCCGAGCCTAAGGACCCGCAAGACGCTGAAGTCGCTAGAATGATGATTAATGACAGGGAGGCTTTCAACAAGAAGGCTCACGAATGGGCTGTACTTCATGCCGGCGCACCTCGGAACACCAACTTCCAATCCGTTCAGCCTCGGACCCCCGTTGCTCCCCAGCAGGTTGACGACAGCAGGTATGGTTTTAAGAGGCATGGGGGTAGTAAGTGCTGTAGTAACTGGGTAGCTAACTGTCTACAGATATCAGGGTTACAACAAAGATCTCATTAACAGATTCGTCAACATGGGCTTTGACATCGATAGAGTTGTGGAAGCTTTCCAATTCGTTGGTATTGACAGACTCGACGGCCAAGACTACGAGCTGGAGGAAGCGTACATGGGCGACATTACAGCCCGTCTGCTGGGAGAGCCCTAAAGTAATAACCTCAAAGCACCCAGTCATGGGGTCCTTACATTTATAGGTACGGTACCCGCGCACTTGTGCGTAGATCCCAGACACGACCAACAGCATATATTAGTCCTTGCTTTCGGCAATCAGAATCGTCTTCACAGACTTGCATATGGGATTAGGCGTCAGGAGGTTTTCAGTTAGGACATATTATCAGCACATGAATTCATTTTCATGGTTCCAACTCCCTATGCCTCCGAACTGTGCTAATAATTCTCTTTATACGTGTCACTGTTCTGACATTTCTGTAAACCTGCTTCTACCGAAATTGCCTAGGGTAACTCACGGATTTCTGGTTTAAACGCATTTGGGTAGATTCCTGCATGGCCTTATTATAGGTCTAACCTTTCACTATAAATTTTGCTTATTGCTTAAGAACCTATGAATCTACTCAGCGAATGTTTAAAAGACATATATCTTATATAGATCTATTTTCCAGCCGTTGAGATTGAATAGTGGGATAACACCCAAAACTACTATGGGGCCAGCGCAAGGAAGATTGGAGATTAATAATCAATCTGCTATCTTATAAGCCCAGCACCAATTTCATCCCAAGATGGCAGATGGAGGTATAAAGAAGGTATGGCATAGAGACGCAAGCGCCTTCGATGCTTAAATTGATTGTACTTAGGTAGGTAAGTACCTAATGGAGTTCACATCCTTGCTTAGGTAGCATCCTTATTGGTCCCTAGAAAAACCATGGACTACATCAGTCGGCTCTTGACTTGTTCTGTACCTAGGTATAAAAGCAGATTAAACCCAATATATAAGGGTCATCTTCAGAATATCAAGATCGTATACATGTTCGTCTCCGTTGACGTCTTATCTTACTTTTGGGAAGAGAACCACTTGGAACCTGCCACGCGCTCAGCTGGAATTCGAGCTGCAGGGCTAGGAACTGTGAGGTTATTGGGTTTCGTTGGAATATTAAGTATCGCGGCTAGCGTGACAGGCAATAAATATCGCTATTGGTACCGATAACTTGATTCTAAGAGAGGTAGGTTTTAAAATTATATGGGATAGACTAGATAGGTACCTAATGAAATCTGAGATTTCCTATATAACTTCCTAACCTGGATCTCTCTATATACCGTGAACCTCGTGCCATCAAATGCCGCAGAACAAAATTTGGAGCCACCACTTCTTGTATATGACATCAATAACTTAAAGAGCTAATAGGGTCGAAAGCTCTACATGTATCACGTCTCGTGACAATAACCCAATCCAACAAGTAAATCGCTAGCTAGAACGTCAATACTAGCAGTCTCTCGGTCCTCGATCCCGAAGTTCAGGAACAGTGTATCATCTAAGTAGCCGTGGTACTTCTGACCGCGGGCCTTCCAGCTCATGGACGTCACATAAAACATCTGATTACGAGCATCGCGGCCATGAATCCATAGAGGCTTCTGCGATATACCGTAAACTGGAAACGGCGTTCGCCGCCGAAAAAGCATAACGTAGGGTTCATACACGCTATGGAAATCATGGAACGTCTTGTGCTGGAAAATCGTAAATATGAATGTGTTGGCATCGCTCGGCGAACAGCTAGGATCTGACCGCCGACACATGGTGATAGACAACGAGTTCGTGGACTGGTGAATCGATTCGTGCACCGGCCCTGGCTTCGGCATGTACATCTCCATGCACCTCTCATCATCTATGGCTGCTGAAGGGGCTAGGTCTAACCCTGCTAAGCCGTCGACCTCTAACTTTGCGAAGACGCGCTTGGGCGCAATATCGTAATGCGCGTACATCTGGCCGTCAGGATCCCAGAACAGAAACCAGTTCTTTTCCATCGGAGAGTAAGGTGGCGGGCGGCGTAGCTCAGTCCCTAACTGAAAGAAATTTTCCTGCTCCTGTCCCTCCAGGTTTGCATTTATGGCCTCTAAGTCGTCTCCGCTGTCCCAATTCACGAGGACTCGGAAATCCTGGATCCACTGACCGAAGCATGTCTCCTGAGAGTTGCTTCCGTACATGATAAACGGGCTCCGAGGACCGTAGAAGACACGAGCATCATGAGGCCCAACGTTTAGGCTGGCATACTGAAGCTCGCCTTCACATTTACCTAGGCCTGTCGCGGCGATGGGTAACGGTATAGGGGGAAAAAGGCAATTGAGCTCGGTGTTATCTTCGTTGAATACAGCATCGCACGCCAATTCGACGAAGTCTGTTGGTATCGTATTGTCTAAGCTGTAATGATTCGCTATGATAATCCATGTGTCCTCAAGGAGTGGATGAGGTATAATGTTAGGGTTTATAGCCAACCTGTCGCCGAAACTGACCCTGAAGTACCTTCCATCTAACGTCGAGGTGGAGAAAAGCTCTATGTGCGTATTCTTAGGATCAGGCCCAAACGAGTCGTGGGCACTCTCGCTACTTTCGATTTCATTGTTAAGCAACACACCCGAGAGGCCGTTATTGCCACTAGTCGTGTTGTTATTCCGAGAGTCACTATGGCTGTCGAGAACGTGCTGTTCATGTTGTGTTCCAAAGACGTGACTGACTGACGGTATCCGCTGTATCCAGTCCGTTACATTGTAGGAGATAGGAGACCAGTTACGAGAATATCGAACGACGGTATATAATAGCAAGAGCAAAGGAAGGATGAGAAGAACCAACCGTCTAAATTCCCTTACCAACATATTGCAGGAATGAGACGTTTGATCCCTACTTTAGAAAATGGTGGTTTTTCATCTGTTCAAGCGATGGTACAATATCTGCTGTTAGCAACTGACTGTTGCCCCAACATATGTTAGGTTCTTGCTCATGCACCACAGCCAAAACTCACTTGACTACCTAGGTTACTGATCAGATGCCTTAGAATAACTACTGTTGATATGAGGTAATCCGTGAAACAACGTACCTGGGTAGGTGGATAGACCCGTGTGTACTTGTCTACCGATACGTGTCTCAATAACATATCTTGTATCCATCAACGTTGGCCTGGAGGGTTTTGACGAATGCCGTAGGACACCGGGTATACGGAATCACCTCGGATCGCATGCATTGTGCACCCTAATTGACTCCTTAATTACGTAGTATTGTCCAAGAGACATATCAAGTGTACCCGAGTGGACAATCCACTGCTCACGTTCGATGATATGAATTATCTCCGTGGCACACTACATCCAAGATCCGGATGCTCTAAAGGCGCAATAACCCACGCTAGGGCCCACGTGAAGTTAATTGGAAAAGCAAGACAACCTTCCATCCTCCACCCTCCACCCCCAGATACGTTAATATCGATGTCACGTTGTCAATATCGATACTTTCAACACTTGAATTTGACATGTGCTTCTCCACGGGCTCCCCGCATTCTACCCCGTCATCCTCAGTCAAGCTTTAAGGTGAGCAGGGGTCACGGCAAGACAACAGGGGCTTATTGTCCCCCCTGAGCGTCGGGTAACACTGCAGTATATTCGGCTACTCTCCCAATTAGGCAATTCTCTCCAACCACTGGTCTAGTCGCAGCAAGTTTGTCTCGGGCTTTTCTTGAAGTGTTGGATGCACAAGGTCAGGACGACGATACTGCAAACAGAGCATCCCCGGCAGATCACCGATCAGAGTTATCAATAGTTTCTTTTTCTCTCTGAGAATATACATCGGATAGGGGGGAAACCTGGATAACCCCCTGTCGAAAATATTATCCTTCAACTGCTTACCCTCCCAGTGCTCTTGATAGGCTGAGGCAAGAGGCTCCGATATAGCCACTGCGCAAATCTTACACTCGGCTCATCGACCAACTTCGTGACAACCTCGGCCAGCCAGATGGTGAAGGGTAGAAGAATGACATGTGGCGCCAGGAAAGACAACTCGAGACCAAGCGGCCCTGTTTTCGGCAACCTCAACGCATCTACCCATCCGGATAGGTGAGCTTGCTGCGCTTCCTCGTACCACCCAGTGGCCGTGTACAATCTGTCACCAAGCGTCCAAAGGATAGGGCCATGTACTAGATACAGAGCAAAGGAGATACGCCCAAGATACTGGCAGAAACGGGTCTCGAAAAATCCTTTGAGCCATGAAATCCGGGGAACTGAGGCAACGAGAATTGTCGCCGCCCAGAACAGGTAAAACCACTTATAGTCGAATACAGCCTGGGGTTTAAGATAAGAGAGGTAGTACCATCCTCGAGAATTCTTCAAGCGGTTAACGTCAGAATTGACAGATGGAACACCGCCTAAATAGATGCTCAGTGCAAGAAGATGGTGAAAAATGAAACTCCTAGCCGGCCGTAACCTGTCCAAGACACTTGGCAGCTCGTTCTTCGCGGCAAGGAGATCGATATCGCAGAGAAACATGCCCGATACGAACATCGCGGCATACCAGCCATCCGCAATGTATATAAAATAGAATATCAAAGCAACCTGACACCATAGCCGGGCGCTCCTAGCCAATTTCGAGAATGCGAGCAAGCAGCTGTATATGACGATAGATCCTTTGAATTCAACCTGGGTCGACCAGGCGTGGAACTGGTAGCTAAGCCAAGGCTCTCCGCCTGAATTGTACAAGAAGCTGAAGTTTTTGAATTCGAAATACCAGAATCGCAATTCCTCCTTCCAACTCCCCTTTGGTTGAGCGTTGACAGCCCATAGTCCGAAGACATGCCAGGAGGTCATATAGCAAAAGGTCACAACGATGAGTGGTAGATAGAGTCGTAGCCATCGTCTAAATAGCGCCGATGATATATTGTCGCCCACTTTTACATAGTCCTGATCGTGTATTAGGCTCAATGGCTTCGCTGATAGGACGTAGCCGGAGATGACGAAGAAGGTAGAGACAGCATAGTGGCCACCGGAGAAGAACGTTCGTATGCCATGAAAGGCGGCGAAGTGGTACTTATAATCGTACCCGAAAGCATCTTCGAATATTTCGGTCTGATGGGTTGCGAGGTGGGCCCACAGTTGATGATGATGCCAATACACAAGGAAGGCAGCAAATCCACGTAGGCCATCCAAGTAGGCCGTTGGGCGTTGCTTTTCTGAAGTCCCCGTCGTAGATAAACAAAACGGGAACAAATAGGGTGTGAACGATCTCATCAGTCGTTTAAATGAGCTCCGCCTCCCCCTTACCGGATGGCCAGACGGAGCGGGTTTCCAGCCAGCTTTAATCTCCTCCCATTCTTCAACATCTAAAATGCCCAGAGATTTGGTGGGCATCTTCGTATTAGACGAGATCTTCTGTAGAGATATTGTGCTCGCTTTCCTGACTTTCCTGGGCATAAATTGTAAACCCGTGTACTTGATGGTCTTTTGGGGGTTTCTCAATGAGTATTTCAGGTTTGAAGAGCCTCGACAAGTGCCTAGGTAAGCTCGTAGGACGGTTGTAAGAGCGTATGAGAGTATGACACAATACTAATCCAGAATTAAGCCGATGGCGGTACCGTATTGTCGATATATCCCGTGTGAATGGGTTGGGTAACCGCAAAGATGTAACGTAGAGACAACTCGGTCCGTTAACTCGTCTTGTATACCAGGGTAGTAGATACTTCCAAGGGGTGAGGTACGCACGCTTACCACATACGCACATGTGATACTTGAAGAAAAGAACGTTGTTCCGCGGTTATTTTACCATCTCGTCCATTGCAATATTAGAACCGACACTTGAATAGGAAGGTTCCGAGGTATAAAACTAAGAGTCTTTGCAAATATGAGGCCCCTTGTTTAGGTCTTTGAGCACAAAAAATCGAGACATCAGTAACGCCACATTACTAGTTAGCCCATCCCCGCGAACGCCCCCATGGGGTTTACGACGTCTGGGGTGAAGAATAAACTGTGATTGGGCCCAGGAGAAAGTAGGAACATATACCAGCAGGTCGAATCAAGTTATCCAGTGACTGCCGTGTAACCTAGATCATCACAGATGGCTGCCTTGGGTACAATATGATACTTGCGGGAGTAGATGGATATCCTTGACCAAGCTCAACACGCATGTACCTACGGTACCGTCACCGATAGCAAACCCCTCCAGCACGAGACACATATCTCATAATAAATAAGTAGACTCGGCGTGTCGTCAAGCTTTAGGCCGAAAAGTGGCAGTTCATAATCCCGAGTCTAGTACCTATCTTGTCAGCGAGTATATCACATCGTCTCATTGTCGGATCATCATAGGCTTCTTGTACCGAGTCTTTGGTCTCTCGGACCGCAGCATATGTACAGGCCGTTCCTAGAAGTTCTTTATCAATAGTATGAATTCACCAATATCACCGTTGTCGCCAACATTGGCGTCAACCACCGCGAAGTTTAGGAATCGTGTCCCGACTCAGCTGCGGAGAGTCATTACCATATACATCACATGCGCGTGCGTTCTATTAATCATCCTCAACATCGATTTAGTACCATCGATACCAAATACTAGTGGCGTATTTAAGCGGAATACGACTCCGCGGAAAGCTCTCGATTCTAAATCGCTTAGAAACTTCCCAAGAAAAATATGGCAGACTTGGAAGATCGATCCCTTCTCATTTGAAGAGCGAGATTCTACAACGGCCAAGACGTGGACTACCAAGAACCCGGGGTTCAGATACGAGGTCCTGACGGACAGCAACGACATGAATTATGTCGAGGAACACTTCGGTCCTTCTGGGTTCGACCGCGAGGATATCGTTGAGCTCTACCGATCAGTCAATGCGACAATCATCAAAGCGGACCTTCTACGCTACCTCATCATGTACGCGGAAGGGGGCGTATACGCTGACATCGATGTCGAAGCACTCCGGCCGGTGCACAAGTTCATTCCGGAGCGTTATGACGCGTCAGAGGTTGATATGGTCCTTGGTGTCGAGGTCGACCAGCCCCAATTCAAGGACCACAAGATCCTCGGTAAGAAGTCGCAGTCGTTTTGTCAATGGACATTCATGGCAAAACCACGGCTTCCGGTGATGCTTAAGCTGGTTGAAAACATCAAGGATTGGTTGATTGGCATTGCTAAGAAGCAAAACGTCCCGATCGGAGAGGTAGTGCTTGACTTTGATGAAGTGATCAGCGGCACTGGCCCATCTGCATTTACCGCGGCTGTCCTAGAGGAAATGAATAAACGAGGCGGTGGCGCGAGTATCACATGGAACGATTTCCATGATCTTGACGAATCCAAAATCGTTAGTGGTATCCTAGTCTTAGATGTCGAGGCGTTCGCCGCAGGTCAAGGCCATTCCGACTCCGGAAACCACAACGCAAGGGGCGCGCTTGTCAAACATCATTATCACGCGTCGAACTGGCCGAGTCGACATCCTCGATTCAGTCACCCAGTTTATGGTGAAGTGGAGAGGTGCAACTGGAATGCTGACTGCGTCAATAAATGGGACGACGACGTAGAAGCGTTCGGGCTTCTACCTCCTGAGGAGCAGCAGAAAAGGATCGAGGAGAAGAGAGCACAAGACAGCCAAATAGTGCTAAATATGAATTCGCAGTTGGAATTGAGAGAACTGAATCCGGCACCTGTATCACGATAGTATCTAGCCAGAGTAGGTATCCAGGGACGTGGTGGAGCATTCAGCTATCTAAGCTTTAATATCGGGTCAAGGATCATTTCCTTGATTATTCTGAAGCTTTTAGGAAATGAACGTTGTAATGGATATGAGGAAGACGAAGAAACGCCAGGCCACTGCAGTAAGCTCGGTTACATAATCAGCTTGCAAGCCACAAATCCAGCCACACAACGTCATTTACAGGTAAATCGCAAGTTCGGCGCGCAATTACACCCGCGTCACTTCCATATCTTCTATGAAAGTCTGAGGCGACAATGGTTCAAATCAAATGACGGCAGGAATTACCCTTGGATGGATTAACACTTAAATCTTGTCAACCTTCAATTTTCCTAAAACGCCTCCCGCGGGGCTCCTTTACAATCCTAGATACCTAAAACATAGTCATCAAATTTACACATATTAACAACTCCTTCGACAACCAACCTGAAATATAATCGAGATCTACGCGATTCCCTTCGTTTGACCCCTAACCATTCTGCGTGCCTGCTTCCAGATACACGACATTCATATCCGATCTCGTACCTTCACAATGGCAGGTGACGATGATTCCAGGAGCGCGAGAGCCAAAGCCAAAGCCAACGAGCTACTGGCATACGGACAGCGCCATGTCGACCGAGTCGTTAGCCCGCCCACACGACAGAAGGCCTACGATCGGGTTCACGATTTCGCAACCGACAAACCTATCTTATTTGTAAGCATATTCTAAATAAATATATATCCATACGTTTAGCCGGCTAGCTAGCTAGTTGGTGGTATCCGGTTGGATTTAATTGACTCGGCTTGCTTCCGTTACTAGTCCTTCGTCGCCTTTCAATTCACCCTTTCGCTTGCGCCTATTCTCCTCTTCGCAGGCTTCGCCATGACCACCATCGCCTTTTCATTAATATCCGCCGTGATCTTCTCGCTCTTCTGGATCGGCGTCGCCACACTCTTCCTCGTGCCGACCCTCTTTATCACCTTCAGCATCGCCCTGCTTCTCTGGGCCTGGGCAGCTGCCACCTTTTTTGCCGGACGTTGGGCCTACGAAAGGCTTCCGCTTGGCTTTGACGGCGACGGCAAGATAGTGGCCAATAACAGCGGGAAGAAAATCATCTTCGAAAAAAAGGATGGTGATCACACTGATTTCAGCATCAAAGCTGAGGCAGCCGAGGTCAAGGAATAGTTTGCCGGCGAGGTCGTGTGGATTGTGATGGAAGTCGGGTGGTTCATGATCCGTCAGAGCACCAAAGCAATGTTGAAGCTCGGACTCTGGTTATGAACGGCACATGTCAACTGTCGCCTGTGACCACGCGGATTAATGCGGTGGCATGTACGTGTAAAGGTATGTGAGTTGGCGTTCGGTTTTGGGAGATACCCGTTGTGAAATGGAAAGGGCACTTTACGGTTACAGTTGCGGCTACTTGGGTCGTCAACGATCAACGGGACGGGACGGATTGGGGTTTCATACATAAACATCAGTATTGGAATATGACTTTCCACCATATTTCTACCTGGGCAACTAATCATTAATGGGAGAACAAGACGTTCGTGGCTCTCGGCCGGGCCAGCAAAGTTGTAGCAGTCTATCAGGTATAAGTCTTATCAGCTGAGATTTTCCGGAAACACGAGATTATCATTTGCCCTCCGAGAAAGACACAACTGCCCACTTGCCACTCCATGCCCATTTCCTAGCGCCGTTATCATCGCTGTCACCCTCTGTCGCTCGGATTTCTTCATCTTGTCCCGGCTTCAATCCCACGACGACATCGGCTTTACACGTTCGGAGGGCCAGAACATTGACTCCGGAACCAGGGCCAAGGGGCCCGATAGCTTCGACGAACGGTGTCGATGGATCCCATGCGGCCTATATAGTTAGCACCATTATGTTTCTGGTCGACGGGAAGAGAAAACGCAGGCACACTTACATCGCCGGTGAGCTTCCGATAATTCAGGTCGCCCTTGAATATGACTACTTCACTCGTCTTCAAATCGTCGTATAAATCCTTTTCCATAAACGGGAGTCTCCAGTAACTGCCAGGATGGGTCCAGAAGGCATTTGGTCTCATGATAAGCTGTCCTTCAGCGTGCATGCGCGCCCACTCCTGGAAAAGGAAGCCAAGGTCCGCAGCGTCCTTTTCGGGCAATGGCGGGGGGATCGTGTCTTGCAACTTCTCATCATCCGATGGTGTCTCGTAGAACCGCTTGGGGTCGGCTAGAGCACTAAGGAGAGCGGCGAAATCGGCCGGTAGGACGTCTGACACAAACCAGGGGATCGACTTCGGATGCAAAACTACGAGTGTAGCGAGCCCAGATGATAACAGATACCCGGCCAAGATAAGGTCGACATATAGCTCAAATCCGGCGTTGTCTAGCACAATATCCACCCGGCGCTCCTTCTTGCCTTCGTTCTTAGCCTTCTTCAACACCTCATACGTAGCTGCTAGGTCATTGACAAGAATGTTCTTCTCGGAAGCTTTCCTAGCTTCAGATCCTTGCAGCTTCTGAATATCCTCGTATGTGAGACTAGTCAGGAGAGATAGGTCGGTAGCGTTTCCCCACAAACAGATCTCGCACATCTCGAAGAATAGGATCTTTTGTGCTTCGTCGTGCTCGGTGCCAGTCTTCTTATTCTGGCCAATTTGGGTTACCAAGTCCCTATATCGAGCAGCGAGTTCGATTACGGCAGGCCTTGACGACCGGAATGTCTTGATTTTTTGGCGATAGAACACATCATAAGTCTTCCAATGCGTAGATAGTCTAAAGGAGGTGTTAAGACGCCTATCTTCCCATTAGCGCGACTTATCCCCTATTTCTAAGAGGTTTTCATCACCTGTAGAGGTAGCACTCGCAAAAGAGCCATGGAATATTAAACCAACTGGGCGTTCCCAACTGCTCCAACTCGGTGTTGTATAGGGCTACGTCAGCGCCACCGTCGTCTCTTATCGGTCTAACTAGTCGTCAACATAAGACTATATTTGACTAACAAGAACAGAGCCGTACGTGAGTTGTCGGTCGTGCTGGAGCTCATATTTGAGCCGAGACAGCTCTTCTACAATTTTCTTCCCTTCATCCCGCTTTTCAGAATCTTCGCACTGGGAGACAGAGCGATATAAATCATCTATAGCTTGCGTCTTAATGGCATAGGGTTAACTTATGTACTATTCACGCTTGAAAAAGAGAGGATGGGGTTAAATAACTAACTACTATGACTGGCCATCTATCTCGAGCAGATATATAGGCGAAGGATGACTTGTCGCTTGTCAAGTATGGAGCTGGTGAACAGGGTAGTTAGCCGCGTGGCTCCCGAGATCTTTCGTACGAGGCTTTAAAAAAGAAACCATAAGGAATCAAATCTCTTACGAGTTTTAGTGTCAAATTCCATCTCAGCGCAAAGATAGACTATCAGATTTGTCTAGGAAGTTTCAATACGGCTTGAGCCTTCACATAATATTTTCTTTACTTATTGAACCCGATTTTTCATGTTTGAACCAGAATATCTAAAAGTTTAGATAGCTCGATGTCATCCATGATCGTTGATGGCGGGGTATCCTGGCGGGGTAGCTCCGATTACATTCGATAGAAGAATAAAGCCTAATTTAACGTTACGAAACTACATATTGCTGTACCTGGCACATTGTAAATACTGAGACATGAATTATTACTCTTAAATTGCTAATATATCTCCTATCCTTGTACCTGTCCGCCCTTTTCACCTTTCAAATCGGAATACCTACCAACCGTCCCTTATCCAGGTACATACCTACCTAGGCATATGCGGCATACACGACATCTGGGTGTACCGAAAAAGTTCGTATCCGAACGAAGTCGTTGATCGGCGAAAAGATCTGCATCATATTAGGTACATACCTATACACAGCTACCAACCATTCATCTCCCCGTCCGGCCTCGATCAGCTGCTTTTTTTCAGCTTTCCATTTCTTTGGAAACGGAAGCACCTCGGCATGTGGCTTGTCCCATGTTTTGCATGGGAGCTCTATTAGTCGATTTCCCCGGATTCTTTGGATGCAACCTCCAGATCAGACCCCAGATAATCTCGATCCTATGTACATATCCAGGTAGGTAACCTGCTTGGTTTGTTTGCTCGATGCAGTCAAGATTCACCTTTCTATCACTTGTCATACCCCATGCATTGTACCAACAAGGAGTATTTCCGGATCCTCACATATGTTGGGACAAGCCCCTGAGGCCTAGCAGATTAGGTTTGCTAGAGCTGCGTTTTATTATTAGAAATCCAGTATGGCAAGTATTAGAAGTCATCCGCTTCATGTCGATATCTCTAGTCACGCATGGTATTTCTCGGTGATCCTAAGCCGCCATCTCCTCGAGTTATTAAGCTACCCCGCGAAATACGCGTAACCAAGATTGACGATCCGGGGATTGGGAATCATGGCGGAGGAATAACCAAAACGGGGAATAATATATGCCAACGACATGAATCCAGTAAGGTCTCTGCTATTACTATTGGTTTATTTACCATCCTAACAAGTCACTAGTTTCTAAGGTTGTGAGACGCAAACACGCCTTCAGCCACCTTCGCCTGATTCTTCAGCTCACTGAGCCGGTGTCCTAATGATATTTTGGAGACTTTACATCAGTCATAAAGAATGTATATAAGAAGCGAGGAGCTCGAGCTGCCATGGAAATGATCTTATTGTTCCCACGCGCTACCGATATCTTACTCATTGTATCTATCACGCTCGCTCCCTAGGCACATACCTACCTACCTTACCCAAACAACCCAAGGTCAACCATATTAACCCGTCTATTACCAAAATGAAGTACACCATTGTTACTTTGGCTTTTGCCACAATCGTCTCTGCTCAGTCACTCTCCGATATCCCCCAATGCGCTCTTCCTTGCATTGACAGTGCAAGAACAAGCAGTACCAGTTGCTCGGCCAGCGACTATGCCTGCATCTGTAAGTCTGCCATGTCTGCCTCCATCTTTGCGTTCTTCCTGGAACCTGTTATCTCATCCCAAGATAATTGGGGTGTTTTTAAATCGCTATATCTTTTAACGATCGTAGATTCCTTGCCTGTTCTGTGGACTATATGACCGTGGAAAGTGACTGACCATGGCAATATAGGTAAAAATAAGGATGCTATAACCGCAGCTGCCACTAGTTGTGTTCTCCAAGCTTGTGGCGCTGATGTAGCCACCAGTCAGGTCCTACCGGCCGTCAATACTTTTTGCAATGCTGTCGAGTCTGGCAGTGGTGGAAGCTCTTCAGCTTCAGCTTCAGCACCAGCATCCTCATCCTCAACCTCGGCCATCGCTTCTACCACTTCGACGGATGTGACATCCACAAGCGCTGGAGCTACGGAGACCTCTACAGGGAGCGCCACCTCCAACAGCGAAACATCGACCAGTTCCTCAACCACCCCAATGGCTTCTACCACTGTTAGTGGGTCGAATAGCACAGCCAGTTCTGCCACCAGCCAACCTACCACAGTGCCTACAGCCGGTGCTTCCTCTGTAGCCGGCTCCCTTGTCATGTTGGTTCTTGGCTTCGTTGTCACGATGTGAACTTCTCATTTATGAGCCTATCGAGTGGGTTGCTTGCCGAGCTATGGATACGAGTTATGTAAGGGATTAATCGGGTTCAGGTCGGACAATGTCAAACGGATATTTCATAAAAGCACATTATGCATGCCTTTTCAAGTTGTGGAACATGCGACGGTACCTATATTATGTGAGAAATGTAAATATCAAAAACTTCGCTTGGTTTATCGAATACTAAACCTCGGCGCATTCATCGTACCCATTCACCTACTTGCCTCCAGGCCTCCTATTTTCTCAATCTCGACATTATAAAATAAGCACATTCGCGAGATGATCATGGGTAAAATGCGAGAAAACGAATAGAGATTCCGCCAAACCTCTTTATAGAGCTAAAACAGGCAGGCTACACTGAGTTTTATTGACCTCGTATTGAACCCCAATAAAGTACCTAGGTACGTTTCTTAGATCTTCAAAGGACCCGAATAATAAGTACACATATCCCACGTTACTGATGATAATCTTGACTAATGCCAAGATGCTGAACTAAGAAAGGGAGCGCATGTAGCAAATATACTCTTACAGCGGTCCCGCTGCAGTATAGGTACTTATGAATATACAAAGCAAAGTTGGACCTTGATAGGCTACCTGCGAATCCGTTCGGTATACACGACAGGGATTAACCTAAAATGCCTCGAAGATCTTGGGTCGGACTCTAGCTGATAATCTTATCAGATCATCTGATAAAAATTTTCAATCATCTTGGCCATCGGATGAGGAGGAACGTTTTGGAAGGTGCCAAGATATTCTCTAGTCTACCGGTATTTGCTATGCCTCGAAGGACGTACTATGGGGCGGATGTCCTGTGCAATGCAAACGAGATCGGAATTTGACATGGCTCGGCTCGCGATTCCTCCCGCTGGCCTCTTGGCCGTTGACTAGAAGACTACTCTAGTCCTGCGTACCTATGTAGGGATTCCATTAGGCAGTAATATAGAAGCTACATTCCCCGTCCATCGCTACTCGGTAACGCTTGGTGCCATCCTCTTACACCCATCTCAGCCTCTGTAAACGTGAGAGACACGAATCATCATGGTAACGATTTCTAAAACCGAGTCGCGCACCTCTAGGGACTGCGATGTAGGGAAAGAAGTCGCCCTAGATCAACCCGCGGCCGAATCACCAGAAGACTCTAAGCCAGAGAAAGACGACGACCGGACACATATACAGGAAGGTGTTCAACGGGTAGAGGCCATCACCGCAGTGTGGTCTCAGAAGTCCTTGTGGTCTACCTTCGCTCTGTATGTCTCTCCATTCTAATGAAACTCATACTAAGAAGGGCTGACAATATAGCCTTTGGCTTGTGTGCTTCGTATCCGCGTTACTAGCGTCTATCGACACTGCTTTGTCGCCATATGTCACATCGTCCTTCTCAAGACATGGCCTCCTCGCGGTTATCAATATCGCAGCAAGAGTCATCGGCGGCGTCGTTACGCTCAGTATCGGCAAGTTTATAGACATTAGGGGCCGAATGGAAGGCTTCGTAGGCTCGCTCCTCCTGATCACGGTCGGGATGATCATGAAAGCAACCTGTCAAAATGTCGAGACATATGCCGCAGCCCAGGTGTTCACATGGGTAGGCAAGGTTGCTCTCAGCTTTATTATCGACGTCTTCGTCGCCGATATCACCACCTTGAAGAACCGAATGATAATCTTCGCCATTAACTCAACGCCCAACCTAGCCACCACCTTTGCTGGACCTAGGATTGCGGAGCTGTTCTACAATGAGGTCAATTTTAGGTGGGCATTTGGTGCCTTCACCATCATATTGCTCGTCGTATCTCTCCCAGTCGTCTTTATTCTCTACTACCATGAACGGCAAGCGAAAAAGCGCGGACTCATTCGTCCGCAATCGGGTCGCACACGGTTGCAGTCCACGATACATTATATCGGCGAGTTTGACGGTAAGTGTTCAAGATTTTGGCTGTAAATAACATTCAACACTAATTTACTATGAACTAAACAGTCATTGGTGCGGTCCTCATATCAGGGGGTTTTACCCTTATCACCCTCCCATTCAGTCTTGTGAGCTCGGCCTCCCACTCGTGGCATAGTGCAAGTATCATTGTCATGATCGTAATGGGCGTTGTCGGTCTCGCTGCTTTTGTGGTCTGGGAGAGATACTTTGCCCGTGTAAATTTTTTCCCATTCGAGTTCCTAAAAGACCGGACCTTTTTAGGCGCTGTAATGTCGCGTTTTGTCGTCTTCATGACAACTTAGTGAGTTGGCCCTATTTATCTTCTGGAATACGAATCACCACTAACGTCTCATATAGTATATGGGATGCATATTACAGCTCCTACCTACAGGTGGTTAACGGCCTGAGCATCAGCGTCGCAAACTACGTGCTGAACGCATATTCCCTCACCTCATACTTTACCGGCCCATTTATCGCCTTGTAAGTGGTGTAGAATATCTACCTTCTTTTTCTTGAGGTTTTTGGATAAATGAAACCGTTAACGATACTCTTCAGATATATCCGTTACACAGGCCATGTCAAATATCCGGCTTTGGTTGCTATCCCTATTTACCTACTCGGCACAGCCCTTATAATCTATTTCAGAATTCCGGGCGCTAAGGTCGGCTATCTTGCTATGTGCCAGGTACTCGTTGGCTTCGGCGTCGGCATGATTGGCCAGATGGCGCAACTCACTACAATGGCCTGTGTTGGGCATCAAGATGTCGCCGTTGCCCTCGCTATCTATGGTCTATTCGGCTCTGTCGGCTCTTCCGTCGGCTACGCGATCGCTGGCGGGTTATGGACGAACATTCTTCCCGTCAAGCTATACGAGTTCCTCCCTGACGATGCTAAGAATATGACGGCTACAATATACGGGGACATCAATCAACAAATGAAATATCCAATCGGAACCCCGATCCGAGATGCTGTGATCGCAGCATATGGAGACGTTATGAGGAAAATGGTTATCGTCGGATCTGCATTAATCCCCCTTACCATTTTATGTGTCGCTATTTGGAGGAACATAAATGTTAAGAAGCTTGAAGCTGTTGAGAAGCGAGCCAGGGGTAATGTATTCTAAAGTGATATGCACTATCCTCGTTAGGGAAGCCTGGAAGATAACTGGGTATCATTCGACATGGTCTTTTCTTCTTTGTGCAGTCTCCAGAGGACCTCCAAAGCTATATGGAAAAGCTTAGCTCTACACATATCCCCTAGGATACTCGCCATAGAAGACACAGGTCTTAATCTGGTAAATAAAGACAGGAGTGCAAATTGGGTGGTTATCTCCCCCTTTAGAATCACCGAGCATCCAGCCAAGTACCTATTGCATGTCCATCTACATAATTTAATACCTGCTTTTATATATATACAAGAATATATTTTCTTGCATTATAAATAATTCAAGGATATAGCTGAGTGTGTGAAGTATGTCGCCAGTCTTAAACCGAGGCTCACACCTTTACACGTTTCGCTCAAGTCTAGGCACCAACCTGGGCAGCAGCTATCCCCCTTTGGTTTCCTATAGGATGTCGTCTTGTATATTAACCTCTCGCCTTATGATATCAAAGCTTGCTTTAACAGATGCCATCCATTCCACAAGTTCAAGTGAAAAGAACGCCTCGCAATCAAGTCTGGGGATCCCGAGTCGCCTTGAGAGGTGAACAGCAGTGGCATCGAGAACGGGCTAATCTAACACAATTTTCATCACTCTTAGAGTACATAAGCTCATAAAGTACCTATCTATTTCAGATATATTAGCCTTAGAAATGTGTCTAGAACTCTAACAACATGTCCGGAAGGAAGACATTTGATCTCATTCCGACCGGGACATGCGGTCGTAAAGACAATTAGCACCGTAATCATAATACAATTTATATCACACGTATTCGCTTCAAGATGTGCTGGAAATAGCGACGTGTGACAATGCATGACGGCGAGATACCTTTATGTCTCGCGGTGTTCTTTTCCGAATAAGGCACTTGCGTAGTCATCGGTTAACGTCTGATATAGAGGTATTTATAGCTGCCCTTTAGCACTTCGTGTTCCGTCTCAAGAGCTTTCGCTGCGTCGAGGTTGCAACAATTGGAAGGAAATGGTGTGTCCTTTGCTTTCAAATCCTCTACGTTATTCGTAATACAAAGTTGCTCGGGCGTTTTCTACCTAGGCATGGAAATTCAAGTTCCACTGCAGATATACTAGGTACTATGCGAGCGAAAAGGATAAGGGTACACTAATTTACCTTTATGCCATCTCATAGATAGAAGTATCCATCTCAAGAGGTCTTGGGTCGGTCCACCCCGTCGCTTCTTGAGACCAAAGGCTAATACAGAATACCAAGAATAGCAGTTATTCGGACCGCTATATTGCCAATTTACCAAGTTCAAGATAGAGAATGCCCGGTAGATCGAGATATATAAAGATCTATAAGCAGCAGTCAGCATCTTGAGACGTCTATTTTTATTTCCCCTTCATAGACGCCTCTGAGTTGAAATCTTTCGATGTCTCAATTCTGTCTTAGGACTCTCGCCGATATTATCGGCGCTTTTATTGTTACATGAGCCCATGTGGGCAACGGCGCCACGTGAAAACCACGCTGAGGCTGGAGATAGTGCGAAGACGTAGCCGACAGCTCGGACAACGGCTGCTGGTGATTGGGACAACGAAATATTTTAGCAAGGTTCATCGCGAAAACATCACAAAATGGCGTGGTTTTGTTCTTGGTCCTCATCTTGAAAGTTTAGCGACATTTGGACCTCCTTGAAGACTTTAGTAAATTTTTACTAATGGGTGCACGAATAGCTCAGCCGTCTCGAGAGAAGCTCGACTATTATCAAATCTATCGGATATCGTGAGCACTTGCTATGGGGTAGAAGGTCACTAGAATAGTATAAAACCTCGTAGATGGACAGAAAGTAATGAGATTCAAGTCGAAGTTCCATCATCACCCCTATTCTCCAACAGGAAAAGTGAGCCAGTCTCTCTCAAGCACAATAACCTGTCTATTAGCTGTAATCATCCCATAACATTCCAATCCCTAACACTTGCTACCCGTTTTATACATCAAGATCTGGGACGCCTACCTTATCTACATCATAAAACCCAGTCGCATCGGACGAATCCAAACCGTTCTCGAGTGTCCGCATTTCCGGGGATAATCTTCTCAAAAATTAGTCGTTATATTTTAAGCCAATATGTGTACATATTACTACCTCCATTACCATCACTTGGCCCCCTGTACACGGGACATCGAATACGAACTTCACTATTCTTTCTGTCCGAATTCAACCACCGAAATGTCAAGCTCAAGTTCCCTAGGCTCGATCGGGGCCGGAGATGCCGAGCAGTGGATTCAGCAGCCATGCGAAGCGCTCACTTATGCCTCAGGGTACAACGGAATGGACGGCTTGGATTATGGCAATCCTTGCGCAGCTGGTGATTGTCTCATCGCGCAGCACTGCAGTTCCGGCGGCTGTAGGCTGGAGGACCTCGGCGGCAGCTGGATCTGCTGCCAATGCAACAGCAGGGGAAACACCCTCAGGCTATGCGTCCGACCGTTGAGGAAGATTCCCGACGCTCTTTGCTACCATGCCGTATGCCAAAATTGCCGTGCGGACCACAACTAAAAGAAATGGAGGCGATAAGGCGACGATATATGCAACAGGTTATAGATTACCTGTGGCAAAGTCGGCGATATAACTTTCGTTGTAAGAATAAGTGTTTATGTTAATCCCCAACTTATCTCCTTTTCTTTATCATGGTGACGGTCTACATAGAAGGGTGTGGAAAAGGGATATTCATAGGGCTATTAAAAGAGTGAAACCTGTATCAGAGTTAAGAGCTTAGCTGGATTATATTGGTTGCATTATTGGGTCGTTCTATACGAGGTCGGCGACTTCGCCACGTGGGAGGTTGATAGTTGTGTATGACAGGTTTTGATAGTTGCGCCCATCGCAGGCAGGTCGCGAAGAAATTTTCTCTCTTCTAGAAGTAATCTGTCTTTCCGTGCGGATGTAGCTTCCCGATCGATCCTACATCATCGTGCGCATACACAAAGTGCCCCTAAAATACCGTACCGGGCGGATGGTTGCTTCGCCCAGGTTTCTGGGACCTTCGACATGTGGACCAGAGCGTCGGGACGTGATTCGACGATAGTAGGCGAAGACATCGAAACAAGGAGCAAATATCGCTGTATTACACGTCGATTTTAGTTCAATAAATCCAAATTCGTAGACCACTAAACCACGTTGATCGCCGACGTTCAGGTGTTCCTTAGCCAATTTACGATTTACAGATGGAATTGAAGGGGAGTTGGACACGATTAGTTGTACACGACGTACGCTCGAATGGAGGGATATTCGAACCCATAAGATAAGAGTCAGCCTTGTTTCCTACCGGTAGCTGATCGAGCATTCGTCACCGGAGTCTAAGTAGCGAATGGGACTTTATGATAACGTCCGGGCTTAGATCTATTCCATCTCTCCTTGAGGCCCAACGCCCGAAAATTTACTAAGACGCAACACGATCACACCATGTGCACGGAGACAGCCTATACGCTCCGATGTGAGCACGTCGTCACCCGAACCCTTTACTGTTCGGATGCTCCTCCGCCATCACGGCGGTTGTGCGAAGAACGGAGGACTTGTATCAGGGTTTTCCGGAATGCTGTACCTTGGCCGCCCCCGCCGCAATTCGGAACGCAATGTCCTCTGGCGAATTGTCCATTCGAAGAACGTGGGGGTCATTGGAATTGTTGTTGGTGTGGCAAGGAGTGGAACAACCAAGGTGAGTTAAGGCAAAACGCCCTTGCTCAAATCGATCCCTTCCGCATGTTCTAACGCACTGTAGGTCGTTGTAGCTGTGTGATGATCATTGACAGGCAAGAGTACCGTTGTGGGCACATCTGCTGTGAAACATGCGAGGCGGCAACCGAGGTTCACTAGAGAAATCCGAGGACGCGGCACAGTAAGGAGTGGTATAGCTTGAGTAGGCTGGAGGGCGGGATAATACGATGTCTGCGGACAAATGTTCGGAATGAAGGCTCTGCATCGCAAGTCGGATAAGACGGTCGTCTGAGACGAAAGTGGCTGCCACTCGTGGATTAGTTTCTATGTATGTTCATTAAGACTGTGTAAGATATGATCAATGTGGCGGGCCTTGATGAAAGCCCAAAACACCATTTTGCGGGAACACAGAGAACATAACAGGAAGGTGATCTTAGTGTGATTAATCTTAATGGTTTAATCAAGTTCCAATATGAAAAGTCGCCGTGTGATACTGAAAGGGAGGGTCACTTGAAGCCCGGACTTTAGATTATACAGGAAAAAGAGGGTATTCGACCAATTCCAGCGACCACTTAGAGGAGTGTATAAGTAGAGAGCTAGCCCCGGTAGTGAATTAGGATGGCGGAGAAAGCTATTTTGAAAGGGGCGGATATGAAAAGAGTGCTGACGAATGGGTAAAAAAGCAATGATCCTCAGCCAACCAAATCCACATACCTGGTCGTTGGACAATTGCAGGACCATACATGACGCCAGGTTGCTAGAACAGTTTTTAGGTCTCAGTTGTAAAAAGCAACTAGCTTGATCGCCCAGATCACGCGAGATCTATGCCTAAAGGCCCCTGCTCGGCATTATACGGTGTCGTACATGATGCATATGGATCTGTGTAAGTAACCAATGGTGAGCCTGCTTGGTAGTGGAAGGAGAAATAAGCATAGGGGACCGGCCTAGTAGGAGCGCGAATATCGCGATTGGGCCACAAGTTGCTGTAGGCGGCGTCATAGTCGCACTAATTCACACTACTACCCGAGACAAGAGATCTGTATCGCACCCATATCAATACCCTCCCTCCTGGACTGCCTGGATCAGGGGTTGCGCTCGCCAATACGAAAGAGGGAGCTGCTGATCCTTGCCCTCCCGAAGCCTTTTTCTCTCGACGTACTGCAGAGACGGGGCTTGCTGTTTGTGGTGCACTAGACGGAGGGTAATGCGTCTGCTCTTCGTTGTCGACACAAGGATGATCGAGGCTGGAACCTGTACGCGGGAGGTAAATCTTCAGGCAGCTAGTGCTGATGTCGCCGCCGGAGAAATACATAGATTCTTACGGGTACAGGTAGGCGTATATAAAAGGCTCAGGACGTCCGAGGCTTGGAAATCATGCCGCCCGACCTGTCTCGTCCTCTCCGTCAAAACGCTCGCCTCGTAGTCTCGCACCGTTCTTCCAAACATCCTCTATCAAGAGTCGTCAAAAATGTGTCACGGACACCCTCACTACCATCCCTGCTCGCACACATCGGTCAAGTGGCTGTACTGTCCGGAAGCCATGTTCGACCTAGACACCGGATATGAGACACCCTGCTCGAACCCGATCTACTCGACACCGCAGCCAACCAATGTCGACTGCCCCCTGCAGAACTGCAATTTCAAGGCCCTGATGGGGAGCTGGAATTGTTGCGTATGTGGAAAGGGTCCCAACACTCAGGGATGGTGCACCGCGTTGAGCCATAGGATGGACTGGAATCCGCTCACGGGGCAAGTCGAGAACATGGAGGTGCCATGTGGGCATGGGTGCTGCAGCTCATGCAGCCCATCTCGTGAGAAACATGAGCTGTTATCGTCAATACTAGAATAGCTTTTCCTAATCGTTCATAGCGACGTCGCGAGGCGGAAGTCCAGAAATATCGTTCGCGGATGTTCGAAAGGGGAAGGGTAGTCGCAAGATCCACGGCGCCGCGCGAGGTGCCGCCGCACACAAGCGAGGAACAGCGTACGACTTCGGCCACAACAGTGGGAGCTGCCCCCCTGTCCCCGAGGAAACCGAACAGGTTACCGTACCGACAGTGGCCGCTTCAATGTCCCGGGGATCCCGTCGATCCAGCCACGATACGAGCACCGAGTACACCAAAAAGCCAAAAATACAGAATGGGAAGAAGAAATCACATAGGGGTCGTGGACATCATTGAGTGGTTTGTATATATGCAGGTAGCCTCTCCATGTCCCGGCCGAGGGAGTTGAAGAGGGACCCCATTTTGTACCGGCTTTCGAATTGATAGTATTAGTCAACATTCATTCGGTATATCAGTCACTCACGGATGATGCTGGGGCACTGCGGAATCTAGCACTCCTGTAGAGGACATCATGTAGTTCATGTGCGTGCACCCGCAAAGGAAAAGAAATAAATTTCGGTGAAACGTACCTCCTGCTATGTTGCTTGATCATGAAGAGAATTTGCCGACTAGCTCCTCAGCTGTCCCTAGATGTATTAAATGTCATACACACATATACCTAGCCAGCGAGCTGCAACGAAACATTGTATTGGAAGCTACCTACACTTATCGCGTTAGTGGTCTAGTCAAGAGCAAAATAGTCACTTTCCTATCAGACTCACTATTGGTAGCATTCGCTTGACGTACTTTGAAAAAGGCTATTGGGACCAATTCATTAATATCACAAGTCTCATCCTCAAACATTTCGAAGGTTAATGGGAGTGCAGAAATCTGATACTAAACTGCTCGGAGTCACCATCGCTCAAGGCAATTAAGGGGCAAGAGTCGTGTCGAGATTTAACCTCCGCTGGCTGAGACAGGGACATAATTCTCTTTCGTTATACGCCGCAGGTTGGATCAGAAACTCTTGGTCGCGGACTGCTGCAGATTATGATCGTTTCGTAAGCGACGAAGTAAAGTGAGATGAAGCTTATTGTCACATAAGCGACTTAAGAATTAGACTACATGTTCACCTATATCAGGGTAAACCGGAATAAACTGAAATGTGCACATACCTGATTCCCTACCTTAATAGGTAGGTACCTACGTAAATCTGCTACGATGCGATATTCGAGAAGATATAAAGGCGATCGAAGATATCTAGCTCTTTAGGCGCATGATAGGCCGACAACGTTTGAGCTCGATGTGTTCTGACTCGCACCGGCATGTACCTAAGTAGATAGTTTGGTCTACCGGTGACCCCGGGAAACGGTCGTTCGTTTAATCTTAGTATCCGGGCCGGGTCTCGTGGCAATTTGCTAAATAATCGAGGGAATCGGGGGGAGAACCTAGGAGCCCATGTGGGAGAGGGTTGGGGTACTGTACAATATGGTACAATCCATACATCATCGTCTTCCAAGTACCCATGCCGTCTCAAGACCGCCAATGATACCCTAGGGTGATATTTAGTTTACCTTACCGCCACGTGCTGAACCTGCAGGTCTGACGAAAGAAGCGAGATAGGCTGAGCGGGACAGGGAACCCCCTGGACCATGCGTTTTGCAATTGTTAGCGATCCAAGCTTCCGATAGCGAGGGGTTATTCTTCAGGTCTGGTTGGTGGGCAGGCGACTATATTGATTGTGATGATTGTGATAGTTGGTCTTGCATGTGTGATAATAGATGACATGCTCTATCCCCTCTGCAACCGTAATTCGCGTGTCATCACATACCCAGCGCTAAGACGCTCTGGCAGTCTAGACGCTTCAATTAGAGTCGAGTCCAGCTCTTGCCGAGATGTTGGTCGGGCTCTAGTTCTTTTGTGTTTTGGCCCGGGAGGTGGCGTTCCTCGGCGGATCGACGTGACGATCAACGGGCCACGTGCTAGACTCCGCCAGTGTCCGCGAATGTCCTTACTTATCAAAGATAGAGAGGGGGAAGAACCTTGCAAATATGACTGACTTACTGATTGATTGATCAGTCCGTCAGTTTTCCCACGTTCCCGCACACGCCCCATACATCCAATAGAACCCGGGACATTGGTCTCCAAGCTCATGATCCAACAAGCTTCTACATGCCCAGCATGGCGTACATTAGGTGAACGAGCTAAGATGACTTACAGCGGAAGATCAGTGCGGTTAGTATGTAGTATGTATGTAAATAATTAACAAGTGTATGTGCGCACGATGGCCATAGCGGCTACTCGGTGATCTACTTTCAATAGTGCGCCCACCGCGTTGCATTGATCAGCGTGAACCGAGCTCAAGAGAGATGCTGGGTGGAATCCTGCCGTAACTCGGCAGGGTAGGTTTGGGATAGTGCAATTGCTCAGGCGTCCGTTTTATCAACGGCAATAGATGCATAGATAGGTAGGTAATTGACAAAAGACCTACCGAGGTAGGCAGGTAGGTACCTGGATAGGTAAGTATGATATTAGATTGTCATTCGGTCCTCTTCGGTATCCCTTTACTGATCACATACCTATTTTCCATTTCGGCAATAGGTCTGTCTCCCTTCCAAGCGACCCTTGCGACGAGGGTTGACGAAACGACACGCGAGGCCATGGCATTCTTGAAACTAAAAAAGCGGCTGAGGCCCCTAATAAGACAGGGTAGACTTAGCCTAGGAATATCCTGGGAATATCCTTGAAGCTTTCGATCAAGCGTCCCAAGCATCTCCATAAGCCAGGCCTTTAAGCGTTGTTGAGCGTGCTGAGCTACCTACCTAGCCCGTTCCAATTGAGCAAAATGCGCTATATCTGCTGCTGACTGCATGCGTTTATGCAACCCTGATCCGTCGAGCCATGTGGCCGCCGGTAGTGCAGCGGGAGAGGTTGGAACTTTTGAGGAGTCGAAACCGGAATCCTTCCTAAGAGCTGACAAGCGTAAGACGTTTGGGAATATTGCAGTGAAGATTTCAAGAATCCTACCCAGGTGATTTACAAGGTGAATGTAATATGAGAATGTAATATGAGAATATGTTAGACACGACCATTTTTATATAAACGGCCAAGACGACTTATCTAAACAATGTCTCCGATAAATCATTTCAAAAGCAAAACTATACGCGAAATATGAAGACGCATTTACGTATTTAAACACCTTGTACATATAAATACTATCATCTAGTCAACTAGGGGCAAGTACATATCTACACTATGTGTTAATAGATACCCACGTATAATTATGTAGTGTTCATAAAGTCTCGACTATCAAGTACACTTATGTACGATGGATGGGCTATGATGATCTATCAGCTTCTCGCAAGGTTTATGTAGTTTCTTATGGTCGTAGCTAGCAGGCTGGGTAGTACAATTACTACCATTCCCACGAGCGACCTGCACTTCGCACCACCAATCCTTTTCCTTTTCTCTTTTTTTTCCCTCTCCAATTCGCGAACCCCTATTCCCCAGCCTGCCGCCAGCCTACCTTTCCCTCCTCCTAAACTTCCATCCTGCGCCACTTACACGACTGCGTGCCAGTCGACCAAATTCTTCTGCTACGATTGCATTGCTTGACTGCTTTACAACCACGTACAGGGACTACGTACAGGTACCAGGCTTGTTGAGCTCATCTACATCGATCTTATCCCGGCTTCGTCCGCCTATCCTTGCATAGCGCCGTTTCGGACCTCGATCCACCACCACCCACCACCCACCACACTGCCACTCTGACACCCAGTCATCATCATCAATCGCCATTAAATCTGTCGCATAACCCTTCAGTCATCATCCAGGGCTGGAGAAGAAAAGAAACAAAAGTCGGGCATCTACCACTTAGGAAAAAAGAAAAAAGGAAACAATGCCTACTTCGCTAGACTCATCGCGCCCCATCATGGCAGCCTCCACTGTATGTATTTGGCCTCCCCTTTGTTTTCTTACCTCTTGGCTTTTTCGCCAGCATCGTCTATCCTTCTCCCCTATATGCACTTACGTCCAGGCACCGATTTTTCTTAGTATCATGGCTTCGCAACCTTTCACTCGCGCTCTCTATTCGTTATCGCGAAAGGAATATCGTAGGAAGCTTGGAATGCTGACGTACCATAAAAATTTAGATCGGATCCAATCGCGCCTCAGCGCGCTACAGCACGTATAGCACAGCACCGTCGTTAGCTGCGACGGTACAGACGACCGACTCAGCGCAGGCCGAGATCCGCGATATCGAGAGTGGGCTCGCCCGCATGGAGAATAAGGCCTTGTCGCAACAGCGTGTCGTCTTGTCAGAGGAGAAATCAGCCAACCTCAACAAACTCGCTCTCGGGGCGAAGCTCGATCGCGCGCTCGACCGTCGTATGACGAGCCAAGACGCCGTCATGAGACCTAGGAACAAAAGTCTCAACGAGAAAGGAGACCCGGAGAAGCAAACGTAAATCCGCAACAATCGAGGCGTAGGAAGTAATCGGATGTGTACCTATGTATGGAAGAAACCGGGAAATTAGAGGATGATACCATGCGAGAGAGCAACAACTACGAGTTGAAGTTTTTCCTATCTTCTCATCGCCGTTTCTCTTGAGCTAGCCAGTCTTGTAATAGGTAGACCCCGAGGGGCGTATTGGTCATTTTTCATATCATCGAAAGCTAGGTAGCCGCGTTGGTTGGTTCTGCTCTTACTACGGGAGTCGGAGCCGGGAGTATAAGTCCAGTCCCTCAGAACGGGGTCAAGTTGGCCGATTAGTCGCCCGGACGGGGAAGGCAAGATATGTTGGGATCTTTCTCATTTTTTTGCTCGTCACTAAGCGGCATATTGGAGGTCTGGAGTTCGTCTCCGCCAAATTGTGGTTATTACTAGAAGGTCGAGGTGCATAAATAGCATGAATGCATGCTGTAGATATCGAAGGACACCGGAGGACAGGGCACATAAAGCTACATGGCAATTATTTATCACAGCAGGCAGCCTACTTGCAAGTGAAATGTGTTGATATCTCTTGACCATCGCAATGCTGCCCAATTCTACTTCGACATGATTCCGATATTGTCGCCTCTCGTGGAGTTGACAAAAGATCGGAAGCAGGGGAATCCGAGGAAAAGAAAACCAGTCTATAAACAGCCCTACCAACTCCCTCCTTAGACGCCTCTAGAGCATGCCGAAAAAAGTATGTATGGCAGGCTCTCTTCGTAATCATCGTAGCATGTAGAGTACAACAAAAACAAAACGACCGTAGAACTCGGAGATCACGAGCTACCTTTTTCCCCCAATTTCTCATTGATGTCCTTCAACAAGGCCATCAGCTCACCCTCGTCACCCTCCATCTCCAAGCCTTTGCAAACCCATTCTTTGGCCTCGGCCATCCGTCCCATCTCGGCAAGACACTTGCCGCGCCTCCACCAAGCCTTGGAGTTGCCGACACGCTTGGCCTCGACGCTGGCCTCGGCGTCGGAGGCGCCCTCGGCCCAGCTCTGGAGGGCCATGTGGGCCTGGGCGCGGTTGGCGTAGAGGGCGGCGACCTCCTCGCGCACGAGCTGTTGCGGCTCCCACAGCGGCCGGGTCAGGGCCATCTGCAGGCCTAGGCTGTAGAACTTGACGGCCTCGGCGTGCTTCCCCTTGCGGTATTCGTTGTTGCCGCTCTCGCGCAGCTTGCTCACGTTGGCGGACCGCTTCGGGTTCACGGGCACGGGCGGTGGCGGCACTTGGTTCGGCGTCTCGAGCGCGAGGAGCGATCTGTGCAGGGAGTTGAGCGAGGCGAGCTCGGCTTGCAGCGCGCGAGAGCTCGTGGATGTCGTCAGCGCCTTGGTCTGGGGGTCGATCTGCAAGGGCAGCATGGTGAAGGTTTCGAGGTCGGACGACATGGTCACGGCGTTCTCGTCTCGTCACTTAGGTGTATGTAATAGACCGTGTATAAATCAGCAGATAGTAGTGCTCTTGGTCGACTAGCAGTGCGTACAGCTTCGTAGTGGACTCGTACGACGTGGGTTGATGATTTGGGTGGCAAAGACAAGCTGCCAAATGATAGATCAACTGTCCCAGATGTTACAGAATTCCCATGAATCTAGGTGGCAATGAATGACAGCTGTCAGTTGGGAAGTGGATGGCGGGTTGTGGAATTAATGCGGTTGATGCGATTGATGCGATTAATGGATTAACGGATTGATGAGATCTGGCGACTTTACTATGTTTCCATTGTTATCGATAAGATATTGGTAAAGCCGATATGAATCGATACATGAGTATGTATCTTTTCTTTGATTGCATAAAGTCATCACAGGCACAAGAGATTTATTTATTACATATACATATAACAGGAAAATAAAGGTAATCAAGAAGTCACCTACCTACCGAATAGGTAGTAACCCAGACTTTCATGATTCTAGCTTGGCTTCCCTATTTATCCCTTACAGGCTTGCATGGCGAACACCCAAAGGATCTCGACCAGTCAGTTACCTCTAGAGCTGTCTCGAGTCGTCGACACCGTTGAGACTATTGAGACAACCTTCAATCCCAAGATCGCGTACTAATCCAATGAGTATGATCGTGATGGTGGTTAATGCGGAAGCAGCTATTACTCGGCCTAAATGATTGTGTGTTGATAGTAACATGATCTTCTCTTCGTCTGCCGATAAGTCGACATTAACATGAACAGTCTGGACCACTAGGCACCTAGTGCCTCTTAGATACCTGAGTATTTGCCTAGGTATATATAAATCCGAGCCTCTTGTATCTCAACCCCCTTTTTATTTTTAGCTGCCGTTTGAAACAAAAGTTGGCTTCGGCCTCCAGCCCTCTTCGAACATCTGCGACACGAAGTAGAGGTCGTCTTCAAACTCCATAGGCGCCGAACGTTGTTCTTCTGTTATTGTTGTTGTTTGTCAGTCTCAACACTCAGCCAACACGGAATTAGACGCAACCGCGCCTTGACGCGATATAGCAGAGTTCTCACCTTTTTCCACGTACGCCTGCCGTGTCTCGACGAGAAACTCCATCTCGTCAGAATCTAGTTCGCTCCACACCGCCTTTTCCCCCTTCTTCTTCTCTTTATAATCCGCCCTGGAATCTGTTTTCGTCATAAAATCGTTAACGTCTCGTTTATAGTAATGCCAATGGCTAAGAATTATATTCGCCCCTTCTTGCAACTTCTCGACAAAAAGTTCGAGGTCATATCGATTCTAGCATTCTGTCAGCCAAGAAAATGGTAAACTAGCATTTCCCTTGACACGTACTGGGTCAAGGCTGTTGTCTCTGGCACGACGGAACCTGTCCCTAGAAGTGATGGAGATTTCGTGAAGTAACATGAACACGACAAGGTAAATAATGAAGAAGTCCCGCGGGTTCTTGCTCGCCATCATCTTCCAGAGCCCGTCGAGCACCTGTTTTCTTAGCGACGCAAGTATTGCTTCGTGTCCGATTGAATCAAATTGCGCCGGTATCATCCGCGGTATGAACACTTTCCCATGATACGGACACCCCTCGTCCTTCACTGGTTCCATGTCGAGTGTTTCATCACCCACAAGGATTGCCGATCCAAGCATATTCCCTATCCCGTCGAATAAGTTATCAGGTCAGATACGGCAGGCGGAGGCTAGGCTACTGACTTGTTGCAAACCACAGGCAAAAGTATTGCATGAGAAACTGGAAGTGGTTTACTTCGTCCCCTTTCTGCTGGAGCGTGTTTCTCTAAAGACTATTCTTAGTAAGGGTTCGACGAATTTGGCGGGTTCATAATCTCACGATGAGTTTTCTATGGCATTCCAGCCTACAAAGACAAATGCGTTCGAATTAGCATCCAGAATACTATTCCCAGGTAGAGAATCCCATGCTCTAGAAACAATATAGGTCGGGCAACACCAATAATATGTGGAAGGTGGAGGATGGGGGTGGTTACTGACGCTGCATTGTATGTTTTACGCACCACATCATCGACATGGTGGTCAGGGTCGTCGGCGTACTCGGCTACTGCTATTAGCGCATAGTTCGTGACATATTTCGCGTATTGTCTAGCGGTCTCCCAGACGTTTGCGAGTGCGTAGGGTTCGATCTCGATTCTCCTCCTGATTCCCTGTGCATCGACCCAGTGCTTCCAGGTCACATCCCCATTAGTAGGCGTGAACTTCCTCACAGAAAGTTGCATTGGTGCTCTACGGCATCCAATGATCACTGTTATTGTACGGATCCTATTATCTACCCAATCCCGCGGCGCGAGATCCTTCATCTTGACCCCCGACCATCGTTTCGTTAGTCCGAGGCCGCCATCGCGGTAGAGGACAATTTCGGCGAGCTTCCACCGCAGACACGGAAGCCTATGGATGACTTTCTTCGAGTCCGGATTTACACTCTGGCACTTGAGACATTCGCCGCTTTCGTTCGCCGGGTCTGCATCGCACTGGTATGGCGTAAGTCTACGGACGCCGTCGTGACATCATGTGGGTTTGGTGGTGGACTTACTCTTATTTTCTGCATCCGACATCGAATACAGGCCCATAATTAAGTCAGCCGGGAACGAGCGTCGGCTACAATCGTGGCAGCGGAGGGGGATGAGAAAATGAGGCAGGATACACTCACCTTCAACTTCCGGGTCTTGCTCGTCCACTCCCGTTTCTCTTCCAATAGATGTGATCGAGGCCGTCTCTCACGTCGAGACGATGGACCGCTCATGTCGGCCGCAATCTCGTCGACAATCTGGGGGCCGATGGGTTCCAACGCGGCCTCCTCCGGCGCCGAGGTATCCCTCCAGTCAAAGTCGGACGTCTGCATCTGGTCATTGTATATGCTTGGGGTATCGACCTCCTGGTGGTTTGAAGTCTGCCCAGAGCCATTACCAGGGCCACTGTCCTCTATCGGTTGCTGCTCCATAGCCGGTTCCGGATTCACCATAAACCACCCATCATTCAGGTCGTCCATTCTGTTTCCCTCGGGTCTCGCTAAGCATGTGGAATCAGGCCCGAACGGTGGTGGTGCTTGCCCGGAGGTGTTGTCACCCAGATACGATGGATCCTCCGCGATGAAGTTTGACGGGTTCATAGGCTCGAAAGGCTGGTGTAAGGGATAGGTGTTATAGTGGGCCGTGCTGGCCGTGACACCGGGGAAGGCCGTCAGATAATCCCTCGACAAATTCTCGCGAGGCGAGTTTTCGTGCGTGGGTAGGTAAGTGACCGGTTGGTGACACATTGAAAACGGAGAGTTACTGAAGACTGGCAAATCTAAATTATAAGGAGGCAAGTTGTGCGCACCGTGGGCCAGAGTTTGTGGAAGGGGAGTGGAAGACAAGGCAAAGTGGTCCCTCGGTTCTGAGACGGTTAACTCTCCATTATGGATCGGAGGTACGGTATACTCCCATTTAATTCCAGGAAACCCGTGCCTGGAAACGTCAGGTTCGTCTCTCGTTTCTGTGGGGGAGATGGAGGCCGGGGCGGCAAGGTCGGCAGCGGTGCCTCCCCTTTTCCTGTACGAAGATCTAGCCAATGACGAGGGCGATGATGACGACAGGGACAAACTTGGCCCGTATCTCTTAGATTTATTGGCCTTCGCGATGCGTGAAGGGGAGGAGGAAGAACTGGGGCTATACTTCGCCGGGGGAGGGGAGGACGCGATCCGAGGCCGCTTTCTCGCCTTACATGACGTACGATCAATTAGCATAACCCCGGTAGCAGGAGTCAAGCCATGGGTCGGAGGGGACTTTACATTTTTGGAAACGGGCTGGTGGGAAGCGACGTCGGTTCCATTCATCATTATCATGGTCTCTACCTATCTAACGATGATCTGATCTCATTCTTCAGGCTGACAGACAGCGATACGGCAGTCCTAGACCCCTAGGTGGGTGGGTGCGCGTGTATCGAAAACTGCCGGTTTCTTTTCAGTATTTCGCTGTATTTGTACCGTCACACTCACCTGGCCGGTGTAGTGGCGCAGGGGTCAATCGTTGCTCTCTTAATCGGAAACCGGTGAAAGGACTGTGTAGCAAGAACCAGTCCTAAGGATTTGCTGGCCGGGTAATACACACAATATGCGTACGAGTTTCTGCCCGGTCAGCTTATTCTCTCAGCACAGAAAGGACGTAAAGCACGATGGGTTTCTGAGGAGTCGATATCTTAACCCTCCTCACCGGACGAAAAGAAAACAAAAAAAAAAAAGACTGTTGCTTTTGGACGATCCCGAGCCGGAAAAGTCGCGCAGTAACTCCGCTTGTGATGGCTTGACGTTGCGCGGCGATGATCCGTGGCAAGACGTTGGGGGAAGTAAGCTGATGCACCATCCAGAGGTGCGTATATACATAATGCCTTTTGACCAACGAGAAGGCCGAGCTCCTCAGCCCCCCTCAGCAGTTATCGGGAAGTCTGTACCAATGTAGAAATACCAACATTTTCCACCACACCGAGGGCGAGATAAAAGCAAAAGTCAAGCCACCGCATGGGGTCAGCCACTCGTCTTCGAGACAATACACTTCCCCGCTGACTGGACGCCTCATCGAATCTACCTATTGTTGGTTCCTGTCCATTCCCATAGTTCTATGCCGTCTACCGCGGGCCCCTCATGCAAGTTACATGGGTACATGCTGACGTGCAATTGCAGAGCCCGGTTATACTTCTCGTCATATGCACACAGCGTAGAGTGAGAGAGAAGAGCTGTCATGTACAGGAATGCTGCAAGCTTATCTTGAGACGTGCATCATAGCAATGAAGAGTAATAGCTGACCCTATGCCGGTCTGCCCTCAGCGCGGCCGGCAATAGCTGCCGGGGCTTTGCGAGACATCGTCAGATTCTCTCGTTCATAAAGCAAGCTAGGAGCGTATATAAACTCAAAAGGAATATCGTTAAGTCGAAATCGTCTTCGTCCTCATTGTCATTTCATCGACTAATTCTGATTCGCGTGAACCCGCTGCCGTGTTATGCCGCAATTACGCGATCCTTAGAGCTGAGCTCCGCTGCAATATGCGAGTCGCCTTCTTCACCGGTTTCGTGAATCATACCATCGACCGGGTCCACGAATCCCCTTTAACAATAGCCTCATGCGTGATCGACGCAAAGAGACGAATCAGGATCAACCGCAACAGAGATTCCGCTAGGCGCTCCCCTTGGAATCTTTTCCGAGACGTGAATTTTCTAATTAGTCGAATTTTCCAAGAGAATCCGTCTCCCATCTTGGTCTCGCCTCACAGATGGGTGGCCTTTCCGGCTTTGCCGGTGCTACGTCAGACAGGATGGCTCCTCAGGTTCGTGGGGGAGGTGGTGTGGGAGAGTGCGGTGCGCCTGCGGTTCCAGCAGTTATTTGTATTTTATTTTCGTTTTTATTTTATCTCTCTCAGCTGAGCGGCTGTTGACTTAGGCAAGATGAATCATCCTGACGAGGTAGATCTCGTTTCCTAGCAACCGAAAAAAAGCTGGTTTGGACTGCCCGCACCCGCTGTGATTCACACACCGCCGGATTCCTCGTCATCGTCGAGATAAGGGAAGGGCGGATCCGACGTAGGTTGGACGAGACGTTACCTACCCGACCAAGAGCTCAACAACGAAGCCAGCTTTTCATGAGATGGCAATTCGCTCATCCGCTTGAAGCGCTATTAGGCTTCACCTGCTAAGTACCCTCCATTCCATATCCCGCTGCGATAACCCGCCTTTCTCGAAGGAATGGTAGTCTATGTTTACAGCGGTGCGGCTTTTCCTTCCGGATATTGGGCCGATGAGACCACAGAAACCGCTTTTACCCTCAAGTGTTACCACATCTCTCAACGCCTCGTCGGTATGTCTTGTTAGGAACTATCGGGCAATTCATGCAAGGTTAACGCGATTACTGTCTCTTCGCTTTCGTGGCTCAAATCCAAGACTTTGAATTTCCTGGAAGCGGTGCCTGCACAAACCAATGACAAGCAACGTAGGGCGTAGACTTGTGACATAATTCTATCGTTGTGCTGCAAATGATTTGAGAGGAGTGGTTCGAGTTGTCGTTGTTATAAGTCGAGGGTGGTGATGCTCTTTCTCTTCGAGATCCATATCTGCATTTTTGCTTCGCGTACATTTCAAAGGGGTAAAAAAGAAAATAAAAATATGACTGCTCACATAGTTCCGCTCGTTTCTGAAAGCCTCGTCGGCCTGCAGACCTGGGTGCGTCAACAGGAGCATGGCCTTGCCGCGGGAACCTTGTCCCGGCAGCAAAGCAGCATTCCTGGACCATCCCAGCAGCTTCCTGGCTCTATCGGTGGTCCTCTCAACTGGTCTAGACTCGACTCAGTGGACAAAAAGGTAAAGCGCCTAGAGTTAACTGCCTCCGACATTTCCGAGATAGACCGGGCGTTAGAGGCGTTCAATGGCGAGTTCCCCCCTCCGGTGACACAATTCTTACCTACACTTTCCAGCTGACAGCCGTATAGGATTAGAATTAGACGGAGATGAGGTAACACGAGAGCGGTTCCCTCTCCCAAACCTCGAAAGTCAACTTGAACAGTGTGCTCTCGAGGTTCACCGCGGCATTGGGCTCTGCATTATTCGGGGGCTGAAGCCGGAGAGATACTCCGTCGAGGATAACATCGTCCTTTTTCTTGGGTTATCTTCTTTTATCGGTGACCAAAGGGGTCTCCAGAACTCCAAAGGTGATATGTTATGTAAGTTATCATATATCGTATCAACTTCTGTCATTTGCTGAACTTATTGGAAGCACATGTTACCGAGTCTAAATCGTGGACCGCCCCTAAGGAGAAACGCCACGGGATACACACCAACGACAGTTTAGTAAGTAAGCGGCTCTCCTCACGTACAAAGGGAATGAAATTACGATTCAATGGGTAGGTGGGCACCATAGTTCATGCTAACGACCATCAGCCTTTCCATAATGATATGGGATGCGAGGTCCTAGCAATTCAAGTCCGCGACCGAGCTGAAGCGGGCGGCCACACCTGCGTGGCGTCTATGACCGCTATCTATAACGCCCTAATGCAATCAAACCCGTGGGTACTGCATACTCTAGCTAGGCATGACTGGCCGATTCAGACGTAAGTGAACACCCGCAACCTGACCGCGTGGAGGGAAAGGAGACAGGATTCAAGGTTCAGCCTAGCTCACGTCTTCGGCAGAAGCTCGCGAAGAGCAGCCTCTTTCGTCCTATCCCCCCTTCTAGAATATTATGCCGATAACCTGTTAATTTCGATGGATCCCGCTCGCATCGGACCCCACCCCTTAGCTCGAAACGGATCGGTTCCGCAACTCACGGCAGAGCAGCGGGAAGCTCTCGCCGTGCTCCAGGATGTAGCTCGCAAGAATCAGCTACGGCTTGAGACTCAGCCCGGGGATATCATTTTCCTCAACAACTTAGGTCTTCTACATGCTCGTGAGTCGTATCAGGACAGCGCGTCTTCTTCGAGACATCTAGTACGGCTTTGGCTTCGAAACAAACGGCTGGGATGGGCAATCCCCCCTTCGATGAGAATGCCTTGGGAAGCGTCCTTCGGGGATGGAGCTGCAAGGGTGGTCAACAGGTACTATCCTATTATGCCAATGCCCGAGTACATGGAATGCAAGTATTCAAACGGCACGGCAGCGTTCGTTGCCGATGACGACGAAGGCGATGAGGTCATCCCGAAGACCATAGAGGATGGCACTAGTTTGGAGCGTCGAGGAGATACTTAGCTGGGAGCTTTCTTCTACCAAATTGACATTTTAGGACAGTAAATTATTTAGATCAGAGGAGAGATGAGATTTGGGTTGGTACTAGGAAGTGTCATGACGGTTCACGAGTTATAGCATAGAGCGTCGATAAGACAATGTTCAGACAACTCAGATAATGTTTGTAGTCCATGCCGTTTCCTGGGTCCATCATCCAAAGCGAGTTTGGTGTTTTTGTATTCGAATAGAATAAAGTTGATGATTAAATCATGGGCAGCTTCGTAGCTTAATTACCTATCTACTTGTGGGATTGAAATTCTAAGTCAATAAGTCACATTTCTACTCTAGTTTGCGCGATGTGCTCGTGTCTTCGACTTTTACAATCTTATAATAAGCTAGGTATTGTCTGACTCGTAACTTATAACGAAAGATACCTTTGTCTTTAGACAACCAATTTTATAAAGCCTATTTTACTCGTAAACAGGGAATTAGAGGGAGTCTCCTATTTGTGGTATCATTAATAGCTTGATCGTTAACTCAACCTAGAGGCGAACAACTCCACGGAGGTCGAGTTAACATCATTAATGAATGCAAAGAAGTATCGTTGTCCATGGCGTTGTCTATGAAACGACTTTATTCCAACAAATGCTTGCCGAGGTGATAGATGAATACTTAACTAAGTACCTAGTAGGGACCCGGTAGTTAATATGAATACGCAGCAGCCTCGGATATTTTTATTTCTCGGTCGATTTGAAAGCTACTTCTGACGATACAGGGCCATCAGGAAGCACGGGAGGGTGAAGTAATCCTCATTATGAATGGCTACCAACCCTAAGTGACAACTGATACCGCAACTTCACCACCCATGTCCATCATAAGCACCGTCTGCCACATGTATATACATAGGTACCTGCCCACGGGATTACGCCTTGGTACATACCTAGTAAAAAGAGTTTCACTTCAATTATTGTTTAGTTGTTGGATATCGTTGAATATGCATGAATTCCCGAGCTTATGTGAACATTACCTGAAGATGAGTTTAAGTTGCTGGCAAATTTATTTCTTATGAAAGGACGGGCTAATTACCTACCAAGTACCTACCTAGGTAAGCTAGAGTAGCAGATAATTAATAAGTAGGAAATTCTGATTGGAGGCAAGAACCAGTTTCTAAATGCTCTAGCAAGAATAGATATCGAGATCGGGCGTAGTGGTATGCAGCAATGACTGCTTTGCTCATAGACGCTGGCTGGTCATTTTGAAACGATCTCGCCGATAATTCGTGAGTGATCGTCAATAGTTTCACAGCCCGTATAAACATAGCCGAACAGATGCAACGAAACATCGTGATTACAGGACGGACTCGGAGCACGGCTAGGTAGGTAGGCTAAGGATTTTGCCACCTAGGACGTGGATAGCTCGGAAACAATGCATCGACATCATAGCAATCTTTCTCTGCGGAGACGGGGGAAGGCCGGGACCGGTGACAGCGAGCCTTAGCTCCATTCCCCCCCTAAGTCACCAGAGGCCAGCAAGGGCAAAGGGCAAGTTGAGGCTGAGGAAGCGTTGTAGAACCGGCCCCACTTCTAAGCAGAATTACCTACCTAGATAGGTGAATGAGAGACGATTCTCGCCTACTACCTACACTAGAGCGTCACGGATGCGCTTATCACATCTCTCAGAAACATCATGCACGGAAATAGACATTTTCTCAAACACGGCTGGGCTTGGCTTACCTAGATACCGACAAATGATGTGCAGGACGGGCTATTTCACCTTCCTTGCATCTTGCCAGCCTTATTTCGGGCGCCCCAAAATTCAAAATTCACGTCATGCGACAACAGGAGATGATAGAAATGACGAGAGAAAATATCGCATCTAAGGATGTCCCTACCATAGTCAGTAATCGATTGCTCGAATTTTAATCTAGGCAAACCGGTCTGGTCGTGTTTGCGCAAGGGAGGTTTGACGATCATGCGAAGTGGATAAAGGAGGATTGTAAATCGCGGAAGATCATTATAATGCCGTGCTATTCATTACCTAGATGAGACCCAAGACAACCCAAGACAGTCCAAGATGTTCCGGTCAGTGAGAGGACCGACTTTTAATACACGGTGGCAGCTGGGCAGTAAGAAAATTGTTAGGGGAGTCATGGGAGAGTCTGAGAAAGTGATGATTGGCCAGTTCTTTGGTACCTTAATTACATAAGTTATTGAAGGTTACCGCCAGTGGGTCAGCTTGCTAACATGATGGAAACGGAGTATACCATCAATCTTGGTAGAGCTGAGCTTATCAAACTTGTATCGAGACGGCGCCGAGAGTTAGGGTCTGACAAACCGCTGCTGCGCCCCATCCGAGATAGAGCTAGCAAACTGGGCAGCCCCATTAAATAATCTCGAGAACCATCTTTAGTTCTCGGCAGACCGCTACCAACCCTGCCCACCCTAGCCCCAACCCCTGGGATCGACAGGTACAGATAAATAGCGTCAACTTAAACGGGTACTAAATGGAAAAATACGAGCCTTCGCTGCCTTCAACCTTTAGAAGGTAAGTCGGTTATATATGTGAGGGGTACAACAACACTAACGCGACAGGCGACATTGAGTTTTGAGGTTCCAATGCTAAATACATACCTACCTAGGTACCTAGTAGCATCAAAGTACCTATCTACGGACGTTCCATGCTACCCCTACGGTTGAAGATAGAAACATGTTGCGGAAACTGACGTCAAATATTCTGATGGTGGAATTTGATGAAACAATCTCGCATGCCTTGGACAAGATCCCATCGCCAAAACCGATATGCACAGAAAAGAACAGTGGTGGTCAGCACCTTGTTCGGATGGAATCAAGAGAGCCCCCTTGCCACCCCTGTCCATCTACCATCTACCCGCAAAAACCCCAGTATTAACTAATCTACATCGGTGTATTTTTAACGTCTGTAGCCAATCAGAAGCTCCAATTGAACAACTCCATAAATCGGAACCAGTTTTAATCTCTCCTGTCTGACTGGGAAGCTGTTAGGGTCCCTTTCAGCCCTTCTCCTTTACTGATAATCGCCTATACCATTTTGTCTTTCCTCCGTTCCGTCCTTTTTTTAAGTCGAGGTCCTTCGTCCTTCATGCCAGACTTTTTCTCTCTTTAGTAACTCTCTTTTCTAGCCTTTGTAATTGCTTGGCATTTGGGGAAGGACGCATTCCAACTACGTACACTCATTGATACAACCGTCGATTTACACTCTTTTACTAGTATTATATCGTTTAACCTCGATATTTGAGGAAGGAGAACAGTTAGAGAAAGGGATATCGATACTGAAGATATCGTTACGTCATTTTAGAGCTCGAAAGACACATTCCGCGGCAGAAGGGTCGTTCAACATATCGATTCATACAACAGCAATAACTCCAACGAGATCCCGGAGATCGCAAGTAATTTAATTAGGTCAAGATGGGTTTTCTACGGTCAGCTTTCACCACGTCGCTGGCCCTTACCAGCCATGCCGTCGCACTGGATCCCATCGTCATGAAGGTGAGTGAACCTGAGGTCAAATAGGGACCGGGAAGGTCTCACGGTCATGATCCTAACACATATAATAGGGGTCGAAGTTCTTCACCAAGAGTGGTGACCAGTTCTTCATCAAGGGTGTGGCTTATCAACAAGAGGCTGGTGGCGGTCCAGGCGGCAGCTCGACTTCCAAGAACACGTATGTGGACCCTCTATCCAACGAGGACACCTGCAAGCGTGATATCCCGCTGCTCGAGAAGCTGGGTGTCAACACCATTCGAACTTACGCCATCGACCCCAAGGCCGATCACAGTGCGTGCATGAGCATGTTGGACAAGGCCGGCATCTACGTTGTCGCCGACTTGGGTGAACCTGCTCTCTCCATCAACCGTGACTCGCCGGCTTGGAACGTCGAGTTGTTCGACCGCTACAAGGGCGTCGTCGACAACCTTGGCAAGTACGAAAACGTCATCGGCTTTTTCGCCGGTAACGAAGTTACCAACAACAACACCAACAGTAAGTAATACCGCAATATTGAGCATTTTGTGTTTGAGCTTCGAGTGCATAAATACGTACATATTCGAAGACTGGGCGCCGGATTATGCCGCTATCAGAGCGTATGCTAACTTGAGCGATTATAGCCGACGCTTCGGCCTACGTCAAGGCTGCTACCCGAGATGTGAAGAAGTACATCTCTGACAAGCAGAAGAACGGTGGCCGATGGATGGGCGTCGGATACGCCGCGAACGACGATGCTGAAATTCGTGCCAACATGGCTCAGTACTTCAACTGCGGTGAGCAGGAGGATGCCATTGACTTCTGGGGCTACAACATCTACTCCTGGTGCGGCAAGAGCAGCTTCACCCAGTCAGGTTACGACGTCCAGGTCAAGTTCTTCTCCAACTTCTCGGTACCCGTCTTCTTTGCCGAATATGGCTGCAACTCCCCCGGTGGAGCTGAGGGTCGTCTCTGGGACGACACCACCGCGCTCTACTCCAGCCAGATGACCGACGTCTTCAGCGGTGGTATTGTATACATGTTCCACGAAGAGGAGAACGACTACGGTGAGTCCATATCTGTCGCATTCGCACCGGAAAGCCTGAGATCTAATATTCGCGTTCGTAGGTCTGGTCAAGGTTAACGGTAACTCGGCAAACCCGATGAAGAACTACAAGGTCCTACAGTCGAAGCTTGCCGACGTCAAGCCTTCGTCTACTTCCATGGCCGCTTACAACCCCACCAACTCTCCCGCTGCCTGCCCTGCCGTTTCTGACGACTGGAAGGTTGCCGTTGGTCTCCCGCCTACCCCCGACAGCGCCCTCTGCGACTGCATGGTTAGCTCGTCCTCGTGTGTCCCCGCGGATGATCTCGCTGAGAAGGACTACGGCGACATCTTCGGCTACATCTGCAAGAACGACGCGGCTGCTTGCGCCGGCATCAAGGCCGACACCGAGACCGGCGTCTACGGCCCTTACGGCATGTGCAACCCTAAGGACCAACTTGCACATGTCCTGAACGCCTACTACCAGAACCAGAACAGCGCTTCCACTGCCTGCGACTTCAACGGTGCTGCGAAGGTCGTGTCTGCCAAGGCTGACTCGAGCTGCGAGGCTTCCTTGGCCAAGGCCAACTCTGCCGTCGCTGTCGCCGCCACAGCCACCGCAGGTTCCGCCGTTACCTCGTCTACTAGCACCGGCGACAGCAAGTCCAGCGAGAATGCTGCCGCGCCGGCGTCTGTCCGCATGGCCCCCTTCCTGGCTATGGGAGATATGGCCGTCGGTCTCTACATGCTGGTAGCCATGGGTGTCGGTGCCGGTATGGTGATGTTGTAAGGATTTTTAGCGTGGATGAATATGCCTGGATATCCGGTATTATAATACGCAGATGGTCAGGTTGGCGTAATTATATGGGGTGGTTGGATTTGTGGATGAAAACCTCGAATAGTGAGGCGTTGTTGACAAGATCTATCTCTATTGTAATCAGCACTAGATTTTGCAGGATACCCCTAACTGCTCGCATCAATAGACCAAGATAGCAGAAAGTCGTAAAGATCGATGCATCGATGTTGCTTTATGGGGAATATGGCGTATTACTGTAACTTAATATGGATATTAGATGATTGTACTTATCTAAATGAATTTCTTTGAACAATGTTTCAATAGTACCTTGACCCTAATGCTTGTGTCCTGGGAAGGGATAGGCCGGTTAGATTCTTTTTGATACCCGTATACCTGGTAAGCGCTCGCTCCTCACGCGTGGTGAATATTACAGCGTACTGTCTCTATCTAGAAATATGCCTAAAACCCTTACAAACAGCTCTTACGTCTATGTCAAACATGAACACCGTATATTTGGTTAATCCATGTGCTGACTTTTTCTGCAACGACCTCGCTGTCCTCTGCTACATATTAGCTCTACTCATCACTTGAGCTACCGGGGAAGCATCTCTCATTTACTTACTTATGCAGAATGCGTGCGGTATGTTCCCTTCATCAACTATTAGCTTCGTGCGGTCGGTCTGCTTTTCCCTCTTCCGGATGAACTCATCTCGGTAATGACTCGCTACCCAGTCATCGTTTCTTCCGAAGAAAAAGAAGAATTTGGGCACAACTTTGTCGTGAGCCTTTGCATCATGGGCGATCTCCCACAGCTCCTCGTCCCAGCTGTCTTCGCCGATGACCTTCATCTCATCCATGCCCATGTGCAATGTCTGCCACACGCCGTCCCGGCTCTTGAGCCAACGTGTCGTTACTCCTGCTGCGTGGGCCGGGAATCTCAAGACCTTGCTCACGATCCAGTGGAGGGCGCTTTGCGGCACCAGATGTAGAAACGTCTGTGCGACGCGATACGCGTTGTCGCCGAGAACCGGTGTCCGACGGAGTAGATCGAGCTTCTGCCCATTCGAAGAACTTGAAATGTGATGAATGGTTGGGAACAGGAGGATGCCAGAGGTGAGGTTTAATTGCGGGGCCAAGTCTTGGTTCCGAAGTAGCCGGTGGAAGAGCTCGAGAGTCATATAAGCGCCTACGGAATGTCCTACGAGTAAGACTTCGTCGTAGGGGAAGCCCTTGCGCGATCCCGACTCTACGCGTAGCTGGCTAAGCGCAGTGAGCGTGTGCTGGATCTGATATTCCAGGTCGTGAGGCTTCCTCTGTTGCGTGAAAGGCTCATGGTCGTCATCACGGAAACCAGCCAGATCCTGGCCATATATCTGAAAGCGGGCGTGTTGCAGTGATGCTGTTTCATCTAGGAGCCCTCGAAGAGCTGATAGGAATGGCTCGTAGTAGTCAACAAGGCCTGGGTTCCCGGGGATGAAGAAGATGAGGATGTTACGGATTTGAGACTCGTGAACTCTGTCGTCAACAAACGGCTTTGGTGGATAGGCTAGAAAATGGGGGCTGGTCATCATCACGACTAAGTTAATGGTTGGTGGGGTATCATGAGTTAGCAACAAAGAGCATGACGTATCTTAGGGCTTCTCTATCTCGTCCTCTTTATATACAATGAAATACTATAATTTTCCCTTATTTACAAGAGCAGATGGAACTTGAAACTTGGAAGTTGGAAAACATGAGCTAGCGCCACAGTTCATCTTCAAGGGTTGAGATTGGAAGAGTATCGCAGCCACACTGTAGGTATGTGATGTGGCTCGTCTCCTTTCCGAAGATGTGCCGGGATATGTACAAATGTACCTATTGGAGCGCCTGATTCATAAATGCAAGTTGGCAACTTCGTCTACTGGAATCCCCCCGGTAAAATGTTCGCGTGATAGCTAAGCACCAACAGGTTGGGCAGCCGCTTTCGCTCTAGTGAATAAGTCGAAGTTAAAGTGTTTAGTTGTCAGTTAAGAGGTATCAGTCAAGTCAGTTGACCATCCTGGCCATCGTTGGTATTGGTACAAAGGATTGAAGTTGAAGTATATTTTCTAAATTCATGTGGCGTCCTGATAATTCCAAAGAGATCCCAAAATATCTAAGATACAAGACCAAAGCGCACTTCAATGATATCGTCCAGAATACTTTATCTATGTAAGTATTTTCTCTATCACGTGAATATTTACTGACTGAGTTGAGCCTCGGGAAAAGTGGCAGATGTGGCAGATGTTAATACCCACCATATCCTGGGCCAAGCTGGGATAAGCTGGGATAAGCTAGGATAAACTTGGGGTTGAAGGTCTTGCATTGCGTCGCATCGCATCATTGACTCAACATATGGTACCGGCAACCGCTGACCTGTCTACCTGTCTGCCTGTCTGCCTACCCTGTTTGCCTATCTGTCTACTGGTCTGCATACTATGCTTCACATGTGGCAGATGTGGCTACCTTATGTGTACACTAATCTCGAGCTAGCCAACCATTGAACCCTCTTTAGTGATCTTAGTGTATATCGAATCACGCCGCTCGAAGCCCCCCATCTTTTTTGAAAATGCCACAAATGCCACAGATGTCACGATACCTACTATATATCAATATGGATTTTGGATACTGATGGAGTATTATATTCGGTCTCTGTCCTAATAAAAAGCCGGTGAGTCCTTATGCCCAGATTCTCACAGATCTCCTTTTTTTTCTTTTTGATTCGCCGTTCGATGGGTAGCCTTTAAGTCGTAGCATGCGACTCACATTGCCGATTTTGGGTCAGCAGCTTCGGACTCATACGGCTCATACGGATCCCGAGAATATCAACTACCTAGGCAACCATATTCTCCGCCTTCTTCTTCTTCTCCATTCTGCTTAACCCCTAAATACCTACTTCATCTGTACTAATTCTTTGTTCTCCTTCATTAGCAGGCCGAGGCACGCCTCCAACCCGTCTGCTCTCGTGATACTTCTCAAGTCCCTGATACTACCATTGAAGTACTCAACTGCTCTTAACCTCCCTAGCTACCTCCTGTTTCCTACCTACCTCCTACGTAACCCAATATCTTATCGATCGCTTCCATTCGCTCTCCGCCGCGCCGTCGTTCCGTGCCACTATGACCACCGCCGAACTACGGCACCGCCCGCCGCCCTCCGACGACGCCCCAGAACCGAATTCCAAAGCCGGCATCGCCGGTCCGGTTCTAGATCCGAATGTCGGCCATCCCGCAGGCGAGGCTAAATATGGCCGTTTCAGAGCATTCATCCGTGCTGTCACATTTTTGATCTACTTCACCAGCGGCTGTCTGACGTACGACTCTCCTCGACCCGTTATTCTCTGATTTTGATGGGAAAAGACTATTTGGTTCTGATATCCGATCTCTACAGTGTACATATTACTCAGATCCTCGGCGCCCCGCTCTACTACCTCAACCGCGACCTGTACTATGCCTACATGTCCTTGACAAAGGCCTCCTTTGGCCTGCTGATCACCACCATGACACAATGGTGGGCACCGACAGTTATAAGAATAAGCGGCGACTCCTCTGTTGCCGGACAGTTCAGCTTGACCCCGGACGGCAGGGTCGAATGCGCTTTTCCCGAGCGGATGGTTATGATCGCAAACCACCAGGTCTGGGCTAGACTGATGCTCCATGCCGACGAACGCTAGTGACTGACAAGTGTGCTTTACGACAGATCTATACCGACTGGTTGTATCTTTGGTGGGTCGGGTATACGAATAACCCTCAAATGCACGGACATGTCTACATCATCCTGAAAGAATCCCTGAAATGGGTTCCCGTCATCGGACCTGGCTGCATGTTCTTTGGCTTCATCTTCTTGTCTCGCAAGATGGCCGTCGACCGACCGCGCCTAGCCCACAGGCTTGGCAAGCTCAAGACTCGACATACGGGTCTTGACGGTAAGCGCTTTCTGAACCCGATGTGGCTGCTCCTCTTCCCCGAAGGCACCAACTTATCTTCGAACGGACGAGTCAAGTCAGCTAAATGGGCTGAAAAATCGGGTCTCCGGGATACGGAGCACATGATGCTGCCTCGAAGCACCGGCATGTTCTTCTGTCTCAACGAGCTCAAAGGGACGGTGGATTACGTATACGATTGCACCGTAGCCTACGAAGGTGTCCCGTGAGTATACTGCCTTGCGTTATCTTATGTTTACCGTAGGCACCGATTAGTTAACACATCTAATTTACTAGTCGCGGAAGATATGGCGAAGACTTTTTCACATTATCAAGCACTTATTTCCAAGGTCGACCTCCTAAGTCGGTAAATTTCTACTGGAGACGTTTCGCGTTGGCCGATATGCCTTTAGACGACCAGGAAGAGTTCGATAAGTGGCTCCGCGAAAGATGGTATGAAAAAGATGCCGTGCTCGAACAGTACGTCTCGACGGGGCGATTTCCAGCAAACGGTGCAGGTATCAAGGGACATATCGAGACGGAAGTTCGTACCAAAAACTGGTGGGAATTCATCAGAATATTTGTTATGCTTGGTGCGTTCGGGTTGATATTCAACTTCATGCTCCGAATCATTCGAATACTCGTTCGTGGTTAGTCATCGACTCCTATCGAATTTCCACCCCTTTTAAACTGGGAGGGATTGCCGCGAAACGTTTTCGATATGAACGTTGCACACGAAATAATTAGAGAGGCAGCAATATTAGAAAGAGGACTTGTGCCAGATACCAATATCGATAGATTATTCAATGATACCATGGAGTATAGGAGTTTTCGGTCAGACTGATGATCTTGCATGGCGGCGCATGGTAGCATGAAAGCTCAGCCCCACTCAGACTTTTTACGATCTAATGAGGTATCTATGTTGGGACGGTGGGACAACATAAATATGTGGCGCCTAACCGCAGAAGAGAACCTAAGAAGATGTTATATATAAGGGAACGACTTATTAGGCAGATGAAGTTATGTTATGTATTATGAGTGTGGCATCGGTACGCCACTGTCCGTATTTGAGCCTCGCACGCCCTGAAGCCCAAGAGTTGACGACAGAAATAAAACACTATGGACAGTTTATATACATATTTCTTCCCTGGCGTGGAATATCTATTACCATATTAGCTAAACTTTGGGATTTTGAGTCTGGGGCTGCGATATCCATGCTTGCATTCACATATCGCAGTACTCCGAGAGTTGAAAGGCGAGCTGAACCTAGGTTCTCTGAGATAATTCGATCTCACGCCGATTCCTTGCGCTCTCCTTGGCGGCTTCAATGATTCGGAGAACATCTCTTGCTTGCGAAGCCGGCACGGGCACATCCTGCTCGCGATTGTGAACAATGGCCTGACCGAAAAGCTCGTAGATTTTGCTGTAGGTCTCGGGCTCGACGTTCGGGCAGTCTTGTTCTTGAAAATCACCGTTGTCGCCGACGAGCGTAAGCTTTCCGTTCCACTCAGCATTTTCCCGTCCGAAGTTGGCGTCGTCCGTCTTCATTCCAGACCTTAGCTGGGGCTCTTGGGAATCCAAGCCCGCCTTGCGGTAACTGCCTTTGGTTCCCCTGATCCAGAACCTCGGCTGCCGCACCTCGGCGCTCACGACGGCAGCACGCGCGAAGGCGACGAGACCGCTTTCGTAAAATAGCTGCACTGTGAAACTATCGGGCTCTAGGTTCGGTTGCTGCGGTCCCACGAAAAGGCCGTCTCGTTGGCTGGAGAGGATGGCAAAAACGCTCTGCGGCATTCCGAATAATACATATACTTGATCGATGAGGTGGGTGCCTAAGTCGTAGAGCGCCGAGCCTCCCTGATCTATCCCGAGCGAGCCCTTCCAGTTAGTGGGCTTCTCCAGTCGAAAGCGGTCAAAGTGTGTCTCAAACTCGACGATACGACCCAGTTTGCTCTCATCGGCGAGGAGCTTTCGGACAGTCAAGAAGTCGCTATCCCACCGACGGTTCTGGTAGACGCATATCAGGCGGCCTTTCTCCTTAGCTAGGTTGACGAGGGCATCCGCCTCAGCTGCGCTAGGCACAAATGGCTTTTCGACGAGCACATGCTTTCCCGCTAGTAAGGCCTTCTGGGCAAAGGAGAAGTGTGTCTGAGGGGGAGTGGTGACGACGACAACATCGAGGTCGGGGTCAGCAAGGAACTGGTCTAAAGCAGTGAAGTGCTTCAGGGTGGGATGATCCCGAGGGGCAGATAATGATGACTTGCTGGGATCACGCTGTAGGATGGAATGAAGTTTGAAGGACGGCGTGACTGAAATGAAGGGAATGTGGAATACAGTGGCCGACAGTCTAGAAAAACAAGCAAGTTAATGGATGCCAAAATTATCAGAAATGCCAAAAGCTCATGGCTAGTCGACTTACCCGTAACCAACGACACCGACATTGAATGTCGACTTAGTAACCGAATCGCTCATCGTATTAGCGTATGTGCGGGTGGTGTATATACTTTTCTCATAAATGATTACTTATTACGTGCCTCTTGTATATGAATATCGAGCTGATTGGAAAGAGATAGGTGCGTTAGACATTTATATACAAGGAGAAACGGCTCTACTTACCTAACATACGACCTACCGGATCATTTTCTATGCACTCAAGGTAAATTTGTAAGGTCATGAGTTGCGGGGGGAATTGTCACGATGTGTAACTAGTCCGACTGGTATAATTACCTGTTTTGACGGATAGCGGGCCGAATAGTCTCGTTTTACGTACTTGGTCAAAAATACCACTTAGGTGAATATTATAATGAGACATGAGGTCATCCAATATTTTCTCTTTCTTTTCATACTGTTAGGCTTGTCTCACCCCTCATTTAGCGGCTATAACGTACCGAACTCCTATACTTTCTTATCTTAGCTGCTGGTGCTAAGTTGTCGCAAACCTTATACCTCGTACCAATTGATACTTTCAAGTATGGTGGCCGAAGTGCCAAGCTTTAAACTCTAGTATTTGTTGAACATCTTAACTCTAAAGACTGTTTCTCCGAATCGCCTCCCTTCTAGTCGATATAAACTATCGTTATCATCTGCTGCGTATTTTTCTAGTATCGCGAAGTGTGATCAATTAGATCTAGATATTAACAACATTCCTAGAACACATCTACGGCACGGGCTACAGCATCATGGCCATGCCATCTGCCTTGATGTCGGATTCGCATATAAAGACTCGCTTTCTCATCCTCTCAGATACACACGGCATGAAGTTCTCGTCTGGAAATTACCATCGTCATCACGTGGACGTTGCCATCCACTGCGGCGACCTGACAGAAGAGTCCAAAATCGCCGAATTTCAAACTTCTCTCAACCTCCTAAAAAACATCAACGCCTCTCTTAAGCTTGTTATTGCCGGGAATCATGATTTTACCTTAGACGTGCCGATATTTAAAAGGAAAGTTGCCGAAGCTGAGCCGTCTTTGGAGCCACACTTAGTGGCAAAAGAGTACGGTAAATTTGGGGAAGCAAGAGAGCTATTCGAAAAGGAAGAAGCAGAGAATGCAGGGATCGTATTTCTGGATGAGGGTACTCATCGATTTATTCTCAAAAACGGCGCCGCACTAACGGTTTACGCCAGCTCATATACACCGTCACTTGGCGATTGGGGGTTCCATTATCATCCGGAAGAGGGACACCAATTTCCTATACAAAAGGGGACGGATATAGTCATTACCCACGGTCCTCCGAAAGGAGTCATGGATTTCACGCATTCCCGGGAAAGAGCTGGCTGTCCAGACTTGTTCGCAGCCGTTGCCAGAACTTGTCCAAGGTTGCACTGCTTTGGTCACATCCACGAAGGCTGGGGAGCAAGAATAGTGACCTGGAGAGAGAAGATAAGTAACGTCCCTTCCTATTTCACAGATATAGATAACACCAAGTCTGTTGTTATCGAAACCTTGAAGAGATTCCGGCAGTCCAAAGCCGACGAGGACAAGACGGAAGCGGCCTCGAAGAAGTCAAATGAGACCAAATTATGCGCCGAGGGAATATTTCGCTATGTAAGTCATTGTACTGGAGACGAGAATAAGCTTTTGGAAGAAAGGCAGACTCTCTTCATCAATGCGGCAATTCAAGGCGACGAAGAACACCCGATTCAGCTTCCGTGGCTGGTGGACATTGAGCTCGATAAGGCGAATGGTAACAATTATGACGGGGACTCGCTTCACGATTTATCGGTAATCTGACGGAGTGAATCTGCGGAAATAAGCAGGATTCACAACTAGAAGATGATAAAGAAATATCTGGACTAAGTAGCTTGCAATCAAGTAAGAAAAGGAGGTGAAGTTTGAAGAGCTGGGAAGGAGTTATGTATGATGGCTCGCTCCAAAGATAAATGAACTTTTATGACGGATATTTTAGCGGTCCCACTACCGGACTATGGAAGAATACAGTATGAATTACACCATCAGAATGGTCAGAATACGGTCCGGTACTCGGTACTCCATTTTTTTTTCGGTCTCTTAATTTTTTCAAATACATCATCGCATCGTAGTCGTACTCCTCCTTGCCCTAACACCAAGCAAAATAACCACCTTGTGTGTCAGAGGCGATGTTATAAGTCCCGTCCACCCAGTCCAATCCACCACCGGGTTTAGGAAAGGGTTTGGTTAATCTATCATGGGGTGAACTGGCAGACTAGCAGCATTGTCAATAATTCTATCTACTTCGTCTTATTACTTCATTTGACATTGGGAATTTATGTATAAGGGCTCGTCTTTAAAGTGCTATATGTGCTTCCTTCGCCTTCGCCTATATTACTTACCTTCCCATACGAACCATGCGATTCAACGCGACGCCATATCTCTCGTCCGTCCGCCACTACATTGTGTTACATTGTCCTGAAGTCTGAGTTGCGAAGGGCGACAGCTGTGGTACGTAAAGTTGTAGGAGCACGAGTATTTGAGCATTTGGTGTTTGGTTCGAATTGGGGGATCGAAAGGAAATATGTCTCGACCGATGATTCTTCGAGATCGTTCATGTCTCATCGCACGATGTTTTCCGCGTACGCGATCGTTCTCGGTCACTCATTGTCGCCGCGAGATCCTCGATGTCTCCACTCTTCCCGATCGCATCTTGCCTAAGTACAAGGAGAGTTCGACGTCCTCACTGTTATCTCTCCAGTGGCCGGCACCCCCTCGGAATATCCTTATCATCCCCAAGCTTCTCGCTCCGAAGGTCACCGCTTCTGCCGCCTCCTTCGCGAGTCATATCCACAGCGAATATCCCAACCTGAACCTCGTCTTCGAACATCGGGTCGCGTCCACCATCCACGAGTCGCTACCCTTTCCCATCTACACCTCCGATCCGGGCCAGTTCCCTAACAAGATCGATCTTGTAGCCACCTTGGGCGGCGACGGAACCATCTTGCGCGCAGCTAGCCTTTTTAGCCTCCACGCGTCCGTGCCGCCGATTTTGTCTTTCAGCATGGGAACGCTGGGTTTTCTTGGTGAGTGGAAGTTCGAAGAATATAAGCGCGCCTGGCGTGAGGTATACATGAGCGGTAGCCGCGTCGCCGTCACCGACTTGCAGGGCCCTCATACGCAGGTCGCTACGAACAGCCGGCCTGACGAAGACGAGGGTCACCTTCATAGCAATTGGGACGGTGTTCGTGGGAAGAGTATGGGGCTCACTCGCTCTAGCAAGATTCTCCTGCGTCATCGGCTGAAGGTCGGAGTCTACGACGCCGCCGGCGTCAATGTGAATGAGCAGCTCATGCCGACCTCGACTGCCGAGCCGCAGCAGTCCATTCCGCAGAATCCCGACCTCCAGCGGGTAGGAGAAGCGGTAGAGCGACCACTCGCTTCCCGACAATTCCACGCCGTGAACGAGCTCGTCATCCACCGTGGCCCGAACCCCCACCTTGCCATCATCGATGTCTACGTCAACAACCACTTCTTGACGGAGGCAGTAGCCGACGGGATCCTGATCAGTACGCCGACAGGATCCACGGCGTATTCGCTGTCTGCCGGCGGGAGCATCATGCACCCGTTGGTCAAGACGTTGCTGATCACCCCAATCTGTGCTCGCAGCCTTAGTTTTAGACCCCTCGGCCTTCCCCTGAATACTAAGGTTGTTCTTAAACTAAGCGAGAAGAACCGCGGGCGGGAACTCGAGGTTAGCATCGACGGCAAGCGGAGGGCTGGGGTAACCATCGGAATGGAGATTCGAGTCGAAGGAGAAACTGTCGGCCGTACCCCCGACGGTAGCTGGGCCGGTGGCGTACCCTGCGTTATCCGGTCTCCAAGCAAAGCCGACAGCGAGCGGGATGGAATCGCCGAAGACGATGACGGATGGGTTGGTGGGTTGATCGGCCTGCTCAAATTCAACTATCCATTTGGCGAGGGGCAATGAACCTCTCGAACTCGATAGGAATTGGGGCCTTGCCGTTGCTGTATAAATTGATGGGGGCCCGTAGGTGGTCATCTGATTTACATGCGGCCATCACTGACGAACTCCTGCCGACGTATTAAGGAAAGGTCAAATGAGGTATGAGTACGTTTGATTTTCAGGCGTTCTAGCCCTGCTTCATAAGCTAACTGGCCGACGCCACTTTTTGTATAGGTTTGAAGATACCCATAAATAAGGTCGATACAAAGTCGGTGTAGTTTAAAATAATAACGCCATATCAAAATTCTACGTCCTTACGATGATCGGTCTAGATTTATTACGTTTGTGTCGGTTAGAGGCTAACCTCCAGCTTCTACCCAGGGTTCTAAAGTAAAAGGGTTCGTTCTGTGATACATATTAACCCATGTTTCAAGGAAAGTGTCTATGAAGTATCTACACAGGTATGTAGGATTGCTCATGGATGTGCATATCTTCGGTTCAATTGGAGTTATACCTAAGCATCATGCACTATCTACCTATCTACTAGGACAGTGGCTACCACAAAGCCGGGCACGAGGTATTAAGCACATCGGCTTGTTGAAAACCACCGCCTCAATATTTAACTGACTGATTTCTTCCATAGTTATAGGCTAGACGCCGAAACTTGTTCGCGGTTTATGTACCTGATGGGGTTTATAAGCTAACCCGTCTTGTCCACTCCGTCGTCCCTTAGAGGCGTGTATGTCGCGGCTGAGGTCACAGAGCTATGTTCTCGCATGCCTTTAGTCAAATTGGCTGAATTCAGGGTGAAGCTTGTGCCGTAGTTTCGCCAATCGGATGGATGGGATTCGTAAGAGAAGGGAGTCTTCCAGATTCCAAAATCTCGCACCGTATGCCAGTGCCTTTTAGACCATGTACCTCAACTCGTCTTGGCCCTTCGTTGGGAGTACCTCGGTTATTCTAATCTAAATATCCCTGAGTCTGAAGAGCGGTGCCGACAAGTGTGGTATTAGTCTGCAACGCGCTTTTCTTCGACTTGGAGCATGCTTGCTTGGACGAATGCAAGATATCTTTCGCGTTCGCCTGTAAGTACAGTCGGGCTGTTTCCTGCCAGACGGAGGTCACTGCTGCGGAAGCGTCGCTGTTCGGGACCGTGTCTTTCGCGCCGACGGCATTTATCCATGGCAGAATAGCGTGCTTCATAGTCCAGGCTCGTATCTCGTTGTTATACCTGACCGACTGTGTCTTGTTTTCCGTTTCCTCCCGGCCCGGCTCGTTGTACCATGGCTGCTCGCAGAGTATCATGGACTGGATGCTGACAAGGACCTGGAGTAGAGTGGACTGGTCGGCTCTCCACGGCTCACCGGCCCACGTGCCAAGCAGGGAAAGGCATACTATTTGCCTCTAGCATTAGTAATATTCTGACATAGCACATTCTTATAGCAAGGTTTAGTGCTCTTATGCTCACGTAAGAGCGTATCGGGGATGAAGGGGGAAGAGTTTTTCACTTACTTTTGCCATCTTCGTACAAGTTCGGATTGAAACGAATCTTACCACCGTTCGTAGTCTTGAACTTCATCAAGGGCGGCGAGTTGGGATAATCTAGGGGGCAATATAAGTCAAACTCGAACAGACCGTGCTCGTAAGGGGTTTGTTTGGGTCCGATAATCAACACCTTCATGATGTCGAGTCGGGAAGATCCGTGGCAGATGAAAATTCCCTCTGGCAGCGATGTTTGCAGCGTCGATAGCTCCGTGATCAACCTCTTCATACGTCCACGGGCCGGGATCGCATGTCTTGCGTTTTGTGCGCACGAGAAGTCTCGCATGACGATCTCGTCTTCGACATTGCTGACGCAATTCTCGCGGTGCCATTCGGTAAAGTTGACCTCTGGTTTGTCTTCGCTTATCTCCATCGTAGTTCGGAGCCGTTGCATATTAGCCTCGTGCTGCGTGGAGAGCTGGCTAATTCGCTCGCTAATGTTTAGCATGTCCGTTCCCTCTCTGCTCTGGAACTCGGCACGGTTAGTCTTAGCATGTCGGAGAACCGTCATGGACTGAGCCGCCAGCTTGTCCATCAACGCGAGCAGAGATTTGCCGGTGTCCTTGACGAGGATCCTGCCCTTGTTTTTGATAGGACCGACTGAGACCTCCAACAGACTCCCGCCTTTCGGATGATACAGGCAGCGGTCGTTATACACTAGCTGCGCTGTTGCCGGGTGGGTTCCTAGAGCATCGAAAAAGTTCAGCACGGCGTCATGAACCTGGTACTGACGAGCAACCTCGTCGATAGAGTCGTTGCTCAGCATCGCCGCAGCCTTTTCCATCAGGGGGCTGCGTGAAAGCATATGTGCGAAGAAGGTAGGCGGCGAAACGTCGAGGGGGTTTGTCCGCGTGCAAGACGGAAGTAGCACAGTCACGATCCGGAAATAGGCTTCGTGTAAGAGACACTCTTGAATATCTACCGGCTTTTTAGGTGTAGGGCGGGTACGCGATCGCGGGTGGAGGTAGGGGAGATTGGGAAACGGGAAGTACTCTAGTCGCCCACCACCGTAGCCAACTCCTCTAGCGTTGGCTTGGGGATGCGACGGCTCCAGCGCACACTGCACCGCGGCAGATTTGGTGTTGGCTCGTTCTCGGACCTTGCTAACTACGCGGCTCACAGTTCGAGACTTCCAACTCGGGGCGTCCCAACCGCAGGCGAGAGCCCAGATTGCGGCAAGTCGTCCAGCATCGCAGCACCAGCTCACGGTGATCTTCGTTCCGGAGACATTAAGCTCAGCACTCGACCCGTTCATCCCGACAGAGGAGATCGCTTTCCCACAACCGAGACACGTCGACGCCGTGCAAAATACGTTCTGGCACGCAGCACCTAGCAGCACCTTTCCTCCGGCCTTGGTCCATCCCGTAGTCATCTTCACAACGTCCGTAGACTCCATGGGCTTGGGCACGCTCTTAAGATTCCTCGTACACCTAGTACACGTTTGCCTAAGGCACCCGCGAACGAATTCTTGCAAGGGCTCCAGCTCTTTCACAGCCAAACCGATCGCAGCTATATCCTCCGGAGACCGTTCTAGATCTGCTGATGATTCGCTACTGTTTCCGGGACTTTCGACGTCGATCGCCATCTTCTCGGCCTCGGTTTCCCTCGGCAGCTCAGGCGAGGGAATTGGGAAAGCCGCGTTGTATCCTGATAAGCCCCACTGCACGCCCATATGCTGAGCGGGCATCTTCTCGGCCGAAGCGTTCTGGCCGACGGCTTGTCCCGGTGGTTGGAGATAACCACCGAACGGCTGTTGCTGCGCGAACAAATGATCTAACATAGACGAGGCCCATAATTCCTGCGTGAACGGGAAGTCGGGCGCGGGGTGCGGGATTACACCATCTGGGAGTTGGTCCATGAATTCCCACGGGGCGCCCGGATGAAATTGGTTTGGCATCGACGGGACTGCAGGATAAGAGTGGGGTGGATGGTGCGGATTGGTCGGGGGGGCTGGACACCACGAAAGCGTTGGATGTCCAGGCTTAGTCGTCCCGAAAGGTCCTTGGGAAGACTCGGAATAGTCGGGGACCTGAAAAGTACTATGAGTCGGATGAGTAGTCGAAGTTTCGGTTAAGTCGATAGGGTTAAATCGACTACCGAGGTTGCCTTTCTGGCCATTGCCGTTGAAGCTCTGTCCCTTTGACGTAGACTTATGCAAGTTTTCGCCAAAAGCTGCTTTAGTGGCGGGAAAAGTCTTCGACGACCCAGGGAAAAATGAAGAGGATGCCATGTTAGGGGGTCCTGGCTTGTTCTCTGCCATAGGCGGTAGTTTCGACGGCTGCGATAAGCCGGGCCCTTGACTTGAAGGCGTCGTAGATGGCGTATGGGGGGATGCTGAGGGGAACGCTCCCAGAGCTTTCTTAGAGTGGGCCTGGTTCGCGGCTAGCGAAGTCGAAGCCGAGGCCGGTGCTTGATTCAGATTCAGAGATGACTCCTTGCTGTTGTGGTTATCGTCGGTAGTCTCTTGATTTCTGTGGTGTCTAAAACGAGTGAGCCGATTCGAGAAATTCTTGATCGTCTCTAAACCTGGGCCCATGATGAAAGGAGTTCACAAAGCTGCTTAGTTGCGGTAGAATCCATCCAGAAATGCGATATAAACCCGTTTATCTGACACCCGCCGGTCACGTATGGCAACCACAAGACTCTGGAAAGCGACCGCGCATTGACAGTTTGGATAACTTGGGAAACCTTGATACCACGTCCCTTACCTAAGCTTAATATAACGGTTTTGGGGACAACGGTCGGTTAAACCTAAGATGTGTTAGTCGGCGACGAGATTTTTGTGCTATTCCAGAGAACGTAGACGTAGAAAAGGACAGGAAAACAGCTGCGGGTATGGGAACGCACTCGAGCCAATATGACAGATTGTTGCCCGCTTCTGCCTCATCTACTAACGCAGTTTACGAGCTCGGCCGTAGGGCGCGCGTGTTGACTTTTCCCTCTTACAGGCGGGGTAGACCGCAGCCTGAAGGTGAATCAGCTGAGACGTGCTCTTTATTGGATATCGAGTATCGAATCTCAAACGTTGAAACATATTAGGTCCACGTCGAGAGGATACATACCTTCGTCTCTATTCTATCGGATAAGGACGGAGGAGCGGGGGGAAAGATAGAGATAGTAATATATCTTGGAAGGAAAGGATGATAGCCTAGCAGAAAGGCTTCCGTGCACGCGGGCTCAGCGTAAGAAACCAGTGACTAGTCGCGGCTCCGAAAAATCGGTTCCTTTTCTTCTCAAATGAATAAGAAATAAAGAGTGAAGACGAAAATATGGGTTACTCGAGACGGATCGTAGAGGGATGAGGCTGATGCAGAAAATATAATACCAAGCACCGTTGCAAACTAAACGCGGGCTAGGACCATCTACAAGGCATCTGCGATAAGAAAGCCGTGGTGAGAAGCTCGGAAGTTTACAGTACGGCACTAAGTAAGTTGGTAAGTTTCGGACTGTGTTTGTGGGAGAACGCGAAACAAGGAAATGCGGAGCTCGGTGCACCTTGGTAATTATCGAGGACGAAGAGAAAATGGATGAATTCGATAGCCTTCCGCAATATCTTCAGGATACGGATAGATAGAATGTTGTTGTAGTCGTGAGACGGGCGAGGCTACGGGCTAAATTGCCTTATTCCATATACTACCTTAGGTACTAGGTACGTGGTAATATGTACCTAGGAACATATGTATCAACACATGGGAAGGTGTTGGGCATGGGACTCGCAAACAGTCAGAAGTACCTAGTATATACTGCGGTTCTGGAAGTTAAAAAGCAAGGAAGGTCCACTGCAACGAAAAGATAAACAACATGGATTTGACGACTGACGGAGCTTCCAGGGTTCAAGTTACATGCACTTTATGTACCCGGGTTGCTTTTGGTACCACCTGACTGGCTGACTGGGCACCTGACTGTGTGCGATGCCCTGGGTGTTGTTGACTTAACGCAATCGGTGAATGCATAATGTGTACCTCTTGCTTGATTGTATTGGTGCACATCCACCTCGATTGCGACTAAAAGTGCCAGAACTTCTCTCAAGTAACAGCACAGGCCTTCACGGGACCAACGGCATTCTCAACAATAGGTACCTTAACCCCACTGAGTAGAATCGTCTACAATCCCATCATGATGAGAGGTCAACATATATTTAACAGGTATTACGGATAGATATAGGTCGTGCATTGCAGAGCCACTTATTTAATTTCTTATGAAATGCATTTTATGTGAATAGATAAGTCTCATGTGACAACGTGAGAATAATGGAATTGGTAACCCACCTCAGCCGCAGCGGGCAGGCGGGGTAAACGGGAAGGACGATAGAGAGATTCTAGCCTGTCAGCCCTATATAAAAGCGGGACCCCTGAAAGTCTAAAAAGGTTGAAATGTGGATTAACGTTGAAACAGTAATTGAGATATGTACGTACTGTATGATACTGTACGACACTGTACCTAAAAGCGCATATTACATAAGGTGCTAGAATTACACGCATAAAATATACTTTTATCGCTCCCATTGTTTTATGCATTTATTATGGTCCGGAGCCATTGGAATTGAGATTTATCGTTCTACAACTCAACAACCACTCTGTTACTGTAACAAAACTACTAAAGCCTCGCTAGCATTTATCGTGACCGTTGCCTGTCCGTTGGACACCGCTACAGTCTCGTAAGTTTCGGTTCCAGAAACATTACAACTGCCGTCGGTAAAACTTTGGCCCCCATAAGTCACCGTCGCGCCTTGATCAACCCTAGATTGGGCGCTGTCCGCCGTTAACCTCTTGGCCTTTAGCGAGCTTCCCGTCAACCCCTGAAGTACGAAAGATTGGCTGGACCGACTGCCGCTCCCGCTGAAGTAGTCTGAGTTATATAGCAATGCCTTCAGCGGCGCACCGTCTGAGTCAAACGAAACATACGCGGCGTAGTTGCTGCTGCCATCGTCAAGCGCCGCGAGATAAGACGCCTTCGCGAGAAAGTCGGTTGCGGCGTACGCGCCGTAGTAGGGCGCCCCCATGCTGTACCTTCCCCAGAAGCAATATTGGCAGTTACCGACCGTTCCGTGGTGGAAATACGTCCGAGATATGTTGCTATAGCTCGCGCGCAGGACGTAGTCCATCGTCCACAGTCCCGCTCCAAACGTGGGCGACACCGTAGCTGCCCCTCCACCGGATACTATCGAAAGACGTCAATATCAAGTCAAATCATTTTTTCATTTGACAGATCGTACCTGAATTCGTCTCGCCGAAAACGTACGGCTTATTCTCCTTCAAAGCAGCGGCCACGTCGGCGTCAAAGACATGTAAATTGGTAGCAATGCTCTTATGGCTCATTAGGGAGCTCACGCTGCCGCCTGGGTAGTTGTGATGGGCGTACGTCTTCACGTATTGCTTAACTGTCGCGTTCTCCGTGGCAATCAACTCCGCCGCGCCCCATGTCGGGGGAGCATCGTTAGAATTGCCTGCTTGGATAATCGGCGCTTTTTGTACGGCGGTCCCGACCGAGATATCCCAGTTATTCTGCGAAGCCGCATCGATTGCAGGCGACCAGCTTCCCGAGGCGATAGGCTGTCCCGCGCCGGAATAATCTTGAAGGTGGATAGTCAGCTACCGCGATGCGTAGATCCGAACAGGTGCGCAAACAGGTGCGCAGGGATCAGATATACGTACATTCCGGCTCATTTCCGAGTTCGATAGCAAGCAGATTCTTTACTTCTGATACGGCGACCTTGGCAGCATCGATCGTGTTCTGGATCTGGTTCTTGCCCCTGTTCAATCCGACTACTACCGTGCCGTCGTATGATCCCGCAAGGGTCATAAAACTTGAGCCGAACGTCAAACTTGCAGGCGCGTCAGCCGGGCTAGAAACACTGTATACGACGTATGCCGAAGTTGACGAATCGTATAGAGCCCGGTCTTGCGTAGTGCCCCCGATGCGAATCGGCGGCCACACTCCCGTCAAGTCCTTCCAGTTAGAAAGACACTGAGTCGTGGCGGTGACGTTGGTGAAGTAGGATGGGAAGGCGAAGAACTCGAAGCTATCGTATCGATGTAAGTACTTAGCAAACACCGGTTACGGGAATTAGTTGTCCGTGACTTACGATATCCCCACCGGTGCCGGATCTAGAGGCGCGTAACTATATCCTCCCGTGTGCGCCTCGCTAGGAATAGTGAACGTGACAGCCGCGGCCGCGCCCCGGATCGCAGCTACGGACAGAGCAAGAATTCCGAAAAAAGCCATAGTGTGGATACCCAAAGGAATATGATCGTGCTAATCATACGTATTTGTACCAACAGGCGACCATCAGCCTATTTTAACCTCCTAAGAGGTTTCGAGAAGGGGATCCCTTCATTATATGCACAGCTTTACATCGCCTGGATGAATTTAGAAGCATGCGGCACATGTTACATTCGTGCTCCTCCAAGCGGCTACACTGCTACGTACGGATCAAGATCGGCTATAAGTAGCAGGAAAAGTACCTAACCAACAAGTTCTAGATCTCCGCAGTAACTCACTTCCACCAATAATAAATTAAGCCACGGAAATAAAACAACAACATCCAAGTCGTTGTTAAAATTAACACGCATGCAGCGCATGGTAAGACTTAGCGACATTCGTAATGGCGCATAATTTCGACGGAACCCCCTCCCTCTTCATTTTATCCTAATGAGCATAGAACTTCATGACAATCGACAGAGTCGTTTATTTCCCCGTTGAGGTCCAGTTGTATATAGATTGAGCTCAAACGTGTCTTGAACAAGAAGTTGAGTTATTTATATCTTTCCTTGATTTGGTTAACTACCAGGTAGGCGCTTGAATTTATTCGGTTGCAGAATGGGACGCAAAAAAGACTTCGCTCAGTTCGTTTCATGGAAGCGATCAATTAACTAGGTATGAGTAGTTTTCATCTAAAATTATGACAAGTACTTGAGCACGAAAGGTACCGACTCGACGATATCCCAATCTTCCTCCTTGGAAGCATCGCCAAACACCCTGACACCACTCGTGACGAATTTATAGGTACCTTCAGGGATAACGGTGCGATCGTCTAGCATGCCGTTGAAATAACTGCTGGCTCCGTTTCGCGGAACTAGCGTGATAGGGAATCCTGACAGGGAGCCAATAATGTCGTATCCTTTCCACTCGGTCGTCGGCAAACCCGTGTCCGTCAAGGCGACGACATCGGCGCGGAGCTGAGGCGCATTTAACGTCGGCGATATACTGAGCTTGGGATATACGACACCGCTCGCACTGGAATTACTACCAGGACGATTCAGCGTGAACGTGGTGTTGGCCGCGACAGGAATATTGAAGTGTCCGTCCGTGTTGGTCAGGTAGACACCACCGTCGTAGCCAGCCTGGACCACGGGCGTATTGTACAGACTGCCAAGCACACCCAAGTACGGCAACACGAGCGACTCTCCCTTCGTGCTGTTGAGGGTTACATAACCGTTATAGATGGGCAGCAAGGTCGCGTTCAGATTTTGCGGAGGCGTAAGCGTGAACGTCACCTTAGAGCTTCCGCCAGCCGGTACTGTTACTTGGTCCGAGACGAAGGCCAGTTCGGCCCACCCATCCGCGGTTGGGTTCGGGAAGTACGTCGTGTCGAGGACGGGGCCTCCGGAGTCGGCGAACGTGTACATCGTCAGAGCTTTAGTATGGCCGAGAACGTAAGTCACGTCCTCTTGAGCGGTGTTCTGGATCGAGAAGCTTCGCTCGCCAACGAAGTGATCGCTATCATTGAACGAGAAGCTGCTCTCGCTGAGGATCGTGGACGTGTGCGCGGCGTCCCAAACCTGGGCGATTCCCGCACCTTGTTGCGGGACGGGCGCGAGGATATCGTCGTGCGCAACTTGTCCGTCAAACCAGACCAATGGCTTCGCCGTGGCAGAAACCAAGCTACGAAGGACTTGAGGATCGAGAGTTCCGCGGACCTCCGCGACGAGGGCGAAGATAGCCGCCAGCAGAGGCGTAGACATCGAGGTACCCGAGAGGATGGCGTATCCGCCCAGGGCCAACGGATAGGTCGACAGGATATCACCACCCGGCGTAGAAAACTGGGGCTTGACGTCTATTTCTTGGGTGGGACCCCAGCTGCTTGTGAAGCTCATGTATCCGCCAATGGCCGAATTATCCAAGTTATGAACGAGCTGGCCCGCGGAAGTGGAGTCGTCAATGTTCACGGTGATGGTATCTCCCTTGTTCAACAGTGAGATAAACTTAGCGCCCTGCTCGGAAGACGTCGTGGCAACAGCTTTGATAGACTCGTTTGCGACATAAGCGACCGGGATACTTCTATAATTCATCATGAGCAACCAAAAAGGCGAAAAGGGAGTTGCCTCTTCAAGCGACGCAAAATTTGACTTACCCATTAGATTGGCTATACCACAGAAGGTACTGGCCTCCTTTAGCAGCAACGTTTCCGGCCTGAATTGCTTGAGTACAGGTAGAACCCGAAGTCGGCATGCGAAGTAGGACGACCTTGTTGGCAAGGTCCGGCGTGCTATCGGGGAGCGCGCCGCAGGCGTCCGTTTCCGAGGTCGCGTTGTTGCTCACAGACCAGAGCGGCAGGGTAACGTTCACCTGATACGTAGGAGTGCCATACCTGATACCGAAGCGCTCTGCTCCAGTTCCATTGCCCGGGCCAAAGGTAGCCGCCTTTAGGAGGGTCGGGAGGACTGTATTCTCGACAGAACCAACGGCAGTCACATTAACGCCCGATGCGGGGGTAGACGGGTACCACAGGCCTAAGTTGCCCGAGTTTCCAGGCGCTACCACGACCGGGACGCCGGCCGCGGCAATCCTCGAAGCGATGATAGCCCAAGGATCCGAAGACCAGCCGGAGTCGTCGCCCGCAGAGCAGGAGATGATGTCGCTCCCGTCCTCAAACGCGGCGTTGAATCCCGCTATCAATATTTCGTTGGTCGTCTGCCCGCCGCAGCCGGTTGCCTTATACATGCCTAACGTCACTCCAGGCGCGGCGCCGGTGAAGTTGTACTCGTTCATCTGAGCGGCGATGATTCCGGCGACGTGCGTGCCGTGCCCGACACAATCATCGTAGGGATCGGGGTCCGGGATAGGAACAGGAGACGTATCGTTATCACCGTTGAAGTCGTAGCCGTATTCGACCAAGCACCCTTTTCCGAAGCAGCCACCGAGCGCCGGATGTTTGTAGTCGACGCCCGTATCGACGAGGCCGATCCGTAGGCCCTTGCCTGTGTAGCCTTCCGCATGTAACTTGTCGACCTGGGTCATGATATGCGGGGTGAAGCCGTTCTCGTTGCTGTCATCCTGACGTTTGACGTGCCTGAGGAGTTCCGAGACGTTGTTCCCGACAAACTGCGCGTCGGGTTTGGGAAAAGAGATCTTTCGCACCGGCCAGACCGTCTTCACCCGCGACTGCCCCGCGATCTTGCCGGCAGCGACTTCGGGATCCGTAGCGTTTCCCTTTAGGTGGAAGGATGCGCCCTTAAAGAGCTGGAACTTGAAGTCCATGCGATGTTCGACGTCGATGCCGTCGGCGTTAAGATCCTGGTAGAGCGCGTCGGGACTCTCATCATCGTGGAATTCGACAATATATGCTCCCGGGACTATCGACTTATCTGTTGCCGAGTCGTCCACATCAGCCGCCAGGACAGCGCTTGTGGTGTACGCTAGAGCTCCAAGGAGCGCGAGCAATCGAGGTTGTACTCTCATCGTGCCTAGCAAAGACGAAGACCGCTCCCTTCTCGAGGACGAAGTGGCATGGAAACTCAGAAGCCAGCAACGTGAAATGCGCCGTCAACGCGCCCTATTTAACGCGGGCAACTGCTAATCGTACCCCTCGCTCGAAAGACGACAATCCTTCAGCATCTTGCTGGTCGCCATTGATTCTAATCATCCCTAGTATTCACGATATCGACATGGGTTTTCGGCAGACGTGCTCGTTCCGTCAAATAGCCGGGGTATCGTTCTCCACAAATTAGAGGCTATTCTCTTTTCACGTTGGTATTTCTCGTATGTGACCGTCGCCAAGGCTCCGTCACGAGAAACTTGTGGATAGCCCAGAAATAATACTAGGCTCGTTATGAATTATGCAACCTCAATGTGACAACTTCCCGTATCTGTCATTTATGCCCGATGTAACATATATCATGAACTAAAGCTGAATCCTTTCTATCTTACCAACGGGGAATTGAGAAGAACGAACCTAACGCCATTTTTATAAACCTAGCCTCGTAAATATTGTTCCGACATAGACAGTAGCTAAGACGGATCATGGCCAGAACGGTCGTCGCATAGACCGATCGATACGTTCTCCCGGCGCGAAGACGCCAGTTCCAGCGCCGCGCTCATATCTACCTACCTATATAGGCATGTGCTTAGCTAAACACAGGATTCCTCGTATCGGATACCAACTAGATCGCGAATAAACAGACTCAGGGATTCGGTGGGCAAATGCTAAGATATGGCACGTTGCAGAGGAAAGCCAATGCTGAATAGACAAGAGTTTATTTCAGACCTACGGATAATGGAAGTCGTATCGAAGTGACGTTGTTGCAATTCATGATTTCCAATGCTTCGGTTTTTGATAGAATAGTTATTGGCAAGTAAAAAGGGATTTACGATAGTACCATACCAAAGTCGCGGTGGTTATATCTTATTATAGAGCTTGCGCTTCCATGGATGGTGTCAGAAGCTTCCTCCATGAGAGCTGGTAGCCAGAGGTGTCGGGAGTCGGCCTGTACGAGGCCGCCCTGTTGGCAGCTAGCCCTTAGCTATAGACAAAGGAAGGTTTATGTATGTATACCGCGTTCCCTGGAAGGGGTTAGTTAGAGCTCTTCGCGCAACAACGTCGTTCTTCCCTAGCCTCTTAGTTCCGCCTCGTGACAGATGGTAACAGTTATGTCAGTTCTTCCTGGAAACGCCAAAATTGGTTGAAAATATGATAGGGTAGGTAGAAGATTCCTTAACTGTAATTGAGACTTGACAGACGCGGAACCTCTCTTTTGTTTCATAGAAGCTATTGATATTGAGTATGGTAAGGTGTCGAGTTGGAAGCCAGAGAGGTCATACCTAGACGCCTAGCCGGCCACTGACAGGGGGAATTTTTCAAAAGCTGGTGATAGCTTCCTAGGTCTTCATCTATCTTGCCGCTTTGGAGTTGGTAATCTGCTAGATCAGATAGGTACCTACCTATATAATCTTCACTTTAAGAGTAAGCTCATATGGTGTATTTATTGAGGTGGCGATATCATTTGATTAACTCACCAATGCGCAGATTTGGGGGCTGTTAATACTATCCGTGAATTTGCATCACAAGAGGGACTATTCCGCACGACAAGAACACGTCTCGATGATATATACTAGAAATATTTGGGCTTTCAAGAGTCGAGCCACCACACACGTTCAACGCCAACGGACTCCCCCACCCCGAACAAGCTTCGTTCACAAGACATAGGTAATCAGGTGCCTAATCGCCTATTCGCCAAAAGAGATATGAAGTAGCCCTCAAAGATATGGCTCAATCTGTGCCTCAGTCCACGCCCAGAACTGCTGCCCAACCCCGGTGCCACCCTCCGCTTTCGTCTTAGACGCTTCGATCATCTCTTTTGACACTTTCCACATCATGCCCCACGGAGCAACTGACATATAGTTAATTCACTCTTCCTGATACTATAAGGACTTTGGAACGAAGCACGTACCGTGGCTGCCTGACTGAGCAAGAGTAATCTCGGGCGAGAAACCGGCAAATAGACTCGTGTACGCCCCATAGACCGGTGGATGCAACAAAGTTTTCCTCAAGACCCACGTTGTCACGGCGCCCTGATCTCGCCAAAATTCCGAATCGAGAGCCCCGGGATTTAGCGATATAGAAATTACCCCGTCATTCTTATGACGAGTAGCAAACTCGGTAGAGTGCAGGTAGTTCCCTAGCTTGCTCAGGCTGTACTTGTCCAATGCCGATCTGTCCTGGATCCCGGGCAGACCCTCCACGAAGCCTCGAGGACTCACGGCTTCCGCGGCCGAAGACGAAACCCAGACTACGCGGACCGTACCAGGCGGCGACGCTTCGGCAGTAGACACGAGCGCCGGCGTTAGAAGCTTAGTCAAAGCGAACGATCCAATGCAGTTGACACCCAGCTGAAGTTCGTAGCCTTGTTTGGTCTTGGCATCCTTATCAGGGTACCCGACTCCGGCATTGTTAAATAAGACGTGAAGGGCCTGCTCCTTTTGAAGGAATTGATCTGCAGAGCTTTTGATGGTGGTGATATCGGCTAAATCTAGGCGGATGAATATCAATTCTCCACTCGAATTAGGTACGGCGGCCTTGATGCTCTCGATCGCCTTCTTAGCTTTCTCTTCGGACCGTGTCATCATATAAACCTTCGCATTCTTAGAGTAAACAAGTTGGGCTATCTCTTTGCCCAAACCTGTATTAGAGCCGGTGATAATAATGACCTAAAAATACTGTAAGCAAATGCGGAGATGTAAATATCAAGTAGACTAGAGAGAATCGTACCTTGTCCCTTAGGTCTGGGAGGTCTTCGTCCGTAAACCTGGGCTTTCCCGGGCAGAGGAATTGCTGCAGTCCACTAATATTGCCTGGCATTTTGACCCACTTTAACGTTAGGGAGGTATTGAAACAGTCGGTAGCAGTGTATCTTATGATAGCGTAGTAAGTAGGATACGAAAATGTTGCGAATTAAATATTGAATTCAAAATGAAGAGGTCTTTAACAGATTTATAATGATATCTGATGTAAATGATACAGTAAAAGCGTTATGGGAAATGCGATAGCAGCTCAATTGTACGAATATATCCGCGGGATTCACTAATGTGAATTTCCTCCAGGTGGATCGTAAGCGTGTAAATCTCTCCCGTAAGCCGCGGGTTTCAACTCTACCCATGAGTTTCCTGGAAATCCCGGAATAATATGTTATGCAAGCGTCGTGTACGAAGTACGAAATATTGGTTCCTCTTACGAACGTACCTCTCTGGAATCTATACCAGTATTTCAATTAACCATGTTCAATAAACCAGTATCATGCAGTCTTGCCAATGCCGCGGACTTTAAGTTCTCTTGCTATATCCGCTGTCAACGATTACTTCCAAATGAGGCAACGCTAAGGAAATTGAAAGCGTTTGATTGGTTGATTACGATTTCTAGGTGGGTGGGGAATACCTTTGCTGTGGTTTTCTCTTCAACAATTCCTTTCAGACTCTTACTAATTCAAAATTATAGACAGTGCCATCAATTCCGCATTGCAGTCCTCATTTCAGTCCTTACTTAATGTTGCTTGCCGATGATTACCACCCTCGAGCCCGCATCCATATATCAATGACTTTGGTTGGGCTATTGGACTGACTTGAATCTATCACAAAGTACCAATCGTACATTGCGCCCGTGATGCAAGCGTGATTGGGATATATCCGAACGGCCTGGCCAACTTCGAGGGGGATCCCCTGCGGATAATGCGGTATCAAATTATCGTCGTCGGTATCCCAAGAAAGGATAGAATGTTCCTGGCTGATTCTTTTCACAACAAGTCTCCGTTCGAAGCCAACCTTTTCTAATGCGGGTAACGAACCGACGATACCCCAACCATCATACGAAGGACAAGGCTCCTTGCCTAGTCCTAACGTCCCGACCGCAACTAAGGCCTCGGGGTTTTGTCGCTCACCATCATTGTAGACGCTCACTACCTCAGCAACAACCGAGATTGCGATCTCTTCGTCAAATCTGCCCATCGAACTCCTGGAGTTCGTAGACAGCTGCTGCATATCGAGAACTGAATAGACTCCGGCGTGAAGCTCAACAGAGATTTTGATTCCCGAAACTTCTTCGGTGGATAGATCCTGAATTACACCCATGAGATCATCCGCAGACTCGTTCTTTTGCTTGTCGCACTGGACGAAGTTTTGGATAGAAGTGACTTGAGGCGACGCGCCGACGCTGATCGTGAGATGGAAGGCTGGGGTTGGAAGATGTTGGTGGTTATACCTCACCGCATCTACGCAGCCTCTAATCTCCGTAGACAAGTTATCCATGGCTTCTCGGGTGGATTTGCCTTGATAACTCAGACTACTGTGGGAGTACAATCCCACCAATATCGCCTCGCCTCCAAGATGCAGCCGAGTTACGGCTTCAACAAGACCGCCGGCGTTTAAAGCTTCGGGTGGGAGACCTGCTCGATGATATCCGGTGTCCACTTTCATGAAGACCTCAGCAGGAAATCCTGCCGCATCGAAGAAGCGGCGTAACGAAATAATCTGTGATGGATGGTCCAGCATGAAAGAAATGCTACCAGGGCCTAGTTGACATGCGATCTCAGCCACGCGGTCTACTTGCGAAGCCGGAAGCGGCAGCCCATAAAGCACATTGATACGACGCCCTTCTTTCTTAAGGTGCTTAAGTAAGGGAAGAATATGCTCGATCTCGGCAACTGTCGAGACCACAAGCTTAACATCGCTTGCATCGTCGCCAATTTGCATTTTCGTGAGTTCAACAGTCTATCGCCAGTTTGAAATCAGTTCTGCAAAGGCCGCGGGTTTGATTTCTATGACAGGGACTGACCTTATGTGTTTTGATATGGGGTCTAAATCCAACTCCTAGCGCTTTGGTCGCGGCTAACATCGAGGAGCAATGACGGCGCGCTTTTGAGACATCAAGGACCACTGCTGGCTTGGGGATATTCTCGATATCCTTCCCAACGTACAACTGCTCAAGCTTCGCCTTTCTAGCTATAAGCTGATCGGATGTGTCCATGGTCGGCCTTTGATATGCGCAATTCCGTTTTGGACGCTGCCGAATAGAATTTAGTATAATAGCAATCTAGAAATCTCATCAAAACTATCGATGGTGCTGGTCGACGGATAGGGACTTTAATACCTATCGTTTGACAATTTCGAAGTACGTGCTTAGCCTAGAGTACCTATCTACTTCTCATAGGTATCATTTGATCAGTGGAGATCATTTTTCCTAGACCCGAGAAATCGAAAGGAGGATATCATCATCAAATAAGCATCTAGTAGGAGGTAGATGATGCCTAGTGGTATTCCTGCAAGATTGTATGGACGACAAGGAGAGTGGGAACACATGTGGGTCCCGACTAATGCCTGGCGCTCCCGTTCACCATAATCGGAATAGCGTCATTTCTATACTTTGCTGACTTTGGTGGGGGCGGCGCTAATGACGCAGGTCAACATGCGGGCTTATAGCCAGTCCTCCGTCTCTTGTATCCCGACAACAAACAGCTAATACTATTCCAATATCTGCTGAGATTCTCTCGATTCTCTCGATCCTAGCAGAGATGCTATACGACTGGATTTGGAGACCTAGGTAAAATCGGTGCTCAGATAAAACATTGCCTAGGATGTATAAGCCAGCACCACCACGTCCGAAGCAAACCTCCATCGTTCGGGGCACCACCGGATGTCGCACTTGCCGAGCACGGCGCAAAAAGGTCAATCCACCGCCGGTTATTATTGATGAAATAATGTCATTAATCCAACTGACACTTTCTCGGTAGTGCGATGAGCAAAAGCCCGCATGCACCGCTTGTGTTCGACTTGGAAGACGCTGCGACGGCTATGCTACAAAATTGGAATTTCGCAGCGTATCTTTCCCTCCGACTGAGTCTCGAGATCACCGGACGCAAGAAAGCAAGAGCCGAATCCCACCTGGCTACTCGTTAAAGCTAAATAGGACGATAAAACCTAGTAAAGAGTTGTTCTATATGAGCATCTGGGAAAACCAGTGTGCTCCTGCTCTCCACCCCGTCTTCCACAAACTCACACACCTTCAGGTCCTTTCGCCAGTGATCGCAGATACGATGTTGGCCCTCGCAGCTCGTCAACTGAGCCGGTCGCATCCCCAGACAAGAGAACTCCACCCACTCGACGATCTCAAATCGCCTTTCAGGCCAGATCTGGATCAGCAGTGTATCAGCGGGGAGTTTTCTAGTTCAGCTATGCGGAGCGTGGCACAATGGACTCCGTCTGATATCTACCGAGATTCGATAACCGCATTAGTCGTCCTCACCTTATTCTGCTGCCTCGAATCGTTGACGAGCAACTTTCAGGGCTTTTATTTACACTCAGCCGCCGTGGGGACGCTCCTAGATATCCAACTGGGTCTCTCATCCCAACCGAGCAGCTACGAACACAGCATTGTCGCTGCCTGGGTTCAATCTAAGATGCACAACTGGTGGCGGAGGTTCCATTTCGCAACGGCCACTTTCCAGCGGGATCATCCGCCCTTGGTAACCCAACCAACGTTACTACGTCTCTCAGCCGTACCTGACAATCGAGTATCAGTTCTCACGATACTCTGCGAATCTTATCGGCTAAGCGCCGCAATCCTGATGTTCTATTGCGATAATGCTTTGGACGTCGACTTGCACGGTGTCGGAATTCCGCCTAATATACGACAGGGACACTCGTCTCGCTCGTGCGGGTTTCGCGGCAGACAAGAAGAGCAGCTAAATCACCAACGGGACGCCCTAAGCGACTGGTATGCTCAGCTACCGCCCTCGGAACTACCAACGGATCTATTCGATCCGGTTCATAGTAGTGTAACCTGGCAACCCGCCCCTTTGCAAATCCAGCCGCTACGGTTTCGATCTCACGACGCCGCGATGAATTTCGCCTATTACGTCACCGCTCGAGTTTTGCAATGCACCGAGTTTCTCGATAATCTTGAATCAAGCAACGGCCAGCTGGAGATGAATGACACCTATAATAGGCCAGAGCCGTGGATAATGAATCTTCTACGAATCGCAGCCGGAATAAACTGGGACGCCTGTGTAAGACTTAACTCCTATACAATAGGACTCTCTGGTTTGCTCCTAGCTTGCATTCTGCGATCGAACAATCCAGCTCTAAGTTCTTGGGTGCAAGACTGGCTGAGTAAACGATTCCGGGAAGGCTGTCTCGAAGAGGGAAGTTTTCCACTCTTTCAAATTATTCAAGTTCTTCATATCATCAACGTAGAGAAGACGTTGGATCGACATGTTTACGCAGTCTGCCAAGCTATCGACGACGGAGGTGGGTTAGGCAAATTCGACTCCTATAACAGTCAAAGAATAGAATCCATAGTCGTATACGGATGGTGCATGGGTTCGAATCGCTTTTATTCACGTCATATGGTCCTGGGACCTATGCTTCCAAGATAATGGAAGTAGACATCGGAATGACAGAAGAATACATTAATACCGTACGATTCTGACCAAAGTATCAAGCTCCAAAGAAAACGTCCGACGTATCCATGAAGATAAAATATACTGATTGGGTAGATTTTCGAAAGGCCTCCCTAGGTAGTTACCAACGGCCAAGCGTAAATGAATTTGGGGTGTACCTACTAACGCCTAGTATGGTATCTCTCTAGATGCTAGACTGGCGGTTTCTAATGCATAAGTGCCTACACTAATAGCTATGCACAGCCTAGGCCAAATATGGTGTACGGGAACGCCTTGCATAGCTACTAGACTAGGTATCTGTACCTAGACAACCTACGCAGCCCCGAGCTCTTGATGTATCCGAAACCCACTCAAATCATCGAGAGCTATACCTGATGAAGTGCACGGGAACGCCTAACCGTTAAACCGATAATAGCTCTTGACTAGTAATACTGAGGTAATTTGACCAGCTATGAATTACTATGTAGTATCTCCTAGCCTTAGGTTTGACCATGAGATGTTGAGGGTATAACACATATTGAAAAGGGCTCAACTAGGTGATTATGCAGGCTTGAGACAGCATATGGGCGAAGATAAGTGAATATGCTGACGAGTGTGCCATGAGTCACGCTACAATGCAAGCTCCCGAAGGGCGAAAGCCCCTTAGGGTTAGGGTTAGGGTTAGGGTTAGGGTTAGGGTTAGGGTTAGGGTTAGGGTTAGGGTTAGGGTTAGGGTTAGGGTTAGGGTTAGGGTTA